CCCCCCCCCCCCCCCCCCCCCCCCCCCCCCCCCCCCCCCCCCCCCCCCCCCCCCCCCCCCCCCCCCCCCCCCCCACTAGCGCACGAGTAAGAGTACGAGACAAGAAGCACGAGGGGGTATCAAAAAGAGAAGAAGATGGAGAGAGCTAGATTATAAGTAGCTGACACCGGACCGGCATAAGTATAAGAAGGGAGAGTCAGGGTATATATCAGATTCCCACCCCGGGACGTAGAATTAAGAGCGCAGAGCGGAGGAGAAGAAGAACAAGCAGAAGTAGAAGAAAAGGATCGCCCGGTAAGGCGCGGATAACCAGACATGCCCGCCCTGGCAGAGGCCAAGACTCCTTTTTTACTTTTTGGCTCTTCCTTGGATTTGGCTTGGGTCGAGTTGCACTGGGCACCACCGCTCGGATGCCGCGGGTTTACCGTACGAAACACGGTTCTCGGGACTCTTTCGCGGGACAACACGAGGCATTTCAAGGCACCGTACATCGCAGAACATTATTTACATACGCCGATCCATCCTGGTCGGTTCATCGGCAACTCCCGCAGATTTATCGATTATTATTTTTCTTCTTATTTTTTCTACCTGACTCCCTCTGCTCGGGTGGAGTTCGGCCTGAGGTTCTGCTGGCAGCGTCTCGGACTCGATCACGGGCATGACACAGCCCTGTCGTTGTCCATCACTACCGTTCAGCCTTCGCGATGGTGCAGGTTTTCCCCAGATTCCATTGATGTTCATCTCCCTTGTCGGCACGAATCATGCACTATGATCGTCACAATTTCCCGGCTCAGAAATTGCACTAATTTAATTTATTCACACTATTCCAGCCTGCCCAGTTTTATGCAGTCCAGGGCCAGGATTAATTGGCAATTTGGCACGGGCATTGGCATCGACGTCATCGGGGCAGTCTAGCCCGACCGCTGGGTGGCCTGGTGGCCTGAGGCCTCATGGAACGTTGTTGCTCCGTCCGTTATCCGTTAGTCACGAAGGAGAATTGAGGACTGGTCATGAGTTCTGACCAGTCTGCTTTTATTACTGTCTTTCATGCCATATTATTATTGCATGATTATCTCTCCTCAACTTCTCCGTGTCTAACCTACCATCCTCTCCCTCTCTCTGCCATGTCGCACTTCACCCTCCCCGGGCAGTGATGTCATGGTGCCCGTGCCTCTTCCCCCTCGGCCGTCTTCGCTGACGCAGCTTTTCAACCCACACCCACCTTTTCCCACCTCACCCTCAACGAGCCACCATTCCACCGTCTCCTGCGCTTCGTGCATCGGCCCGTCTCTAGTCCACCATGGCTACCGTTGAAGACGAAGAAAATCCCCTCATCCAGGCCCTTCCCCCTGCGACCGACTATCTGACCTACCTCACCCTTCTGGAGTACCAATTGACCCCCGCCCGCCTACCCACCCTTCACAAGCTCCTGCAAGATGAGACCCTGACGACCAACATCGGCTGGGACCTGGTCCAGCTCCTCCTCCCCATGCTGCCGCAATCTCAGGAATGTCTCCAGGACATCGCTCGGCTGGGAAACCCTCGGGAGGTGATTCTACGCGTGTCTGAGGCGCTCCTGCAACTGCAGCCGGAGGAGGAGAGCGAGAGCGAGCAGGATGGTGACACGCCGGGATCCACCGCGGGGATAGAATCCAAAATGAACAAGGTCACAGTAGACGGGACCGACCGCCTTCCGAAGCATATCCTGCAGTTCAATTCTCTCGTATCGATGCTCGCGGTGCTGCAGTCGCGTATCCAGACCAAGTCCCCCAGTCGCTTCCTCGCCACCTCGCTGCAGGCCGCACTGGAGGCCTACACTTTAATGCCCACCAATGAGACCACGATTGCGCTGCTAGAAATGTTTAGAGATGTATCGCCTTCCAAGAGACCTGCACCACCCCCGCGAGCACCGAGCGACTCCAGTGCGTTACGGGTGTCGGAGCCGTCCGCGCCAGACCCGGAGGCCGAGGTCCAATCGCCTAGCCCCAATACTCACAACGAGAAGATGCTCGTCAAGAAGTTCCTTCAGTTCGGTCTAGTCGAACTTCTCAAGTCATATCTGCTGAGCTTTTCAAGTCCGTCAGACCCCGGCATGTCCTGGACCGTCAGATTGCAAGAAAAGCTTCGCCCTGAGACGTGCCTTCCCGGCCGACCGTCACAGATCGATGTGTACGCCAACAACAAGCAACTCAAAGAGAGGGATATGATCATGGCGAAGATCGTGGTATGTACAATATGCTCTTATGAGAAATTCAAGTTCGCTAACGTCTCAGGCATTATCCCGCGATTTTGGCCTTGATGAGGGACAGCTGCTCGGCATTATCTACCAGGCGCCGGAGGATCTGCCGCCTCCGCTAGACTTCGAGGATCCGCCCCGACAGGTGGACGAAATTCCACTTGAACGGCACGGATCGCTACTCTTGCTGGCAGCCCGATCGGCGGTTGCCGAGTTGTTCTCGACGGGACAGGTCGTCCCTCTCCCCGTCTTCCCGGATCTGGCGCGCGTGTTCCAAAATTTCGTCGGCGGATACAACACCCCGGATGAAGTCGCCTTCGGCCAGCCGCAGGTTCTGCTCGATTCTCTCCTTACCTTGACCGTGTCCTCCATGCGACATGCCATCGGACAGCCATCCACCACCAAGGAGTTCAGGGAGTTCATTCTCGCCTTGACAGCATGCACCACGCGGCAAAACTACGGCACCGTTCGACGAATCCCGGGTGATATCGTGCACAGTCACCCATCTCATCTTGACCGGTTCAAGATCATCCGATGCATCCTAGAAGAGCACCATTTCCTAGCTGTCAAGGACGACGCGATTGGATGGCTGAAGCAGGAGATTCTCACGGCCGCCAGCCAATCCGAGCCCAACCTTTTCCTGAACCCGCACTACTTCTCCGTCCTGTTCCCGTTGCTGTTCGAATCGTCCAGCCTTCTGCTCAACGTCTCCTCTGACATCGTGGCCTCCTGGATCAAATTCTCCCAGACCTTGACCCCCGCCATCCACGCCGCCGTCAACCTCTACTACGTCCTGGTCTCCTCGCCCCAGCTGCGCTCACAGCTTCAACTCGAGAAATCCTACATCTACTTCCGCGACCAATTCGTCGACCCGCTGCGGTCCCTTATCCGGGCGTTCGAAAGCGACCTTCCCAAGAACGGCGGCGACGGTCGCATCCAGAAATCCGTCGGCGAGGACGTGTGTCAGCTCGGCATGGCCCGGTCGGTGGCCGTGGTCTCTCACGCCCTGAGCAAGGTGGAGGACGTGGTCAGCGAGGTGTTTGTCGGTGCCGATGCCGAGTTCCAGGAACCTTCGACGGAGGATATCGCGCGGGTGGATCGCATTCGCAAGGAGACGGAGCCTTGAGAGAGCTTTTCGTGTGTCTTCCGTAGTATGTGTAAAATGATGATGACGTATATCCATACGATTTACGAGTTGCGATTATATGACTATGAGGTTTGACTTTTTATATCATCTTTTGTTGAAATCTTGATTTTGTGCCTGAGGTGTCACTCTGCCAAGTATTTCGCCGATATGCTACACTACTGTAGGAACTAGCAAGACCTCTTCATGTCCTTCATCAATCATCTAGGTTGAAATAGAAATCCTTCTCATTCTTTGCCACTCTTACTTCGCAATAGACTTTCTTACGCCAGGCACAAACCAGCATCTCGCCTACGAAACTACATCCAGAAGAAAACCTAGAGAAGATATATCAAAAACAAGGTTCCATTGGCCACTAAGGACAAATGCAAGCAACTACCTCATCCTGAAGAAAGCAAAGAGAAAAAACATCAATTGAGATACACAACCAACGAAATAAAGTAAGTTCCTCATCCGATCAAGACCTGGGAATTTCAAGACCACCGGCTGATTTTTCCTTTTTCGTTTCCTTCGTAAATCAAAAGAGTGCGGGATAGAGAACGAGATAGTAATGGACACCTCTTTGCGTCTTCTATTTTATTCGCGATTCGGTCTTTCTCTTCCCTGGTGTTATTCTCGACCAGAGGAGGAAAGGAGCAAGCAGGAAGGAAGAGATTGAAGGAAAAGTGGATGGAAAAGAGAGACGGCCGGACTGAACTGATATAGATAGATTCGTAGGAGAACTCCTCCATCTATATAAAATCCGTTATTGTTTTTTTTTGAAAGATTTTCCACGACCGTTTTTTGATTTCAGAGAAAGATAAAGATCATCAAAAGAAAGAATGAAGAAAAACGGTGCAAGTGCAATTGCCCAACCCGGTTTTTATCCTTTAGAAAAAGAAAAGAAAATACGGAGAAGAACGGAGGCACGATGATATCAGGAAGGCGGAGATTTAGAAAGCAAGGGGAAGAAGAGTGCTGAGTGCCGGATATTGAAACGGTTCATTGGTCATGTTGGTGGTCTTGTTGTAGATGGGGTTTCAGTTTAGCGACTTGGTCGGGTGGTCCGTTAACGGGAGGAACTCTTTCGGCGCGGTTTGCCAGGGGCTTTTTACATGATGATGCAGCCACCACCAGCAGAGGCTATATTCAGGAGGTCTGGTCAGTGGATGTTCATGTTCATGTTTGGTGAGTACGGTGGAGAGTAGATGGGGGATGCGGCTGATGAAGCAGGAAGGAAAGGGAAGACATACCCTTGACGGCAGCAGCGTTCTGAGCAACCTGGGAGGGAGACATTTTGAAATGGGTTGGGATTGCAAAGATGCAAAGAAAGGCTTGTAATAGAATGATAGAATTTGATCTGTTGATCGTGAAGAAATAAAAGATCGACTCGGTGGGGTTTCAGAGATGTTTTTATATCTTTGTCGACGCTAGTCTGGACCAGCCAAATCTGGGGTATACCGGTTTCGTTTGTGGTTGAGTCTTTCTCTCCTCGTTCTTTCTGGTTCAGGGAGTGTATCTTGAATGGAAAACCTCGTTGATTCAATGGTTGAAATGAGGGGAGAAGAATGGTACTCAATGCGATAGGTCGTTAAGATGGGTATCTTCCATGGCGCACGGCGTCAAAAGCCATCGAGAAAGGAGAGATAAAGAAGACAAGAAGGCTGAAGAGTGAGTCTAAACAACATCCTCTCGAGGGGCCGTGATCCTATCAATGGAAGTGGCGAGCATTCATCGCTTGATATTGTTCTTGGTGGCGGACCAATGATGGCCATCCTGCGGCGCGATTCAATGGGGACCCATTTATTATGTTTGGAACCTGTCTCTTGTTCTACGTTGGCTTCTTCTAGATGACGTAAAGAAAGAATGATTTGTCAATAAGGACTCATTGGCTTCGAGTCCCGTGGTTGCGAGTGAAATGGGACCTGCAGAGGAAGTCAGTTCCTGGTGGCGCTGCACGGGGTAGATTGGGTGGCCACGAGAGGGCCTGGTAAAGGAATTGTCATGGGAATGCAGCGGGTTCTGAGAAATGCCTCTCAATATGGAGGAGAACACCGTACATGATGCGCGTCGTTCGGGTTGAGGTGCTGTTACGGATTGTCGGGGAGAACAATATCAACAATATCAACTGCCACCAAGGCTTGGCATCCGCCCGATCAGGTGACAGGCTCCAAATGTGGAAGCATGGAGGAGTCTGGTATTTATGGGTGCGGATGCACACCGGAAGCTAGGCTAAATAACTAGTTACTAATAAGATGCTGACCAAGGCTGTGCAGCCTGGCACCCAAGGACAGGGGAAGAACCCATGTTCCGACACCAAAGACATGCCAAAAATCCAAGATATTCATTGAAAATACCAGACTAGGCCAAAATGGTACACTATGCTAGATAACTGAAAGACAAAGATCAGGTATAGATGGGCTCCGTCAAGTCGTTAAGCGCCAATCCCTCCTTCGCAACGTCCTCCTCGACCAGGAACATCAGCGGCATCTCCACCAACGTGCCCTTGACCTGGCTGAGCAATTCCTTCACCTGCTTCACTCCCTCAGGGCCAGGCGGGAAGTCGTCGCGGACGACATGGCCATATTGGTACCGAGAGGGAGGAGAGTCCTTCTCTTCACCGTAGGCCTGCTTGTCAGCCTTGTTGAAATAATATCCATAGAACTCCTTGTACGTCGCCCAGTCGCGCACGCTGTCGTCCGGCACGGAGTGGAACACCTTGCGGAAGGACTCAGTGTTGGTCCGCGCCCGCGTGTTCCAGAGGCTCTGAAGAGTATCCGCCAGGGGGTCAGCCACGAGCTGGCTCTCCGCGGCCTCAAAGTCGAACTGGTTGGGCACGCCAATGGGCTCGAAGTTGGCATGGTGCTTCTGGTAGTCCTGCGGCGGAAGAAGACCAAGATGCTTGCGGAAAAGCTGTCGACGCAGCGAGCTCGCGAAACGACTGGCAGTGAAGGGCTTGCCGTTCATGGTAGACTGCACCGGGGTGTAGTCCTCAACAATAATGGCGATTTCGGAGTCATGGTCTCCCAGCTGGGATCGGTCGTTCAAATTGGCCGATCCACAGACTGCCACACGATCGTCGGCAACCATGACCTGTACTTGTTAGTCTTGATGTCCTGCAAGAAACACGAGATTATGCATACCTTCGAGTGAACATAGAGTTCTTCAGTCACAAAAGCGTCAATCTCAGCCTCGGCGGGGCCGTCCCAGGGCACGTTGCGGAGGTCGGGGCCATGGAGCATGTAGCACTCGCTGACACTATCCCACCGACCAGAGCCGGACTTGGCACCGCCAATATCGCGAGCAGCCTGTTGGTACTGCTGGAAGGGAGCGCTGGGGTCGAATGCAGCCCGAGGAGCCCCGGGGCCGTAACCGCCCTGACCACCAACGTTCACATCATACTGCTTGCGAGCGTCCTCGTAGTTGACGCCGCTGCGCTGCTCAGCCTGAGCCAAGGGCCCGCTGAGGTTGATCCGATCGTAGTTGCGCAGGTTATAGAAGCGGATGTAGTCCATGGGGTTGTGACCCTCATTGGCAATCAGCTCCATGATACTGTTTCCTCCGCGGTTGATCGAGTTGTACTGGAATTCCATTATGGCACGGGTTCCGAGGGTAGAGTCGTCGGCTAGGTCACCAGCGAAACAGGGCACCGACGGGATGACCACAATAACCTTGTACTTTTGACCAGATTTGGCTGCACGCAGAATACGCTCGACGATGGCAGCGCCGATCTTGTTCTGGACGGGCTTCTGGGAGTCACCAGTGGCAGTGATGAAAAATTGGTTCTCGATGTAGACGAAATGCTCACTGTTGCGGATAATCGCAGCGTAGGCATCGGCGATGGAGTGCTCGGTTGGAGTACCGTTACTCCACTTGGAGCAACTGCGGACAATCTGGCAGTTCATGTTTCCTCGGGGCTGAGTGTTGGGCCCAGCAACGGAGGAACCGAAGCGATCTTGGTATTGATGGATCTGACCGGCGAGCTGTCCACGCAGAACGTTTCCATACTGAGTCAGCTCCTCGCGGAAGCGCTGAGGCGCAAATCCGCGTTCCTGGTCTCCATGACCCCGAGTGCCTTCATAGTAATCATGCACACCCCGAGTTTGGGTAGGCAACTCCTGTGTTCCCTGCGGAGGGGGCGCGTAATAAGACTGGCCTTGGCTTGGCGACTGAGCCTGGCCCTGGGCTTGCGGCTGTCCGCCCTGGGTAGGAGGAAGCGGGAAATAAGGCGTTTGTGATTGACTCTGGGACGGAGTTTGCGCCTGCGCCTGCGCTTGACCCTGGCTAGGCGGGGGTCCCGGAGGCGGCGGCGGAAAGAAGTCTCCGGTGTAAGTGTAAGGTGGAGGAGCGCCGGGAGAGGGCGACTGTGCGGCAGATGACTGGTAGCTGGATGCGTTTGGCTTGCTTGACATTGGAGGGGCAGGGGGGACCATGGAAAGTCCTCCACCAGGCTGCGGGGATACGGGCTGCTGGATCCCTGTTTGCTGAGCGCTGGGCTGGTTTTGAGCAGGCTTTTGCTGCTGGTACTGCGGCTGAGGCGGCTGAGTCGGCTGCTGCTGCTGCGATTGGTGCTGTTGCTGCTGTCCCGGTTGCTGAGCGCTGTGAGGACGCTGAGAGGAGCTCGGGCGACCGTACAGGGCCAGCCGGGAGTATCTGGAATCCTTGCGGATCTCGTACTTCGAATCATAGATGAAGTTCCAGCGCTCCACGAAGTGACGACGCAGATCCTCGACGACGTGACCGTGCAAGCTGACAGACACATCGGACCAGCCCATGCGGGAAGCGTTCTTCCGATCCAGCTGGTTCTTCTCCCAGTTAGGGACATCCTGGAAGTCCAGAACGCGAGCGTTATTGTAGTCCTGACCGGGGAACACAATTTCATCCAGGTTCTCGGGGTGCACGTCGGTAAGCGCATGCTGGTTGGTATCCCACCGTCCAAAGCACAGATCGAGGCCACCCATGAATGCGGTCCGGCCGTCAATCAAACAGAGTTTCTCGTGGTGAGCCCAATAGAGGATGACATCCTCATTCATGCCGTAGATGCCCTTGATCGTGTCGCCGGACATCTTGACGAGATTCTTGGCATCCAAAGAGAAGTTTTGAAGCGTCTCGGTGATGGAGGCAGTAACTTCCTGCTTGTCGGGCAGGTGATCGGGATGGCGGAAGACGGCAATATTGGGGTGAAGATCCTGGAGATGGTGCTTGGTGTGGGCAGAGGAGACTGTTGATTCCACGTCAGTATAGCCCTTCGTTCCCGGGGTATTGTAGAGACAGCAGTCACGTACGAGTCAATGCCTGAGTGACCTCCTTGTAGACGATAATATTCACCCGCACGCCACGCTGCGCAGCAGCGTGCAGCATCCGATCCAGTCGGTACTGCTCATTCTTGGCCGGGGGACGTCTTAGATACAGCTCTGGCGACAGCCACCCTAGAGAAATATGTCAGTCATTGAACGAGGACGACGCCTCCCACGCCCCGACAGAACTTACAATCCAAAATCCAAATCGACTCCCGAGCGCTTTCCAGCGCCTGGGACACCGCCCAGAAATAGGAGCAGCCGTCAACATACCACTTGACGTCATTTCCCTGCCGGTCCGGCGCAAAGCTACCGAATCTGTGTTGAGTCTGCGGCTGCGCATGTCCATACTCCGCATAAGCCTGCGGGTCCAGGGCAGTTCCCAGACGCTGGGCAACGTCATTACCGAGGCCGGCCACGGTCCCCTGCAGCTTACCCAGTAATCCATGAACCTTATCCTGCTTGCCCTGCCTACCGGGTTTTCCCTGGTGCTGCGGATCCTGATACTGCGGATCTTGGTAGTTCGGATTCGGGCCGGACTGGGCGAAGGTCTGCGAAGCGCCCTGCTGGGGCGGATAGTTCTGCGACTGGCCGTAGTTCTGCGGCTGGTAGCTCTGCGACTGGGGCTGCGACTGCGACGGCGGTTGGGAACCCTGAGACTAGCTTGTCGTTAGTCTCGGAAATCCAGACGGGTCGACGACTCCATAGAAGAGTCGGTGTAGGACGGTCGAGGCGTTGATGGAGTGGAGTGGAGCAACTTACACCGTAAGATGCCTGACCGGCATTCTGGCCTTGGGGTGCGTTTTCTCCCTGCGGCCGAGAGTGATGGCTCTTGTACGTGTCCTTCAGCAATTTGAAGGTATCGCCGACGAAACCTCTGGCGCTGTCACCTCCTCCGCCTCGACTTGACTCCTTGCCGTAATAATTGCCATAGGCGAGGTGGTCATCACGGTTCGACATGGCGGCGGCTAGCGTCGGTAGGATGCGAGAAGGGGGGGTATGGGAGGGAGAATATGCAGATAGGAAGAAAGAAGATCATGCAGGACCAAGAATGGTGTCCTGAGAAACAATCGGAAGGAAGGGAGAAGAAGTAGAAATAGAAACAGAAGACAGAGCGTCAGCCACGAGGGGAAAGCGAGACGATGAGGCTGACGGATCCGCTGTGCCCCGCCTGGCGCCTTTTTTACTTTTTTAGGCTGCCGTCATTTTGGGGTGGTGGCTGAGCATCGCAGCTCCATCCTTTTCGGTGGAATTTACGGAGTATTCCGTGCATTACTATTTTACGGACTTATGAGGAGTGTTCCCGAGGGAAGTTGTTGACACTTGACAGATGTTATCTGGATGCCCCTCCGCGGTCCCAGTCTCATTATCTTATCGCATCAAATCTTCGCTCGCTGTCGATGATCGCTCCTCCCATGTGCCATCTTCGCATGGCTGCCCGCAAAAGTATTCGTCGCCACTGATGCAGCGGTGCTTAGATCCAAAGCCAAGGCAAAACAAGCAATGAACCCGGCGAACTGCTCCTTCAGTCCCGGTCCGGCACACTGGATGATCTGTAAACCCTCCTGTTGCGTGTCATAAGATGTCCCCCCGCCGATCACTCCCACCGGAAGCGACGGAAAATACAGACTCAACTGGAGATCGCGAGTTGTCTGGTCGTATTCCATCGTGAGCTGACTCCAGGACGCATCCGCGACACAGGCCGCGTCCTGGCCGGTCGCGATGAAAATAGCGGCGAGGACGTTGGAGACGTCGATGTTGTGACCGTGCTGTCCGTTGCGGAAATTGCCTTCCTGTCCGACGCGCATCACCTGGTAAAGTGTTTCCGTGGAGCATTTGAAAACGCTTCGACAGACAGCATCCGACAGCTTGCCCCAGGCGATGACCTCGACGCCTCGCGCCGTCGTGACATGACCCCACGAGGCCTTCTTCTCCGATGACATCTGGCCCTCCTCGCAGAAATCGCGGATCTGGAAGTCCGACGCAAGGGTCGACTGCATCAGCCATGTGCAGGCTGCCTCGGTGGCGAAGGAGACCATATTTTGGCCCGCCGCGTCTCCGCAAACATACCGGAAGACGACGTGCGCCCACGATCCGATCACATGGGGAACGATGCCTCGAAATCGGACATAGCGACTCGTCGACTCTGCCACCGTGGCTATCTCACTCTCATAATCGTGGATGCGACGTGCGAATAAACATGCCTCGCGTGGACTATCGAATCGGAAGGCCGGTGAGCGCGACATGCCCTGACTCAAGACATGGAATTCAGTACCACCACCCATATTGAACGCCTTGCTTCCTCGACAGCAACTAGCGATCATCGCTGCCTCGGTGGTTGCCATCGGAGCGCAAACATCTTTTTCAACCCCGTCCGGTGCGCGAATGTGTAGAGGCCCGGCAAGACCGAGGGGCACGCGCGCGAATCCGATAAAGTTTTCGATTTTGATCTCCTCGGGGTCTTTCTCATGGTTGGTGATATGTTTAATACCCTTTATATGGGCCTGGAATTTGGCCGCACTGTGCTGAGACGGAGGAGTCATTGTGGGGACTGCGTGCATAGGGGAGAGGGATCAATTGGTCGACACACCGGTCGCATTGAATGCCATTTTATATCAGGGTCTGGCTGAAGGCTCTAGAACGAAGACGAAACGTGGCTTCGATGGCACAACTGGATTCTTGTTTTTCAATCCCCTGCTTTACACTATGATTGGTTGTGACGCCTGAAGTAAACCGGCTTTACGTTCCGTGACTTCGTCGAACTCTATTGAGGTCTTTCTGTTTACGTTTCATCCCGTTGGGAAATTGGTTCGTGCATTGGGTTTGGCAGGAAGAGGAATGACTTGTCTAAGTGCATGATGCTGGGATAATTTTTCCTAAGTTGGAGACAGCCTACCAGTGCCGGTAACATCCACCAATTAAGCCATTGACTCACGCATGGTTCAGCCCTTGAGGAAAGTCAAATATGGCTCTAGGATCCGCCGCAGACTTCAGCGTCTTCAAGCGTCCAAGCCCCTCGCCATAGTACTCCTGCCCAAAGTCCTCTAAGTAGGGATCGATATAGTTCTGATAGGAGTGCCATTCGCTGGCTGGTCTAGCCTTCTTGATAGCATCTGTAATAGCGGTGATCTTCGCAACGGCGTCGGGACGAGTAGAGTCACTAAACCCAGGGAAATAAGCCGAATAGATCTGCACCAAAAAAAGGCCTTGACGGTGAATATACGCCATGTCGCCGGTGGAAGTCGGGCCGTTCGTCTTCGACCCGGGACCAAGCAGGTCGAATGACACATCGTTCTCCGTCTTCTTGATGCCCCGTGCGACGCGAAGTGCGTCGAAGACAAGACCCGTTTGCTTCTGCGTATAGTCGGGGCTTCCGTTATCGACCAGCGACTGTGCGTAATATGGGAGATAATCATCCGACGCATCGAGAGGACCCATCAGGTCTGTGAGGGCGGCAACCCAACTAGAAAACTCCTCGACCTTGGACTCCGAAGTTCTCGGTTTGATGCCTTTCGCTGCAAGCTTGTTCAGTAACTTGTTCATGATCGGTTGGTACGCGGACTTCTTTCCGAGATATTGACCCTGGAGGTAGCAGGCGCTGTCATCGTTTGAATCTCGGCCCATCAATAATACTTCCACTCCAAGGTCGAGAGGAAGGCCGTTGGGATCGGAAGCGGGCAGCTTTCCCATGGCTTGGACTTCTAGGAGGACTTGGGTACAGTCTGCTTCGGGGCCGAAATGAAGTTCGTAGTTCACAGTGGCAGTGGGAGCTTTCTCTAGGGCGAAGGTGAACGCAGTAACGACGCCGAAGTTGTTGGATCCGGCGCCACGGAGAGCCCACCACAGCTCGGCGTCGGTTCCTGTAGAACTGGAGCTGAGCTGCTTGATGTTCCCATTCACATCCACAAACTGCAGGGATACAACTGAATGCGTAGAAGTCAGTGACTAGCGTACAAATCTGGAACTCCCAGCGACTTACTCCTATCAACCAACCAACCCCATTTGCGCGAAGCAAATCCCCATCCACCACCCATAGAATGACCTGCCACGCCCACCGTCGGACAAGTGCCGTGCGGCAGAGCATACCCCTTCTGCCCGATAGCCTGTGCCAACGGACCCAACGTCTGACCAAACTGCACCGTCACCTCCTTCTTGGTCTCGTCGATCGAGATCGCCTTCATCTTACTCGGATTGATAACTACCTGCCCCGCGAAGCTATACGCAGCATAGCTATGCCCACCGCCGCGAGGGCTCAGCTTCGTGCTTCCCTTCTCGGCTGCCACGCATCGCACTATCGCTGCGACCTGCTCGGTCGAAGACGGAATCACAATGACTTCAGGATGGGCTTGATAGTTGGTGTTCTGTGGCTTGGCCAGCGCGTTGTATCTGCTGTCGCTGGGGTGGATGACATCGGCACCGGTGGTTTTCAAGCAAGTCTGAAGTGAAGTGGGAAGAAGGGCATCCGCCGCAGGTAGAGCAGAAGCATTTGGAAGATGAAGGGCTGCGAGGCCAAAGGCCAGAAGCCGAAGGGGCATCATCATATTACTTGTTAGTTCAGTGTCAACGGTGAGAGAAATGAATTCCAGGCCTGGAGCTCCGGATTATATGTTGCTTTCAGGTGAGGGGATTTATTCACCTACCAGGAAACAGCGATGACTGACGTGGTCTTACCCTTGGCAGGAGTTAGCGGGGGGATTTCCAATATAACTATCACGGACCTTGTGCTGGCGATGAGGTTCATCTGCAATTTTCCCAATCGAATGGTCGTAACTGAAAAGATGAACAGACATCCAATCACCCCGTGAATGTGATTATCTTCCAGGTCAAATCTTCTCAGTTTTCCTAGATAACTCCCAAGTGAGCAGAAGAGCAGAAGTGTAACTATCCTTATTCCATCGCGAAAAAGCACCCGAATTAGAGTGTGGCTTGCACAGAGCCTGAGACATGCGCTCGGGAGGCGCCAGGATGCAGGTGGGATACGAGATGTAGTATTCTTTACATAATTGAGTGAAAAGTCATCGTGAAGTGATAAGAAACGGAGGATACTGAAAAATGCAGGCTATTGGATCATAAAAGCACAAGACATCTGAGAAATGTGCTTTTGTCATAGTCATCATAATACTGTAGACGAAAATTGACCGAAGTGATTTTAAAAAGGTGTCTTGTTGCTAGAAATGCCATCCTTGCCCTGAGATTCTAGATTGAAGAAAACGAGATATAGAGATGCAGTGAATGAAATCAATGGAAACATATGACAGCAGCTGGTACGAAAGGAAGATATATTGAATCAGATAATAATTCGGCGCTAGCTATTTAGTGAACCCAATGCACTAAGTTAGGTATAGATCGTATGTCTTGATAGAAACACTAACTTAACTCCACGGGAAATTTGGTTCAAACTGACTCAGAATGAATGGGAACGAACATCACAGGCTGATACGAATCCATCAGATTACGTGATCTAGCGGCTTGGCCCGCACACTCGAACCCATAATAGATAAAGGGGTAACCCTTTATCTATTATAGAAGATGAGATTAATCGTTATGCAAGAGAATTAAGAGCCCTATCATTCAAAAGGCATTCGCTCCTTAGTAGGCTGCGTGCGTGTAGCCGATACAGTGTCATTCTGCCCTCCTTCCCCTGTGCATTTCATAACACAGGCAAAGAGGACCTTGAGTCTCGCCGGAGTCGCACTGCTTCCCGTTCAGCGAGGATCTTCAAATATCAGATAGTCCGATTGACCGTCACATATTAGTTGTGTTAGTTGTGACGATGATGAATTTGGGGGCCAATTTGCATCTCCTGCTTGCGTCACGTTGAGGGGAAGAAGAGGCACCAACTCCACCATTTCATTCCTTCCAACCTTAGCCAGAAATCTACTTCAAAGTCGATACGAGATCGTATAGTTCCTTTAAGATTGATTGTTCTTATCAAGTGTGTGTTGATATCGCTATATCGCTTCAATATATCCGAAAGGGCAGGTTAGTGATCGTCAGTAATACAACCACTACGAGTAAGGATCTGCGAAGGGGGCCGAGAAGCATTTCGCCCACACTGTCCGGATCAGGATCTCAAAGGTGAAGGTGCACCCCTGAGTGCACGCGCCTGTCGTGTCTCAGCTTTGAAAATGACTAGAAACCAGTCGGTCCATATTTCAAGATGCTTCGATAGCCTGGAGGATTCGCAGACAAACCTTTTGTCGTATAGCACCAGTCCGGTTGAGAATCAAGATACAGAAGACGCGCAGCACCCGGGCGCATATCAAAGAGAGAAGGAAGAGACATCAATAAATTCTTCACAAACGGACGTGACATTGAACGACACAGAAAAGCTTCCGCCAAGAAGAACGCATCGACCGTGGTCGGCGCTTCGAGAAAGATGGCGCAATTTGAAACTCGCAACACCATCGAAAAAAGCAAACATCCCCAGCGATGGAGATGAATGGACCAAAGGAGTGAAATTTGCTATGCGATGGACTGCTCTGGTGCTCTTTGTGAACATTGTCCTGGCGATTATCGCAATCGCGATGGGCTACTCGGGTTCCTCAGCCAGCAATGATCGATCTACAGTTTCGACAGCGATCTATGATGGAAAATGTTCAGTCTCCGGCGGCTGGGCTTCAGGGCTACATGTCTTGATCAACATCCTGAGTACGGGTCTACTAGCCGCGAGTAATTATGCGATGCAAACACTCAGTGCTCCGTCACGCGAAGATGTGGATGCTGCTCATTCTAAAGGAAAATGGCTAGATATTGGGATCTTCAGCTACAGGAATATTCTCGCCATGGACAATAGACGCAAATTGATCTGGTTGGTGCTTTTGCTGACCTCAGTGCCTATTCATTTGATGTTCGTTCTTCCTGTCGATTGATGTTGATCCCCACTGACCGGCTGCTTCAGGTATAACTCGGTCGTTTTCTCCTCCATGGCCACTAACCTGTACGGACTGGTCTTGATTCCAGATGATCTGGGCAGAGATGAAATGATCTCCAATGGGAACAACTATACCGCCGAAGGAATCCGCAAAACAGTTGGGTATAGTGCGCAGGATCTGCAAGCCGAGATTTTCAACGGTACCCTAAAGAATCTGACCCTGGAAGAGTGCGTGGATGCCTACGCGGTCGAATATAACACCCATCGCACGACCGTGGTGTTGGTCGCCGATCGCGAACATTTCAACAATTACTCTAGTCTTCAGGCTTATTATGGTATGTCGAGCCAAGACTACTTCGGTTATAATTCCTACCGGTACTCTTGGATGTGCACGCAAGAGCGTCCCGTGAGCTGCACGAAAGAAGATGTTATGGATCTAGTAAATCGCGGGAAATGGTCTGTCTGGGCTGAGTATTGGGCGTATCGAGATTGGACGTTCCACGATCCTAGTCACAATGGGATGAACCGGAGTTTCTCATGCGATTACAATCTGGTCGAGCATCTTTTCGACAAAAACAACACGCCTTTGAGAACCGATCTTGGAACCCTTTGCAACTATATCACGACATACAACCCCAATGAAGAGCGGCTGGGGCAGTATTTGAAGTCTGCTTCTCACTGGGAGAACAGCACCTGGGCGTCGCAAGTTTCATTCCAATGGCAGAACTATACAGACTCTGTGACCAGTTTCGATGACCCATTGTATTCACCAGCGCTTGAAGTCTCCGTATCCCACTGCATGAGCAAGGAGAGCGAGGAAAAGTGTCAGTTATTGTTTAGTTTGCCAATATGCCTCGTGATCATTCTATGCAATATGATCAAACTAGTTGGAATTTGCCTGGCAGCGAATACTAAGCGGAAGAGCATTTTCCTGACGGTCGGCGACGCAATATCCTCATTTCTGTCGTCGCCGGATCCATCGACGAAGCATCTATGCTTTCAGGAGGCCCCGGAATGGGATGATAAAGAAGAGGTTCTGAGGAAAGAGTCATATGTAACAAGACCGTTTGGTTTGAGTTCTCCAAGGGAACACGGTCATCACAGTACGCCTCTCAAGCGTTTTATCTCCATGAGCTCCCTATATGCATCTGGAGATGCCGATCGCGGCTCCAAACCCCGGAACCTCTCCTGTCCAAGGAGGTGGTATCAGGCAGTAAGTTTAAGATGTTGGATGCTACTACTTTTCATGTGAGTTCTCCCTGCCCATAACCTCCGACAAATCTAACATATTCTCATAGCATAATTTCTTCCTATATTACCGCTACCGTCTTATTCCATATTGGAAGTGGCCAGCGCTACCCATACCAAGTCACCCTGCAAACCTCGTGGGAAACCGGCTTCGGCAAGCCCAGTTCCGTCGCGATGATCGGCCAAGCGGCGCAAAGCGTCATGGAAGTGGTCCTTCTCAGCAATCTCCCCCAGCTAGTGCTCTCCGTATTATACTTCCTCAGCAATGGAATATTAATAAACATGGTCGTTGCAGCCGAATACAACGACTACGCAATCCATCGAAACCCGCTCCGAGTGTCCTGGCCGAAAGGCCAACAACGATCAACCCGCTACCTCAGCCTACCTTATCGGTACAGGGTGCCGTTTGTGATTTTTTCAGTCGGGCTGCACTGGCTCATGTCGCAGAGTCTCTTCTTTACACAAGTCCGACTGTTCGATATCGATGGCGAACTTGTCGAGCGTTGGAGTACGACTCGGTGTGGGTATTCGCTGGTGGCTATTCTTACTACTTTGATTGTGGGAGCGATCGCTACGCTTACCTTGGTGGGGCTTGGTCTGCGAAAATATAAGTCGAATATGCCGCTTCCTATCTATAGTAGTGTGGAAATCAGTGCTGCTTGCCATCCCCCGCCGGATGATCAGGATGCAGCCTTGAAGCCCGTGATGTGGGGTGTACCTATAGACGGTGCATATGGTGGGAATACAGTGGACGCAAGATCGGGATATTTTACCTTTACTTCACAGGAGGTTTTAACATGAATTGAATGAGATGATTTGTGTCGAAGACAGCTCCATAATCTCATCGCATCCGAAAAGACGCAATAGGTCATGCCGAATAGGCTCAGATCGCGCATGCAAAAAGAGTAAACAGCAAATAAATGACCAAAAGCACCCGCGATAAATGCTGCACCATTTACACCAACCCATACCTTACCCCAAGGAGCCATAATATCCATTTAGACTCGTTTCATCTCTATTTGTACGAATATTCGGCTCATTCACGTTGGCAATCTGGTTACCCATGGTGTTTCGTGCGTTCAGGACGCGGGCAAATGGCGGAAAGGTGCCATCAGCTCTGCTGCATATTCCGGCTCATCTGGCAAACAGACGGACCACCCTATAACTAGGTAGTTACAGTGCCATTTGATTACAAAGAGTTCCAGAGCTTGGACACCCTTCTCCAACATTGTCGTTTCCTTTGAACTGAAAAATAAAGGGATATTCCCAAGCTCAAATCTGATTTCCCTTCATCGTTCGACCATATATGGGCATCTTCGTCAACCCTGTCCACGGATATTCATCTCGTCATCAACCTCCACACTCCTGGACCTGGACCATCTCATCGTTTGTTCTCAAAGCCCACTGGTATACGGCCCTCTTTGATCGGCAACTAGAACAGTTACTGACATCGCGCTAGTCTATCTAGATCCATCGTCATGCCTCCAAGAAGGAAGTCTTTCGAAATCCACGACTTCTTCTACCCGCTTGGAACGATCAACGAGGGTTATACAGTCAAGTACTCCGATCCAAACCCCAGAATGACTGATGTGTTCTTCGAGAAAGACATGGCAATCCGCCGTCAGCTGAAGTGTGGATCGGGAAAGATGTTCGTCATTCTACCCTTAGATCTCTACAGGCTGTACAAAGATCGTTCTTTTGGTCCAATGAGTTTTGAAGACCATTGGCGCGGAAGGCCAGTCTTTGTGATGGGAAGAGGAACTGTGGATCTGAACCCTGAATTGATCCATGAGGTGGACTAGAGGGAAACTGCCCAGGTGGTCCAGACCTTGAACGAAACGGTCGGGCCGGAAACATTCCAATTGCCCTACCTTCCGCCTATCTTCGTGGTCTTGCCCCGTTAATCAAGTGGGAACAAAGGCATGGTGCTTGAAGGCGAGACCCTGCCGATGACCGGCGCGACGGTGGTTGTGCGCTATACTGTGCAAGAACACGTTGTCGAGCGATCGGAAATGGAGTTTTTTACATTTGGGGCCAACGTTTTCAATCAGGGCGGCAACATCAGTTTCAACTAATCGATAGGCTTGCTTTTTGTCGATGATTTGTTTTGTCATGTTGAAGTTTGGGAAATCGCAGAAATGAGTTTTTTTCTTTTAGTTAAGATCACGACTGTCAATCAATTGAATTATTCGAAATTCTGAATTTTATATGTCACTAGTCTTCTTCTACAGTTATACTTTTAGTTTGATATGCTAGCGCAAGACCAAATAGTTTGTAGTTTGTATAACCTGTAGTATATGCCAGCAGAATCGTCCTGAAGTCGCAGTAGATAGAGCTCTCACAGGAGACGTGTATGAGCTGACACCTTCCACCGTAAGATTGTCAAGGCCCATATCCGGCCTTTACCCTCCAACGGCGCTGCGCCAGGTCTAAGGTATGTGTTTGAAGTGTAGAAAAGTGCGAAAATGCACCATGATACAATTGAGAAAGCTCTGTCGAGAAGCTAATCTGAGCTGCGGTGATCATTGGGAGCACTGTTTCATTTGAAAGGAGTTCTCTGACACTCGATGTCATGGAGTCTGGTCCATTGTTCCTAGAATCCGAAAACCCGTACGACCTACAGCCCCAGCTCCTTTTACTCGCCATCGAAACTGATGGAGATGCAGGTGTGGAACTTTAAACTGATGAAGCGCTATCTCTGTAGAGTGAGACTACTGTGGATCCGTTGGTAGTTTAACTCCAATAGGCAGGTGAAGCCGCAGTGATCGAACAGAACGTATCCTATAATTCCATCCTGTGGAAGACGACTTAGTACTGTTAGGGCACGCTCTACTTACTTGGCCAAGAACTCGGCAGATCTATTCAGGATAAGTAACAACTATGAAAGCTTGACGACTTCACTCGAGTATACGTCGACATCCACCCCTCAGCTCTTGCTCTATTTAATTCCACAGCGAAACATTTGTAGGGTCGTTCACTTCTGGCATGAACTTACTTGTGGATCAAATTGATCGGTTGAGGACCTTCAGGTCTACCTATGGCCGAGCTCAGCAAGGTATTCATCCTCCAGAGTTCTCCCAATGTCTTAAATCGCAATTTACGAGCGAAGCTAACAGAGTACCATATCACATTCTTGGTCAATATAGGAGTCTTCAGTTTTGATGACATCTCCATGCTAATAACTTGGCCATTAAGGCTGATGAAACTCGGGGCTAAGATGAGCGTCGCGGATAAGCATTACTGATTCGTCCTAGGGGTGTCTCCATTGAGGCGAATGTTGCAATATGAAGTGTCGTAAATTAAAGGTGACATGGTGCCGTCTCTTCTCGCATAATATCAACAACACTCAACCACTTTTTCAACTCTTCATTTGCAGTCAACATTTCTTAGTCAAAATGAAGTCTACCTTCGCTCTCGCCTCCCTCTTCTCGAGTGTGCTCGCTGCGGCAGCTCCCACCTCGGCTTCATTCCAGCTGGTCATCGGCGATTCTTAATCACAGACCAACGACCTCAAGGACCGCGCCCTTATCAGCCAAGGCGATGCCTTCATCCTTGCCCCCAAGGGCGAGCACGGCAGCAACTTTACTGGCGGTGATGACACTTTGGGCATCGAGAACGGTGACGTTGGTGAGTCTCTCGGACGTGTGCCATCTGGATAGAAGGTCATGCTTATTATTGGGTATAGCCTACGTAGGCAAGGACGGCCTCCTCGATCTCAAAAGTACCAACGGTGTTGCTGCTGGTGGCTTGACTGAAGGGTTTACTACTGGTTTCAACGACACCCTTGAATGGGCTCAGGGCCAGTTCTTTGCCTGCCCTCATGTTTCCCTCTACGCTGCCGGCCCCTCGACCTACATGATTTACGCCAGTCGCTCTTGAGCTTCCCTGGCCAAGGACTGTATCTCGGTCAGCCTCAAGAAGACATCTCTTTAAGTCATTTACCTTAGATATTCGGTCCTAAGAACCGGTGCAGGAGAATGGTTTCCTCTCTATAGAGAAAGATTTAGGTTATACACTCGTTCAAATCATATAACTTTTATATTTCCTCCCTTCACCATTACAGACTGCTGTCATTTTTATTTTCCCCTTTTCTTTATCACGGTTATGGATGACTCAAGGAGTAAATCCGCAAGACTTCGTTGGAATTCTCTGCTATGCACGGAATAAATACCTACTATAGGAGATGCTTTGAATTCGGGTTGAGAACATGACGAGAGGCCTTTTTACTGAACCTTCTATTTTTAAACCAGGCAACACAATAAGCTAAACCACCAAACGCGCGCAAAAAGAGCAGGAGATATGCGACATCTCTACTCCGTAAATCCTTTAGCCGCGATGATCGGAACGCGTCGTTTCCGGCTGGCGCGATGGCTAATCCGAGCTTCACCATTGGGTCCGACTCTTATAATTAATTGAAGAACACGCCCTCCATCGGAACTACAACCACCCCACAGCCTCACCTCTATCTTAAATGACATTCCATGTAGATGTGAAGTACGAGTTTGGCGGACCGTGAGTGTTTGGAGAACAACCCCTTGTTTACTCATTCAAAGCCCGAATAACTGACGAACCTTTAGTCTCGGTGCATCGGCCATCACCTTCGGCCTGCCCATCCTTCTTTATTTCTTTGCCTTCGCCTGCAATGACGTGTCTGGCTGCCCGGCGCCCTCTCTGTTGAATCCGCAGACGCTGAGCTGGGAAAAAGTGCGGGCGGAGATCGGCTGGCCCGCGGGCGGCCTGAGGCATCTCGGCAGTTGGCAAGCGACCGGCGTCGTGGTGGTTTATTATTGCTTCAGTCTGCTATTGTGGAGAGTCTTGCCCGCGCAGATCACGCATGGCACGAAACTGGCTCACCATGGACGTCCGTTGGAATATCGCTTTAATGGTAAGCACCGTGGAGTTGCCGGCTTTCATCTCTTGACTAACAGGAGGCAAGCATTTTCGTCCACCCTCGTCCATCTGGCCATCTGCGCCGTGGGGACCTATTTCCAAGGCGCCGATTTCATTGTCTGGACCTATATGGCCGACAATTACGTCCAAATCCTGACTGCCAACATCCTGATCGCATATGTCCTTGCGATATTTGTCTATGCGCGCAGCTTCAGTGTGAATACCAACTACTCGAATGACGAGATGCGCGAGCTGGCTGCCGGAGGCCAGACCGGAAATTTCATATACGATTTCTACATTGGCCGCGAGCTGAACCCGCGCGTCACGCTGCCTGGTTTCGGAGAGATTGACCTCAAGACCTGGTGCGAGATGCGCCCGGGATTGACCGGTTGGATCCTGCTGAATCTGGCCTTCGTCGCCAAGCAGTATCGGACGTACGGATTCCTATCCGACAGCATCATTTTCACGGCGTGTGTGCAGGCCTTCTACGTGCTAGATGGGCAGTATATGGAAACCGGCATTCTGACGATGATCGACATCACGACAGACGGATTCGGCTTTATGCTCTCCTTCGGAGATGCCCCATGGGTGCCTTTCTTATACTCCACGCAATATCGCTATCTGTCCGTCCACCCTGTCCATCTCGGCTGGACTGGAATCGGCGCCGTGATTGCCGTGTTCTCTTTCGGGCTGTATCTCTTCCGGGCGGCGAACTCTCAGAAGAACACGTTCCGCAAGAATCCAGAAGACCCCAAGGTCAAGCACCTCTCGTTTATCCAGACCAAACGCGGAACCAGGCTGCTCACTGCCGGCTGGTGGGGAATGTCCCGCCACATCAATTATTTCGGAGACTGGCTCCAGGCGTTGCCGTTTAGTTTGCCCACCGGGCTGGCTGGTTATGCGATTCTTCCTGCAGGAAGCGCGACAGCCGCGTCTCATGTTTTTCGAATGCTGGATGGACGAGAAGTTGTAGGCGACCAGGCTGCGGGCTGGGGTGTCTTCTTTACTTCCTTTTATGTGCTCTACTTTGCGATCTTACTGATTCATCGCGAGCGGCGAGATGATGCGATGTGCCTGGAGAAGTATGGCGCTGATTGGGAGAAATATAGGAAGCTTGTGAAATGGAGGATTGTTCCGGGGATTTATTAGATGCGTCTTCGGGCATTCTTCGCAGACTTATATTAACTATATCTTTGAAGGCCAGGATCTACGTGTCAAATTTAAAGAGGTGTATGATATTGAAATGTTATAATGGACTCAGTCATTCTCGGTATCACCGGACCGCCTGATTTCGGGGAGTAGGATGGCAATTTCACGGCGTGAAATCAAATAAAGGGCTGGATTTTCAAATTGATGAAATATAATATGAATTTCAACATCCCAACAGCCCTATTTGACATGTAGGTACCTCCATCGTCTCTATTAATTGATAGTCGTCGATGAACCCCAGTGAGCGCACAGCTGTCAATGGTGTCCCCGAACATCACGCTCAATGACCACTGTATCATCAGGAAGACCTTTCCAATCTGGTGGATCAAGGATCAGAATTCGTGCCAGATTTACGAAAACGAACGCTAGCACTCTCTTCTGTATGTAAATGGGGCAATTTTGGGTGGCTCTGATAGCACTGACAAACATTGATGGTATATAAATCGCCTGAACTGCTGGTTCGTCGATTTCACCGTCAAGATTGAGGCCGTCGATGAGAGCCCTGTCCCAACGAAACGGAGAGAAGGCTGTGCTGTAGAAAGCATCCACAACCAGATCGGCTTTTTCCACTGTATCGACGTTGCATATGCAAAACAAGCGCATGATCGCACGGTGCTCACGATTGAATATATCGAATTTAGTGTCTTTCTTTCACCCTGGATATAGCTCCAGTCGTTCGAGGCTTCTGAGTGGAATAGCATCGTACGCCTTTCTTTGGTTGAGTATACCTTGAAGATACTGGATCGAGGCCTCGTAACGTCCTTGTACGACTGGAATATCGGTTCAATTAGCTTTTTTGCCCCTGTGTGTTCTTCATGGCCGGCGACCCCTGAAATGTCCAGCAGCTGCTTCAGAAATTGTAATTCAAAGGCAAACTGGTTCTCTTTCACGCAATCAAGCCTAGCGAAACTGACCGGCACAGCTTCGGCTCGCGCAAGCTGGAGAAAATTGAAAACGCTGCCTATTTCAAGTGCTTGTTTCAGATTTGTCTGAAGCCTCGGAGGCAGTCGAGCCAAGCAAGGTAGCAGTTGAGCTGGTAGGGAGACAATATGATGCAGGAGCATATCATGATTCATAAAAGTGAGCTCGTTCTCACTCATCAATCGCTGGAAGTCTTCGGTCAGGGCGCTAGACTTTCCTAGATTGTTGGTGATAATTGAAGTTTTTAGAGTGTAGAGACCATCTGGTGTGTCTAGCACTTTTGGAACTATCGCACGGATCCATTGAAACGAGTCGTACGTGAGTTTAACTGCTGGGTCTTGAGCAAAAGCAAACTCTGTGTACTCATCGTAGTTAAGCAAGCTCAGGGCTTTGACACTGACCAGAGTGCGGTTAACCTCGTCATATTCAACTCCATAAAAGAGCATTGATGGTGGATTTGACGGATTTGAGGCCCGCGGGGCAGGGAATGTCTTCAGTGTCTCAATTCCACCACCAAACTCGGCTTTTATCGCCCGGAAGATACGATATCTAGGGGAACTGAAGAGCTTTCCTTCGTTGATAATAAATCGTAGAGCCATTTTCGGTCTTCAATGAATTTGAGATGTCAGGGGTAGCCAAGCAAACGAAGAAATCGATCAAGTTATTAGAAATGACCCTGAGCAACTATCTAGGGGTCAAAGAAAGCCCTTAAGAAGGTCTTTTTGTATTTAATCCCACGTGTCATTGCATGGAGCATTCCACTTATTTCATGGATTCTTCCTGTTGTATAGAGATCTCTACGTAACTAGCCTCTAGCGAAGGTTTGACGAATTGCCCAAGGCGTTCAGATCTTCTACATCATCAGGCAAAGACAAAGCATCCTCTCAATCGCCATCTGAGGTCCTTGGCTTCCCTCCATACCAGCATCGACGTTCAAATTCAGCTCGCAAAGTCTACAGTACAAAATACTAAGATCCTCGATAGGAACTTGCAACGGCACAATCCCAATTCCGGCCAACCCGTATAAAAAATGGACTTTAAACCCCACAGTACATTCTCCCCTGAAAACCTACAGTGCACTGCATAGTGCCTGTCTAAATTATATCCATGTTACATGAGAAGGCCAATTAAATGCCCGTAAGAATGCTCGAAAAGTGTGACAAAGAAAGGCGTAACGATCAGAAGCAGAGAGAATCTATCGGATCTTGACGCTAAAGCCTACTGAGGTCTGGTCACTGTTATCCCGAACCAGGAAATGTCCAGCAGCTACTCTAGAAAGTATAATTCAAAGGTAAACTAATTCTCTTTCACGTAGTTGAGCTCAACGAGCCTACCTGGTGCATTTGGGGCTTGCGGAAGTTGCCCAGAAGTGGAAAACAGAACATAGTGGCAGTGCTAAACAGAACACGATGTCGACGGTGTTGATCACGACTTGGTTGTTGTGATTTAGCCGTCTATGGAGTAGCTTTTCCAACAAGGCACACAGAAAGTGCTATTATTGGTTTAATGATGATTTTCATTTGACTGACACTGCAAAATTGATGAGCCCAAAGGCTACAAATACCTTCACTGGCCCCAACAGCTGACCTTTATTTTTTCCCATCAACCTTGGTGGAATCTATACACAAAATGTCAACAAATTCAGGCTCTTGTCTCTGTGGAGCTATCAAATATCAAATCACCGGCGACCCAGAGAGATTCTACATATGCCACTGTGGCAACTGTCAAAAAGTAACAGGCTCGGCGTTCATGTCTAATGGCTGTTTCCGAACAAATGTATGTCCCCGTTTCCGTCGAGTTAAGTGTATCTTCTAACCAAGAACTAGCAACTACAAATAACCCAAGGCCAAGAGTCTGTCAAAGTATACGAACAAAAATCCACTTCTTCGGGCCTCATTCTGAAACGGTCGTTCTGCGGCATCTGTGGGTCAAATCTGTTCGCGCAGAGTGCCATGCCAGAGATGGCTCAATTTATAGCCATTACGAGCGGGACTATGGATGCTTGGGCCAATTTGGATCCTGCTATAGAGGTCTGGACTCGGAGTCGACGTCCCTAGCTTTCACCTGTTGAGGGAACTGAGCAGAAGAAGATGTATTGAGATCGAAAGCGGATTGTATCCGGCGTGGAAATTATTCATCGCATCCACAAAGCCAGCTCTATATAACACCTAAGTTTCTGTCAGAATGGAGCTTGATCTTCTACGATATCTATTAAGTCTCACCAACGTTGGAAACGATATATCTATTCCCTTGATCGTGTGGTATAAGGCAACTACATTCCGGGAACCTTTCCCCTCACTAACACAGCGGATAAGTTATGCAGCCCCATATCAAGATGTTTGCTGAATGGAATGACGTGTTCGGCTAATGCATGCGCTCCATAATAACATTCTTGGGCGGCGCTAACGCCCCATACTAGGATTATCAACGCGGAGTGGCCAAGATACTAGTATTCTGGGCAAAAGGGAGTTTGTCTCAGCTTACCCAGGCTGAACCTGACTCCTTAGTGACACAGGCGCTAAAAGAAGGAGATAAATAAGTTCCCCAGTACCCATGTTCCCTGACCTTTCAAGGATCCTGCCGCCACAATGTCAGACAAACCTAATGACCTACCCATCTGCTCCGTCGTTGGAGTTACCGTTAATCTCCTCTCAGCTAGTATGTTAGTAACTCTTCCGTGGGTTAAGGCATCGCTAAACTGTTCCAGATACCGATCCATTCGATGTCGGCGTGACGCTCGATAGGAGCAAGAAGTATCCATTGGTAGCTGCAGACCAAGAAGAAGGCACTTCATTTCAACCACCAGGGTCGGACGACACCTACTGGTTACCATCTAACTTTCGGAAAACTGATATCGGTGCCCAAAATGTGGAGGGTGATCTCTTTGTCGCCACCGGCTCGGAGCTCGCGAGTGACTTGGAGATGAACCCCAGCCTGAGCATCAGCCACGCCGGCGTTTCGGTCGAGGATTCAGAGGGGTTTCGCTACTCGACGTCGTTGAAGAACAACAGCCTTTATGGAATATACAGTTTCGATCAAAAGGTCTACTCCGTCGGGCTGAAACCTAGTAACGATGTTTACAATTTTGTGTCCGAAGAATACGTTAGTGCTGCAAACGCACTCCCAGACTGGGTGGAAGAAATCAGCAAAGAGAGTGATGAAACTTCCCTGGCTGAGGCATCGGATGTAGTCAAGAAATATCAGAGTTTTTTCAACCGCTGCGGATCTCATGTCGTTGAGGAGTGTCACTTGGGCAGTCGCTATCAGCTGCTAGTTGAGAGTCCTGAGACCGGAATCGAAAAGAAGGAAGATTTTCTGCGTCTTGTCAAGAAAGAGTACAGCGGCATCTTCAACACCGCTGCTGACCCCAATATTGCGAGCTCGTCTGAATTCAACGAGTACTTACGCAAGCGACGTTCCCAATGCAAGATTATAGGCGGAGATATAGGGGCAGCCAATGCGCTCGCACATAACCCAACCGATTCCGACAAATTTCAGGAGTGGATGTCGACTCGCAGTGCCGATCCCCCCCATGCCCTTGTTCATATCAAGACAACCAGCGTCGGCTCTTTCTTGGAAAGGAGTGAGAATGAAGAGCACCAAGAAGCGGCTGCTAAGCTCAAGCCGGCGATGGAATACCTTAGCGGTCTTCACACTCTCAAGGGAACATTGTCTACACTATTCCTAGCATCCTCCGGTTGGATTGAGCTCTCTGTTACCCCATTGCCTGGCGTGACAGTTCGTGTGGTTGATAAGCCGATCGTGGTAATCACACAGGTATCCCCAACATCGGTCAAGGTGCAGCCAGTGGTGAAGGAATCATACATTGAGGTCGGAGTCATCATCACAGCACCAGACGAGCAAGTGGATGTCTCCTTCAGTACTTCCGCAACCGGATCTTTCGGTGCACTCAGCACCCTCAGCCTCACCCCATATGGCCCTGAGAAGTATCGGACGGCAATTAGGGGGGTCGCCACTTCTGATGAAGCATTCTCGGTTTTGGTTCCAAGCCTGATTTCGACGGGGCGGTTTGGAGGCACTGGAACACTGAAGGGAACATTGGAAGTCGAGGCAAGAGAATATGCTTCATTTCATATGGCGTTGCAAAAGCAGGCAACTGGAGTCTCTATGAAAATGTTGGCTACGGTGGAACGCAAGGATGCCGAATAAATGCATGCGTCATGCTAGAAATATCTTCTTTCAAACTACTGTCTTTTATAGTGGTTTTGAATTTTGCTTTGAGAATTTTACCAAAGGATGTATACCTTTCTCTAAAATGGAGAAAGTGCAGATCAAGTGCCTGGGTTGGTCCGTATATCGTAGCTTCAAAAATGCCCGGAATATCACATGGGCATAATTTGGGCTGTGCTCGTCGACTATCCAATTGCCTGTCGCTAACTGGTACCCTAGGTGAATTGCGAAAAATTTGAGACCTGATCCTCCGACCCCCGGGGTGCATGGTCAACCCTGACACTTGTTGTGCCTGATGCAGAATTTCGAGGCTAGTTGGACCAAATGGATCCATCCCAAATAGTATGCAGACAGGACCGATGACAACAGATGCTCCGAGGTACGGGTGCCGTACAGACATTGACGTCTTCCAGGTTTTTCAGTGTGCGCATTGGCGTGTGATGAGCGAGTTTTTGATAGTATGACCGCTTGGAGAGCTGCGGTAGCTGTTCTGGAACTCTGGGAAAAGCATATGTCGCAGGGATATGCTGCATCGTCAAGATTTCGGCCTCGATAGAAGACCACGGAATAAAACCACGCTAGAGAAAGCACATAGTGCGGCTACAGGCAGGTTAGTATGAATGAATATTGAAGCTGCGAATCGAACTGGTCTCACCAAGAACACAACCCATAACATAGTAGCCAAACCGCTCATTGAGCGCTCCAGCCAACACAGGGCCCACACAGGCGCCCAGTATATAAGAAACACTGACCATTGTAAGGGCCCGTGACTTGCCAGCGTTGGGCCCAAAGGCCCCGGGGTACTGTTTATCAAGCTCATCAACGGCCACTATTTTTCCTGTCAGCCTAGACACTGGATCAGAAGAGACTGACGTACTGGTAGCTTCGATTGTCCCGCCTCCATTCAAGAATGTGGACTGGATCCCGATGGCACACATTGTCAACACATACAGAACAGGACCCCTTGTCCCGAAATTAGCCCATGGGAATGAAGGGTTACCCGGAACTCCTAATAACCACATTAGGGGTGCGAGGATGGCAAGTCCGGCAGTCGTGGGCATTCGCGAGTCTACCCGGTCTTTCAACCAGCCGACAATTGGAGACATCACCAAACGCGGAGCCTGCAGCGCAGCAAACATGAGACCGGAGGGCATGCCGCCCCAGTTGAATACTTCACGAACATGCAAAGGCACAGTCGTATTGAAGGTTGTCATTAGCAAGCCAAACGTGAAACTGCAATATATCCCGCAGACAAAGTTGCGCTTGCTGAAAATGCATCGGTAAAAATTTGGAGACGTTTTCGGTTTCGCATGGGGGTCAAGATCAGCATCCTCGAGGTCGATAAATGGAGCTCGCTCAGACTGTGGGCCCAGATCGAGAGCTGGCTCATCTTTGGGAGCTTTAGGGAGGAACGTCAGACGTTGTTTCACCCTGCGACCGCGAGGGAATGGACTTGCCGGTCTTTTCATCATAGTTCTTCTCTAGCATTAACAGCCGGAAGCCTATGTCGATCGCGATCACCGCAAAAGCACAGGCCCAAGCCGACCAGTATCCAGCCAATTGGAATAGGATCCCAGAAAGCATGGGTTCGGATGAGGTTCCCAGCGACACCGCCGTGTATATCATGGAATACACCATACCGATATGTCCAAGTCGGACGCTATCTGCCACGGTCGTATAACCCACCACCCACATGATGCTGCTGGAGAAGGCCTGAACAAACCGACCGATGAACAGGACGAACACTGCGTCACGGGGTCAGCCAATCGATTGATCGCTATCAAGATCGGAGCAGGCATACGGGATGGCGCAAATGCAGTAGCTATGGTACTGATTAGGCATATCACCAGGGCCCAGAGTAACCAACTTCGCTTGGAAGCAGATTGATCCGCATAGTGGGCGAGAGGCATCCGGACGACGACGCTGACCGCCGTATTCTCCGCCAACAGCCAGGAACTAATGCTTTGTGTATAGCGAGGATTGAGACCCAATCGATCTTCCACGATATAGGGAACAATAGGGACTATGAAGCTGGCGAGAAAGGTGTCTGTTACGACAATAGTGTCAGCCCAGAGATGTCCGACCCGAGTCAATCCAGAAGACACCAGTAAACAGAGCCACGGCCATTGCGTGACAATAAACCATGTCGAGGAGCGCCATTTCCGCGACGATGAATTCATGCCGTGTCACCTAGGTGGTCGGGGTAGTAAATGTGATGTCGACTCTATAGAATTACTGGATAATAGCGAGTTTAAAGGCGAAGCGCTTCGCCAGCAGTATGGCTTCTTTCCCTTGCATCTGCATCCGGCAAGGGTAAATACACCAACGCCATCACCTGAGCTACGAACCAAGGAAAAGAATGCTAGATCACATTGAACTGACTTTATTCGAGGCTCTAGTGACATTAGGGACCGTCTCACATCCACCAGCCGCTTGAATCTGAGGCAACTGTAATCTGACATTGCCCCCTCCATGCATCGTTCAACCCGCGCCCCGACTGTGTCGCCTAACTTTGCGCATCACCTGATTGCTTCCTTGATAATATTGACCTGAGCGGCTGCATGTTTTTTCTGAATACTATTGAATATCATGAGAGTGTGCAGGAATAGTTGATCAGAAGAGCTGACTGTGGCTAGTTCATTCTGTTCGGCCGGCTTCACCTTTTCATTGAGTCCGCCCCCCCCTTGATAACACAGTATTCCAGGGCGTTGAAAGTCTCTTGAAAGCTTGCTAGCACCTGGGATTTCTCCTCGTGGGCTCACTCACTCACGGATCGATCGCTAAGCACAAAGTTGCACATCCGGAGTCGGTTCTGGAGGAATATGCAAGTGCCATATTACGTCTAGTGAACATTGAGCTGTTGGTCCAAGCGAAGAATCCAAAATAGAAGGTTGGAAGTGGTCGGTTAGGAGCTGAGAATGAAGAAACACGAGTAGAGGCCGATGTGCCTATTGGGAGGTCATTTTGGGAGTCTCGGTTCCTTATATTAACGAGACGGTGCAGCGTGGATATTACGCTTGATCTCTTGAGTTCTTCGTGAATGACGCGTCAGTACACGCAGGGACGCAGGTACAACTCAGCCCATCTTTCACGTCATGCAGTAGGGTATTTATGCATGCAGACCAGACGTCACGTCTCACAGCTCCTCCAACTATTTCTCAGACAACGCGAATATAAGGCCGCGCGGAGGCGTAATCGTCTTCTGTTTCACGCCACCATCATATCCAAGTCCAAGAACAAAAACAATGGAAGAGAAAATTCCTCTAGCGCAGTATCTCTTTCGACGCCTCTACCAAGCTGGCGTGCGGGCCGTCCATGGGGTCCCAGGCGACTATAGCATCTATGCCGACATGACCGTCAGAATCACGGCGGCTCGAGAAAACCTCATCGATGAAGCCACGGCGACGGCTCAGATCGATCATGCTCTACGAGAGTGTGTGCTTCAGTCCCGACCTGTGTACATCCAGCTTCCAATCGACCTTGGAAGTTGCGGCGCAAGCAGCAGACCACATTTTGCAATAGCTCTACGCGTCTAAACAACCATTCCTACTGGTAGATGCTGGTACATCGCGATATGGCGCGGTGGTCGAGGCCAACGAGCTTGCACGTCGCATGGGGATTGTAACGTGCACGATGTTCTTTGGGAAGAGCATCATCAACGAGACTCTTCCCAATTTCCACGTTGTGTACGCAACGGCCGGGCCACGGGTGATCTCATCTTGGGTGAACCAGTGCGATCTAACTCTTTATGTTGGACCTCGGGTGAGCAACATCAATACGTACGGATTCACGACGATCCCGCGCACGGAGACTGCCATCAGCTTTGATCGGGACTCAGTTATGATCTGTGGTACCACGAAATACAATGTTCCCCTCAAGGCACTCCTGCGCGCGATGCTCGATCGGCTCGATGCTGTCCAGCTGCCCACGGACACACCCTGGTCCGTCGTTCCCAATCCACGCCAGGATCTCGCCGCCTTACCCCCGGCCGAGCCCGCACATGTACTGAGCCATGACATCTTCTGGCGGCGCATGTCGCACTTCTTCCGTCCCGGGGACATTGTCATGACAGAAACCGGAACGTCTAGCACAGGCAGGCGGGAGTTTGTGCTGCTCGATAACACCCAGCTGATCAATTCCAGTATCTGGCTCTCGATAGGGTTCATGCTACCAGCCGCGCAGGGGACTAGCCTGGCCCAACGCCGTGGGAAGACGAATGGGCGCACAATCCTGTTTGAAGGCGACGGCAGCTCCCAGGTGACAGCGCAAGAGCTGAGCACGGCCATCCGCAAGCGCCTGGATCTCATCGTCTTCCTGATTAACAAGAATGGGTACACCATCGAGCGCTTGATCCATGGACGGGACGCGGAATACAACGATATCGCCGTATGGCGCTACCTGGAGAGTCCCAGTTGCTTCGGGGCTCCTGTTAATGGCTCCTATAACGTGCAGACTGCTAGGGTGGCTAATTGGGGCGAGCTTCATGCGCTGCTTGAGGACAAGGCTTTCCATTAGGGGCGAGGACTGCGAATGGTGGAGATCATGCTGGACACTTACGATGCCCCCGCGGCCCTTAAGGAGACAACTGCGAAGAACATCAAGGCCTATCAGCAGAAGAGCTAGATACGTGATTTAACTGGTTCAATGATACCGAAATTACCTTCAGCAGAGTAGCTGGGCAGTAGGACATGGCTCCTTGCGTAGCCAGGAAAATCATATGCACTTACTCAAGGCCGGAATTCTTCTCCGAAAACAAGTAGGTCTGACTCGACATTCGCCCTCCTTGCTGCATGCATACCCAGTCCAGTCACCGCTACCCAATATTTTTATATGAAAGTTTAATCACTGCATGACAGGTCAAACACGACTGCTACGAGATTTAGTCGGTGAAGATAAAGCCTTCGGGCCTCAGTCGTCTTAAATAGGATGGGCAAAGAAAACCTTCCTCACAACCATCAAAATGACCGTTACTGGAAATCAGGGTCAGAGAATGGCCGGGTATCGCGCACCATCTCTCTTCCAGCCACACTGAGCTCGTCAGACGCTGCGAGATGCCCACGAAGGAAAGATTGCCCCGTTAGCCGGTCTCTACCTCGGCCTCAGCACCGTTCAGACTGCCCAGTTCGTTTCATCCTTGGGATTCGATGTTGTCTTGATTGACTGGGAACACTAGTCATGCAATGTGGAGACGATGACCACCGTGCGTTCCTTCGATCGCTCATTCCAAGGTCGGACTAATCAATTATCGTCCTAGATGGTGCACGAGCTGGCCTTCATGGGTAAGGGCAGAACTATTTCCTTTGTCCGGTACGTCTCGTTCCCACCGTGGATATAGATACGTTTTTCTCAGTCCATTAAACATGAATCTGGCAGCGTTCCCGGCCACGACCATGCAGCCCTGGGTTACGCCCTTGATGTCAGGGCAAGCGTCATTGTCCCTCGGGTGAACACTGTTGCTGACGCCAAACATATTGTCGCTTCTACCAAGTACGGAGCCAGGTGTGGCGGTACGCGTTCAGCACCTCCTTATCGTCAGGTTCAGGGCATCACCGATACTCCGATCGACCCGTCCAAGTCGGTTCACGAGAACCAGAACGACCAAGCGGCTGTTGTCATCCAGATCAAATCTCTCGAGGGACTGAGCAATCTGGACGCCATCCTAACTGATGTTCCCGAGATTGACGCCGTGTGGCTCGGGACCATCGACTGTCGAGTCTCGATGGGACTCCGCTGGGAGGCGGGCGTCGTGCCGACCGAGCCCGAGTGGCAGGACACCCTGGCCCAATTCAAGGCGATCATGAAGAAACATTATAAGCCCGCGGGAGGATTTGCACTGGGCCCGCCGGAGAAGATGCGAGGGATGGGCGAGGGGAAGGCTCTGATCTTCTGTGCCGTCGATGTCACAGCGTTGCTCACCGTTGTCTACGAGTTGAAAAAGGCCCGTCAGGTCTTCGCCCTGTCTAATTGAAACCTTATTCACGATGCCTCGCTAATATTCTAGTCAATTACATACTTTTCTTGTAGCTCCCTAGCTCAAATTCTCTAATCTGGTGGAAGGGGGTGCTTGCGACGTCGGGCATTGCTGCATTCCACGACACATTCTTGCGCATATGATATATAATATAACTGTTGATCTCGTCCACTACATCCCTAGAGGCATGCAAGCTGCCTTGCATGAACATCCTCACCGCCACTTGCAACCTACATCATCATGCCGATTCAGATTTTAGGCGCCCGATTCCATCTGCGATATATCATATATAGTTAACCGGGCGGTTTATATGGTACTACTCCCTCTGCTCCGTAGATACTAGCTCTTTTTGTGTTTCTTTTCTTTTCCTTTCCATTTTGTTTTTTTTTTTTTTTTTTTTTTTTTCACCGATCAAAATGCAATCCTCTCGATTCGATACTATCCCCCCTGTTCCACCGAACGAATTTCGCCAGCTCCTCATCGAGTTCAGCGCCGATGCATCTCCAAGCAAAGTCAGTCTTGAATCCGGGATGTACTATAACGAGAATGGTCAAATGATCACTCCATCTGTCGTGGAAAAAGTAGGTCATGCTTCGAAAGTTAGTATTTCAGCAAGCGAGACCTCTCGCTAAGACAGCACCGCAGACGAAGAGGTTTCTCGCTCTCCAACCCGGACAGAATCACGGCTACCTGCCACCTCATGGCAACGCGTCATTCATCCACCACACTCAGCGTCTCATATTTGGCGAGACTTTAGCTCATAGCCTCCTCCTTTCCGGATCGGGGTCTCGCCTGGGCTCTCTGCAGACTGTCTCCGGAACTGGCGCCAACCATCTCGGCGCCCACTTCCTGTCTCAGCACCTGCGTCCGCGCCGCGTCTGGATTCCTGATGAAACGTGGGAGAATCATCCGGTCATCTGGCAGCTGGCAAAGGACTGTATGGCCAAGGGGGCGCAGAATTTAGAGATCCGTCGTTACCCGTACCATGACCAGGAGACTCATTCCTTCAACGTAGAGCGCATGATGGCCATTCTCGAGCAGGATGCCCAGCCTAATGATGTCCTCCTACTCCATGCCTGCGCGCACAATCCCACGGGCATCGATCCCACCAAAGACCAGTGGAGAGCTATATCCCGCTTCTGCTCCCAGCTAGGACTGTTTCCATTCTTTGACCTGGCATAGTAAGTTCTTCCCCCACCAGTATCAGTTATGATCAACCAAATGCCACGGTAAACTGAATATGGAGACGCGGTACTGCAACAGTCAAGGCTTCGCGTCCGGATCGTTTGAAGAGGATGCCTGGGCAATCCGGCACTTTGTTGAAAGCGGCCTCGAACTTTGCGTTGCGCACACCTTCTCGAAGATGATGTCGCTGTATGGCGAACGGGTGGGCAGCTTTCATCTGGTCGCCTCCTCCGCGGATGCTGCGGCGCGGGGACTCGACCAGCTAGTCAGTCTCCAGATGGCAGAAATCTTTTCCCCTCCGTCCTTTGGGGCCAAGATTGCCGCCCGGATTATGTCCGACCCAGAGCTCTACGAGGAATGGGCGCAAGACATTTCCTCGAGACACGCACGCCTGATGGCAATGAGAACGGCTCTTCTGGGCGAGCTAAAACGCCTTGGGACCCCGGGGGATTGGGGGTATATAGAGGAGCAAGTATGAGTCGTCCATTTCTCTCTGTCAACTGCTTTCCCTTCATCAACTCACCGTTTTTGTGCACTTGTAGGGAGGTATGTTTGCATGCATCGACTTAACGCCCATGCAGATTAAACTTCTGAGAACACAGTACCATGTCTATGTTTGTGGCTCGGGCAGGTTATCAATCTCGGGACGTGAGTTTACCCAAGCCAACGAAACATCCCCCCTTTGCCATATTCTGTTCTACCTATCTAACGATAAAGCTTAACCTGTCGTCTAGTGAACACCACCAATGTGAAACATGTTGCCACGGCACTAGATACGGTCCTCCGGGGAAAGATCGGAGGATGTCATGCATGAGATGTACTCGCGGGAGAGATCAAGGGGTTGACAGTCCTAGAGTCATCGAATTTAGGTTTTATTTTTTAATAGCTTAGCTTGGGCCTTACATGGGGGTAAAAGAATCAAACATATTTCCCGAGCAATGGTACAATGCTGTGGTGGAACGCGCGCCATTTGACTCAGTCTCTTCTGATATGGCATGCAAATTTGCGTTTTTTCATCGACAACTTCAGAACCAGTTGCAAAAGTTATTTTCATCTGCATCCTATGCGTCTTACACCTTGCTTGCGTTGTAATGATCAGCAGCAGCTAGGACCCCCCAGGTGAAGTGAAATGCCAATGAACTCGGTCAGTCTCCGCAGTCGACATCCAATCTATAGGGATATCTGCAAGTATTCCCGGTGATATAGAGATGCGGTGTGAGAGACAGAGCGAGAAAGTAAAGTGAAAGACATACAAAAAGTCAAATGCGTTGAGGAAGAAGTAGGCCTACGTGGAAAGGCAAGTGGGTGGGGTGCGCTGTGCACCAATTCCACATTTCTGGAGCTTCCGGACCGTCGCTTGGCGCCTAGAAGATGTACTGAAGTGGCTTCATCTTTTCGGTGGAGCATTCTATTGACCTGGCCGGCTGAACGCTGCATATGATACTTGATATGGATCTTGGATAACATCTGCCGGATGGATTCATGGTGTGATACAAATCAGCCCGGTGACGGAGGTATATAAAGGGACTTTTCTCCGCGTTTTTAATTTCTGCATTGTACATTCATACACCAATACTTTCAGTCCATAGTCCAACATGGGAGATTTCATCGAGATTCCGGACCGCTGCATGCCCCCAAAGACTCCCCAAGCACTGCCTTCGGGCAAAGGCAACATCTACCCGTTAGGCGATCCACATGTACGCGTGCCACTTTGACGAAAGAGGGCGAAAGGGCTAACCCAGGCCAGGCTGTCAGTGTATCCCTACCCACATGGGACTCGGTGATTGGGTTGTCTCGAAAGGAGGAATGGGTGATGGATCAATTGGAGTGGAGTTATCCTCGGTAGGTCAGATTCTCCTCCCAAGAAAGAACAACCAACTAACGGATGAGGTTTCGAGATTCTATATAAATAAGCCAGTTCAAGAGCTTTCTGGGGCTGTCTTGAAACGGCTCGTAATTACCGATAGCACGACATGTTGCATGGTCTTTGGCTCGGATACTGCTGCTCGCAAATGTGCAGGTATCTTGGGGTCCAAGGGGCTATGTTACGAGCATCGGGCACCCTTACACGTTGTCCGGTTCTTCATGCCCCCCGAGTCAAATTCCGGCAAGGCAACTTTTCACTGGGCCAACTTCTCCGTCGTTCTACTCCCATCAGACCGGTGGAAAGATGCAATGACCTTCTGGAGGGACACTGGTAGCGGCCTATCCACCCGGCACGCGGAATACTGTCGCGGCGAGATGGAGTATCTTGACTCGGGTTCCTCGACCCCGGGTTTTCGCACTGCAGCTCCGCGGAAACGAAAGCTTCAGGAGCTTTTAGAGTTTTCGAACTCCGCTCAATCGGGGTTGAGGGCTACTCTGGCCCAGCTGGCAACTTCAGACCGGCCCAGCGAGCCCACGGTCCAGAAGGACGATGTGTTTCTTTACCCCAACGGAATGAACGCCATATATTCGCTTTCCGAAGCTCTGGCGTCGATATCCGGAGGGAAGACAGTCGCTGCCTTTGGGTAAGAATGATATTTTGCGCCCACTCCCATGTCGTTTTCTCGTCCTGACCGGCTCCACTCCACAGGTGGCTATATCCAGAGACAGTGGAAGTCCTCCGAGGAGGTTCCTAGGCAAATGTTCTCTCCTACAAGCACGGCACCGAGCAAGAGCTCGCCCACCTAGAGAGCTTGCTCCAATCTGGCCAACAGCTTCAGGTCCTGTTCTGCAAGCTGCCAAGTAATATCCTCTTGTCATCCCCCGACCTCCGACAACTTAGGACTCTGGCCGATCAACATAATTCCATTATTGCTTGCGACGGTACCGTTGCAGGATTCGTCAATTTAGATGCCCTCCCTTTCGTGGATGTCATGGTATCCAGTTTGACGAAGACTTTCAGTGGCTCGTCTAATGTCACAGGGGGAAGGTCGGTTTTTGACATCCAAATCCCTCGCGTTCATTCATCAGCGATTGGTGATCTAACAAACAGGAGTACATTACAGTCTTGTCCTCAACCCCAAATCTCGATATCACCACGCTATCAAGGCCGCCCTTTCCGCAAATTACGAGAACATATGTTTCCCGCTGGACATTGACACATTGAAGGACAATTGCCAGAATATAGCCTGGCGGGTGAGGCAGTGCAACGAGAACACCCTGCCGCTCGTTGATCTACTCAGCTCCCATCCATCCATCGCGACCGTCCATCATCCATCGACCGCGCCAACGTCCTCCCTGTACGAGAGTGTGATGCGCGAGAACGGGGGAGGCTACGGCAACGTGCTGAGTATCATTTTCCATCAGCCCCGTAGCGCCGAGTATTTTTACAATACCCTCGATGTCTGCAAGGGCTCCAGCTTTGGTACCAACTTTACGTTGATTGTCCCGTACGTCCAGCTAGCCAACTATTGGAACCGCGACAAGGTCCCGCGATACGGAGTGCCGCAGCATATCCTTCGCTTGAGTGTCGGCCTTGAGGACAAGGACCAGCTACTGGAAACGGTAGCCAAAGCGCTGAGAGGAGTGGAGCAGTTTGAGTCAACCACCATAGCGTAGGAGGGAATCTAGATGAATTGATCCATCTCATTGGCAAATATTTTCATTTCGTAGTTGAGTTGTGATGAAAGATAAAGTGCATGATGTTCTCTTTCATATGTCCTGATCGGACTGCAGGGTTTATGGCGCCTCCATGTCTCCGTACAACAGGCAGCTGTAAGGCTATAATCGAGGCGGAAACTCGTGAAGTGGAGGATATAACATAGATGCTGAAGTAGAAAGGCATTTAATGTCAAAATATATTTAGTTATTAGGATAGGTAAGAGAGGTTATACTCACTAGTCCGATAATATGATATCTATACGATATCAGACGATAGTTTTTTAATATCAGCATGACGATAACGATAGTAATTCATTATCAGTATCGTACGATATGCCGCAGTCTACTACATCCCTTCTCTCCCAAGAGAGCGCATCTAGTGTCAAGGTGCCAAGAAACGAGTCTAGTAAGCCGCCCAGGTCGTGTCATCTCACCGCCTGCTGCTTATGATAATAGAGGCCACAAGTCGTCTTCTCTCCGGCCCATCTCTGCTTAATCTTTCATCGAACAATCACCCAGTATATATCCCATGCCATAAAAAGGAAGAAATGAGAATCATTTTATAAGGTAAAATTATAGGACATATTAGATCTAGCAAATTAAATTTCCAAGTAGACCAATGACGGAACAAGTACGTCCAGGAAACTTTCTGTCCTAGATTATACTAAGATTATTATGGCAGCCTTCCAAACGGAATGTTCGACAGCTATCTTCACCCGTCAGGTTCAGCTATGCACCCTCGCTGAAAGAACTGGCTCGACCGATTGTTACGAGGTACGATACTTTCCTAAGAATGTCATCGACAGGCCGTTTTTTGACTTCTAAATCAGTTAAAGGCCTCGTGATGAGGGCGAGACCCTGAAGGGGGGTGATGCGCGTTTGGCCAGGGCTAAATGCTTCTCCCCAAAATCCGTATCGGCTCCACTGCGGATATGATTCTATAAGTATTCTGTGCACGTCTGAATGGAACAGATCACGATGGGTAAACTCCCCAAGAGGGTAAAGTAACATGGCCCCAGTATTTATGGATTGACGAAGAACTTCGCTGGGTTGGCTGATCATCGTGTCAGGCATGTTCGATACGGTCGTGCAAGATCCTTTATCTGATGAATCGTCCTGACGGTCTTGAAACTTGTCGAAACTTGGGAGTACGTCTCTCGATGGTGTGCAGCTTGATGCATTCCCGCTCGCATCAAGTAACTCGCTTCTGGTAGCCGAATTTATCTGCTGTGCGATTATAGTAAAAGGACACAAGTACCGAACCTTGCCAAAACTTGTTGGTTGTCCACCATTTTTAGAAATTTGGAGGAATCAGATGTTATATTTCATTGATATGAGTTCTGTATATCTCAAGAGATATCAGAAGAAAGTAGTTAAAGAGCGAATTTTATACTTATAGTGCACTGCCGGCCTGTAGGTGGGAAACTAGGTCTTTCCCTCGTTAGCGGGGTTGTCATCCCGTATAAGCGCCCACGATACCTCGTGTGGCCAGTTAAATTTTACCCCGACCACACATATCACATCTTTCTTGTCATCCACACCCAAACCCCTTCCATCTAAGTTGATAGATTGTTGAGTTCCAACGAGAAAATGTGAGATTTTGTCCCCTGAAAATTGTCCTACTCACAAATAAATTTATGATCAGGAATGTCTACTTCTATACCTTCCCCACCGTTGGGCTTCGAGCTGATTCTCGGGACTATGATGTGTACAGGAACCTTCTCTATCCACTCGAAGCGATTCTACTTGAAAGCCTGATCAAAGTACTTCTTACCGAAAACGACCAGGTCGAAAATTCGGCCTGGAGAATCTCAGTCACCATTTGGATAAAAACGATGAGGAAATATCTTGAAGTCAAGGGCGATATTCTTGATAGCTGTGCGGATGGGCGGGTATTGGAATGGTATAGCAAGCACCGTAGTCAGATGAATATGGCACAGGATGGTTGGTTTTGATCTACCTCTTTCAAAAGGTCCCTAATATTGTTGGCTGATATTTGATATTTGAAGTTTTGTTATCCTCTTGTATGGATAATGTAGAGTCTGTATCGTACGAAACTTATATATAAAATTGGTACCTTCCTGCCTCCTGCGTTTGGGATTTGAACTCCTTGCATTGCATCTTTCTCGATCACATGTTTGATAGAGCTTGTAACCTTTTATTCCGCTGAATTGTAGGTAAACAAGAAGTCGTATCAGAGCATCTTCCAAGGTAGATGAAATAGGACGAGGAGCCTAGGGCAAGGGAGAGCACGTGCTCTCAATTCTCCATGACCACAATGAATAAATCCAGCATTCATTAACCCACAAATATATTCTTCACGACCGTGAAAACAAGGAATACTACTTGATCCGCTGGAAGCGCACCATGGCCGGCTTCTTATCCCAGAACCACCAGATCCCCTGGGACTCCCACTCAGGAAGTTCCGTCGCCGGTGGCGTGGAGAGATCATACCTCCAGAGCAACCGTGCAAGAATCAGCCGTAGCTCCAGCCATGCCAGGTTCTGTCCAGGACAGTTATGCGGACCCAGCGAGAAAGGATTGAAGGCCGCTTTCACGTCACCCTGGAACTCGTCGCTCCGAGTGCCACCATCCAGCCACCGTTCCGGGGCAAACTCATTAGGGCGAGTGAAATTGCGAGATGAGCGGTATGTCGCCCAGGGTGGAACAGAAACAACCATGCCTCCGGAAACGAACCGGCCTGCGATGGTGGCTCCGGCGGCAGGAACTCTTCGGCGCATGGAGTCCGGGATGGTCGGGCAGAGTCTCATTCCCTCGTTGAGGACCCCATTGAGATAAGGGATGTTCTTGAGCGATGAGGCAGTGATTTCTTTCTCAGAGGTAAATGTACTTCGAAGGATGTCCACGAGAGTCTGATGCGTCTTTGGGTCTCGGAGCAGATGGTTGATCACACCTGTTATAACAGTGGTGATAGACTCGCTACCGGCCGCTACGATCATCATCGCATTGACCTCCATCTCTTCCGGGGTCATAGTCTCGCCCTCGGTCGCCTTGCTACTCTGAAGCATCGTGCCGACCAGATCAGGTCGGGTCACTCCGCTCGCGACGCGCTTGCGGACCTGTTGCTCCGTGACCTTCCACATCTCCATGACCTCGTTCAACGCCGAGGCCGGGGTAATGGCCATGAGGAACGAATACACCGCTGGGTAGAACTTCAGCCCGCCCACGATAATAGCCGCCTTGAACTGGCTGACGGTCTGAATCCACGGGTGGTACGTGAGTCCGTCTAGACATCCAAACGAGGAACCCCAGGTGAGGTCACCAATGATATCAAACGCAAGGTAGTTAATCCACTCCACGACATCGACATCGGAGCGCTCGTCCAGCTTCGCGAAGAGCCGGTCGATGTACGACTGGACGAACGGCTCCTGCTCCGCGGCATATCGCTCCGAGAACCCGGGCGCCAGGATCCGACGGAACTGCGCGTGCTTGGTCTCGGAACAGGCGATCAGGTTTGCTGCCGTCTTGCCCGGCGGCTGGTCTTTGTACTCGTCGGGGCGCACGAAGTCCCGGCCTCGAGTGTAGATGTCGCGCCAGGCCGCGGCGTCGATAAAGGACAATTCATCGGGCGCCACGCGGACCACGTTCCCGTATTGCTCGTGCAAGCGCCGAATGCGATGCGGCAGTTCCCCTTGCATCATCGCCAGCAGGAAGGGGAGCCGGAAGGCCCTCCATAGAAGCGGCCCTGGATATTGGGCTAGCGGGTGAAACCATAGGTTTCGGATCACATAGCCGATCGAGGCCTGGGAGAGTAAGCAAGGGCAATCTGTCTACGCGGGTGGAGGAATGGGCACTGACCAGACTCGAGAGTAGAGCGGACAACAACAGGAGAGTGACGACCCCCATGATTAGACACGAGGCGGGAGGAAAGAGGGACGTGTGAAGACTGGAGAGAGAGTCAGGATTGAGACGATTGGGGGGATTTACGTGTCAGATCGAAGATCCTCTTGGGCCGAAAGGCTTGTGGCCTCGTAGCCTCGTAGCCTCGTAGTCTCCTGGCTAGTACTGTATGTACTCGGTTGCAGTGGGTATTGTATGGTATCTTCTAAGTATTTACGATACAATGATGGTATGTTATGAAAGTAATGATCGTTTTACAACAGTATTACAAAGTAAGCCAGCGGATACGGATAATAAGACATTACGAATACACAACCCTACCCCTGTGGCACCCTTATACTCCAGAGTCAATCTGCTCAGCATAGTCCGACTTGTCAATATGATCCCAGATCTCACAATCCTTGGCAATGGCCCCCGGGATAGGAAGATTGGCGATATCGTCGGGTCGTTCCTAGAAAACACAAGTGAGCAAGGAGGAACAAATCGAATGGCAGAAGGCGTTAAGATCAGAGCACTTACCAATGCCAGAATCACCATGCCCGCACTTGAATGAATAGAAATATGGCAGTGCAGTGGCCAGACCCCCGGATTATCCTGATCCCACTGCAGCACTAAATGCGACGGGTCCTCCGGCGATCCCGGCATCATGAGGTGGGTATCTCGACGCAGTGGATTCTCCGGATTGACGATAGTTCCGTTCCATCGGCCGGGTCCCTCGGACAGAACCCAGAAGTCATGACCGTGCAGATGCATGGGGTGCAATGTGCTGAAGGCGTTCTCAAACACTAGCCGGACACTGGAGTTGGACCCGAAGTCGTATATATTCCGCTGGCGCGGAAAACTGACATTGCCTTCCTGGGCTGCGAGCAGAGCGGCCTGGTTGTAGTTGGACATGAAAGAAGACCCGTCCATGAACATTACCATAAAGCCGGTCTCGTTCAGGCCCGCCGTGATGGTCACCGTCTGCGTGGTGCTGGGGACTGGCGGTTTGAGAGGGTAATAAGGAACGGTGCGATCCAACGGGTCGTTGCGGCAGTCGTTGCTCTCCCAGCTCGTTCCCTTTGTCTGAGGCAATCGCCCCGGGTTCGCAAGCTCGTAGTATATGGCGGCACGCGCGGTCTGGAAACTCGCCGTGTTCTGGAGACAGACCATGTCCATGTCGGAGCGTAACCAGACGGCATCGGTGGCGCAGCCGGTAGCGTGCACGATCACGTCCGTTCGCTGACCGGGGCTCAATGTGACCACCTTGGTCTTGTAGGGTTTGACAGGGACAAAGTCGTTGGCGATGACTGTCATCTCGTGGTTGTCAATGCTGATCTTCTGGTTGGCGAGAGCACCGCTGTTGATTAATCGGAGACGATGCCGTTTCCCGGAGCGAAATCTGAACTTCTCAAATCCGGCGCCAGGCAGGCATTTCGTGTCCGTGCTGGTATGATTGCAATTGTACGATCCCTTCCCGTTGATGAGATTATTATCCAGTGGTATGATTCCCGGGGGCTTGTGTATGCTCCGTTCCATGATCTCATAGTAGCCGACGTGGTAGTAATCCGAGATGATAACGGGGCCCAGGTCGAAGTCATACTTGACTTCCGGCTGCAAAGGACCATGGATTATGAGTGGGCCAAAGAGTCCGTCATCATACTGTGCACTGTAATGCGAATGATACCAGCTGGAGCCATACCGATCCGCTTGGAAGGTATAGGTAAACCTTCCTCCACGAGGGGCGATCGGACACTGCGAGACGCCCGGGACGCCGTCATACCATGGGGTCTTCTTTTGCGTGAGCCCATGCCAGTGCAGTGTAATACCCTCATCCGGACTGTCGATGCTATTTGTAACCGTCACCTCGATCATGTCGCCCCAATTGGCTTCGATCATCGGCCCTGGGAACTGCCCATTGATCAGGATCACGCTTTTGTTGAACCCGTCCGGAGATGCAAACGCCCGCGAGACGTCGAACTCGTAGCGGCGTGTCACGCCAGTGTTCGGAGGATCTCCTGCTGGGTCGACACCATGCCATGGATTCCTCGCTTCTCCTAGCTACAATAGACTCATTCCTCATTAGACTTGGCTTATAACTGCTGGGTGAGTGGGAGGCACCTACAACGTCGGATAGGAAAAGGGGCAAGTTCATTGACGACAGCGCATCACCTCCAAACAGACCACCTATCCCTCATGGTAAATTGTCAGAGTAAAGATCGAGAACCAGCCAATGGATAACCAGCAAAGCACACACCGTTCTCCCAGTCCCGCGACAGAGCCGCCGCGCTGGTGGCGATCGCCAGCGCGACCACCCGCAAGAGCTGCGCCATTGAGAAAAGTCGGGGCTCCAACAAGGGGTGTTTGTTGATCCCTACGATTGAGAGGAAATGTAATCAGACCTAGAGCAGTGCGACACCAACCAATGTTTATTAATGCCCTAGACACGCGCGTGTTGGCCAAGCCCGATTCTACGTGGTCTGATGAGCAAGGAACTTAGGGCTCACTCGTCTTGGCCCGTATGCAGAAATACGGTACGCTTTCATCTTACAATTTCGGTAATGGGCTTTTTGGGGGCGAAATCACGGAGGGGGTGGACAATACCGATGCACGTACATACACTGGAGTTAGGGGCCGTAGTTAATGCACCTAGCGCGTCCACTTCGGTATTTTGATTGCGACTTGCAGGAGGCTAGACGCTACTACTGCAATGCAACCGAACAAGATGTGTACTTTGGTTTGTTATCTAGTAGGTCCTACAGGCTCTTTCGGAATCGCCGATCACCTTACTATATGTAGATAGTAAATGCATAGAACCCATGCAGCCCGTATATTCTAAGCGAGGTTTTGTATTATACTTCCTCAAATCATGTCAGAACTTGTAAATCGCTATACACTTCATTTTGTCTACGCCAGGGGCGGGCGGTGGACATAGGTCTGGCCGGGGCGGGTGTTATAGCATGGCTATATTGAATTGGAGATTAACCCCGACGAAATAATGGCGCATAAACGTGTCAGCATTTCATTTCATTTCATTGTGGCATTTCATTGGTAGTTTTGTCATGGCATATACTGTATAGTGGTCTTCATCGCGGGCAACAGAGAGTAACGACAATTGGACGGCTCACAGTCAACTGCAAGATAACTACAGAATTAAGCGACCAAAAATGAGAACGTTCTCCGTATTCACACTGCCACCTCTCTTAATTTTTGCCCCAGTTAATGCCTACTTCCTGTTGCAGTTCAACTCCTCTTCAAAGCTGCAAACGCTCCGACGCCGGCCGACGCCGCATCAGGATCTCCGCGTCAGGATTGGGGAAGATAAACTCATGGGCGCGCAAGTTCTCGGGGCGCTTATTCCCATGCTTGAATTTGAACTCGTAGTCCATGAGCAGACGAACCAGAATAATCTTGATTTCCAAGCTAGCGAAGAAGCGACCCGGGCACGCGTTTTGACCATGTCCGAAATTAAGAACCCGCTCTTGCGTGGTCGAGAACTGATGAAGATGACCCTCTCCTTCGCGTTCCCGGAGCCGGTAGTAGCGGAAGCCGTCGAATTTCTCGGGCTCCGGGGTCACGGCCGGGTCGTTTTGGATGTCGTTGACGGCCATGCTGATGTGTGCGCCCTTTGGGAGGCGGACGCCGTCGGAGAGCTGGGCGTCTTGGAGCAGCACGCGGTGCATGGATAGAAGGGTTGGTGGATTGAAGCGTTGGGACTCGCGCATGAAGGAGTCGAGCTTGCGGAGTTTGGAGAATGCTGGCTTCTGCCACTGCATCCAGGGACCTTCTTCTATGACGACATATTTGATCTCCTCGCGGATTGGATCGAGGTATTCCGGATGGGCGAGGAGGTCGTAGAGGACGTGGACTGCGTTCATCTGGGATGTGTGGATGGAGGCGAGTGAGAGAACGACCTCTAGGTGCGCTAGGGACGCAGGCTTGCTTTCTTCGGGTGTAGCAATCTCCATCATCCAGGACAGAAGGTTGTTCTTGCTCTCTTCTGGTGTCTGGGCCCCATTACTCTCTTGCTCCCTTCGGCGCAGGATTTCGGGGACAAGCAGCTTCTTGGCTCTTCGCACGTATGCATTTCCCCGGTAAGACGAGGGCATGAACCAGCTGAGGAGCTTGTGGGTCCAGATAGGGAACAGCCGCAGGAAGACAAGGGAGACAAAAACTGCTCTACAATTAGGATTGAAAACAATGGGTTCAGGAGAGGTCGGAAGGCATACCGTTCTCGGTGAACTGGGTCGACACCTCGAGCCATTTAGGGTTCCGACATAGGGGCAGACCAAGAAAGATGCGAGCACTGACGCGGGCCACAAAGTCAAGGACCGTGTGATAAGGTTTGATGGTGACCCATTCGTCTGTTGTTCTATTAGTATTCGCCAGGAGAACCGCATGGAAGGAGAAGATGGCAGACCTTCAGACGTGGTTAGTTCCTTCTCCACCGCATAGTTGACCTCGTCCTGCATCGGCGCCGTCAAGGAATTCAGGTTCGGGGTCAATTTCAGCTGGAGGGTGCGGAAATGCAGGTTGCTTTGAAGAATGATATGCATGTTGGTTGAAGAGCCCATGAGATTGTGCACATGAGCCACTGTCGGGCTGGCCACATGGTTTGGCAGCTTCCTGATATCGTCGACATACTTTGGAGGCAAGACCAGCATGTCTGTGTCGGCTCGTCGGAATTGGAAGATCTTGTCCTTACACTTGTCGCCACGGAGAGGTCAGCTCATGAGTTCATCGACTGGGCTACGGAACATACTGCGCGATACCCTTCACCCAAGACGTCTCCAGCCCGCAGAAAGAACCGGAAGTTCGATACCATGGTCGGCTCCCATGATGTTTTGATGCCGAAAACAGGCACTCGGTAGCCAAAGATTCCGCTCCACGCGCAGGATAACAGATACCAGCCAAGAAAGAGGGCCGGGGCACTGTAGAACCATGGAATTGAAGTTTCTTGGATCCATGTATAGGACCCATGCGAGAGCAACAACGGGTTTGTTGCATTAGCCATGGTCGACGATGTTTGTGGGTTTTGCGTGGAGGTAGTTGACCACCGATGGAGAAGGGAATTGCTTGGGGTGGTCTTATCAGTTTTTGCACAACGTAAATGACCATGCTACCAGGGATCATGTATGCTTGTCGGTCCGTTGCGGGACAGGTCGAGGCTCTCTTCGAGCCCGTCAGGACCAGAGGCCAAACCCCGCTAGATGCCGCAGGGCCGCGAGTTTGAACAATCAGAATGTGAGCACTAGTCCGGAGTGCATTTACAGTAGATTACTTTGCATACCAACATTGTCCCCCCTCCCACGTATGTAATTTGTGGACCTTATGACCTCCCTGGTGTCTGGAAGGTGGTTCGCGACATTACTCAGTTAGGCGAACTAGTGCATTATGCACTTAGCATGGCGGAATAACCCGTGCAATAGGTGGGAATAGGCGGGATATTGGCCCCTATCCCCACTAACGCACACACCAGGTAATTATTTAGTGCAATCACGGACCTCTCGTCTAGATGCAGGAAAGACCCTCGCTAACAGGTGAAAAGGTTGTGAAGATGTTGGGTATACTTCGTATGAGCTTGTAACGCGGAATACGCTGCCTGGGTACGGCGAGCTGTCGCGAGGCTTCCGTTCGGAGTGAATATAGTGGAGACTACTACCAGGGAGGCTTTCATGAATAAGCCACCATTGGCCGTAAAGGGACTACAAATATTATTCGATAATCTGTCCGAGTTCCGGGAAGATCACAGCCTCACCCGTTATCCTAACATCCAACAAAGCAGACCGAGCCCTTGACACTATGGGTCCTGAAAAGCGAAGAAAGTTAGATTTGGCAGCCCCCGAACTCACTCAAAGAGCCCGGGAGGTGGTAGAGAGGATTTCTAAGGGCTGTGGAGAGGAATCCGGTTTTGGGGACTTCAGTATTACTTTTTATGACACGGCGTGGCTGTCCATGGTCACGAAGCCTGATACCACTGGCTCTGGTCAATGGGCATTCCCAGAATCATTCACGTTCGTTCTGCACCATCAACGCGAGGACGGGTCCTGGGGCGCTTGCCCGTCTCCTGTTGATGAGATCCTCAATACGCTAGCATGTCTTTTGTCTTTGCTAGCTCACAAGGCTTCAATTGGAGACGAACATTACGGTTCTTGGAATGAAGAGGCTATAGTGTATGATGGGCGAATCTCCCGGGCAATTACCTTCCTATCAAATGCACTGAAGGAATGGGATGTTGGCGCCACCGTGCATGTTGGATTCGAGATTCTTGTGCCTAGCCTACTATCCGAATTGGCACAACAAAGCATCAACTTCGACTTCCCAGGCAAATCCATGCTAATGGAGTTGCATGGACACAAGATGGCCCGATTTGTGCCTGAGATGGTCACTGGGAAGCACCAGACGACACTGCTTCACTCTCTGGAAGGGTTGATTGGGAAAGTAGATTTCGACCAGCTGGCACATCATTGCACATCATACGGCGGTATGCTGGGCTCGCCGGCCTCAACAGCAGCATATCTGATTCAGAGCACCCGCTGGGACAATTCCGCCGAGCAGTACCTCCGCAATGTAATCCGGAGTTATGGCACGTCTGGTGGCGTGCCCAGCGCTTTCCCCGCCCCTGTCTTCGAAGCATCGTGGACAATTTCCACGCTCCTCTCGAATGGATTCACGGTAGATGATTTCGATAGAACCATGCTGGATACCATCGATCGTTATCTCATGTATCTGTTCGAGACGCAGCAAGGACTGCTGGGCTTTGCGCCGGGTTTCGTGGCGGACGCAGACGACACGGCAAGAGCCTTTCTCGCCATAACCCTTCTAGGCAGCAAAGTGAGCCCTTCTGCCCTCGTGAAGCACTTCGAGGCGTCAAGCCATTTTCAGACATACAAGCTGGAGCGGAACCCGAGTTTCAGCGCCAACGCCAACATTCTGATTGCTCTACTGCAAACGCCAGACCCCGGAATTTACGCCACCCAGATTGAAAAGGCCGTTCGGTTCATCCTGTCGGGTTGGGACGACGGGAAGCTTCTCGATAAATGGAACCTGGCCTCAGAGTACAGTGAAATGCTCTTGGCGGATGCGCTGACCCAACTGCTCGACCTCTGGAGCAAGGGCCAGCTTCTCGACCTATCCCACGAGCTTGTCACGCTGCGCTTGCCTATTGTTTTACTCCAGTTACTCTCGCGAACCCTAACTCGTCAGTCAGTCAACGGATCCTGGGGGAGCTCCTCGGAGAGGACAGCATACTGCGTGCTTCTTCTTTCCTCTATCTTGGACTTACCATTGTCCGACAACATTCGTGAGGTGGCTCAGACAGCATTAGACCGTGGCCGAGACTATCTCCAGGCACATGCGAGCGACTGGATGGAAGGGGACTACATTTGGGTTGAGAAGGTGACTTACAGACTGCCCATCCTCTGCGAGACGTACTGTCTGGCGGCCATGAGTGCCTCCGCTGATGAAAGACCGTGGCCGCCTGAAGTCGTCGCCATGTTCTCTGCAGAAGGCAGGAAGCTGCAAGTTATGGCCACCTTTTTCGGACGGCTGCCGCTCTTTCAGCAGACACCGGCAAAAACGCTCCTGCTCGCCGTCATGGAAGCGAGGCTGTACTCGCGGCTGCTCAAGACTGTTCGTCTGGATATCTTCCCACGGGACGAAATGCGCATGACCGAGGACAAGTACATCGAGTACATCCCAGCCGCTTGGTGCTGCGTCAATGCCGCCACAGAGTTCCCCCTTGCGGGCAATACAATGTGGGACATGATGGTCATCTCCATGCTGAACTATCAAGCCGACGAATACATGGAGACAGATGTCGCGCGGTTGACGGAAGGCCAATTATCCCAGTTCACCGCTACGATCAAATCTGAATGCTTTGACCTGCCAATAAAGACAGATAGCGGATGCATTCAGGTCGAGAATAATGCATTACAGCCAACGCCCGTGCCATCAGACTCTGGAAACGAGTCCCCGACTCCATCCCCGAAAGAACCCACGGACGTCATTAGCAAGTATATCCAACATGTGCGACAACATCCATGTGTGACACGGACTCCGAAGTTCGCACAGCAGGAAGTCGCCAACGAGCTGCATAAATTCCTGCTGGCGCACATCGCACACAACCGCGACAATCAGGACCTTGGAAAGGGGATCGCCTCGCGTCCGGCGTACTTTGACTGGGTTCGCACGACGGGCGCCAACGATACCAGCTGCCCCTATTCCTTTGCGTTCTTCTGCTGCCTGGCCAGCCGGGATCGGCCGTACTGCTTTGGAACCGCGAAGGCGCGTTATTTTGCCCGAGCCATGGCCTTGCATCTTGCCACGCTCTGTCGGCAGTACAACGACTACGGGTCCAGTCGGCGCGATGCCGATGAGGAAAATCTAAATAGTTTAGATTTTGATGAGTTCAAAGAAGACGTCTCAGGCGACGAAGACCCTCGCAAGCAGATTCTCCTGGACATTGCGGCGGGCGAGCAGGAATGCATGCAGCTGTACTTCGGGCGTCTTTCTAGCGAGGTCGACGGGCCGACGGCCCGGCGCATCAAGGCGTTCATTGACGTGACGGATTTGTTCGGTCAGATCTATGTAGCGCGAGATATTGCCAGTAAGCAGATTTAGAGTGGTAGTCAAGGGTTTTCCTGCGATATAATCATTACTGTGTTCTTGGAAGAAGTGGAAGATGTACGCATACAATGCGTGTGTGCACATACATGCCCTAAATACAGTACATTACATCATACACAGTATGTTATCAGCTGTATCATTACCGTATTCTATCTGTCCCGCAATACAAGCCTCCTGTATGGACTGACTTCGTATATTCAGATGTGATCCATCGAGCCAACCTCCTCCTCGCTATTATTAATTCAATTAGTGCGGTTCTTCCCGCTATCGACAAGGATCAACAAGCTATGGCACGCGATCCGTGTGACCCACGCGCTGGGACGATGTAACGCTGGAATCTGGATACATATTCAGGGGCATGGATTCTGATCCTCTATGACCCGCAAGCCCCATCGACACAAAGACCTCGACTGTTGGTCGTAAGCCCTAAGGGCCACTAGCCAGAATGGCCAGTCGCTGTATAGCAATGATACAGACACTCTGGGTTCTTCGTCCTATGCATCATCGTATGCCATGTAGAATGCAACGAGGGGGCAGTCCGGAACCAGGATTGATTACCCCCCACGTCAAGTCGCTATATTAAGTCGACAGGTCCGAATCCGCCAGAACCGAGTCTACTGTCCAGTATCCCACACAATTAACAGCCCCCAACCGAACGTCATGTCTCTGAAGCCAATTAAACTCTACTGGAGGAGTAAGCCGCCTTCCTTCGTTCTCGCATTCGGGCCAAGAACTGATTCAGTCTCCTACTAGACCAGGTCCCCAATCCCTCGAAGGTTTTGGTCATCCTGGAGGAGCTCGGCCTCCCTTACGAGACGGAATTTGTCGAGCTGGAAGGTCTCAAGCAGAAGCCTTTCACGGATATTAATCCTAATGGCAAAGTTCCTGGTCGGTCTCCATCTCCTAGTCCCGTCTTTGCTTCTCGCTGACATGGACGGAATTAGCAATCTACGACCCTAACCAGGATGTCACTTTGTGGGAATCTGGCGCGATAGTCCAGGTACGTGTCTATGCTGTCTCTTGTACTGTACATCATTCATGTACATTCATGCATCGTCGCCCCCTACCCCTCCCCAACCCAAGCTAACGCCCAAACAAGTATCTCGTCGAGACATACGACCGAGACCAGAAGGTTTCCTACGCTACTGCGCCGGAGAAACTCCACCTCCTCCAATGGTCCTTCTTTCAAGCCTCGGGCCAAGGTCCCTACTTCGGCCAGTCTGCTTGGTAAGCTATGTCTAAGCCTCGTCCTTCCGCTCGTCCCCACTAACCAACCCACCACCCCCTCACCTCGATCTACTCCATACTCTCCACTCCCTCCTTGTCTAGAACTAATCGCCGATCACCAAATGTAGGTTCAATCTCTTCCACGAGAAGTTCCACGGCGACGACCTTGAGAGCCCCAAGATCCGCTACGGTAACGAAGTCAAGCGCATCGCGGGCGTGCTGGACGGGGTCCTGGCCCATCGAGACTGGCTCGTCGGCGATAAGTGCACCTATGCCGATCTCGCGTTCGTTATGTGGAATCTACAGATCCCGTTCTTCATGGCCGGCCGCACGGGTGAACATGCTTGGAATCCGGCGGAGTTCCCGCATTTCTCGCGCTGGCAGAACGCCATGATGGCCAGGGATTCGGTGAAGAGGACCGTGGCTGTGTTGCAGGATAAGGAGGTGAAGAGTTTGTAAAGTCTTTCTGTTGGTTGTCTTCTGAATCGTGGTTCGTGGAGGTTTAGTGCTTAGGGGAGGAGCGCAGGATAGCTATCGCAACTTACTCCGTACCCCGATTATAGCCCTGTGGATCAGAGTCATTCTCCGCTCTAGCGAGTCCACGTCTTTTGAAGAGTTGATTGGTCGGTATGCCGTGTCATTGAGATGATCTTGTGCACGTAGATGAAGACTGTATATACAGCAACTATCATTACTAGTATAACCGCGAATTATGTAGATTTCCAAAGGCCAAAGCCCACCTGCCAACACACAGCAGAAAATAAAACCCAATTAACCGACCAGTCAATCCACCTCATACACCCCGCCGTGTCTCCGCCTGAATAGGGGACTCCCATTGCGAAAGACTCCGAGTGACGGAGATATTCATGCGTTGCGCATCCGAAGCAAAAGGGACATGATCCGAACTCACACGCTCTCCCAGCTCCACGTCCGTGTCGTCGCCCTTCCCGGACCCCAGCAGCCGCCAGTTGTTTCGGCTGGAGGGTCGCCGGGGAGAGTATGACTCCCCTGTGGCCGAGCTCCGTATGATGACTGAATTTCCCTTCCCCAGCGACCATGGAGAGCCCAGCGACGAGCCACCACCGCTGCTATTTCCGCCCCCGTTGCGGCCGCTGCCACCGCGCGAAGACATAAAAGTACGGAGGCTGCGGAAAGCAGAGCGCACGGCTGGGCCTATACCAAACATATTGCCATACGTCGGGAGACATGCGGCCAAGATACTCATGTTGGGCTCGATAATAGCCCAGGTCGTGGCCGTCGCGCTGGAGGTATAGCGGTCGGCCCCCAAATTAGCGACCGATTTCCGGATATCGCTATAGATATAGTAGAAGCGGATGGCGGAGGAAATGCAGCAACTGGAATGGAAGAAATCAGCATTAGCATCTCTTTCTCAAATGGGGCTCAAGAGGGACGCACAAGATGCCTAGCCAGAAAATGCCGAGGACTTGGAACTTCTGCACTGTAGACATTTGCAGTTTGTAGATTACGGGAATCGGAAAGCACAGCACGATAACGTCAAAGGTCATGCTCATAGCTGCGAAGGCAATAGAGTACGTGTTGTAGTCATACCGCAGGGGATTCGTTGCCATGGGATTCCATGCCGCAGTGATCGGGTCCGCGGTCAGTACTTGGGCCTAGGTTAACAGGTTAAAGTAAGTCTAAATTTCATCCCTTTGAACATTGGCAAGAATTTTGATTTACCACAAATATTGCGATACCCCATGCGATTAGGATGCCGATGTATATCCAGACGGCCAGCCTGAAAGCCGGAGTGACGAATATTCGGCGGTAAAACAGCAACAAAGACGTCTTGACCAACACCAAGCTGGTGATGAGGGGTAACCCCTCAATCCAGAGTGCCCTTAAGAAGATAGTGGTCGCAGAGAGCACGTCGGTGCTGGCGTTGTTGACGCCCCCCAGCGCAGCGGCAACGAACATGTCGATGGAGATGCCCCATGCCGCCAGCTGGGCAAGAACGGCGATGTAGTCATCGACAAACAACTTTCGATGCTTGGCGAGGTTGCCGTAGAGTCGCGCTGACACCGCAATCGTGCCTATGATGGGAAAGACGATGGCCACGGCCAGTAGCGACGAGGTCACCAGCGAAGGCCCAGAAGGCTCCTGCACCGTGCTCATGCTGGCTTTGACTGTCAGAGATCGTCGTCATAACAGAGAGACCTTGTATCGTCTATATGCATTGAGACGCAGGGTCAGTTCCAGTGTTTTTTTCAGCCCCCTCTAAGCAGCGAAGGACTGTGACAAGTAAGATGCGGCAAGCGTGGTTGACATTCGACAGGGTAGTACTGAAGAGTCCATGCCTATCTATGCTAAGCGAGAGCAAATCCTTTCCTCATTCAGTGATAACTCCGTGAAGATGCATGTCCCTCTTACTTTGGACCCCGTATTGACTCGCATCTGCGTCGGTCTTCATGAGGATACATACAGAGTAGCGTGGACTGCACGGGTACTGTGGGTCTGACATGCATGCAAAGGCGCGAGCGACTGATCTAGGCGAAAATAGATAATAGTTGCGATGGCCACATCTTACCTGCCGTCTGCTACAGTGCCACCCTACACAATTGGCCCCCCATGTTGTCCTTGCTCCTGGGCCTGGCAGTTCCAACGATCGCTTTCGGGATATGGTCTTTGGTAAGCTTGGTCTCTCACATCGCTCTGGCCCGGTCCACAGGGCTTCCATACGTGCTTGTCCCCTGTTCCTTTCTCGGGAGGGCGTGGCTTCTGTGTCAGCCCTTCTTGCTGCCCGTTCTCCAGCTTCTCCCCTTATCCTGGACGCAGCATTGGCTTCCTTTGCTGCAGTTCGATAGGGCCTGGCACAATGGCTACGAGCCCTTCGCTCGAGTCGAGGCCGACACCTTCCTAGCAGTCTCCCCAGGGGCTATCATTCTCTACACCTGTGACGCAGATGTCTCCTCGCAACTTCTCCATGATCAGCGTTTTGGCAAGCCCGCCCATTTGCTAAGCGTTCTGAATCTCTTCGGCCCGACCATCTCTGGTACCGACGGACCGGAGTGGCGTCTCTACCGTCGCATCTCCGCTCCGTTCTTCACACACTCAACGATTCGCAATGTGTTCACCCTCTCAGTTGCGGGTGGTAAGGAATTGGGCCTAGCTTTGGCCCAGCAGTCAGCCTATCTTCGGCTGCGATCATTGACGGCACGACTGTCACTAAACTTGCTCAGTCAGATATGCTTCGGGAATCAAGGGCAGACGGACCTGGTCAAGGCGTTGCAGTTCCAAGAGGATCGACCGGATCGACATCGCCTTGGCTATAATAAGGCCATGCACGCCCTGCTGGACCATTATACAACTGTCTTCGTATGCCCTGGGTGGCTCCTTCGTATGCAACGCTTCCCCGATCCTTTCAGTGTTCCACCCTCTTCCCTATTCTGACCGATAGGCGCAACAGGATGGTCGCCGTCTCGGAACCATCGCTTAGCGATCACGGCGTATGAAGAGCTTGACCGGTACATGCAGGATCTGCGCATATCCAAAGAGGCGGAGCTCCACGAGACCGACCTCAAGGACTCCAACCAAGCGGACAATCTTCTTGGTAAGATGCTCCTCATCCCGTCAAAATCCCAACAAAGGACCAATTAACCTAACCTCGCCGGCGTCCGCGATGCCTTTGGACGCATCTCACAGACCGCTTCGTGAAGGCCAAATTGTCCCCCGCTCAAGTAAACGGGAATGTCTTCATGTTCATGTTCGCCGGCCACGAAGCCAACGCCAACACCCTCACCTTCATCATCCTCCTGCTGGCTTGTCACCCCAAAGTCCAACTCGCGATGCAGGCGGACCTAGATCGCATTCTCGGAGACACTCCTCCTGATCGCTGGTCCTATGATACCCACCACCGCGTCCTCATAAACAGTCTTGTCGGCGCTGTGATCCACGAAGCCCTGCGTCTATTCCCGCTCCTGCCTGTCCTGCCCAAGTGCGTCCCACTCCATTCATCAGGAATTCCCATTCGTGTCGGCGGCGAATCTCATCTGTTACCGCCGGGGGCAGTCGCGTTCGTGAACACGAGTGCTACCCACCAACATCCGCGCTACTGGCCCCGGCGCGCGGAGGACCGCGACTTCGACCCTTATCGATGGCTCCACGCGGACGCCAGCGGGGAGGCGAGCGAGAAAAAAAAGCACGAGTCGAGATTTCTGACCCCGCTGGCCGGCTCTTTTCTTCCTTTCTCCGACGGCAGTCGCGGCTGTCTGGGGCAGCAGTTTGGGTTGGCTGAGCTCTGCGCTGTCGTCGCTGTGCTCTTCAAGCAATATTCGGTTCGTCTTTTGACTCGCGAGGAGGAAGACGGTCATGGGAACCGTAATAGGTCTAGTAGACAGCCAGATACTTGGTCCATGGCCAAAGAACGCGCCGAGCTGGCGATGTCGGAGGGCGTGGAGTTCACGATGAGTTTGAGGATCGCTCGCGATGTCCCTCTAGGGTTTGATCGGAGAGTTCCACGGGGGTTGTAGAACAGTAACTGCTGCTTTGTCGATGGAGGAAATGTTAATCGATTGGGTGATTTGAGTGAGACGGAGTTGGGCAGTTGTAACATGGCTTATCTCCGAACTATCTGGCAAGATCGTGCTTCTTCCTAGATCACACTTAAGACACCTCTGAGTTTGTGCAAGCATAAATATACGTTTTTTCCCTTCTCTCTAACTTGCCTTCTTGCTTTGGATAATTTCTTTCTTTGAACTTTTTTTTTTTTTTTTTTTTCTTTCTTGCATTACCGGAATGCAAGCTCCAATAAATATATATTGCTTCACGATGCAATTTGAGTTCACATCAATTCTAGATCATGATGAATGATGATAATGCAACAATTCATTCAATTTATAATTCTCTCAGAAATCGCTAAGAAGTTGCATACACATAATGAATAATAGAACAGAATACAACAGGAACTGGGCGATCAAATGTGTGATGCTCCCATACTGTCTATCACCCTCTACTACCAGTCTAATACATCAGGAATTATCCGCGCATGACCAGCTGATATTCGTCGTGATTTCGTTGAGGGACCGTCTAGACATGTATAGTCCGAGTCCGCACTGGAAACGTGTATCAGTTAGGAAGAAGAAAGAATGTCAAAAACAAGGAGAAGAGATTCTTACCATAGCGGAGACGATAGCCAAGATCCCGAGGTTGACTATTGTCAGCACGCTCTTTCGAGTCGTGGAGAAATAGCGGCCTTTGTTGATATGCAGCCAGAAGATGGCGGGAAGAATGTCTATGAGAATGAATCAGTTGAAGTAAACAATTAACTTAGGAAGGGAGTCTTACAACTGAACACACTGCAGAGGAAAGAGCTCTGGGAGGCATTATTAGCAATGGGTCATATCGAGAGTCATTCGGTATAACTTACGATAAGGCTCAACAAGCTATTGAAACTGGGAATCGACTCTGCTATAACCCAGGCGATGACCCATAAGGTCAAGGCAATTCCAACGCACGAGCCGACGGATATAAGACTGCGCTTATGCAAATGGCTTGAACCGCGGAATATACGAATGTAGATGGTTTTGCATGCGACGTGGCCTGCGATAACACCGGCAATCAAAACCTGTAAGACGTCAGATTGAAATTGCAATATGGTTTATGATAGAAACTATACTGACCGTCGGAATAGCGATGCCGTAGCATATCTTTCTCAAAAGTGGCCCGGCAGAAGAGAGGGCTGGCGACTTCACGTTTGGACCAACGAAATAATAGATTACCAGCGCGCTGACAAGGTATAGTGTCGTCTCGACAATGTGCAATAGTGCTAGTGACTTGGGATAGTTTTGGGGCTCGTTCGTCTCGGACATGAAATCGAAGTAGGCGATATGGGCGACTGAGGAACTGGTTAAATCAAACATCAGAATCCATATGGGGGTTTGACTCACTGTACGCAAAGGTAGTGTTTGTAATAGCCAGAAACGCCTTGTAGAAGCTGTCTTTTCTGGCCACGTCGTTCTATATCGGTCCCTTGGCTTCCACTCCAACTGAAACCCTCAAGACCACAGTCGCAGTAAAGATGCTTATAAATGCTGTTTTCCCGTAAGCGACTTAGACATTTTCCCGTGGGTTAAGAGACATACATGTCATGGCAAACCAGAAGACTTTCTCCACCGTCCTGGGCAGGGTCATCAAGAAACTGATGGCCACGGGGAACTGTCTCTTGGTCGATGCGACACTTTCGGGCTTCGACTAAGGGAGCTTCTTCCTGTCTAGTGCGGCTGTTGTTTTCGTGATCTAGTCTTGTCTGCAGGGGCTCGTTTTTCCAGCCAGGATGTACTCGGCGGGGAAGTAAATCCCCTTGTATCGAGGATTATCTCGCCATTTTAGATACGCTTCGTATGCAAGGTCTAGGTAGTCGTCGTCTCCGTAGTCGAATCGAATAACGCGAGATATCGGAGCTTGATCCGTCCGGGTCCTGGGAGTGTGAGCTTCATGGAGTTCAAATTGAGAAAATGCGTTCTACCGGTGGCATGTGTCGGTCAAGAACAACCACATTCCGATAGCCTTCGGATGCGAGCTGATAGGCCGTGGAAAGACCGAAGATGCTAGCTCCGATAATGACTACTTTGCTTCCCTTGTCCATCTTGCGTTGTTGTTTTGACGAACACAATGGCTTCGGATCAAGATGGATGCAAAGATCGATAGACCTTTCACTTATAATGTCCAGGATACTATAGGATTGCATATCGCACTGTGCCGGAGATCGTACAGCTGCCGTGATGCCCGCTCACGTGCTCGATACGGTGACTTTCTCCGTGATGGATTCCATAAGACCGATAACGATGCTTAGTTGGACCTATTAGTCGTGGTGGAGTTAGTAAGAGAGCAATATCTATTCGGCCAAGACTTAAACTGATGAGCGAATCATACGACTAGCAATGGGGATTGTCCTTTTTGGAGACTGCATACGGACTACTCCGCACGCTAATAAGATCGATTCATTAATCATTCCTAGCCCCATTATATTGGATGTGACGGCTTTCAGAAAGGTCATATCTGTAGCATAATCCTTTTGGGCTGTATTATTGCTCAATATGTTCATTTTCCACTGTGATGTAAACACCCCCATCCTATGTCCAGTTCATATAGCGTGCACAAAATGGACTAAAAAAGGAAGTGAAAAGAAAAGTAATATCTATAGAACTCGTCTAACCGCATCATCTACCGCGCGAGAAAAGTAGGCGACATTCCGATCATTCAACCTAGCCACACTAATTCTGCCCGTCTCCGCCATATAAACATGCCACTTCTCACGCAGCTCGAGCACCTGCGCCGGAGTCAATCCAGTAAAGCTAAACATACCAATTTGATTGACAATATGGTCCCATGTACCCAGAGTCTGCAAACGCTCCAGCTCCTCCTTCAGGCACTTTCTCATTTTCATGATGCGACCCGGCATAGTCAACAGGTCTGTTTCCCATTCGGCAAACAGCTGCGGGTCATTCAAGATGATGGAGGCAATATGTGCGCCAAAGATGGGAGGAATCGAGATTTCCGATCGCTGGAGAAGAGATAGTTGAGATGCGACGTGTGCGGTCGTCGATTGCGCATCTGCGCCCGGCGCGGTCACGAAGTGGAAAGCCCCGACGCGCTGACCATAGAGACCCAGGTTCTTGGCCAATGATTGAGCAATGGCAAGTTGGAATCCCTGGTCGACAAAGTATCGAATGGCGAAGTTGTCTTGCGAGAGATAGCCCGTCGCGAAGCCTTGGTAGGCACAATCGAAGAACGGGAAGAGATCGTTGGCCTTCATGATCTTCGCGATCTCTTTCCACTCGTCCTCCGTCGGGTCCACGCCCCGTCGGGTTGTGGGCGCAGGCATGAAGGACGACGATACTTCCTTTCGGAGCGGAGCTTAGGGTCTCTGTCATGCCCTTGAAATCAAAGGTCTTGGTATCCTTGCGGAAGTAAGGATAGTGCTGTACGGGTAAGCCGACGGTGGCGAACACCTAGCCATGGATTAGCCATGACGGCGAAGAAATATAAACCAGTGGACTCGGTCGCGGCGTGAATTTCGATATGAGAAGTCCACCGAGATGTACGGCGCCGGTACCTGAGATTGTTTGAAAAGTAGAAACCTTGAAGGGATGTTAGTTCGACGATCTGCAACCCCAGGCGACGCAAGGGATACATACTCGCTTCTCATTGATCGCGACCGAGTCGGTCCTAAGGACCAAGCTCTGAGCTGCACCGGTAAACTTTGGAAGGCCGGCAATGGGCAGGTATTCATGATCTTGCGTTGTATCTTTATTCAGAATGCCCGTGGCCTATTCGTTGTCAGCAAATCTTTGAGTTCAATCTCATCGAATCTCCCGCTCGCCTTACCTTCCGCACAACTGGCAAGATCCAGGGCTTTGAATTTTCGTCTCTGTACGCGCCAACTCCTAGATAAACCTTGTCCTCTAACGAGTCCGCTTCGTATGCGGTCACCAGGCTATACAAAGGATCGGTGGGTGCGGCCGGAATGGCCTGGGGAGAATCGCGGTGTGCCGCTCACTGTGGCTCGGTACCTGTAGAAACTTTGAGGTCTGGACAGATAGTGTATTAGCAGTGAGGCAACGAAGTACCCCTCGATAGATCACACTGAGAGATAACGGTGGGATGTAAGGCACGTGGCCGGAACTGGCCTCAGCGTGCACTTCTCCGAGTCTCCACGCGGTAGATCCATCCGCGCCTTGTCTTTGAGCAAAGACTCGAACTGTTTCGGCCGAGAGGATAGCATACTTTGGGAATTTTGTTAAGGGTGTGAAATATCAATTCACAATATGAACGACAAATAACAGAACTAAATCTCGGTGGGCTTTTTACCGAAAGGAGGTTCTTGAAGCGACCTCTAGGCATCCTAAGAGAGTGTTAGATGGAGGGGAGTGTGGGGATGGAAATGGGCACGTTCAGCTCTTATAAATTCTGTCATCGGTCACCTATACTTGTCAGGGTGTGGAGATTGGAGAAGTCACCAAAAAGTTGATTAGAGTTGAATTAAAATTGAAGTAATCGCGTACGTTCAAGCCAAATCTCCTCATCCACCATTCTCAACTTCACCCTACTTTTTCTACACCTCCGCCATGTCGCACGTACCACCCGCTGGTATCTACCCACCGCTCGTTACTTATTTCAACGAGGACGAGTCAATCGACTATGATAGCCTTCTGAAACACGTTCACCATGTGGTCAAAGGCGGTGTTACAGGTCTTGTGCAGCACGGAAGCAACGGCGAAGCGGTCCATCTGCTCCACGAAGAAGGGCAGCAGATTATTGCTCGTGTCCGTGAATACCTGAATACATTCGTCGGAGGCCATTTGGCAGTGCTTCATATCAGGACTACCCTGAGAACTTGCGGGGGCCGATTGATGAGATGACGACTATAGAGAAACGTCTTTCTTCCGCTTAGTTTTCATGATTATATTTTCCCGGCTCAATTTATTGCCACAAGCAGGAAGATCGTCGCACAGGTCGAGTAAACTGTTAGGTGGGTGGTATAGTAATATCAAATATCATAGATCAGGTAAGGAGTCAGGCCAAACAATCTAGTCAACAGTCGCCAGCGGCAAACTATGCCACTCTTCCGCGATGAACGCACGCACCTCGTCCAGGCCCGCTTGCAGTGATGGGGTATCCACGCCAAATCCAAGACGCACATATCCAGGGAAGTCTCTTTTAGCCCCAAAGCAACTGTTACCTGGTACAATCAACACCCCTCTTTTTTCATATATTCTATGGCAGAACGCATCATCACCGATGGGTTTCCCTCCCCTGGTAAATTTGGTGAATCCAATCGGACCTCCAACGGGTTTCACCCACTCGGCAATAGAAGAATGCTCCTTGACGAAACAATCCACGATAGCAGCATTTTTCTCCGCCACCGATGTGTTACGAGCAACGATCTCTTGTATGCGTTACGATTCAAGAGCAAAGGTGCCGATGTGCTCATCAATTTGGCCAGTTGTGATAAGACAGTAAGAGCGGGCATTCTCGCACAGCCGGATGATGGACGAGTCGTTAGAAGCCAACCAAGCCACGCGAATGCCAGCCAAAGAGTAGGACTTTGAAAGGGAGCTCGTTGCCACAGTCTTCTTATATCCGAACGACGGCATGGGAGGTGGGGTTTCCCTGGTCTTTGAAGGCAAAGATTGGAAAACAGGTCGGTAAATCTCATCGCTAAAGACTATGATATCATGCGCGGCCGCCACATCAACTATGGCTTTCAGCGTGGCGGCTGGGGTGATGGCACCCGTTGGATTTTGTGGATTGCTGGGTGATAAGCAGACATTAGCGTCAGAGACTAGTCAGTCATTCTCGTCAACTCATTTGACAATGATCATCTTGGTATTGGGCCGAATGAGCTGCTTCAGTTCCTCTATATCAAGCTGCCAACCATTCTCAGGTTTGGCATGCCAGAGACTGACCTCTGCGCCTAGTGTGGTTGGCACGACTTGAAATTTTTGGTAGGTCGGGTACGGGAGAATGACATGATCTCCTGGTCCAAGCTGCGCGCACAGCACAAGGAAATTTTGCAAGAGAGGCACCCGGCGTCGTCAGGATATTTTCGGGATTCACTACATTAGAACAATTGCCTGAATAAAGATTCGCGATCCTGGCGCAGAGGTCCGGGTGGCCGTTGAATGACGTGCTATAGTCCATGGGCTTGGAGTAAATCGCCGAGAATCAATCTTTGTTCTCCGGAGCATGTTCTGGCAATGCTTCAAGGTCTTTGACCGATACTGGAGGCGAGTTGGTATTCGCAAGGTTATGCTTGACGCCAGCCTTGGTGTGGTCTGCGATCCACTAGATAGAAGTCAGTAGATTGTTTCCCTTGTAGACGACAAACCACCCACATGGTCAACGTAGAACGGCTCGATATAAACCATGGTGATAGGCTATCTGTTCTCCAGAGCTTTGACTAGTATTCGGATAAAGGTGAATGTCAAGCAAAAGCTGGAGTCGGGGATTCTTATTCAATAAGTAAGAATTCCCAAGTAACCATGTGACCGGAAATCCCCCGCCATTCATCTTCTCCGTTCTCCACAGGCGCCCAGCCTTCACCCAATACCATTAGTACCTTCATCAGATAAAACGGTGAATTATAAATAAGGACAAGGATAGAGTGTCTCTCTCACCAGGTCGTAGGTTTTCCTAATTGATTTTATCAAGCGTATTCACTCACCACGGATGAATGTGCCAGGTCTGATGCAGTAACTGCTTGTGACTGCTTGTTTCTTCCAATGGGACCCACAACCATTACATCACTCAGTCAGCCATAAAATAATACTCAATGCAACAGCGTTATTCCTGCCGAGGACGAATTCGGCGTCTACTAATGTATAGATTATGCTTGGTCTTGGCCATGAATACATCGAAAATTTTTAATGTATTTCTAAAACAAAGAAGGGTCGCTTTGATTAACATCCATAAAAGAAAAAGGGTTAGGCTTCCAACTTAGGATAAAGAAAACGTGAAGCGAGACCACGCCGCGAAACCGTCAATCCCAAAAAGCACAAAGAGAAAGCATAAAGAACTTGGTATCAACAACCATGATTTTCCATGATAGCTCTGAACGAAGGATCTCGCAGAAGCTGGGTTGCGGTCAGACGCTTCGCCGGGTCGTAAGTGAATACACGAGACATAATGGAAAGCACATGGCTTCGCTCCATTGAGTCGGCGTCAGGACGAAGACTTGCAATTCTTGACTCAAGAGTCCATTTGGGATTGGGAGTTTGGTTCTGGTCATACCAGGAATCACGGCCTTCTACGTGAGTATACAGACCCTTCCACTCCTCGGGCAGAGGACCTAAAGACATCACGAAACCACCAATAATCCCACCATTGAAAAATGTAGAAAAAGGCACGTTGCCAAGGTAAAGTTCCGAAAAGAGGATCATGTAACTCCACATGTCGCAGGCAGGACTGGGATCTTTTCTATGCAGGCGGTCCGGGGAGCAATATTGCAATGGTGGATAGCCACGTGGAGTCACGGGGTCGCTAACTTTCTTCGCCAGACCAAAGTCACCGAGATAGAATTTCTTTGTGCGCAAGCTTTGGGGGATTTTAACAGGTCCAACGAGCTCTCCTTGCTTCCAGAGGTCGTCCACCGGTATCATTTGCTTCAATGGCCGACCTAGTGCCTCGTATTTAGCACTCCTGGGCAGATGGCGGAGGGGTTCCATTCCCCACATACAATTTCTCTCATTCAAATCTGTTGAATAAACATCAGTATATAGGCGAATAAAGAAAAGAACAGGTTGCTGGTGTCACTTACCACGGTGGACAATTCCAGCTTCGTGTAAATTCTCTAACGCCTCTAGCAATTGCCGAGCGGCGGACATGCGAGTAGTCATAGACATTTTTATCACGGTCGGACAGTAAAGACATGGGCCCATCAAGGGAAATACTTGAACCGTATGGTGACATCTATCTCCCGGAAGTAGAAAGGTTTCCAGATACGTCACAAAATGAGAGGCATCACGCACATTCCGAACGATTTCGTCCTGCAGGCGGATTTCCTTTTCACCCGATTCTCCCGCAAACATAATCTTGAGGGCAACGTCTCTGTTATTTTGGCGGTCATTGGCCATCCAGACAGTCGAGAAGCCGCCGGATCCAAGCTTATGCTCTACCAGGTACCTCTCATTGATCAGGTCTCCGAGGCGGATGGGATAGAAGACATCTGGAGTTTTCTTTTTATCATATTTGTCCCAGGGCTCGGCAACCTCTTCCAAGTCCATTTCCTCGTCTTCATTGCGCACAAAGTCGCCGAAGTCTTCCTTACCATCTTGGTTGCAGTATTGAGTTGCTGCTGTCATTTCGGTCATACCTGACATGGCACTCAAGGGTACTTCGATGCCAGTTAGTTTTGGGGGGGCAACACGGAGGCGAGAGAGGGAGGTGATTAAATTGTACAAGGAGTAAGGGGCTCGTATTATTGCTGGTTTAGTACAAAGATTGAACATAAAGATGGCTGCTCATGGAAAGTTGTAAGAAGGGGGATAGCGTCTAATAACTGTTCCACGAGGTAATGTATTTCACTACCGAGCGCCGCACTTCCCGCCAATTCCTGCCCATGGGCTAAATACTAGAACCTTTATCAATTAAACAATTGCATTTCTGTACAAAAATTAATTACGAACTCGATTAGGACATTGCAATCGCCTATGTCCTAGATTATGACAATCACTGCAGCGCGGTGGCGCTCGCACGTGCGGCCCAACTGCAGAAAGCGCTGGGTCTATAGGAAGCGCATCTTGAGGTTCATGGACCTCATTCTCGCACTGAAATCGCTCTAGACCCTCTTGAATAGCTGATCCCTCTGTAATAGCTAGCTGCCTAGTAGAACGATTTCTTTTTTGAAGCTGCTTTTCATGACAAGCGCGTATTTCACGTATTTCTTCGCGTGCAAGAGTAAGCTCATTAAGATGTAATTCATGACCTTTAATAAGCTTATCAAATCGGGTTTCTAGCGAAGATGAAAGGCTTTGCGTACGCGTTTTAAGTAGCTGCTTCACGGTAGATGCCTGCTTTTCAAGCTGCCTCGTAGTGTACGGTGTCTTAGGCGCTGAATTGGTTGATCGACTGCCTGGTGGTGTAGGGGTTTTTAGTTGAATATTCAACTGACTGAGCACCCTATCTGGATTAATTGGGACCAGACCAGTACCTACGAAGCTATTCTGAATAGTCTCTGCTTGAAAAGCGCGTTCACGAGCTTGTGGAAAGGCCTTTAGGAAATCAAGCTTATCAATATGATTGATTCCTAAATGTGCTTGTTTTTCCACTAAATTCCCGTACGCTTTTTTTAAAGGCGCAAAGCAGCCCACGTCCAGAGGCTGAAGCTTGTGAGAAGAATGAGCTGGCATACAGATAGGAATAATATTATTCTCACTGCATATCTGGTCGAATTGAGGCGTAAGATGGCTACCATGGCCGTCGAGAATAAGAAGACGATAGCTTCCAGTTGTACGACCAGCAGTAATAGGAATAAACAGATTTTGAAGCCAGCGCAGGCCTATCTCATCAGTAGTCCATCCATTAGGACTAACCTCAATCCTACTATCGCGTGGGAGCTTAATATCTTGATACCAACCCTCTATATGGACCTTCCCTTTGAAGATCACACATGGAGGAAGGGCCCAACCAGTAGAGTTGATACATTCAATCGAAGTAACCCATGCTCGATTGTCTAGCTGTACGAGTGATGCCTTTCCATAATAATCAGCTCTAGTAATTACTTGAGCAGTAGCTACCAGACCCATAGCGAAGCCAGTCTCAAATCACCGGGCCTTGGTCGCAAGGCTGAAACTTAAAGAAATTGACGGAAGGGCACCACAAGGCGTGGAGCCTGCGGCTTGATTTGACTCAACACGGGGAAACTCACCAGGTTGCCTGAGGATTTCTGGGATTTTGAGAATCATTCTTCCTGGTTGAGTCTCATCCGTTGAGTCAGTACAGAAGGAATCAGATGTGAGGAACTATGAATTTCACCTCCGGATCATATACCAGTACAGGACAAAGAGTAGTCGCTCGAGATGAGAGCTTAAGCCTTGGATCATCGAAAACCGATGTCAACGCAAAGGCACGGAATCAGGAGGAAAGATGACTTTATGCGTGAATTTAAGAGGGCAACTCTCTTTCTCAGCCTCAAACCAAGGGAGGGGTTGGGTTCTGTTCTAGAACCCCACTGAGCCAAGAATCGATATCTTTTCGCTTCATTCAAGTCTCGTACAAACGATGTCGACGGATGATAATCTCGCGTCTGTTATCCTGGATTATTTCCGTTGTTGAATCCAGGAATGTGGAAGCGGTGGATCTCTTGTGTATTGGGTGGCCGGTGTGGCCAACTATCTAAGATATCTAGCTTACTAAGTGATGACTAAGCGAGCTCGAACCCCAGGGTAGGCGGAAGGGTACGTCCCGATGTTCCAACAAGGAACTAGAATCACGTGGAATGGCTTGGTCGACGCTATCGCCAAAGCGTGGTCATAGTGCGAACACGTCCAGCTGTCATTGGGAAGTGTTGGGCGGTAACCCTCGGCAGAAATACCGAAAACTCCCAGTTGGTTCCATTGAAGGGGCAGAGAGGGCAGAAAAAGAATGCAAAGCCACTAGATGTGGCAGCTGTACGTGGCTAGGGAGCGAGCAACACGGAAGCCGGGAGACTCTACTTCCGACGAAAGTTGCGAGAGAAGGCCACGTCAGCACGACAGGCTTGGCGGGTGAATTTTTAAAGGGCTTCAGGACGTTCCGGTAAAGGACTGAAGATAGGGCAGCATGGGCGCTAAACCCGACGAGTCAAAAAGAAAAGAATGCAAAAACATACAACAGCAGGGATTCGCTGGTGGTCACCCACCCAACTACTAACCTGCCGGCGTGGGGCTTATGTGCGGCCAGTAGTTGGGTGGGTGTCACCAGGGTGAGTTTAGGGTGAGAGCCGCTTTATGGTCGCGCGACCGGGGGTGAGGAAGGTGAGTGCGCTATAAACAGGGTGAGAATCAGGGTGAGAATCACCCAAGTCGCGCGACCACTGCACTGACCCCCTCAGCTGAACAAAAACAGAATATTATTAAATCATACCCCTCCACCTGAAAACACTTGGAATCTTGGCATCTGCCTATAACCACAATTGGAAGCATCAAACAACCAATTTTCTTTCAGGTATTTCCAACCTTACGGTCTGCCTCTTCTGCCCTACGGTGTCAATATAATTGGGTTCTGATGGTATTGGAATGGTCAAGTCGCAACCAGTAACTAGCTCAAAGAAGGTAGATCTTAAGATAAACTTATCATAGCTGTTTTTTGTCAATAAGTCTAGCAAACTTTACCTAGGGTGGTACAGTAGCGATCGGTATCGCCTTCCATATCAGAGACAGAGAGATGTTATTTCAAACCCTGATCCCCTGATACGCTAATCTAAATATGGATAGCACGTGAGTTATTTGTTTGTAAATTACCAAGTAATGAACACCAGAAGCTTAAAATGCCAGTATGGAAGATATATGAGTCTGGAACTAGACGCCTGGATTAGCTAGAAGATTTGATGCAATTTGAGCAAACATGACGATCCTTGGACAGGCAAACTGTCAACTCATAAACTCTGGCCTTTATTTCCAAGATCTGGTCTCCATAACACCTTTGTGTCTTGAGTTTTCCATGAACTGACAATAAGCTATTCAGTTTCAAAAACAAATCATCATATATTCCGTTATGGCAGCCAGAGCCTCTCTCTCCTATGACGATTACACAGTCAGACGGATATGCGCTTCACCTCTGGAAATGGCAGCCGCAAACCTGATGTTGGACGCAATACACCCGAGTCTACCTCGACCGCCGACAGATCAAACGTATATTCCGTGACATATTGGGGATCACAACATCGTAATTGCGCGTTTACCAAGCGACGCTTATGGAAATTGACCAGCTGCAGCGGTAGCGATGCAGTTGCCCTCGAGCTTCCACTCCATCCAGTTCGGTCTGATGGTCGGTATCGGTGGAGGTATACCAAGCAGCAAGGCAGACATTCGACTAGGCGATATTTTGGGGAGCCAGCAGGCGGACAAATCTTGCGGAGTGGTCTAATGCGATCTCGGTAAAGCGCTAAGCGGCGGCCAATTCTAACGAGCAGGGATACTTAACCGGCTATCTAAGGTCCTGCTGAGTGTCCTCGCTACACTCCAAGCCCACCATTTCACAGAAGATAGTCCTGTTATTGAATTTATTTCTGAGGTCCGAGCCAAAATGACACCCCGGATAGCTGAAAATTTTGCCCGACGAACCAAAAGAGGACCTCTAATACCAAACGGAATATGGCCACGGAGCATCTAATACTGGTGTCTATATATTGATAACACGAGCAAAAAGGTGAATTTAGTTCAGCTTAACGAGCTTGCGCTGATATCGGTTGGATATTGTGTCCCTAATTAAAGGGAAAGAGATTATCAAGTGCTTTAGCGACGACTCATTCTACGCGCGAAATATGTATATTATCTAATTTGGTCAAGTGACAATATTGCGGTAGAAGACGCTTTCCACGCCTTACTGGATCTCTATAGAAGTCAGAGCAACTAAAATATTTAGAAATATATACTAGCGAGCACTGGTAGGCCACCGAGAAGGCCTCAGTCTAGATTATACATATACTCTGGATAGAGTGAACAACCTTGAGGCTCTCTACTGACACTAGGGCAAGCTGAAAGAGGCAGAAGAGATGCACCAGTGAGCACTGAGAGTCTTTGAGAACGCACTCTGTCCAGATCACGATAGTAATTGGTGAATACCAGGACCTCCGAATCCAACCGGCATCGAAGATCCTCTTTTGGACAAATTGATTTCATTATGACATTTTACTAGTAATTAGACACTTCCATGCATGATTCTCTACATTTGTGGCACGAAGTGACTTCGGCTACTCACCGTGCCGCCTACATTGAAAACTTGTAACTCATGCATTTCCAATATCTCTCGCAAATGATCACTCGTGAAATGCTGAGTAGACCTGAATTGCTGAACAATTGTATACATTCATGAAAGAAAGCTCAATCCTTCCTTGATTGACTACTCTGATCGTTTCAGGGCGTACTGCGTGCGATAGCGCGCGAGTCTGGGGCATACTTGGTAATAGGAAATACACGTGACCCATCGATCGCAGGGTTCGTGCGAACTTGGTGGCCATCTCAAAAATGCGGACATCAGTACATTGCTGTTGAAAATGCTGGCTCAGGTGGGCCCTCTAGCCGCACACTGGGCGAACAGTGGTCCATGAGGCGAAGGGATCTAGATGAGTCCGGGGTAAAACCAGGGGAAATAGGCAGTGACAGCGGAGATCCCGGGGGGGGGGGGTTGGTTTCCGATAGAAATGAAACCGGAGTCGGAGATGGCGACAGCGGGCGAGGATATTGCAAAGAGTTATGTGAGGCGAGGGTGAGTGTGTGAAGTGTGGAGTTGGAGAGAGAAGGGTGTAAAAATGAAGTGGAAGTGTGGGAAGAAGAAGATCCTCGCAATTTCCCGCGATGGGAAGGCGCGTGGGAAAAGAACGTTCGTTAGTCGTTTATTGCTTCCTCCGCTGCACTTATACGATGTCTGCTGGTATGTCCTAAGTTTCTACGGGCGGGTGGGTCATCACGGCCTTGATATCTACTAAGCCAAAAAAGTCGCGGATTTTGGGTTTCGCTACAAAAAAAGTCTTCCGATTTGATTATCATACAGCTTGTTTCTCGGATGGATCAAGAATCTTCCGATAACCTCACTCTTTTCTGTTCCAGATATAACTTCAACGCCTCCTTATCCGCAACTGGGTTTCTCTCTGCCACTTGAATCAAATGATCTGTGACTGGGATCTGCTTGTCCTTCCAGAATCTTTCGATATGGTCAACGTCACACCTTTCCACGAAAACTTCTGCCGCGTGCTCAGTAGCAGGAAGCTCGAATGTCTCAACCCTCTTGTGAGTAATATCGCCAAGGCCATAGTTTTCTCCTGTTTCAGGGTCGAAAGGCCAATCTTGCAGAAGAGAATCGGTGATTCTTGAGCCTGTCTTTTTCAAGAAGCCATATAGAATGGCATGTCTTGTACTTGAATCCAAAGCAAGGTCTCGCCAGTTGTCTTGGAAAAAGGCTCTAACAAAAGAGTCTGAGCATTGCTCAAGAAGCCACTCTAATACGTATGATAAACCATTGTTAAAGGTCTCTCTGATAACATTCTCAGTGATACTCAGCGATCCCTGTCGATGCTGGATAACTGTCATCACTTCCCGACAATGATATGACTGTGCTGCGGCCTTCAAAACATTCTCTGTGACATACAAAGCACATCCTCGAGCACCCAGCATCACACGCATTGAGCGAGCGTCATTTGCGCCTGCTGAGAGGGCTTTCTCGGTAATTGGCGAATCTGGCTCCAAGGATAGCAAAAGGTCCAAGGCGTAGAAGTCGGCGGCTAGAGTTTCCACGACGGACTCGTCAATTTTCAAAAGATTCCGCTCGAGAAGAATTTGAAGAATGTTTCTCGAACTTCTAGAACTCTTAGCGATTTTAGCCAGCATCTCTGCAATAGGCAAATCGTTTTGTCTTTGACCTAAGAGCACTAACAGGGCACCTGGATTTTCACATGCTTCTTCAAAGACCCTATCTGTCAGCAGAGTGGATGAAGTATCTTGCAGGAGCATCCCAAGGATCTCTTCGCCGTGTTCCTGATTCTTGACAGCTCTAACAAGAACTGATTCTGTGACCGGGAGAGACTTTTGGTGGAGTTTCGCTAGGTATTTGAGAACGGCTGGTCCTTGAGACTCATTGGAAGCTGCAGAGCTTATAATACCTTCCGTTATAGGGACATTGTAGCCTTCCTTGTTGACCAACAGACTCAACATGTCTACCGCATTCTTATGGCAGCAAATCGTCTCAGTAAGTCTTTCAGATACCGAGAAGCCGTGAGTTGATAGACTCTGAAGTAACTTTAAGCAAGTAACCCCTGCCTCGGAGGTGGACAAAAAAGTGTCAATGGTCTCCTCGCTAAGGTTCATATCAGACTTGATGTTTTCCTGCATGAAGCTGATAATATCTTCCGCGTGTCGGTTGGCCAATGCATAGCGTAGCATCGATTCGTTGATAACTATCCCAGACTCTCGTTGAGGCCAAAGTAAACGGAAGATGCGACCGCTGTTTTGATTTTTGGCTGCCTTTTCCAAGACACTTTCTGTTACACGAACGTCCGAGGCTCGCATTTGCATTAGCGACTTTAATGTTTTGAAGTCGAGCTCCTGCACGAACTTTTCAAAAAGGTCACTATCGATGGGGAACTCATTTGGCCGTTTGGTGGCAATTAGACCGAGTCCCTCAGTCCTACTGGGGCCAGATGAAAATGTAATTTCTTTCAATCTTTCCAAAAAAGTTGGCGGGACACGGAAATCAGATCTTTCAAGAAGAATTTGCAGCGCTTGAATGTTCAAGCAAGTCGCGGCCAGTATGACGTTGTCCGTCATCGGAAGAGATACCCTTGGTTCCCAATCCAGAAACACATCCATCATTTCTTTACTTGAAACTGGGTTCAGCATCGTGTATACGACAAAGATTTCATCGATTTCATCGATTTCATCGGAAACATCATCGGACTGCTTGCGAAGCAAACCATGATCCCACATTGTTCGCAAAATCGATGCCAATTTGATTTTCCCCACCTTCCTGTAGTCAAGATTCGACGCGATGCCTAGAACGAAATCCTGTTCTAGCGGTAGCCCTTTAGTTAGGAGTGTGTGTAAAACATCAAGTTGCCCTTCATCGGCAGCCAGAGCAAATATGTTTTCCCCGAAAAAGACTGCTCCATTGTCGAAAAGTTGAAAAGGATCTGCACCTTGCGCGAGCAAACAGTCCACTGGTTGGACCAGGCCCATTCTGGAAGCCCTGTGAATTGGCGGTTGACACTCTTGGGGGAGCTTGCTCCACTCATTGTTCATATTTCGATCATTACTGTCGGCCGCCCGCACCCAGTTGAAGAAAACAATACACTCGGTAAAGAGACGGTTGATTTTAGCCTGCAATTCTGGCGACAATACATCAATGCCTCCTGCATCAGTCACATGGGCGTTCCAGTGCTTCGCAGCGTAAAGAAACGGGATATTATTCTTTGCATCCGCCTGGGTGAGGGTCTCAGTCTGTTCAAGAAGAATATCCACGGTCTTCTCCGCGAGAAACCTGTGGCCATTGGTGGCGGTGAATTGACAAGGGTGATGCTGGCCAGATTCACCTAGAACCACAAGAAACTCCTGGACCGAAAAGTGGGATAGTTGCACCTTTTCATCAGTTAAACTGACAAAGGAAGTTGTGCAGATTTCGATAATGGCTTCGGGGAAGCTCAGTCCCACCATATCGGCAACCGCCTGCGCGTCAAATAGTATAGGTGAGAGACATATAATCATGAAAATTTCACGAGCCAATACCACATCATTAGAATCGATGCTGTCAAGAACTTTGCGATAAGTGGCCTCTAGTGTTTGAGGGATTGTCTTAAGAGCATCTTTGATTTGGCGATCGTTGCGGCATCTTTCAAGTGCCATGATTTGCAACTCGGCCCAACGAAATCGTCTGAATATTAATGTATTAGTAATCAGTAGAATATATTTTTTTTAAAGTAAGATGAACACATACCGCTCCTTAGAATTCAGCAATTCATCAAGGATGAGATCGCGGATATCAGTTTTCCATCGGTTTAGAGGGTTCTGTGCAAGACATAGGGTAACGAAAGTTTTCACATCCTCAGCGAGATGAGCTTCCAGGTCAATCTTGGAAAAATGTTCAAGCCTTTGCTGGATATCCGGCTCACGACGACTAGTCGCGAGGATATGGATTTTGGTACTGTGTCTTTCAAGCAAATCCTCGAGAAGTGAGAGAAGTGATCCTCTTTCCTTGGATTTCTCGTTCTCAGGACACTCATCCAGTGCATCGAATACAAGGTAAATATCACCTCGAATAGCGGAAAGAAGGTCATGAAGTACACCAGAGATAGCCTTCGAATCGGGCTGGCTTCCCTTCAGATGGTGTTCTTCCCAGATTTTGATCACCTCTGGGGCCAAAGGTGATCGACTTAATTGTCTGATCAGTGATCGAGACATGGTGTCAACGTTCTTTGTCGCCTCGGAACCGAATTGAAAGTACCAGTAACCAAGGAACTTCGACGGATCACAGGAACAGTCCTCTTCAATGTCCTGGATTAAAGTAGAGCAAAGAACAGATTTACCACAGCCCGAAATTCCTGGGAGCCACAAAAGGCTTCCAGGGGTAGTCTTCCAGACGTTATAATTGGGTGTGTCAAGGAGCCAAAGACCAGTGTCACCGGTTCTTTTCTTCTGCAAAGCCCGCTGGTGATCTGAATAAGGTAATGCTGACATCCAGACGAGTTGACTCTCTTCCTCCGCAGTCATTGCTTTTGATGCAAGATTCTTCATGTTTGCAAGCAGTGCATCTGTCTTCGCGAGATGCTCTACGGCACGCTGCCGGTCCCCTATATCCCATTAGTACTTTTCCATAGACCGGAGATCATTTGCAACTCACCGAGGTTGGCGGCCAATTCGGTCCACTTTTTGGCGAGTCCAGCTTGTGAGTTGATGGCATCTTTGAGTATCTGCAGGGGTTGATCGGTGAGAGCCATAACGCTCTGGAAGGTGCGCTCTTAGATACAATCAGCTTCAAACAACCGAGGCCTTTTGGAAAGATATAGTCATGATCTTACTCGCTTCGTTCTCTTCCCGTCCCTTTTTCACCTCGACTGTGAAGTCGAGAATTGCCGAGTATACGCGAAGCAGGGCCTGATCGAGGTTGTGATCAGTTGGGACCTTCTGATTTCGGTAGTTCGTATCGATCAAGGTATAATAGGAGAGAGTCTCCGCAAGGTATTCCGAGGCAGCGAAAATGGCGTCCCGACGGTCGAGTCTGTTTTGGACAATCTGTGGCTGAGGTGAGTATTTGCGACATACAAGCTTGAGCTTGTGAGAGAAATATTACACTCATTCCAAACGATATAACCATCCATGCAGAGGATGCGTGGCCTGTAGGATCAAAGGAAACAGCCGTCGAAATCACATTGCTGGCCTTCATGGCCGCGCCGAGAACCCTCTCTGCGCAATCTCGAAAATCGATGTCATCTCCGTCCTTTCGGCGGATTTTCAGACCACCCCTCCGCCACTGCTCATACTTGGCCGTCGTATCTTTGATGACTTGGTCGATTGCGGAAGTGCTTGACATGCCATTTGCCGCAACGTACGGTTGGCGTGAAGGGTCCAAATTGTCGAATGCCTCTTTCCACAGATCGCGTGGGACGGGATTCTGCTGGACCGACTTTTCTTGGGCCGGTTCTCCTGGAGTCAAATTCCCCGGAGTCACATCAGTTGAGGAAGTCTCTTTTTTCGCACGTGGCGACGCGTTTTGCGTACTTTTCTCGGGGCGTGGTTGAGCTGGTCGAGCTGGCGGGAGCTGGCCACCGTCGGTTTTGTCCCCTTTGCTGCAGCAGAGCGCGCGCAAGCCTCCCATGGTATTGTGTGCTTCCTAGGAGAAATGGCTTGGGTCGTGTAGGGGAAAACTTGGGACAACGCTCGGGGCTGCCGGATTTTTTTTGGGGGGGGGGGGGGGCTGGGAGAGGTTCGTATGATAGATCATCACCGTCCCCACCATAATGGCAAGAGAATTTCAGCTGAATCGTATGTACATAATGCATTTCCGCCGATCATGGACTGATGAGATCTTAGTCTCAGTAGCGTGGCGTGGCGCATTCCCCACCTCGATTTGAGGTTAGCATACACCTAGCACCTGGCCTATTACTGCATTTTCAAAGGCCGCAGCTCACCAGGGGCCTTGCTCTCATCGCTGTCATAATTTCGGCTTCAATGAAATGTTATGAATAGCACCTCGAGAAATCATGCAATGGAATGAATTAGTGCAATGGAGGATGCCGGTTTTAAACAGAAGTTCTGTGGGATGTGGCCACCTCACCTTTTCTGCACAAAGCTGGAATGGGAACTGTTAACTCCACCTCTTAACCCGATCTAGTCACGAAGGTGGATCCATACAACAGATTCAATCTGTCACGGGCTTGGCAGTGGGTAGGTGCGCTTCTACCCGCTAAGACCGTTCAGTAGGTCTGTAGGACGGTTACCGACTGAGCTACTAAAAAGACCAGAATACCAAGTCAACGACTTGGCACGCGCATCGCTCTATATAGTGGTTCTTGGTCAGTTCGTCACAAACAGAGCCCTCGGGAGGACCGTTCAACGAGCCGGTTAGTTCAAACTCTCCCTCTGCTACAACTTTATTCATATCATATTGAATCACGCCACCATACGCGCCTTGGGGATAGCTAATCACCACATCACCGAGGCGGATATCATGAGCAGCCGAGGGGATTCCACTCCCGATACCAACCACTAGTCCAATTCGAAGGGACCTGGAGAAAGTTCGAAGCATGTTGTTTGCGACGGTAGTGGCTGAGGTAGTTCTGTATTGCCCACCGGGAAGGCTGGCGATCACAACGTAGTGTTTGCCAACTCGACCCAACGTGTAGGTACTTGCATAACTTGGTAAACCTTTCCATCATCAAATTCGCAGCACAGTCGCCTTTCCAAGTACTCGGAATGGGAATGGTAGCTGAATGCAATCTATATTCTATAATATTGGTCTATACTTGAGACAATGAGAAGACGATCTAAAGGATACTAAAATGTAGGTCACAGAATGGGGGAAAGAAAAGAGAGACAGAATGCAAAACGGGCAATAAATTAGCCCAAGAGACAGGAGAAAGTGAACCAGAAAAGAGAATTAATGAGAGTGAAGATGAGAAACAAAAAATGTAATTGAAGGAGAGAATGCACAACATGCCCGGCGACAGATCTTGAGAGAATTTAAGCGAAACTTGCAGGATCACAGCCGCTTAAACAGCGAAATCAAGACAAGACCGATGATCGAAACTAGTCCTTCTTGCTCTTTTTAAATGGCTTCTTGGGCACTCGTGCTAACCAGTAGATGCCCACTGCTGCCACAATGTTGAACGCAATGTAAACCCACATCAATCCGAAATTTCGCCATGCGTCGGAAAAGTAGCTGACGACAGACGCCAGGAAGGTATCGGTCCTGGCTATGGTGCAGAACTGGCAGTTCGATGTGGCGGAATTGTCTGCGAGATAACCACCAGCTCGGGTAATGTAGTCCTCCATGTACTCAAAGCAAGTTTTGTTGCTCGGGGGGTCGAAGGTGAGGTACTCAACTGCCTCGCAGACAACTTCCGTTCCGGACAGACCTGTGCTCAGCATCGCTGACACCAGATAGGTAAATGGAGACACTCGATACATGAAGATCCAGAATCCCGGCATATTATCCGGAGTGGCGAGCACTCCGCAGAAGATGAGACATAAGGAGAACAACATTGTCGCAACGTTACCACCGGTTTCCGCAGTTTCAATTCCAGCAATGATCATGTGCGCGAATGTCGACGTGAAAAGAAGAAAGACCCAAATAAGGAGAAACATGAGGGCCGAGCGCTCGTTCACTGCATCAGTGGGCTTTGCATTGTTATACAAGCCAATAGGATAGAACCAACACACAAACATGAGTACCGACATAAGGGTATTCCATGGAAGTTCAACAAAGATATTGGCCGTCATAAAAGCGTACCATGAATATGTCTTGCTGGGGCGCTCACGCACTTCGTAGAGAGCGCGTTGAGCGCAGAAGTGAGGCATAATTTGTTGCACAAGATTACCGAAGATTGTCATAAGCATGAAAACAGAAAACATCTGGTTTTGCATCCCTTGAAGTGAATTTTGTGCATGAAAGAAAGAAAAGCCAATATACAGAGATGTCAAAACGCATAAAGCGAATTTACTCCATATGTAGGAAGGCGTGCGATAATATTGAGCAAAAACGCGCCATAAGCACTCGAATAGCTGCGTGTGAAACGGTGCAGCGAATTCGTGCAAGGCCTTATAATCGCTATCTTCCCTGGGCATGGAGGAAAGGGTCGACTTCAGTTCTGTGAGGTGCTCCTTCACTTGGGCATACTCGGGAGACTCTCGCCATACCTTAGGCCACTCAATATCCGTCTTAGACCCGGGGGCAGCACCAATGACATCGAGCATCCATTCAGCAGGGTTCTCGCCATCCTTGAGAGGATGCGCGCCATTTCTCTCAAAATAGCTAGACAAAGTCGATGAGTTCTCGCCAATATCACCGAAGTAGATGGTTTTGCCACCTTTTGCCAGGAAAAGGAGTCTGTTGAATCGCTGAAAGAGCATAGCGGATGGTTGGTGGATCGTACAGAGAATCGCCTGGCCATGTTGAGTCAGAGTATCTATAAGGTCCAGGATTGACCAGGAGGTCTGACTGTCAAGGCCAGACGTCGGTTCATCGAGGAAGAGCAGGAGCTGTGGCTTTGCCGCGAGTTCGACGCCAATTGTTAACCGCTTGCGTTGCTCAACATTCAACCCTTCTCCAGGGACACCGACAACCGCATCTGCGTAAGCTTCCATGCCGAGAAGCTTGATAACTTCGTCCACATAATCAAGTTTCTCTTGTCGACTAAGGTGCGCTGGCTGACGTAGTAAGGCAGAAAATTCTAAAGCTTCGCGAACGGTCGAAGTTGCCAGATGAACATCCTGTTGCATAACGTATCCAGTTTTTCTTTGGAAGGAGGCATCACGAGGCTGACCATCGACCAGCATATCGCCAGTAACTACGCCCATCGTGACTCTGGTTGCCAGCACGTCCAACAATGTTGTTTTACCTGCTCCGGAGACGCCCATCAACGCGGTGCAAGTGCCCGGTTTTACCCATCCATCAACATGGTCAAGGATCCTCCGAGGCTCTCCTTTGATGGTAATATCGTAGCACACATCTTCCCAATGGAAGATTGCCGTTTGCCGCTGAATCTGAATTTCCTGTTGGCCATCATTTGTATCATCGTTCAGAGTCCCTCCAGGCGTGGGTTGAAGTTCCACATCCCCATCGAGAACCTTTGGCTGGTGGCCACGGCGGAACAAAAGCACCTCTCCCTTGGACTTCTGCTCAGAGATATACTCCGTCGCCACAAGGTATACACCGCAGAAGAAAACCATGAAAGCAATCAAAATTCCAAGGTTACGCCATTGGTGGTCCGTGGTATATTCGAAGCTCAGGTCGAGGTAGAGAGTGCCGTCAACCACTCTCGAACCGCTTTGTGCACCAACAGTCGAGCAAATGCGATTTTCCATTGGCACCTTATCATATTGGCCTCCTGAGGGAATAATAACGGAGCAGTCAAAGTCCCTACCCGCGAACTCATTGATCAAGAAGGATTCAAAAGCGTACGCCACGGGGTTAATATAGTTCATCCATCTCGACCAACCCAGCATGTTTCTCACGGGAATCACAAATCCTGTGTATATGACCATACCAAGGATGAGCAGTGCTGCCGGTACTAATGCTTGAGAGAGCGAACGGGATGTCGCGCCGATGGTTCTGAAGAGCATACTCATGGTGTAAGTTGTGACTACCGAGAACAACCAGAAGGTAAAGACTGCGTCTGCATCTCGGCGTAAATTGGTCATAAAGTATAACGGTAGGTTGAAGGTAATCGAATTTAGCAACTTATATGGTGTATCGCAAATCATGGATGCAATCGCTTCTGAGAACGGGTGGTAGAATGCGTATCGTGCCTGTTTTTCCACAATAGGACGTTGAGAGTAGAGGGTGAGGATCTCCAGGGCGCTTGAAAACGCATTCAGAAGCACTGCGTAGAACAACAAAGCAGTGCGACCATAAAAACTGGAGGTGTTGTCTGGAAGGTCGAAGAATACAGATGCAACAATCAAGGCGATGATAAAATTGCCAATAAGGGCAGTAAGGGTTAAGCTCATATCGCTTCTCAAGCGCTGGAAGCCACGGACTGTGCAGAGCCGAATTTGCTCCAGAACCAAGATGGTGTAAGGTGATTTCCAACGTTGGTTCTTTGACTGCATGGCTTGTCTAGCACCCTTGAAGGAATCATATGCAGCACCGTGGATAGGATACTCGTCTTTGAATGACTCGATCTCTTTCAGAAGGTCGGCTCTCATAGCGCTCTGCTTCCAGGCAGCCGCGAATTCGTCTGGCGTGTTGGGTACCTGGTTTTCAAACCCAGGGCGGACTCGCCTTTCCGAAGGCGAGGTCAGTGAGGTCAAAAAGTCAGCTGTTGTCTGGCGTTCGGGACATTCGAATCCCAGGTTGACAAAGAATTGCTTGGCTTCAGAAGTGGGACCGAAATAGATCTGTCTTCCCTCATACAGAACCGTGACTTTTTGGAAGACATCATAAGCACTCTGGGATGCTTGGTAGATTGCCACTAGTGCCGTGGTTCCAGTATACTTGCTCATCAAGGCCAGGTTCTTGCAGAATTCCAGGGCATTTGCTGAGTCCAATCCCCGGGTACTGTTGTCCCACGCTTGCAGCGGTGCCTGACTTAGGATAGCCTCGGCAATACTAACACGCTTGCGTTCTCCTCCTGAAACTCCCCTCACGTAATCGTTGCCGACGCGGGTATTAACGGTGTGTGAAAGCCCGAGCATAGTCATGACCACATCTCTCATGTGTGTTGCGTACTCCTTCTTTGTGATTCCTTCAATGCGGTTTCTTGGAGCTCTGGCCAATGCAGCAAAATGAAGTGTTTCCCCGACAGTGAGCTGCGGAAAGTGGACGTCTGTTTCGGCGCTGTATAATGCCTCGCCTCGGAAATGTTTGTGCATCTCTTTCGCAGGTATACCTGAGAAAAGCCCATGCATTAGAACTGACACAACACAGTGACGAGTGCTGAAGGAGAATATACCTTGGTAGTTAAGAATTGAGTCCTCCGACATCTCCATGCCATTCATCTCGCCAGATATGGTCTTCAGAAAAGTGGTACATCCAGACCCAGGCCTGCCAAGCACCAGGAGCATCTCTCCGGATTTGACAAGGCCGTCGAATTCGCGTAAGATTTGGATCCTCTGCATTTTCATTCCCATCAACTTGCGAATGAGGGTACCGGCTTCAAGTAGCGAGTTGAGTACGTCTTTCTGGTAGTCCGTTGGAGAGCCGTAACCATGGACGCTCAGGTTCATGAAAGCAACGCCCGCAGTGCGGTCCGGATAGCGCTCCTGGTCCCGCGATCGGATGGCGAGCAGCGTCTTCATCCACTTTTTAGGACTAAAATTGGGGCTGTTGGGATTGAGTTTTGATTCCGGGTCCTCCACAGCGAATGGGTTTTGAAGATCATCCTTCGTGGAAAAGCGAGTCGATTGACGGGTGATCCGGCGGGCCAGATCACCCACGCGAGCCTCGATCTTATGCTCATCGTTCCCCTCGCTTCCTGGCAAGGGCGACCCATCCTCGCTGAGGTCTTGGTCATCAGGGTAGTGACCCATGCCATTGTGGTGCTGTGGCAGGTTGTGAGTGACCACTTCAGGGGCATGGCCGGAGTTGGTAGCAGATGTGGCAACAAACATGCTGAGGGTCTTGACCGCTCACAGCGTGATGAGGAACATTCCCTGGGGAAAAGATAAGAAGCCGTCTGAAGGTTGCAACAGGAATTAGGAACACAGTCGGAAAACTGTTATCATTAATATAGAGTGACAGGGGCTCGGAAAAGTAAAACGCAAATACCTCCAAGGCTCTCGGGAGAGGGCCCGGTTGTAAAATATCTTGCGAATCCGAAACCCGCATCGACATTGACATCATTGATAATGCACATAATTATTGTTGTCCTGGACGGGTCCTGGGCTCCCGACTACGGATAAGCCAGGCACAACAGACCTTGTGCCTGGACCAGTCCCGAAGTGATACTGGGCGTCGGGAAGAGCAACCAACTACTCAGCACCCGAAGGCTGAACTGAGTGAACTATGCGAACATCCGCGAGCCGTAGTGGGGCCGGCTGGACCTACAAAGACGACGTTCTAGCAGCCTTGTTGTGAGCTCGGAACAGGAGAATGTAACGGAAAGAAGATCTCCAAGACGTGGCTAACAATCGTTGTGTATCAATACAGAAACAATACACCCCGCCTTTGTATTTTCCCCAACATCCGACATCCGACAACCCCAATGTAGTTTAGCCTGTCACGGGGTATTCCTTCCTTCCCCGTCGGTCCGTGCCTCTTGAAACCGATCATTCATGCTGTGACATACTCAGATTCTGGTTCCAACTCTGCCTCAGCGGGACTTATTGCGCTCATAGCTCTCCATGTCTACAATCCAATCCGAATCCCTCCCGAGGTCGGGGAACGGTTACCGTGAACTTATCCCAAAGCCAAAGGTGTGCGATGAACCCACCAAGCCACTGTTATCAACTAACGGAGCTGGTCAGAAATGTCAGGCATGTCGACGCAGCAAGGCGAGATGCGACTCGCCCCGGGACTCCAGTTGTTCACGATGTGAGAGGATGGGCATCATATGCTCAATGAGTAGTTCGAGGAATAAGGCAATGTTGCAACGGTAGATAAACCCCACGTCGGTCCTGTTAATGAGGCTAAGGGCTGATGTGCTCCATGTAGTGAAGCGATGATTAATGGCTTTGAAGGAAAGCTCGAGCAGATGGAGAGTCGTTTAAGTGCTATCTTCAACGTAGCAGATTTGGGTAAAATGCCAGACGATATATACCCAGACAATACGGAAAGTACGCATTCTCAGTGGGATGATCTTGACTTTACAGATATTGACGGCATTTGTACAGACCAGGAGTCCGTATCTGCTGCTCCTATCCTCAACAGGGCTGTTACTACCATGCCTGATCCAGGCCCGTCAAGCCCACGTCAAAGAACGCCCAGACCTTCCGACATTCCAGAGGGGCCAGGTGCAGACTGTCGGTAGAATTTCATTATTAGGCGACTGTTTATACTTTGCTAACATAAGATTAGGTTTATCCCTCTTGTCGGTCATGGGCCTGGACTGGATTGTAGAGAAGGTGAGCTGCTTGATGCCCCACTCATTTGGCGCATCCAGCAACTCCTGCATTGGTGCTTCAGATCGTCAATTACTTGATCTGGTTGCCCCCAGGCGCGCTTTCTGTCCGTTACCAAAGGCAGGAGACTTGAACATTCTAGTACATGATTACATGGAGGACTTCAATACAATCTTCCCGGTTTTCACACAGGATGACGTCACAACACTATTCGCCAAGAAATGCATGAACCCGTTATCACATAGTCCTGGTCAATGGGCGAGTATACAAGTGATATTTGCTGTCGCATACATGCTTCCCAGAAGCGGCCGATCAGACCCTCACAGAAGCTCCCTTCATTTAAAAAGCGCACTACAAGTCCTTAATGAAATGATGCTGGCCCCTCCGGACTTGTGGGCCTGTAAGTCCATTTTGGTGATGGCTTTCCTTTTCATGGCAGATTTTGCCGGTCGCCAGTGCAGCTTTTTGATATCGACTGCTGTTCACTTTTCCAACTATCTAGATCTGGGAAAATCGGAACCCCAGCCTACACTCACTGCTAACGAAAAGAACATCGACTCATGCTTTTTTGGCTTGCTTCTGCCCTGGATTTGGAGTACGAACCGTGAGACCTCTTTGCTATTCATTGTGGGCTAACGTTTCTAAGAGCATCCTATCGTTTCGGCGTTCCACCAACTCGCAAAGAAGATGCTATATGCGAGATGCTACCGCTTGAACCTCTCTCAGGATACTACCGTCTGCCATCGAGCCATGAACCTGGCGTCTTTTGCGTCTTTAAGAGTTCAATGAAGCTTGTCCAGATCAGAAGTCAAGTCTATCGCCAATTATACCAACCTCCAACCGAGAATAGACCACTTCATGAGGTTTTGGCTCTGGTTGGGGAGATGGATGGCAAGCTCCAGGCGTGGCGCAAAAGCATTCCGCCCGAGTATCAGCCTGGTCCCCAGGCAACCCCTCTATCTCGATCATCATCAAGTCTTTCAATCAACCTAATCTCCCTCCACTATTGGTTCTACGATACAATGATCGCAATCCACTCTCTCCTTGCTCTGAACGAGTTTAAGTCCGCTCACGATCCCATTGGAGGCAATCCCTTCTCCGCCGCAGTAGCGCTTTACCAACATCCACGAGTCCTTTCGTCTGCATCGCTCACTGCTAAAGCTGCCAGAGCCTCGCTCGCCTTACTCCGCCACATGCCATCCGACCATCTATTTCTCGGGTAAGGATGAGCTTCTCGTTTCCTTTCACTAATCACACCTAACCGGCTTCTAGCATCCTCAGCTACTATCCCTCCGTCGCGATGAGAACACTCGCCTCAAGTATCGTCCGCAGCCCCAGGAATCTTCCCGAGATACATAACATGAAACTGCTCCTTCAGGCCAAGTCATACCTGGACCCCGCTGCTCTAGACAGTAGTTTTGAGGCAATGAAACGGCTTGCCAAGATTTGTTCCGATTGCTGTGCGGTCGCCCAGCGAGCCATGGAGTCTACATGATTTTCCCTGCCGGAATAAATACTGGCTCGTAAACAGCTTCACCAGCATATCATCTCGCTTATGAGTTCTTTGTCAACCAGGCGACTGAAAGTACCGATTTCCAGGCCTGCACAAAATAAAGTAGTGACGTGAGTTAGGTTATTGTCCCCATCAGTGGCGCATTAAAACTCACCTTATTAGGAATAGAGTGCGAATCTTCGAACTGATATAGCAGCAAGTGGTGCTGTCGACTGAACTGCCATCCACGGAAATCGGTTACTAAAATAATAGATCACAGGTGTCCAGAATCGGTTCCATATTGGGCCATGTTGGCCGTGTTAGCCGTCTTAGCTGGGATAGGCAGCCAGACATTGAGGGCCACGATATACCCCAAAAGACAGATAGCTTTCATCAAAACACTAATTGGTGTCAGGAAGACGGCCGTAAAAAGTGAATGATGATTGACCTTTCACACGGCAATTCCAGCTATAACAGTCGCTCAACGTACTCCATCAGCATTATGATTCCCGAAAGGTGCCGAGCGATTGTTGTTCATCGTAAACTAGAGGATCTTAATTAGGTTGAAGACGGTATGAATGGAACACCCACCATCAATCACTATGCTCCCCTAATCCCAAGCTCTGCTAACGGATACTACGACAGTAAACCCACCGGGGATCAATAGAAAGCAGAGTCTAAGGTCGGAAGACTTCGGTTCCCCTAACAAATGTACTTTATCTCTGCAACAAGTCTCTAATGCCCTGATTTTATATCGACCGAAACTAGGCTCCACATGAGCGTTAACACCGACGACCTCTTAAAGTTCGATTGTGCAGACCCATCAATGGGACAGTCCCTCGTCTCGGGTAGATTGATAGTATAAATAAGAGAGAATACAGGACAGGTCCACAGGGCTTCTTATGATTAACAGTGCCCGACAGTGGATATCGTTTCGGCAGCCAGTTCGATTATGCGGGAACCCTAAATGATTGCCGAATGTATGACGAAGGCGAGGTTCGATCGATGGAACCACTTGAACTCACATTGCAGGAGACTCCTCCGACGAGCAATCTCCTTCCGCAGCTCCTCCTCTTGCTCCTCCAGTGACTGCAGATTTTGTAATCGATCCTTGCGTCGACGGACTCGAGCCATCTCCTCGACTAAGTCATCCAGCCTCACATCTCCGTAGGATAATCCGGTTCGGGAGTCGGGACTGGTGGTTCGGTCTTGTATATTGTCCATGGTGGTTGAGGCAAGTTCCATTATTGTCGATGTCGATGTAGATGCCATCGGAGGAGAGTGTGGGTGTGGGAGAGGCCAATTATTAAGGTTAGAAGGAGGCGCTATTTTCTGTTGGGCTTGCTCTGGCACTGAGCTTGTATTGGATGCATCAACATCCTTGTCTTCCTCGGCCCCAGAGTGTACGTTAATCTCGCCCAGAGCTAGGGCTTCAACCTGAGGCCTGGACGTTTGATGTTTCTCCTACGCAGTCGAGTATCACTCAATTCGTAAATCTGATTATGTAAAACACGCGCCGTAGGTTGTCCATGCACTTCAACTTCATGTGACTGGGTGGAAGAGATTCTATAACGCATAAGAAGGCGAACTTAAGATATCTCAAGCTCGTTCCTGCTATTAGCGTGTCTGTATTTAGTGTTCCTAGGCGATAGTTAATGAATTAACATTTGACTTTATCCAGGCAAGTCACTTCTTATGTACAGTAAATGAGCCAGGCTACGGAATTCCAGCGCCGACATTGATATTGGCACCAAATACTGGTGCCGAATCTTCGTTCAACAGCCATACAATGGTCCTCGCAACATCATCTGCTTGCATGACTTTAAGGCCATACCTTTCCCACGCTTATTTTATTTCCTTGTCGCTCTTTGCTCTAGGAACAACCTCTGTGAGCATGGGAGTCATTGTAGCTCCTGTTTGTTCTTATATGAGCGTGATAATAAATTATTCAGGAGGCAAAGACATACCTAGGGAGACAACATTCACTCGAATCCCAAAGGGAAATAAATCCTTTGCAACACTAGCTGTGAAGTGCACACAAGCCCCCTTCGAGGCTCCATAAGCATATACATCTGGGGAGTGTGTCATAGATGAAACACTAGCCACATTCACAATACTTCGGTTCCCCTTGTTCAGATCTTTCATGGCTCGGACTTGCGCCATGGTCGAGTAGAAAACTCCATCTAGATTGATTCCAAGGACTTCTTTCCACTAGTCCTCGTCTTCCTCTAGGATAGTTGGTGCTTTACGGATACCGGTAGCTTAAGAAATGCCCGCAACATTCACTACTCCATGAAGATCCCCGAAGGTAGAAACGATCTTTTGGATCCAACTGTCCACCGCTGAAAACGATGTCACGTCAAGAGGTGTGCAGTGAACCTCAGTGGATGGATTTATCCTTTTAGTGGAACCCCTCAGGTCGCTGAAATTCTGGATTGACAGATCCCCTATGCAGACTGCGCCTGCTCCTCTACGAGCAAGAATGCGAGCTGTTGCAGCACCCGGATGCACCTCCAGTAATAGCGAATATCCGGGATGATATGGATGCCATATTGAATGCGATAGTGGTTGATGCAAAGTTGCACTTAACAAGTATGACAGCTTTTGTACAAGCAGGTGATACCAGGGGTACTTGAAAGCTTGTTTGGAGTTCTGGTTAATGGGAAGGCTTAAAGGAGAAGAAAGATTGTAAGGAGAGGAGAGGACTTGTGGCTAGCTTGTCTTTTACCAATTTCTTGGACAGAAAGTCATTGCACAAAGTCTTGTGCCGAGACTTCCGAAATGTACGTATTTATGTAGACTATCTAGGTTGTCCTCCGTCTAACGGATATCTGAGTATCCGGCACTCCGTGCGCCTTTTCACCACGTCTCATTAAGCCGAGTTTCCATTACAGCCTAGACAGAGGGTTCCCAAATACTCCCGTGTTCCGCCCCGCTTTCCCATCCCCTAGTTATGCGGTGTATAGAATTCTGCATATTTGGAAACCGTGAGATGTAGTAGAAGTTGGCTGAATTGGGCTGGCTCTAAATAAAAGGAAAGTCGGACATAGATTCATATGTTCGCTCTCATTCATTCCAATTGGAGCCCTAATATTCAAACGGTATCGTGCAATTGGAAAGCAGTTCCTCGGATTGATGGTGTCCGGAGATGCGCTCATCTTTGGTCATTTTTTGCTGACGCATTGTTTCCTCATGAACTGGTGTATTAGTGACTTGGTCGTTTACATGGCCCACTCACTTACGGACTACGTCATTATATCATGATTTGTCATTTCGAGCGATGCCCCGGAACTCCGCCTGTTTCAACTTCCATTGATATTCCACCGGTATCCCACCACCGGCATTTTTCTTTCATGGCCGTAATAACGTTACTATCTTACTGAAAATTACAGTATTACAAGGGGTGGGATGGGTCGATTTAGATCGTTCGTTCTTTCTATGACTAGAGACGCAGTAACTATGCGCCGTACTCATCGTTTATCATAAGGGGCAGAGTGTGGAATACATCGCCCAACTGGACCCGCTGGGGTGGAGGAGTCATTTTATGGCGGTTACTTGTGTCTTGTGTTATTCTGTGTTATCGAGGGAGGATTTGGAAGACCCATTAATGATGTGATAACTACAGAGGTGTACTTGTCCCCGGGGATCGTACCAGATAGTCGATTTTTGTGGGTCTTATTACGCTACCGAGCTACCGAAAAGATGATACTTTGGTGGGATGCCGGTGGATAATAGGTCGGATTGCAACGGGAAGACTGAATTTATTAACTCGGGGCTGTCCTCCGTCTGCTCACTTCACCTTGGACATACATCGAAAATCATTGTCAACTATGGCCCCTTCTATTAAAGCCGTCCTCATTGCTCTCCTGTCGATTGCCCTCGGTCTCTACAAAGTTTATATTCACGATGCGGTGGAGCTCTTCCAAGGCGTTGAGAGGATCATCCAACCTCTCGAGGATTTCCCTGATTATCAGTGTCGCCGAATGCGACACCCACTCTTAGAGGGCTGCGAGGATGTCTGGTTTGATCCTCGCGGCCGTAAGCTTTATGCCGCTTGCGCCAACCCACTGGCTCGCATAGCCTGGTGTCCAGCTGCGAACAGCTATGATCTCCAGAAGCGGGCAGCAGGCGGTGGTGGAATCAACCATATAACAGTGCTGGATGTCGATCAGCCAGGAGCTGATGGCTTATATGGTGTGCGAGCATTGAAATTCCGCGACAGCGAAGGCAACATTCAGGAGCTGGATATGCATGGTTTTGACGCCCGCGTGATTGACAAGAGCCAACGGTTGCGGTTCTGGCTGATCAACCACCGGCCACCGCTGAATGCATCGACCGGAAGACCACTGCTAGATGCAACCAAGTTCGGGGCTAATTCGACAGTCGATGTGTACGACCTTGAACTGCCTCACGGAACTCAACTAACCCATGTCAAGACTATTGTGAGCCCGACGATCATCTCACCGAACAACCTTGTCGTCATCAATGACGATGAAGATAGAGGAGACTTTCTGCTCACCAATGATCATAGCACCAAAGTCGGCCCTTTCCGTGACAGCGAGATAAGCGGAAATATCGCCTATTGCCGCACTGATACGGGAAATTGTCATTTTGTCGCCACAGAGAACTTCTCCGCGCCCAATGGCATCACAAGAGACCCATCATCAGGCCTCATTTACGTCGCGCAATCAGCCCGGGGTGTCGTTACCATTCATCGGCTGGTGGACTACAAGCAGCTCGTCCAGACTGACGAAATATCATTATCTATGGCAATTGACAATTTGTCGATAGATACCGATGGGAACATCTTTGCTGCTACTATACCTGATCTTCAACAATTCCTTCGGGCTTTCCATGATCCTTACGACACGGATTCACCCTCGACGGTCATGATGATCAGAAAGAGAAGCAATAATAAAGAGGCGTCTTTGATGAAAGGAGAACATGACGTTATCAAACTTGTGGAGGATAAGGAGGCACGGGTCCTGCCGACTACGACGAGCGCAGTATATGACCCTGTTTCAGGCCAACTATTCCTTGGGGCTTTGTCCTCGCCTTTCATGGTGGTTTGCAAGAAGCAGAAATGAACTGGTGCATGTACCATGTACCCATGTTCTGCCTCACAGGTAAAGCCTGCGGATCTTGAAGAAATGTGGTTATATATTTATTCACATTATAGTTGATGTGTAGCAGTGAGGAGGAAGCCTTGATTTTATATTACACAGAGATTGGAGCAGTTGTCAGATATTGTACTGAGGAATTTGAGTTTCAGGGACACCGAGACAGTGGTTTGTCCTGTAATATACAGTATTATACGTATTGTTCTTGCTAGTCATCACAACGGGGTAAGTATATATCAGTGGGTTCTGCTGGCTTGAACCCATCCGGTTTAACTATACCGGCTGACATATCGAGGATAAGAAATATGAACGATGCATCAAAAGCCTACAAATCTTCTATACGCCTCATGGAATTCTGCGAAGGGATAATTATAATTGCCTGATCACCCCCTATCTTAACACTTTGTGTACGCTTTTGTCGTATAATCTGACTGAGCTGCAATGGGACTCTGTACATTGCCCGATCTGTCTTCAAACGAATGTATTTGGCGAAAGTTGGCTCGATCAGTAGTCTTTGTGCCTCTTGGAAAATTTCGAAAATCCGGCGGCATGAGCCGGCATCTGGAAACTCCGGGTGAGTGGGATCTCCGGGTGAGTGGGATCTCCGGTGGGATATTCCCCTTGGCCATTACCTCATCCTTCGTACTTCACCAGTGTGGCCGCGGAAGATAACTAAACCGCTTCTATCATCGCCTTTCTTGGCCGATTGATTTATTGCAGTTTTATTGCATTTATACGGCATTTTTCGGGACAGTATTATCGTGATATGTCGCTTGTTTTGACGATTAGGAAGCCTCTCAAATTGCATACATATCGGCTTCTTTATCGTGTAGTTAGTGGAATTAAGACCTTCATTCAGTTGAAAACGATCATATTCCTTGGTTGAATAATCGCTTCTCGGTAGACCCACATATTTCTGCCACAACCAGCAATCGCCGCTGGTGGGTCGCCAGTGGAAGCCGGATGCAGCCAGTTAGGCATGTAGGTTACGTAGGATACAATAACTGATAAAAACCAATCTCGCCATTCATTAATAGGCATATTTGTTCTTTGCTTCCCAAATCGCTTTTTGTTGCCTACTATTTCCCGCCATGAATCCAATTCGCATCGGCATAATTGGGCTTTCACCGGGTGCCTGGGCAGCTAATGCTCATCTACCATATCTACAGAGTCCCAACTCAAAGTTCAAAATTGTGGCTGTCTGTAATTCTACGGTGGAAAGTGCTGCGAAGAGCGTTAGAGACCTCAGCTTGCCAGGCAGCGTAAAAACTTATGGAAATGTGCAAGGTATGTCCAGGATTGTTTTAGCTCTAATGTGCTATCCTTTCGATAGAGTCAACATGTCTGACTCAATAACTAGAAATTGCCGACGACAAGGATATTGACCTTGTTGTCTGCACTACAAGAGTAGACCGTCATTACAAATCTATTCTTCCGTCTCTCAAAGCTAGCAAGGATGTTTTTCTTGAGTGGCCCCTAGGAAGAAACTTTGGGGAAGCAAAGGAACTTCTCAGTATAGCACAACAACATAATGTCAGTATAACTGCGGTTGGGCTTCAGGGTCGATTTGATGCTACTGTCGAAACCCTAAAAGATGTTTTGGCTGAAGGGAGAATTGGCAAGGTACTCAGTACTACAATTACAAGCCAGGGTGTGATTGCAGGGCAGTCGGAGCTGGAAAACCAAACTTACCTTGTGGACCGTGACAGTGGCGGATCCCTACTGTCCATTCCTGCCTCGCATTTACTCGATACCGTCCAACAAGGTTTGTCTTCACGGCCCATCCCTTCATATAATCACTGCTCCTACCCTTACTAACTATTTTGCGGTCCTTGGAACATTCGCAAACGTGCAGTCCCTCCTTGCGAACCAACGTCCATCAGTCAAGATTATCAAAGCCGATGGCTCTATTCTTGAAGAAGCCGCCAAAAAGACAGCACCTGATCATATCATAATCCAAGGTATGCTTGAATCAGGAGCAGTTTTCTCAGCCACAGTCCGTGGTGGCGCGCCCTTCAAGGGCTCCCCTGGACTTGTGTGGAGTATATATGGCGAGAAAGGAGAGATCAGGATATTGGGTCCAAGTGCCTTTATTGAGGTTGTCAGCACCACTAGTATCGAGCTACATAACTTTGACACCGACGTTGTTGAACAGATTGAGCTCAAGAGAGGGGCATTTGACGAGTTCAGTCCAATGACTAGAAACGTGGCGCGTGTTTATGAGGCGATTGCTGCAGGTGACAAATCCCGCTTGTGTGATTTTGAGGGGGCAGTGAAAAGGCATGAGTTTATTGAGGAGGTTTACAATCAGAACCCTCGGGTCTAAGAGAAGTGTACCGCAGACTCCCAACATCGATATTCGGCCTTTAGGCTTCAACTTAGGCATGTTAATTATAAGTATATATTTTTCCATTATGTGTATATCTCAACGCGGATTCTATTAGTACATGGCACATGGCACAAGTGACTAGAGCACAGCAGCTGTCTCAATTATTCTGAATTAAGATTTGGCTTGACGCTCTTAACCTCGATTATCCCCGGACACCTTGCTACTATTATGATTATTTTATTTAATCAAATTTATTGTCCATACCGAGCCCCTAGGGCTATGACAGACTGTGTGTTGTCGGCCTGAGGCTAGGCCTCAGGCCCCTATCAGTTCCTAGGGCTATTCCCTCGCTTGTATACATTCTGTTCCTTTTCCTCGGCCCATACCGCCTTCTTGCGCAGGGCCTTTGAGCATGTTTGCTCTCCTTGGGATTCTATCAGGGTGGGTGACGCCTAGGTGTGACTAGGCTACCCTTCCTGTTAGCCTTCTCCGGTCCGTTTAGCTTCCTCTAGAGTTTCTAGGCCTCTTTCATCGTCTCTCTCTGCTCTGTGTTGGTCATTCTGGTGTTGTTCTCCAGAAAGAGCCACGCCTGTATTAGCTATAAAGTCCAGTAGGGCTTTAGTGGCTTTAGGCTCCTTGAAGAGCCTGCTTTCTGGGTAAGTTTCTTGTACGGAAGGTCTTACTATTTCCGCTCTATCTATAGCTGTATATAGTACCTCTCGTTACCGTCACTATTGTCTGCAGCTGACTAATATATAAGAGACTGTTTCACTAGGAGCTTGGCAGTTCTGGCAGGTCGCTCTTTCCCGAGATTTTATGTGGCATAGATATGATCCGATAGCTGCATGTCCTACCTTCATCTGAAAGTATTGGCTAGCTAGACCCTTAGTAGCTGTTGCTGCTATAAGATCCAGTTGCCAGCCTCTTCCAGATTTATAGGTTCTCTGTATCGATTGTGATCTCCGGTTGAGACTATTCTCTAACAGTGTTGTCTGTTTGTTCTTAACGCCTCTGTACGGGCTCTGCGAGTAAATGCTTGTGAGATCTTTCTGCAGCCTGGTCCTGATGTTCGCGTTGCAGCTTGTTTTGCTGCTTAATCTGCCTTTTCCTTTTTTTTTTTTTAAAAAAAAAAAAAAAACCAACTTCGACGCGAACCTAATTTTTGAAATTATTCAACCACCACGACGGCTACGGCCTCTAGAATCAGCCAGTTTACTATCAACCCCAGCCGCTATCGATTGAACCTAACTTTATAGGGGGACATCGATATGGTTGGGGCGAAACCCTCGTGGCCGGCCCTTTCAGGCATTCCCGAGGCGGTAAGCGCACATAATCAGAATTTTCTCAACTGCGTTTTGAACCTCAATAAAGATGCGCAACAATACCTTTTATTCAACGAATCGAATGGAGGATCCCCGCTCACATCGGGGTGGAAGGAAACGAAAAGGCGGACAAGGCAGCCAAGGAGGCTGCGATAAGAGGAGTTGAATTAAGCTCAGTAAGGCCGCGGGATCGACCAATTATACGGCTCGCAGCTGCAGCTAAAAGAGATGTCCGCCAACGCTTGCGTACAGAGTGGACAAAGCAGTGGGAAAGGCAGAAAATAGGCAGGCCGACGAGGCGGCTGCTGTCTAAACCAGACAAGAAAAATATACGGCTCTACGAGCATCTTAGTAAGCCGCACACCAGGATTATTATTCAGATGCGCACTATGAGGATAGGATTGAGGCACTTCCTCTACAAGATCAAACCGGTCGACTCCGACCGGTGCACTTGTGACCTAGGGTCCCAGACCCCTAGGCACGTCCTTCTGGAGTGCTCGCTGCACACGGCCGGCCGGAGGATAATGATGGATCACCTCAATCCGATAGAGGGACTGCGTGGGCGTATACAGGATTACGACGCAGTTGAAGCACACCCGCAGGCGATCCGCTACGTCGCCGAAGTTATGCAACAAACAGGCCTCCTTCAACAATTCCAATTCGCTCGACTGGACGAGGAGGCCCCAGAACTTACCAACCTGCTAGAAGGACTCGAACTAGGCGAGAAAGACGATGGTTACATGGAACTTTAGGGGGCGGCCTGGGTCAGGCCGCTACCAGTGACGCATACCACTCACGAACCACCCATATTGAACGAGGCGGAAGGAGAGACAGCGTCAGGAGGCGCAGTAGGCTGCAGCAGGCGAGTGGCAGCCGGTTTAGCTGCGTTACTTTTTGATTTATCTGCTGCGTTTGTGGGTTTATATGGCGTAAGGGCTCGAGATTCTGCTTCATTCGGCGAAGCGCCTGCATAGCCTGTCGTTTCAACAGATAGGCTTCATCAGGTTAATAGAATTTTTATTGATTGATTGATTGATTGCCTTTTCGTTTCCTTCTATACCTGCATGTCCTGGGACCCATTGAATTATCGGATCACGGCCCCTAGATAGCAGGTCCTGAGCGGTAGTGCGTATATCAGCAGCTATTATCTGACCTGGTCCAGGTCCTGCATGACCTAGTGACTATAGTCCCCGGCTTGGTTCTGCCCAATTTCGGTCCTCTTCTGGCTGTTCGTCGGGTTGTACGTGCTGATCCCCTTCTCTAAAGCTGACTGGAAGAATTTGTCTTGCTGAGTAGTTCTCGGGTAGACCTAGAAGCCGGATAGTATATCCTAGCTATCTATATTCTGGTAGACATTCCGCTGGTGTTAGACCCGCCTCCCGAATAAGGGGGACGATAGGGGTAGTTCTGAGCATTCCCGTGATTGCCCGAGCTTGTCGATTAAGTAGTTACTGTACCCCTTCTAGCCGGTCTTTCTGGCCCTGCCACTAGAGCTCTACCCCATATAGAGTTACTAACTGCACTGCAGCTACCTGGATCCTGCGTACTAAGCCTGGGGTAAGCCCTGTCTGTGACATAGAGACTGCACCCGGATTTCCGCTGTGCGGGCCTTCCGTAGGCACGTATTGTAGTAGACTTTTAGATTAAGGCCTGCATCCAGCCATAAACCTAGCTACCGGGTAACTTCTTGGTTGAATGAGACTCGGTACCTCTCGACCACTACGCGGGCTCGCTGAGTCTGGGCTCTAAGTTCCTGGCCCTGTTTTCGGGTAAAGAGGATCGCCTCTATTTTCTCTGCGTTAAGGTAGACTTTATGCATCTGGTTTTAGCTGATCGCTACTTCTGCTGCCCGCTGTAGCATTTCGCATGTTTCTCTCACTGAATAACTGAATACCCTGGGACTAGAAGACCTACATTATCTGCAAATGATAAGGCCTGAACCCCTGGTACTGCTGTTTCTATAGCCTCAAAGACCCCGCTGAGATAGATGATAAAGAGGATTGGGGACACTGGTGATCCCTAGAGGACAGCTGAATTGATTGGCTGTTCCGAACACTGAATATTATCGATAACTAGCTGAACCCTTCGATCAGTTAGAAAGGATTGTATCCAGCGTATCAGGTCTCTATCTAGATTGAGCTCTATCATCCGGGCTATCAGTCTGGCCGGGTTAACATAATCAAACGCTCCCTTTACATCGAGAAAGAGGGCTCTTATTAGCTGTTTCAGGTCTTACCCCTGATGCGTTCGTTGTATCAGACAGGCTATAACGTCTATAGCATTTCAGCCCTTTCTAGATCCCATTTGACCCGAGTGTAAGCTCTGGGTAATTTTACAATAATTAGTTATAACTTCTGCTGCCACCTTTTTTACTACCTTTTTTAGGCAGTTAAGTAAACTAAATACCCGGTAAACCTTAACTTTTATATAGTCTGGCTTATTCGGCTTCCGCAGCAGAATACCTTTGGCTTTTTTCTATGTTTCCGGATGAACGCCTAGCCTGAAACACTGCTTTACCAGAGCTATTAGCCGGGGACTGTCTCAGTCCTATAGTAGCCGTAGAGCTCTAAAATTCAGCTTATCGATACCAGAGGCCTTTTGAATAGCTTGGTGAAACAGTGCCTGTTTGACCTTTGCTTCATCAACCTGGGTGTGCCAGGTCCCTGGTGGTAGTCGCTCGGGGTCTTCTCCTTCCGGGGCCGGTGGGAATGCTGTTCCTCGTACCAAGGCCTCTTTTTACAGCATTAGAAGCTTTTCGGTTCCGTAGTAGGGCCCCGGGGGGTCCTATACTCTTCCATATCTATATCATCTCTGCGGCTGGCTGTTGGGGTTTGCATCAACTGAGTTTCTCTTCCCGTCGGGGTTCGCGGGCTGGCCGGTACTGAGCTACTTCTTGTTTGTTTAGGCTGTTAGTTTTTGTTAACTTCCGCAACACCAGGGTTCTGTGAGCTTTGGCTAGCTTGGGCGTAGTGTTGCTTCAGGTTATCTTTTTGATCTTTTCTATCCCTTTTCTGTTTTCTGGTTGCTCGTTTTGCTGGACAGTTTTCTGTAGTGGCCATATGCGGGCCCTGGCAGTTTCCGCATTTCGCTAGTGTATGCTGGCAGGCAGTTCCTAGTCTTGCTATACAGTTTATTATTTTATATATATGCTCTGCTCCTTCGTGAGATCCCGCACATTTAAATTAACATAGTTCTCGATCTTTACAGGCTCTAAAGCATCGATAACCCAGACTACAGTATCGGGAGCAGACTGTGTCTGGTTTTATCTTTCAGTACTGCTCTACTCGATATCGGGTTCTAACCAAACGGATTCCGTTGGTAAGAAACTTGCGAGCTTCTTCTAAAGATCCTACAGTAATTACTATTGTAGAATCCTTTTGATCTTTAAATTCTTTAGAGCTCCTAAACTATGTAAGATCTCGTTTTAACTGAAAGACAGTTTCTAGTTTAATCTTTTTCCGGGTTAGGCTGAGCCCGCAGCTCAGATATCGTTTGACCGGGATTCTATGGATCTTTAACCGATACTATTGCTCCGGAAGTTTCATTGAGATTACTGTTGGATCAGCTTGACGTACTGCTGTTACTAGTAGTTCTCGATAGCTTAGCAGTATTGATCCAGTAGATCCTTTTTCTAGTAGGATACTGATTGTTCCTGTATTGGTATAACCCGTATCGACTACTGGTATAAAGCTTGGAAAACTTGCATTTGCAAGTGCCTGGTTGATTCCTAGAATTACGTCTTCTCTTTCAGCTCTTGGGGCTTCTATTCTACTTTCTCTGCGAAATAGTAGTCTTCGGGCTTCTTTCGGGCTATTTTTCACTGGCCTAATATCCCCTAAGTTTGGCTGTTCTGGCTGTTTTTGTAGTTGTCTCTTCTGTTTCCTTGTAACTTCCTGGCATTCTTGGCGTCCTGTTTTGGTTGCTAACAGAGCTGCCAGATCTGCATATGTTGTCTTCCTTTGAGCTTGAGTGAATTGATTATTCGCAGGCTTCTGGTTTGAGTACTGGGCTGGTACAGCCCGTTTTTCGTTTTGAGGTAGTTGGACTGTTGTAAGCTCTGACCGGAGCTTGCTAACCTCTATTTCTGGGAGATAAATGCGTTCGAGATAAAGGTCTTCTCGGATCTGTTGTTGGGCTTTTCAGCTGTTTAGCTCTTCGGCTAGCTGCGATCGTATACATTCCAGGCCTTCATGTTGGGCCAGCTCGAGAGCTCCTGCTAAGGCATTTATTTGCTTGATCGACTTCTGTATAAGTCTATATCCGTTTGTTAGCTCTCTTTGCAGAGCTTTCTGTCGTTTAGTTGCATTGTACATTTTGCCTGCTCGGCTGGATAATTTGCTCGAGCCCCTGGTTTCTAGGGACCCTTGGCTCCCTGATTGGGGTAGCCCTAGCTGTTCTAGCTTATTTAGAGCTGTATGAGGCCTTGGGAGTGTCGGTAGCTGGGTGTTGGGGTATCTGGTGCCCCCAGGATCTCTGGGGGTTGAGAGGCCACGTGTCGCGCTCGCGGAGTTGACGCGTGTGAAACACCACCACCATGAAGTTCCAGGGCCTCCATGGCGGTCTTTTAGGGCCTAGAGGCCTCTGCGATTCGAATGACGCGAGAAAAAGACGTGTTTTCGATGGTTGCTGATTTTGATGTTCTCCGGGACGCGTTTAACACAGCGTTAATGCTCGCTTTTACTTTCAGTTATTTTTGTCATATGTACAATATTGAGTTTATTAGTGAATGAGAAATTTAAAAACAAAATGAGAAGTTAAGATTGAACGGCCATTTTTGCAATAGGCCTCACATTGCTTACATTGCTCGACATGTTAGCCTTCTCTACTTCGCGACTACTAATATTTGAGTGCCTGAGGCAACACTTTCTGCAGCCCACCCCTTCATACCAACAGATAGGAGAGGCTCATGATGGCGAAAGAAGCCACCACATAACCCACCATAACCCCAAAATCCTACAGCTATGCAAATTCTATGCTGGTATCTAGAAAGTAACCCAGGCGTCCAGCCATCTCCTGACTCATTAACGTTCAAACGAATCCCATCAAGTATTGACTAGTGATTCTATAATGGGGATTTCACCAACCGAACGATCCCTAGCTTCATGAAAGCTGAGCGAAGACTATATTGACTTACCGTAAACCTTTGTAAATCGGGCTTTTGCATTTAATTACTCAGGACTTGAACTCTACCCCGTACTCTGCCTGACATGGCCTCAAATATAGAATTTCCGATAACAAGATACGAAAGGTCGTGGTTCAGGTACCTACCCAATGAAGCTGGCTTCTTTCAGAGCTTATTCATGCCTGATTTCGAACATGCGGTGGCTTCGGAGTGTTTTTCTACCTCCCAACACTGAGTGTCTCATGTGAAGAATCACCCGTCATATGTACAGCAGGGCAATTTCGAACAAGGAACAGATTAATTATTTCCGGACCGTCGATAATACTGTAACATCTGAGCCATGTCGGTCGGCCTTTTCCCAGCAACAAAAATGAATAAGAGGGCAAAATCAAGTTTATCAGGAAAGAGACAAACGGAATCGTTATTGAGAAGAGCTACCCGAAGCGCTTTCGTGGGAAATCGTGCTTCCACCATTGTGCGATGCCGCTTTAAGATTCTTTGAGAGAATAAAAGCATGATCGCTTTGGTTGTAGGTGTGCAGCAGTAGATCTACTCGCCTTTTGCACATATGTTTGGGGGAGATGGGTTAGGCCAGCCGGGCATGGTGATGGTGGCAGAAGCATTCCACTCTGAGGAGAATCAATTGTCATGCGTTGCGACACAAATTAGGTGAGTGGCCTCTCTTGAAATGGATCACGGGAAAGAGGATCTGCAATTTTCAGCAAAGAAATGTAGGAACCTACGGAAGGAAGATTCACTTGTTCACAAACAAGATCTGCCTGATGTTCGGGGCGTTTTTTGGTATATCGAGCAATTCCATGAGAGAGACTGATCGGTTACTATTCTCGTCGAGAGCCTTTAGCACCGGGAGAAAGCCTTGTTGGAAGGAAAGCAGGATATTGAACAAGGTTCAAACCAAGCTAAAATATACGAAACATCGGTAGAGCCGATAGTCGTCTTACCTACTCGCACCGACAAATAAAATCGAGGAAACGGTGATTTGTAATGTTTCAGAGTAAGAGAACACCGGTGATCCTGGTGAAGCCGTTTAGGAAAGGCTAGAGACTAGCTGCATGGTGATGCTTGCTCGTTCTCACTGCAGCGTGGCTGATGACGGCCCGTCGATCACCCCTGCCTGGGGTCCAAGGCCACGCGGCCGTCAAACCGCGACCCAACCACGAGTCTGGCATTTGTTGGATATTCTTGGTATATTGAAGATTTAGCATGCTTGGGATGAAATTCGAAAGTCTTTCTCTGGGGTAGTTAGAAATCTGAGATCGGAAATGGGAGACAATGGTAGTCTGGGAAGCCCTCAGATCTAATTAATGGTCCCAGAGAGTGATTGAAAATCAATGGAGTAGTTCGTGGAATCGGCCATTAGACAAAGGTGTGCTGGATAAGATCGCCCGCCGATTGCAGATACTGCATGTCCACTGCGCATGTCAAGTCGCAAGTGTGAAGTGACTAAGTGAGGCAGTGTCAAAGGGTCGTGCCATACTGAGCCGCACACGTAGAAGGATTTAGAACTGAAAGCGTTAGAATATGGGGAAATGGCATGATAGCCCCCCCACCACAGCCAATCGAAAAAGAAATTCGGCCAACCCGTATCTACAGTGTTGCATCCAGAGAAATAGACGACCGGGTTGGGGCCAAAAACCAGGGCTTTGCGGCCCCAAACCTGCAGATTCGAAAGGCGCTAGAACCCGCTTCCGCCCCGACGGCCCCAGAGAACTGTCAGCCAAGAGAACCACGAATCCGTTAAGAATCTCAGCGGATTGGATACGTTGACTGGGGCTGGGAAACCGTGCCCTATTCTGGTCCAGGCGCTCTGACCAACGTGCCGCCATGAGTCTTTACATTGAACAAAGACGGCAAGTCCTGCAAAACCAGCATATAGAGGAAGAAATCATAATACCCTTCTTCGAACTTGAACACCTTACCCATGGGGCTGCTCAGAGCAGCATTTGAAAAACGATAAACAGTAAATTATCCGTTGTTGAACTTTTAACTCAACAGTGTGCTCGATAATAATTGGCTTGCTTGGCTACTCCTGTAATCTTGAGCATAGGGTCCATGTTACTGTGCAGGGATCTGAATATGCTTGTTCTCCACTAGACCATGCAGGGGCGTGGCTCCTTGGGGCTATTCAAGATTGATTGACATCATTAATCTGACATGCATAGCGGGCTGGGGTCAACAATCAGAGCTTGTTTCCAACAACACCATCTCTAGAATGCAGTGTATTGGATCTGCCCTGGAAGCCAAGCCGGACAAGGAATGAGAATGTCTATCCATCCATTCTCATCTTGGAATGGTTTAGCATAGCCCTTTGTTTCGGCCCCTGCTCAACAAGTGTGATGCGCCAGAAACATCGCTGCGGCCGACGTATCCTATGTGTCTCAAAGTATGGGCCGAGAAAAAGAAGACAATCTAGAGTGAGGGAAATACAGGGTGTATAGAGGCACGGAAAGACATAAATAAGACTATCCTCTCGCCTCAAATCAGAACATATTCAACTCACAATCACTCTCTACAACAGCCTCCAGATTCTCTATCCATTCTTTCAATCTACATTTCTTTGATCGGAATTCCCAGGCGGAAAACCCAAAACAGTCAATCATTCAAAATGCAGTTCCTTACCCTCTTCTCTGCTATTGCCCTCATCTCTGGCGCCATTGCCGGCCCCGTCGTCCAGGCTCGCGACGAGAACACTGTCCTCGCCTACAAGGACGAGTGTGCTACCGACGGAAGCTACGGATACTGTGACGAAGGCCTCTACTGCAAGGTATTTAGACTCTCCATTGAATACAAGCGGCCTCCTGGTGGTATATCAAAGAATTCTACTAACAATCTGTCTAGGCCGATGTCACCGAGGACGTCGGCAAGTGCTGCGACGCGGACGCTGGCTGGGCCATGTGCTAGACGCCTCGACCGATATGCGATCGAAAGCTCGAAATTTGGTCACCGGATCTAATCTCGGCGACAATAGGAGGAAGATTTTCAGAGACGGAGTTGTTGTTTGAAAGTGATCAGTGAAGGAAGATGTATCTAGCTTTTGGCCGCGTTCTCAATTAAAGAAGCCTTTTGTCTTCACATCTATTTTCCTTCGTATTATCACAAAGCAGTGGCTCCTGAGCTAAAGAAATGCTTGTCAATATTCACCGACAACACCGCCACTCCCTGCCTGTATCAACCTTCAGAGACACAAATTTAAAAGGTTTTCTCTCTATTCGATAAATCCTAGCAGGATCCTCCCCGATTCCAACAAACACTTCAAATACATGGGTCTGTTGTATGTAATGCAACGGCTTCAATACCTCATGAATCTGATAGTCTAGCTGTGAGCCCCCAAGATGCACGTATAATTCACGGAGATTGGACATATTCGATAGAAGACGGCAGACTTCATCCCACGTAGCGGAATCATAAGGCGGAACTACCCTTGCGTCCTTATGCTCACCGTACATGATAAATGGAAACACATGCTCAAAATGAATTGTACGGAGAAGATTCAAACGTGAAGGGGGAATAATTTGAGAAAGATTTATGATGGTGTCGATATGATTGAATCGGAAAGTGTTGCTTTGGTAAAGAAGTGGGATGGCTTCCGAATATCTGATCTTCACGTTAGCAATGGCACAATACCTCCTGTCGTCGACATATACCAGAAAAAAGCAGAGCAGAGATTGAAATTGGAAAAGTCTTACATCATGCAACAATTGGATCTGGAAACAAATAGCAGCTGTCGGTGTCAAACAAATACCCGGGACAAACGCCATGATACCCGGGGAAAGCCTTTGTAGAGCGACCCCAGCACCAATGTCCGCAAGGCGGCCACGCAGCCTCCTCCTCTTCCCCAAGACACTGGATAGCGACGAGTTTCTTAGAGCCCCTGACAAGGTGGAGATCGATGGAGCCAACGAGGTATTCCCAGATCTTCTGGCGGACCTCCAGCGGAAGCGAAGTAAGTAGACCCGATTGCCGTTGTGTACAAAAGCATTGTTTTCCAGGAACTTTCCTTTCAGCATTGAATTGGATGCCAACAAATGAAGACCTATTGACTCCATCACAGATGCTTAGTCTTCGGGGGCGATTTAATGGGAGAGGCTTTGAGAATTTCTGCTTTCGTTTCTTTCTAATGGCTCCAGGGATGTTTTCGCTCGGTAAGAAAAACGATGCTAACATGAAAGTCTTCTGAATAAGACGCATTATGAAAAGGCTTCTGCTCAAAAAAAAAGAAGAAATTGAGTGTTTGAGGAAGACAGTTGTTTCTTGGCTCCGTATTTGCCTTTGGAAAGAACATACTTCCATTTGGCGAATTTTTCAAGCTAATGTGATAAACAACAACGCGGGCTCAGATGACAACAGAACTGAGGCTGATGGGGAAGATCCTATAAGACTCAAGAGACATGCCAGTATAAGCGCCGAATGAAAATTAAGTTAGGTCGAAATATCCCGATCGTGGTGCACACTTAAGAAAATAGGTTGGGCGCTTAGAGAATCGACCAGGTCGAATCGAAGGCTAGTTTCCAGCCGGCCGTGGATGGACATGTGTAAAGCAGCGAATCAGTTAGATGTTCGAAAAGGACACAAAGCTCAGCCTTTCGCGTATCCTCTCAGCCTGCGCTCAGATGTCTCATCTTGGAACTATCAATATGTTTACCTTTTGGCTGAGCCTGACAACACAGACGATCGGCCAAGTGGGCACTTAGATTCCACGACATTTTGACGCTACTCGATAAATATGGCTACGCTGGAGCCTGGCTCAATTGTGTTTGCGTTTCATAATCCCGATCACTACTACTAGACTGCTCATTAAACTTTAATGGTATTGTTGGAACGATGTTATCAACCAGACCAGAGAGGTGGAGTATCTTGACCTAATCCACATACCGTATAGCACCTTGCTTGGCCTAGACTTGGCCTACCATTCCAAATGGCATACCAAGGGATCAGGAATGCATAGGTGTAAACAAGTGGAACTATAAATAGCTAGGCAGATTGTAGTTTAGAAATGACACTTCACTTTTACCTACCGAGCATATACCTATATTCAGTTGAATCGATAGGATATCTGCTTAGGGCAATGACCAAGTCAACCGACAGGTATAATTCCGGGCCAGTTAAGATGGCTGACGGGTTTTTTCCGCGGAAGTGACTCGCAATTATGTGATGCTATTATTAGTAATATGCCAAATGAACACGCTTAGGTGGGACGCATGGCTCTAATCAGTCCTAGATATTCCTGGACAAGGGATAGTATTTATTGGAAGACCTTTGAAACCGACGTTCAGCAAGCTTCAATGAATGGTGGCACGCCCGACTCAATGCCTTGTTCGGTAGTCTAGACTCGAAGGCAACTCAAAGAGCTTTCGTGTGAAAATTCTTTCCCAAAAAATTATTTTCCTCCATATGAAATACACGTTCGATGTTTTCTCTGGATAATTGAAGTAACCCAAGACATACATGTGAAAGCCTTTCAGTCTGGGTGCTACGCCGATGGCCGAAGGATATTCTAAAAACAAGGTACATGCTGGTAACTCTAGACCGACGGCCCGTACTTCAATGTTAGCCCTTAAGTTCCCAGCCTGACACAAACAAAGAAAGAAGAAAGAGCTGCCGTTACCTCTCTCCCCGTTACACGCTCCATTACACGTTGCAATTGTCCCGATTTAACGGAACTGATGCTGAGTACTAGGGGTAAATAGTGGCTGGCTTCTAACGGCGCTAATTTGTAGAATATGAGCGGTTACCAATTCCCTAGAACTGCCTGGTAATTGTGGCGATAGAGAAGTTTTTCAAATTCAATGGGATCATCATATCATAGTCCTTGAGAGAAGGACTTATAAATGGTCAATGGTAACCGAACAAAAGACCGTAGATATGTGGATGATACATTCTAATTGAACTACTTCTTCCTACCCAACCAAGTCATATCAAACATGATATCTGCTCTCACCTACTTTTTAGCTTTGTTGGTGGCTATTTTGACTCTGTTGCAACATGCCGGTGCTTGGATCCTGGACAAGATGAGTTAGGTATGCTCTTTAAAAACCAAATACCCCAGAAAGAATTCTTCTGACCAGCCATCTCAGGCTATGGAGACCTCGTACGGCAAGGTGTAGTTAGGGCCCTCGACTTCGCCCAAGCGGCTGAAGATACATTGTAGGCTCTGAAAGATGGTACCCATAGTGAGGCTCAGATGGATATTTTTGAGTACATGTTTGGATTTGCCGTCGAGAACGTCGCCAATAACAGACGTGTTAGGATCCACTGATTGGGGGAATATTCACTATGTGTACACTGAGGTCTTGAAATTTGCCCCTCTACAGCAGCCCATTGGCGACATATCTGACACTGAAGTTATAATCTACTGTGACTATTCGCGGTACATTGAAGGGCAAGGTTGCAACGGCAAAAAAAGTAAAAAGCTTGTCTGGGTAGGATACTTTGCGACCAAATTGAAATACTCTTCTAATCCAATAGTGATGATCACAAGCCCTTACGTCGTCGAATGGAAGCCGGAGATTCGCTCAAATGGATCTATACGGTTGGTATCTGAAGTTTGTCTCATCGTCCAAGAAACAATTTTGGGTAGGTCACATGCTGAATCTGATTATTCGACGTTTTCCTGATAAAGATAGAGTGATGTCAGTAAGAAATCAATTGTGGCGAGACCTGTGCATGGAGCCTTCAACGGATGATATCTCCGCAGTCAAATGGATGCTAGTGCGCTGCTCGACCATGAAATTCTACATGAATTAACGCATGCACTGTCGCAAGATGATACGGATGACGTCAATGGCATGCGAAGCTATGGTAGATGCCATAAGAAACCTGCTGTTTTGGAATAGCAATACTGACAGTCACAGGTTGGAAACGTTCTACGGTGATAGGTCAAACCCCTCACGATGGGAAGAATGCGGAAAACTATGCCTATTTCGGTCTTGGTAGGAGAGCCGCATTTACCACGCAGAACTAGCTGCCAGAATGATTAGTCCACGAGATGGAATGTCGGCTGTACGGCCAAATCGAGATGGGTCGATCTCTGCTATCTCGATCTCAAACAAGTAGCGTGTCTAAGTTATAAGCTGGAGATATTAAGATTTTCAAGGAGACCCTAATTGTAGTTACAAGAATGCGAACAAAGAAGGATAAACGAATACATACATTATCAAATTGCCTTGTGACGATAGCCGCCCTACAGCATGTGTTTAGTAAACCACAGCACTTGAAAGTTGCCAAAAGACGCTTTACACAATATCAAACGCCAGTAATAAATATATCCTGCGTATTAGGGATAATTATATCTTATACAACTTCTGGAGGCTGTTCAATTTTTGAAAAAAGTTCAGGATTGCATCGCTTTTGATTGCCCAATTTCTGAACATGGATAGCCGAGCCTTATTTGTTACCCTATGGAACTTGTGCTTTCAACAACTGGGACGGTGGGTTTCATTACTCGATGAGCTGGACTCCGACCATGTCTGAATTGAAGACTTCTTGAATTCCTCTGAAACATTCCGTAATCCCTAGGGCACCCGCATTCGGTAGGATCATAAGAATGCTGAGAGGGTCGGGATTGTTTCGACCCACTCAACCGACAAACCAAGGATCCTGCCTCTCCCGCGATGCTAGCATGTCTTTCGACAAAAATCGGCTACACTTAATAACGCCCGGGCGGCTCAAATGTCTCAAAAATAGTCATGAAGGCATTGGCCTCGCTCGAAACATAATCCATCGATCTAGCTGACCTGTGACATAAGCAAGGAAAGGCCCACACACGGACATTTACTGTGCAATGAAATGACATGCTTCTCTTGATCGATCGTCGATCTGTCAAGGAGGGTACGGATGTATTTTGGAAATCTATGAATTGCGAGCAGAATTGATCAGAAAATAAGGTTATCGATATGCCCCGTCCGCCTGCAAGATACGATACTGACCACTATGCATGCATTTAAGTGTTGCTCATACCAACGAAAATCTAGCTGATGCACTTCCTCAAATAAATGTAGCAATAATCTAACCGGTCCGATACGTAAGCCGGTCCGAAATTCGAGCAAAGTACTTCAGAAGGATCACGACCTAAGTGTTTTCCAGGAGGGTCTCCTTATTCAATGAACCTTATAAGATGCGATGGAGTGGTGCTTACCCAGTCGGGTGCCTCGGGCGCGCTCCACACCTGTTCCTGCCCCCCACAGAGACGCCATTTTGGCTGGATTGAGCAAGTCTGACGATAAGGATGCAGAGGTAATAGTGAGCAATGAAGAACCCACGATTGCGGTGTACAAAGGAGGGATGAATCAGGAGAGTGGATCAACTACGACATGCAGTTCTGTATGAAGGACTTAGGCTAGCCGTTGCCCGTCTGATGTGCAGGTTAAATCTCAAGGTTTCTTCTTAGATGCGCGCAGAGGATAATTCCATGATTTGAAGCTTCAAGGCACGAATAGGCTCTTACAAGACCTGCATCGTAGGTCCCTTGTAAGGCCTGACCAGTACATGTCGTCGCACAATGCCGCGGTCTATGAAGATCAGGGCGTGACCCTCTGGGCTGTGAATAGTGTCTTCATTGCGCTAGCTATCGTGGCTGTCATCGGAAGATTCTATGCGAGAAAGTTGCGGAAGCTATGTCTCGGCGTCGATGACTGGGCAATATTTATGGCTCTGGTTAGAAAAATTCTCCCTGCTCGATGTGTCCAAACTAATGATCACAGCTCTTCGACGTGGTCCTATACGGCACGTTCGCCGCATGTAAGTGCACCAAATCTCGCCTGCAGCTTGCATCCAAATATTAATTAGTCGTCACCGACATAGGTCGAAAACATGGTCTAGGAAAGCATCGAGATATCGTCCCCGAGCCCGAAGTAATACGGATGAAGGAGTTTCTATACGTCTTCTTTATCTTTTATCTTCTCGCTCCCCCAGCCGTGAAGCTGTGTCTTCTAACTCTCTACAAACGAATATTCGTCTCCTCACGCTTCCTGATTTTGGTGTACTGTATGGTCATCACCATCTCAGTTTGGGCAACCATTACGGTTATTATGGGTATATTTTTATGCAACCCCGTTAGTGCTTTCTGGACCGAAAATGGGCAATGCATGTCCCTTGAAACGCTTTCTCTCGGATACGGCGTCGTGAATATAGTTACCTCTCTGGTAGTCTGGATGATGCCGATTCCGAACATGTGGAGGTTACAGCTACCGATGGCACAAAAGATTGCTTTAACTTTCACATTTGCATTGGGCCTTTTGTACGCCTTCCCTTCTCAAATCCAACCCTCTTGATTCAAAGCTACTTGAATTCACGCTGACGGAATGACAAATCTCGAATCTAGTGACGTAGTTGTCGCCATCGTCCGTCTAATTTCCCTCATGGCAGCCTTCGGCCATTGGGACCTCACATACGACTATGCGCAGGGATTTATGTGGTCAATTATTGAAGTCTCGGTCGGAATCATTTGTACCTGTCTCCCCACGATGTTCATTATCTTGCGGACGGCCTTGAACGGGAGATTAGGTCGGATGCTGGGGCTCCCAAGCTCAACGCCTCGTCGACAGACCTCAGGTCTGCGGGCGTGGAATCGGTCTGAGGAATACGATGAGATCTTAAGTTCCTGGATGATTCGCGATGGAGGAGTTCATCAACATAACAGTGATGTTACGGCGGGGAGTGCTACGATAATGAAAACGGAATCGCTGGAACGAGAGGCAGGAGAGAGTGGGATTCGTGTTCTAGAGGAGGTCAAGGTTGAACTACAAGAGATGAAGCCTGCTGTCTATATTGCAAGAAATAGATGAACGAGCTTTCTTTATTGAAGTTGAATATGGCTTTACGGTACTTTGTATCCATCATGGGCCTGTAGCTTGAGCATAACAAACATGCACTGTGTCTAAAAGGTCCACAGAACCGATTCAAGAATTGCAGAATGTTAATTAAATTGCAACAATATGTTAGAGTTCGTGATCGGCGGCCTCAGCCTCTCGTGCCACTTTAAGTACTTTTGGTCCTTGTCCGCATCCCGACTCTGGTCAATCCTGTCATAAATTCATCATAATTGGACACGGAAATACCTCGGAGAATCGGCTGGCGTCACTATTAGCCCTAACCCCCAGGGGGTTAAACTGATAGACATATCGGACCCATGTAAAGACCCAATCAGCGATGACTGCATGGAGTTTTTTTAAATCAAGCGCAATTAAAAATAAGAATAGTTTAATGTGCGCAAGAACCTCATCCTCGGTCAAATCAAAGGATTCGCCAAGTTTGGGATCTGCATGATTCCTTCCGGGTTGGTGATGAGCGCCGCTTTACTTCGAATCCTACAATCTGCTAAGGGTAAGTTCATCTCCCCGATTTGTGCGCCTTGCCGCCTACGGAGTAGCCTCTAGCAAGAAATAGTTGAGAGCGTGAAAATATTCAATTTCTTCATTAAGTTATGTTATTTCTTAAAGCATTAAGCCGTCGCTTTGAGGAGCAGAGTGAGCACTGCGTAAATCTACTCCATCAGCCTCCAAACAGCAATATCAGCGGATGCAATTTTCGAGTCCTTTCCTCCAATCAACAATTTAGAGCCCTCAATCTCAGGAATTTTTGCAGACTCCAGGCCGTAATTAAATCCCCAAAGCAAGGACCCCCGTTTAGCAAACCGCAAAGTGGGCCCAAGGTCATTCTTGCTATCGGCACGTCGCCCCGCAAAATCAGTAATATTCGCGTTCTTAGCAACATCACCGAGGTATGAAACAAGCAGGTCCACGGAAGGATTGAACCCAAGGTAGTGGAACCCATTCCTCGAGCAGGCCGCCGGCTTGCCAGGACGATGTGGCGAGCTGTATTTCAATGTTGCAGTACTTGTGCGGTTCTGGCGCTCGCAGAACACCCACTCTTCCCAGCCGGAAATATTGTACGTCTTTCCTGCGTAGACGACGCCGCTGCCTGCGTAGTCAGGCGGTGTTTCTATGCGAGTGACTCTCATCGGTAGACGACTGCGGAGCGGGCCTTCCGTGGGGTTGAGCCCGGGGGTGTAGCTGAATTCAGGTGTCCTGGAGCCAGTGTTAGGTCCGAAGACAACGGCTCCTTTATAGTTGGCCAGTGCTTTGTTAAATGCGTCGAGAATGATGGGTAGACTTGGCACAACAACAAGCTTGTAACCGTCAATTGGTTGATCAGGGCCGATTATATCGACAGAAAGGCCGAGACGGCGAAGAGACGAATAGAACTTGTACACGACGTCCATGTATTTCACCGCGGGATCAGTGTAGGCTGTGTCTTTAGGACTCCAGGCTCCGCTGTACGGCTCGATAGCCCAGACCCGAGCGGCAACGTAGTCAAATACTAGAGCCACGTCTGCTTGTGACTCCTGTTGTTTGTCGCTTTGCAGGGCTTCCTTCAACCTTGGTAGATCTTCGTCTACCACGGTCTGAAGTTCCAGGAAGCCTTCGTCCGCGGCGTCGTCTGAAGTGAAAAGACCAGAGAGCGTCTGCTCTTGTCCGAAGGGAGGCTGACGCCAACGAAAGTATGACACCAGGTCGCCTTGGTCCGCAAAGGTCTCGTGCGTCCAAAGTCGCACCATGCCGCTCAGTGGGGACACCCGGTAGGCATTCCAGTTGAGAACGCCGGTTTGCATCTCCATGATTCCGAACGGACCGGATGTTTTGTTGTATGCTGCGCCTGACACTCCACGATAGAGGGCATGGTGCAAGGCCTGCCAATCGGGTGGCCCGGTGCGCAGGTATTCAGTCTGTTCGTCCTGAGAGAGCGACGAAAGAGTTTCCAGCCCGGCAAGAGCATACTGGTCAAATGTTGCGAGGTCCAGTCCGACCTCACGCGAGAACTTGTAGTGATCGAAGTCGGTGAAGCCCATCATGAAATTGTGTGTGATGAATTTGGTTGGCGCAAGATCCCTCAGGATTTCCGATTGCTCTCGCGCAAATTCGATCACCATATCCGAGCTGAATAGATACCAATCGAGAACATGGACCGGCTGCGGTGTGTAAACCTCCAGAAACGGTGGGTGAATTGCATCAAAGCTGACATATTGATTTGACCAAAATACTCGGCCCTGCTGGGCGTTGAAGTTCTCGATCGTTTCGTATTTCTTCTCCAACCATGTCCGGAAGCGCTTGATTGCATTATGGTCGTAACTCTGCACAGTGTCATGACATCCAAATTCGTTGTCCAATTGCCAACCCGCGACGGCGGAATGGTTGCCGTACCGCTCTGCAAGCTTTCGGGTAATCTTTTGGCTCAGGCGACGATAGTCAAACGAAGAGGGGCTATACCCACGACGAGACCCAAAGAGCAATGTGGTGTTCGTCTTATCAACGAAGCTGATGTCGTATTTTTCGTAAACCCAGTTGGGCGGAGTTGCTGTGGGTGTACCAACAATCGCTTTGAGGTTATACCGACCGAGAATCTCGAGTGTCTTATCGAGAAGAGTGAAGTTGTAGTGCCCTTCAGTTGGCTCTAAGACGCTCCAATCGAACTCGTTTACTCGCACATACGATAGGTTGGCATCTCGCATCTGAGCCATGTCAGACTCCCACATTTCTTCTGGCCATTGCGACGGATAATAGTCAACAGCGACGTGAGTGCCATGTGACCAACGATCAAGGGAGGGTGCGAGTGATGTCTCTCCCTTTGATAACAAAGGTGATCGAGGATGCGGCGTGGCAGCACAAACAGCCCCAAGGGCAGCACAGGCCACTGCCTGGCGGAGAAGCATAGTGGCAGAAGAGCAAATGTAGTTAGAACCCTGACCTGACTGTTAGAATCCGTACGGCCACGACGCTTAAATACTACTCCCGGCCTAGAGCATCTTATTAGGGTTTCAGTGGATAATGCGGCATTTTCGAGATTGGGGACATAGTTTCCTGTTCAGTTTTGTTGACTCGCATGCACTACTACTACTCTATGGTACGATACTACTACTCCGGAGTAGCCAGATGATTCTGCGGGGCTATATCACCAGAATCGTCGGAAACCGGCCGCGTTGTAATAGAAAGACGTCATACCATTTGCTCTGTACGCTTTTCACGGTTAATACTGCCCAATCGGATAAAACCGGTGCCTCGGTTAATAGAGCCGAGTCATGGGTACCCCGCTCTCCGCATCCCGCTTCCCCATGTTTGCTGGGGATCTTCAGCACACGGGATTTGAGCGGACAGTAACAAGATTATGGATGATGCCGGCTGAGAAAGAAAAACGCCCAATTAGATTATGATATAAAGATGACATGATCCAGATGTCTAGTCACTATAGAAGTATTAATCTAACCCAAATCATGTGACATAACAGATTCCTCGATGTGTCTCATTCAACAGGGTCAAAGTTAGGCCCATATCCCACAGAAAAGAGCAGACGTGATCACTCGTCTTGAGAAGATAGATCTGCATCTGTCCTATTTGAGCTCAATAACAATTCTTGAATAGTCACTTGCTCGTGCGTGGTTGCCCACGATAAGGCAGTCCTTCCCCTCTTGTCTTTGACATTTGGGTCAACCTTAATCGACTGCAACAAAAGTCTCACAACGACCATCTCATCCTGGACAACCGCCCAGAATAACGGTGTCTTCCCATTCCTGTCCGCTACATTTGGATCCACATCGTCGCACGCCAAAAGGTATTGCACGATAGAAACACAACCCCGCATAGCAGCCCATGACAAGACTGATCGGCCGGTTTCATCTCTCGCACCAAGATCAATGTCACTTGCCCTCAGGAGCTCTTTTGCGACGGCCTCTTTCTGTCCCTTGATAGCAAGCATAACGGGTGTCTGTCTGTGTGCCACTCGCGCGTTTGTGCGAACTCTTCCGGATGCAAGTAGGATTCTAACAATATCCTCATAGCCCTCCTTTGCAGCATATGCCAAAGGCGTGCACTCCCCGAAGTGTTTTGATTCAAGTTTCACATCTTCGTTCTTGACAAGCATTTCGACAACATTACCAAGGCGAAGGCACACAGCTGTCCATAAAGGGTCCTTGTTGCAGAGAGGAGCCAAATCGCCCATGAGCCCAGGCCAGCGTATATGGATATCTGAACTTGGATCGCAGAGCTGGAGCACCGAAGACTCTAGCTCGTCCTGCGGTACTATATGTGATTCACGTAGATGATGTATCCAGTTTCGTACAGCATATTGAGAGAATTGGCGATGCTCCAGGGCCATGTCCGAGTCGAGGTAGAAAATACAACTCTCTGCAAGGGCAAGATGGGCATTCTGCAAGTTGAGCGTGCCGTTCCAGTAACGGCGACCGGTCTTGGATGTTTCGGGTTGTTTCTTCACCAGGAAGTCCCGAGCCGTTTGGTGAATGAAATGGACTTTGTCGTCATATATCGAAATGAAGAGCCCGCACATGTCCCTCAGCCTGGCCTTGAAGTCTTTGTCATCTTCAAGATCCAGATCATCCAGGCTTTTTGTCGATCCATCAACACTCATAGCAATGTTCATCTCTGTGAGGCTTAGGGGAGTGACCGCGGCTAGAACCAGATTTAGGGCCTTGGAAGCCTCGTCCCCGCCAGCACATTTGCTGAGAATGCTCTCGTATGCATCATTGACACTCGTTGGAAGTATATTGAGAGCCCTGCGGACTCCATCCTTGGTGCTTGGAACGCTCGAAGTCTCGATGTATTTGATTACCAGACTCACCCAGAGGTACGTGCGGTTTTCAATGGCGAGCAACCTTTCCATAAGGTACTCCCTGGCTTTTGGACGGAGCTTCGTCAGCTGACTGACCTTCCGGCCAATGGCACGATTCACCTCCTCGCTAATCATCTCGGATTGGCTTTCCCCTGGTATGTGGACATGAGGGAACTTGTCCACGAGTTCGTCGAATTTTGATGTTATCTGCGAGTATGGTCGGGTAGTTAAAAGGAATTTTGCCTTCCCAGTCAGGCCAGTGTTCTCCCTGAACGTGCGGTTTAACTTGTCAATCATGTCAAAACTTTCTTCAGTGATGCACTCATCTAGCGCATCGAGAACAATAACCACCGAACGTGCATCCGGGTCATTTGTTGCTTTCCACAGAATGTCCCATAATGCCGATGTTACTTTCACAAGGTTCTGACCATTATGCCGATATTCGGACATTGCATGTCGGATGAGTTCAGGCCTCTGCGAAAAGAGTTGATGCAATAAAGCGCATAATGCCTGGTTTTCCCTGTTCTGTAATTGATCCTTGAAGAAGAAGTAGCAGATAGTTGATGATCCAGCCAGTCTTTTGTCGATTAGGTGCTTGGCAAGAACAGACTTCCCGCATCCAGGATCGGCAGAGACTATCAAAATTCCCGTCTGTCCCTGTTCCCAGGATTGAAACTCTTCCCTTGAAAGGAACCATTCGCACGTGCCCTCTATAGCATCTTCTACCAGATTTTTGTACCACTCGTACGAGCTATCCCTGTCATCACGGGCCAGTCGGAACAGTTGGTGGCATTCGGACTCCTTCTCGGACTGGTTTCTTCTCTCGGCCCGTTCGTGGAATGTGAGTTGTTCCTTGTTGACTGCAAGCTGTTCCTTGTTGATTTCGAGTTGCTTCTCAGACAAACTTTGCAGGTTCTCCATGAGTGAAGTGTATTTGCTCATAGATTCTTCCATACTCTCAAAGAGCATCCTAGATGTATTGACGTTGAGCTGTTTGGAATCACTTTCCACACGCTTTTCAAGATTCGTGATTCCAGTCTTCATCCCTTCCCAGTCATCATACTGCACCAAGTCGCGAAGGAAGATAAAACCACGTCTTTCGTAGCAGCGCAAGACGGTTTTCATTTGAAAGTTGAGGATGTGCTTATAAAGATTCACAATGGTTGCCTCGAGCTCTGTTCTCACTTGCTCTAAGCCAGCTAAATCGGCTTTACGGTTGCTCGGCCACAGTAATTTCTCTAAAGCGATATAGAACCTCATCCGGGACGTGACATATGTGAAACCTTCCTCGTTTGCTTGTTTGGCCGCGATAGGGTTCGTGATGATCGGCAAGACAAGGCAAACGCCGGCCCAGGCAACTGATGCCTCCGGGGACGCTTTGACTGCTTCGTCAATGAAACCTTTCATGTTCTGTATCACCCGAACGGTGTTGGCGACTTGATCTTCCAGAACATATTCGCGGCTGCCAATGTGGTATTTCATGCTTTGTTCATCAAAACGTTGCAAGCAGGTGTCAGTCACCTTCTTCATCTGGTCGTGACGGGTGTTTGCATTTTGACGCTCGATCTTGTTGACGACGTCATCCAAGTTAAAGTTTTCCTCGGCAGTATCACCTAAGCCAGTCAATACTATAGGCCGCTGGGGTCGCTGGCTTCATGCCAATACTCACCAGGGGTCTGCAACTTTGTAGAAAGTAATTTCTCGTACTTTTGGACCAGTTTCGAATCCACAGAGTCATACGCCCGGTCCCAGAGTGAGGGCGGAACCGATCCACGTGCTCTGGGAGCCCTACTTTCCTCCTCATTATCTGACGATAGATGTGTCTCCCGACACCTACTGTCATTCACAACCACTGGCTGCGACGCTGGCTGCGACGCTGGCTTTTGAGCCAGGGCGGTCGGCGATATCGAAGTGGAACCATTCTCAGTTCCCTTGACCGACCGATCTGATCGGAACCATCTTCTTAACACTGTTCGAAGACCCATGTCTCAGAGATGTTCACAGCAAGCCGATCGGAACATCACTTTGGGATGCCTTCATGTACGGAGTAGAGGATGAGCCGGGAGGCCGAGTAGCTGACATGCTGAATTATTAAATCTTGCCCCGCAGCAGCTGTGCTTTCTTTTTCCGGGCTCGTTCCTCGGGATCCATGCGCTGGTTCGGGGAACTGAAGGGTGCATGTGGATGACCACGTAGATTGGCTCCGCAATCATGCATAACGAAGCGATTGGCGGTCGGGTGCCCCTTTTCTCGGGTTCTTGAGCTGTGATGCTGTCTGGTTAGTGCTTGCAAATAGCGGCAAATTGCACGCTAATGGAGAAATTGAAATAAAGATCAGCGTAAATTTGTTAAAATATGTATTCGAAGACCGGCGGATGATGCTTCCGAGAATGCTTAGAATATATGGTTGTTTCCACCCTAGGGAGTACTATTCCGATGTTTCCTGGGCCTCTCCACATACCGTGACAAATAAGCTTTTCCAAGCAAAGGCCCGATTCATTGATTTGGAATTGCCCTCAGATCTATACAAATTCCGGATTATTCACGTTCACCGTACGGAGTATATCCCATATCTGATGTGTGATATTGCTACAGCCTGTTTGTTATGTGGAAGCATGGAGGAGTCGGGTATTCAGGGGTGCCAATGCACACCGGAGGCTAGGCTAAATAGCTAGTTACTAATGAGATGCTGACTAACCTTCATCTTTCTGGGACAACTTCATACCTAGTCATACCTATTGTCATCAGAGTTACAGAGTTACAGAGTTACAGAGTTACATTGAAAAATCCCGCAAATCCGAGCCGTCAGGCACCAATGGCCGCGACTTTCCTATCAGCGTTAGCGCGTTACCGGGTTTGGCAGGTGTAGGTGCAACGCGTCGCTGGGAAACTTCCTTCTGGTCTTCCTTCTGGTCTTCCTTCTGTCTTCCATATTCCTTCCATCCGTGGGGGCGATTGTGATTGTATTTCTATCACGGGTCGGCACTCTGCCTGGTCTTCACTGAATACATGGAAGCACCTGCTATTCACTTTCCACCGCACTAATTCCCGTCCACCTCTTCGATAACTCGGTTGCTTCTATCTGACTCGTCATTTTCTCTTCTTAGTTGGTGACAAAGAAACTCGTGCTGCCGTCAACACTTCTATTTCAATGTGATTTTCATCCTTTAGGGCGATCTACTCGGTCGGTCTTCATTTTGGTGAACCGATCTTTAGCCTTTCTTACTTCTCTTACATTCACTTGATCGGAGGGACCGACCGCAGCGATGGTGGAAACAGATATGAGCTCGATCTTGGCGGGAGTGCGCGAGGGGCTGAAGTCAAAGCAGAAGAGGGACCAAGAAGAAGCATCCGACGAGATTCGTGACAGAATGGCTCTCATCATCAGAGGTAAGCCTGAAAACGCCATTGATCACCCCGTTACTGACCCAATTGTCACAGACAAACCTAGTGAGCAGCTGAAAGAAGACTGCGATACACTTTGTCGATTTCTCGGTCAACAGATCCTGCACGGCGATTTGAACAGAAGACTCGGAGGACTTCTAGCACTTGATCGACTGATCGATGTTCTTGCCGGCAGCGCGACCCAGATAGTCCCTCGATTCGTCAGCTATCTGAATAAAGCCCTGCAAAGTGAGGATATTCACACCCTTGTCTGCGCTTCAAAGTCGTTGGGGCGTCTCGTACCCCAAAGCGGATTTCTAGCGAAAGAATTGGTGAAGAGTGAGGTGCGGTCGGCTTTGGAACGTATACATGCTGGAAATCTCGGCAGCAAGCGTCTGTTAGCAGCATTCCTGACTATCAAGGAGCTTGCGACAAACGCTCCATCCTTTATGCTTTTCTATGCGGCTGAAATATTTGGAGTAGCATGGATTGGACTTCGCGATTGTGATCCGCTCCTATGTGCGACGGCTGGAGAAGCCATTGGTGAGTGCATGAAGCTAACAACTGCGCGAGACCAACGCCTTGCCCAGCAGTGGTGCATGCGGTTTCATGAAGAAATTCTCTTGGGACTCGGCTCCAATGATAATCAATGGATATTTGGATCTCTACTGCTCCGGAAGGAATTGGCACTTTACTGTGGCATGCTCACGATCAAGCAACAAAAACAGACCTGCGACTTCATATTCCGGCTCAGCAGCCATCGAAGTTCCCGAATCCAGGCGCAGATAATCACCATTTTACCCTCTCTTGCTAGCCATTCTCCACGAATGTTTGCCCAGACCTACCTAGGCCCGTCCATGGTCTTTCTAAAGGCTCACTTGGAGAAGGGCAAGGAGCGTGACACTGTCTTCCGTACCATCGGGGAAATGGCAATTGCTATGGACGACAGCATGACTCCTTACTTGGGGGACATCACATGTTGCATTCAAGAAGACCTTCAGATGAAGGAGAAAGGTCGAACTCACGTCAACGAAGCATCAATTCTGGACTGTATCCGCATGCTGTCCCTCGCTTTGGGTCCAACCTTCTCAACCTACGCACAGAAACTTCTTGGATTGATGTTGACTTGTAATATAACTAGGGAGCTCCGAGATTCCCTCCAAACAACAGCGGAGAAAATCCCGTCTTTAGGACCAAGTATACAGACCGACTTTCTTGCTCTTCTGGAACGGTTCCTCCTTGTCCCGGGCCCTGACGCATGCACTAATCCGGATACCCACCTTCCAGCGAGAACTACCAACAAAGACCATGATATTCCCACACATCACCGAAACGATACTTTTGCTTTTGCTCTCAACGTGCTAGGAGACTTTGATTTTGGGTTTCTCCCGACCAGTGCTATCGTCCAACAGGCCATGTTCAAATACGTGGAGCACGAAAGTCCAGAGGTTCGAAAGACCGCCGCATTAACTTGTTGTCGATACTTTTTACGTGATCTCAAGCTGAAGCGCCCGGGGTGTAAATTTCCTCGAATTCCTCCCGACGTTCTCAGAAGGCTTCTATCACTCGGCATAGGAGACCCTGACGCGAGCATTCGAGAAGCCGTGTTGTCCGCATTTAGCTCTGAATTCGACCGTCTTCTTGCACAGCCAGATCATATCCGGTGCCTCTTCCTTGGCGCCAACGACGAAGTCTTCCAAGTTAAGATTGCAGCGATGTGCATAATTGGGCGCCTATCAAGCGTTAACCCTGCTTACGTCCTTCCATCACTCAGAAAGTTGCTTCTTAATTTACTGACAGGTCTTGCTTTCGCCAAAGGCGTTCCTGAAAAGTTAGAGACGCTTCGGATGATCAATGTCTTTGCCTCAAATAGTACATCGCTGCTAGAAGCATATGTCGCCCCGATATTGGATATCTTGCTCCCGAAAGCTACGGATGAGAGCCAGGCTGTCGCAACTGCAACTCTCAACGCTATTGCGAACCTTTTCAAATTCGCCGGGCCCTCGGTGCAGGGTTACGGAGCAAGACTAATGCCCTCCTTATTGACTTCTCTTGCAAGCCTGACCTCTAATACTCGGCGGGAAGCGGCCCTTGAAGCAATTAGTCAACTTGCGCAGAATGCAGGATGTGCAACCTCTCCATATATCGAGTTTCCAGAGCTCCTGCCTGCTCTCATCAAGATGGTAAAGGTCGAGGAAGTGGAGTCTATTCGGTTGTCCACGACTAGGCTCCTTGGAACTCTGGGCGCTCTGGACCCAGTTAAATGTCTTGGGCCAAATGATTCCACCTTGGAGCTGCATCGCGTAAATCAGGTCCCCAAGGAATCGGGGATGGACGAACACATGCGCCGCCTGGACCTTACTGACGTGGAGGTTTTCCGATCCGAGGTCTTCAATTCCATATTGGACAATGTCTTGTCCCAGCCTTCCTTGAAAATGCTTCACCCATCTGCCATCGACGCCACAATCATGGTCTGCAAAGTCACCGGAATGGAGTGCACATCCTTCCTCGACAAGATTATCCCAACCTTTTTGTCAATAATTCAAGCATCCTCGGAAAACAATTTCGGATACTACTTTAGCCAACTAAGTGCTCTGATTGATGTCATCAGTCAACATATTCGCCCTTACCTAACAGAAATTATGGGTATTATTCGAATGTTCTGGCACAAGATGAAACAGGCCCCTCTCATATCATTGATAGAAACACTGTCAGTACACATGGGCGATGAATTGAAGAGATACATTAGCAGCTTGCTTCCCATGATAGTTGCTACCTTGGAGGATGGGACTTCGTCCGCGGCGCAGCGCATCCTTCGTCTTCTAGTTGTGCTAGGTAACACCGTCGAGGAGTACATGCATGTTATCGTTCCTTCTTTGATACGACTCCTTTCCGGTCCTATCTACTCGACGAAGGTCCGCAGGTCAGCCATTGATTGCATTACAGACCTGTCAGAGGAAGTCGATTTGTCCGATCTCTCCTCTCCCCTGGTCCAGTCCCTTGCGGATGTTCTGTCTGGCAATGAGCATGATCTAGTGCAGGCGAGTATGAATTGCCTCTGCGCACTCATGCGGTTGCTAGGACAAGACTTTATTTGCTACACTCGGACTATCAACAAAGCGCTAGCTAGTTACAATATCACTCACGATGGGTACTCGACACTTCTGTGCAAGCTTCAAAAAGGAGAAAGCCTACCCCCACGTCTAGACACTACCGCTCGAGATGAACGCAACGAAAACATGTACGAGCGTCCTCTCATGCGGCAAAGAGATCTGAACGTTAACCTGGAACGCCTCAAGAACGCCTGGGATACTTCTAGGATATTCACCACGCGAGAATGGCAGCAGTGGATTCAGGAGCTAACGCTCCACCTCCTAGAAGAATCACCATGCGCGAATGTTCGGGCCTGTGCAAGCCTGGCAGAGCTATATCACCCCTTTGCAAAAAGTCTATTCAACACGGCCTTTGCGTCATGTTGGGCTGCGCTTCCCGAACAATATCAACAAAGCCTTTGTGAATCTCTGGTGGACGCCCTTTCGTCCCCAAATTCTTCCTATAACATTACCTCAACAGTTCTCAACCTGGCCGAGTTCATGGACAGGTGCCACAAGCATCTTCCCATCGACACCGGGATGATGGCATACCACGCAAAAAAGTCACATATTTATGCCAAGGCTCTGCGCTATGAAGAGTTACACTTTGATGAAGATCAGAACATGAGCACACTGGAGACTCTTATGTCAATCAACAACCACCTTCAACAGCCCGACTCCGCACATGGAATTCTTCGTACGTCCCATGAGCTTGGGAAAAGTGGTATCCAGGAAAACTGGCTGGAGAACCTGCATTACTGGAAAGCTGCTCTTACCTCATACGTCAAGCGCGAGAGAGACTGTGAGAGCGCCGAAAATTACGAAGACTGGAGTATCACTTTGGGGAAAATACGTTGCTTGCATGCTCTCGAGGACTGGAAGGCGCTTTCCGAAATCGCGAATGAGAAGTGGAGCCGCGCATCTCCAGAGCACCAGCGTGCCATTGCGCCCTTAGCTGCTACCGCTGCTTGGCGACTCAAGAATTGGGAGCTGATGCAAACCCTCTTTGGTGGAATCAAGCGGGGAACAGCAGATCGGAGCTTCTTCGGTGCTGTGCTAGCTGTTCATAATGATCGGTTTGAGATTGCTGCAGCGCATATTCAGGATGCGCAGAAAAAACTGGACCCCGAGCTCACTGTCATGCTGGATGATTCCTACGGTCGCTCTTATGAGGTCATTGTGCGTCTACAGATGCTCGCTGAATTGGAAGAGATCATCATTTACAAGAAGTCTGGCGACTCGGAAAGGCGGCGACAAATCCATGAGATGTGGAATCAGCGGCTGCTTGGGTGTCAGCGGAGTGTTGAAGTTTGGCAACGTATATTGAATCTCCGGACTCTATCTGGCTGTTCAGTCAGAGATGACATGGGGATCTGGATCAAGTTTGCTAACATGTGTCGGAAAGAGAACCGTTTGGACATGGCTGTGGAGACGATAGTCTCCGTTGAGGGAGCTGCGTCAAATATTCAAGAGTCACCACTGACGGAGATCACACTTGCTCGTCTCAAAATTGACTGGAAGCTGGGGCGTCGACAGGAGGCATTTGATGGGCTGAAAACGCTCACGAGAAGCTTGGAGCAGCAACTTTACCAGAGCAATCGATCGAAGCGTTCTCTCAGTGAGAATGACAAGCTTCCGGGCTTCAGAAGTACTCGAAAGGTCATTTCAAAGTGCTATCGAAGTCTGGCGGACTGGCAGATGGCCCTCCACGAAGGCGCCTGGAATGAAAGGCATATCCAAGCGATCCTCGATGCCTACCACGCTTCCATGCAGCACAACAAAGATTCCTACAAGACATGCCATATCTGGGCCCTCGCCGCCTACAAGACAGCACGCGTGATTGGCAGAGACACATCCTTGAAGTTGAAGATCCCCGAGAGTACGCTGCGCGGCTACATAATATCGGCTATAGAGGCGCTGTTCCAGTCGATCTCCTTGTCACCTAACTCGCCTCTTCAAGATATCCTCAGGGTTTTGACGCTCTGGTTCACGCATGGCAACGAAAAGGAAGTCAACATGACGGTAAATGGAGGAATCTCGCTTATCAGCCTAGATGCATGGCTTGCAGTAAGTCCTCAGCTGGTAGCTCGTATCACCAGCCCCAGTAAGTTCGTGAGAGCTACTGTGCAGCGATTACTTACGGAGGTGGCCAAGACCCACCCGCAGGCTTTGGTCTACCCGTTGACCGTCGCGATGAAATCACAGATTGCTCGGCGTTCCCAGTCCGCATGTGATATAATTGGTGACATGAAGCGACATAGCCCCAATCTTGTTCTACAGGCAGACACCATCAGTCAGGAGCTTATCCGCGTCGCCGCTCTGTGGCATGAGCTCTGGCATGAGGCGCTCGAGGAGGCTTCTAGGGTGTGTTTTGTGCGCAATGATATTGAAGGGATGATCAACATGCTCAAGCCATTACATGCGATGATAGAGGCTGGTCCTGTGACACTGAATGAGATTGCATTTCTTCAGGCCTTCGGTCGCTATCTAAACGAGGCGAAGCAATACTGCCAGGCGTATTTGGCGAGCCGCGCAGTCGGCGACATCAACCACGCATGGGGCTTGTACACTCTTGTCTATCGGCGGATTGGCACCCAACTGCCGCTTATGCTGCAGCTTGAGATGGGGTCAATCTCGCCGAAGCTCAAGAACTGCGTAAATCTTGACATTGCCGTTCCCGGTACCTATCGCAACCACGCCAGCCCCGTGATTAAAGTCGCGCACTTTGATCCTAATCTGCCTGTCATCGAAAGCAGGAAGCGACCGCGAAGACTGAGAATTTTTGGTGACGACGGGAATGTCTACATGTACCTCCTGAAAGGCCAGGAAGATATCCGCCAGGACGAGCGTGTAATGCAGCTATTTGGTCTCGTCAACACCCTCTTCGCAGGCGATTCGGAAAGCGTTCGGCGGCAGCTCGCGGTTCAACCGTTCCAAGCCATCCCTCTATCCCAAAGCTCCGGTCTTCTCGGGTGGGTCTCGAACAGTGATACCCTTCACTCCTATATTAAGGAGCACCGCGAAGCCCGCGAGACAAAACTCAACATCGAGTTAAACCTAATGTTGCGGATGTCGCCCAACTACGATAAGCTCCCTTTACTCGCCAAAGTTGAGACATTCAAAGATGCTATGGCCAAAACGACCGGCAAGGACCTCTACCAGGTGCTCTGGCTGAAGAGCCCCAGTTCCGAAGCTTGGCTGGTCCATCGAACGCACTACACGCGCTCGCTGGCCGTGATGTCAATCGTGGGGTATATCCTCGGCCTAGGCGATCGCCACCCATCGAACTTGCTCCTGCATCGCGACACTGGGAACATTGTGCATGTCGATTTCGGCGATTGTTTTGAAGTCTCTTTACAGCGGAGTCAATTTCCCGAGAAGGTCCCGTTCCGCCTCACGCGCATGATGGTGGTCGCTATGGGGATTGGGAACTTGGAAGGGAACTTTCGCGCCGCATGTGAAATTGTGGTGAGGGTTCTCAGGACTCATAAGGAGGCTATCATGACTATTCTTGAGGCGGTATGTTTTTCACCCTTATCCTCGACTTGGTTTCGAGAACCCTGTTAACTTTTGGTGCCGATCATTTACTAATCGTTTTACAGTTCCTCCACGATCCTGTCTTAACCTGGCAGGGCTCCCAACCTCCTGGTCCTCAACAACAAAAGCCCGGCGAGATCGACGGTCTAGAGGATATTGGCCACATTGGCCAAGTAACTGAATCACCTTCCTTCCGTCGGTCCTCTGTCCTGGGCGCCGGCGTCCTTGATCCCCAGCAAGGAGACGAAAAAAACAGCGTCGGCGGTGAAGAAATCCTCAATGTCCGCGCCGTCGAGGTTCTCGCTCGAGTGGAGCAGAAACTTACCGGTTTTGACTTTCGAAAGGCGAAGATGGGTGTTGAAGAGCAGGTCAGGAAACTGGTTGAGGAGGCCACTAACATCGAGAATCTCTGTCAGCATTATGTTGGATGGTGTCCGTTTTGGTGATCGGATGAGGTTGGTTTACTGGAATGGATTGGATGGTGGCAGGTATTTTGCTCTGTATTCTGGATGGAATGATTTTATGAAGATATGATGGCGTTAGATTGTTGATTTAGGCTCAGGTCAGGCTTTGGGTTCATTTCGCGGTGTTCATATGGTTGATTCCCTGGGAGGGTGGTTATCTGGGTCTTGGTCTTGTTTGTGTCGTGCTGGTATCATGCAAAGTACATCGGAGTTATCGAGAAATTCATGGCCCTTTGGCTCATCTATTATGAAATGGAACTGTACATCTTGTTTTTGCAACAATCTAGTAGTGATGTGTCTTCCACCAAATCGTATATTCACAACTTATGCATCTGCATAAATATTTATGCCATATAATTATCCATGCATAAATCTAAATATAGTACATCCGCATATCTACTCTATCCCCTTCCACCCCTTATAGTATATCAAAATTATAACATTATATCGCCCTCAGTCCATCCTGCACATCCGGCCTATCCTTCTCTTCTTTTGCATTTGCATCCCCACTCCTATTCTCATCCCCATCCCGACTGATACTCTCACCTCCCATCTCCTTCTCCGCCTTCTCAGCCTTCGTCAACTCCTCCCACCGTCGTATCACTATCGCCCTCTCCTCCGTCGACGCAAGACACATCTCTTCCATGCCCTGCGCGATGCGAGATTTTAGGATGTCTTTTGTTTTTGATTTCGAGAGGGATTTTCGGAGGCTTTTGTGCATCCCGTCGAGGGGGTAGCCCGCTAGGCCCCATACTCCTGTTAGATTTGGTTAGCATTGCACTTCCACTTGTGAATGTGAATGTTGGGGGGGGTGAGAATTAGAATCTGAGTGAAGATGTGGATAAGAAGAGGAGGGTTGGTCAAGATAAAAACTAATCAACGTAGAAGTGAAAAAAAAAAAGGACAGAAAAAGAAAAGAAAGGGGGGACTACTCACCAGCAACAGGCTTAAACACGACCCCGCCCATTCCCTTTCCGATGCCTTTGATGAATCCGCGAGGTCCGGTCTTTTTGGCGCCGTTGAAGGGCTGCGTCACGAGGCCTGTTATGCCGTTGTAGAAGCCTTCGGTGAATTCCTATTGTTGAGTGGGGGAGGTAGTTAGCTAGCTGATTTTCTTCTTCCTTCTTTTAAGTCCCTGGTTTGGCAATGGCAACTAGGTAATCCATTCCTTCCATAGGAAAATAATTTCCTTTTCCGGTAGAGCGAAATCGGTAGATAGAGATAAGATATAAGAGAAATAGAAAACATACCGTCCCCGCAGCGCGAAACCCACTCTTCACGCCCAACACGCGCGGCGTCTCCTTGACCGTCCGATCATGGTAGAGTTTCGGCGCATTGTGAAATCCCTTGGACAGGGACAGGGTGAGGTCGTGGGGGAGGAGGATGGCGAAGTCGAGAGCGTGTTTGGCGATTTTGGTCATGTGGTAGCTTGTTTCGAGGAACATTTCATGTAGCGAGGAGCGCGTCTCTGTGGCGGTTTGTTGGCGCGTGAGGGTTTGCTCGAGGTCCAGCTCTGCGCCGAGAGAGGAGTTTGAGGTTGTGGATATTGAGGCGGTGTCGGAGTCGGAGTCTGCGTCTGAGTTGGTGTTGTTGGATTCGGCAGTAGGAATAGGTTGGGTGGTGGTGGTGGTGGTGTTGCGATGCGCAGACGAAGCAGATGCTGGGTCAGGTTCTGGTTCTGGTGTGGATTGACTGGTTCTCGTGGTTTCTTCGTTCGAGTTGATCGATTCTTCGGGCGTGTTGTATTCTGTGGATTCAGCTGAGTTGGATGTTGAGGGTGACTTGGAATGCGATTTCGAGTACGAGTGCGTGTTGGATTCCAGTTGAGATTGCATAGTAGGCTCCGATCGCGATCGAGCCCGTGAGTTCCTCGAGCGAGTCCGAGAATGTCGTTCGCTCTGCGTACTCTTCCGAGAGGATTTCCTGCTCGTCTTGCAGGTCGGCGGGAATTCTTCGTGCGGTTCGTGGGAGAACATGTCGACGACATTGCCCGGTAGAGTGGCCACGCCCGCGATCAAGTCGGTGACGATGCCGTAGAGGACTTCTGCGCCGGCGGTTAACGGGCCCTGGGGGTCGCGATTCGTGTCGTATTCTTGGGATCGGTACCTAGATTCAGAAAATTGTGTTAGTATTCGCTGGGAGGTCATCTAGGTTGTAAGGAGGCGTACAAAACTACATCGCTCGTATTCACCAGCCCCGTCTCGACCAACACGGCCGCAGCAAACGTACTCAACCTGATCCTCGACTGTCGAATGAACCATACAGCCGGTCGCTTCGGACAGATCGAACATCGCAGACTGTCCACGTCCAGATGGTTATGGAAACTAGCCACCGCGTCCCGCACCCCGTCTTCCTGACGCATGTCCTTTCCGATCTTCTCCGCTTTCTCGCGCGTCTCGGGCTTCAAGGCGATCTGAATCGCCTCGGTCAGCTTATCCGCCGTCAACTGCTTGTACGGCACGGGCGGCGGACCAGCACCGGCTCGCGCCACAATCGACCCCCAGAACGGCTGGTCGCCGAAGAAGGGCACGATGACGGTGGGTCGGCCCAGCAGGAGTCCTGCAGCAGTGGTCCCCGCGCCGCCGTGATGTACAACCGCGGCAACGTGCTGGAAGAGCCAGTCGTGGGGACATTTTCCGAGCAGGAGCACGTTGTCCGGGGGATTGTCGCCGCCGATGTTACCCCAGCCTTTCGAGATGAGGGCGCGTTGGCCCGTTTGGCGCACCGCGTCGAACACGATCTGTGTTAGTTTCCCAGGGTTGTCGACGACGATGGACCCGAAGCCGATGTAGATGGGCGGGGGCCCGGATTCGAGGAATTTGGCCAGGTCGTCCGGGGGCTGGTAGCTTGATTCGTGGGGGAGAGTGCTGAAGCCGCAGACGTCGATAGTGTCGGCCCAGTCGGCGGGTTTGGGGAGGAGAGAGGGGGACCTTATTCATGTTAGCTGTACGTTCGTTTATCTTCCGTTCGACAGAGTAGCTGGCTAAAGGGGGGGGGGGGATACCAAAGATAGGTATACGGAATCCGCAATCTCGACGGAATACTCGGTGCCCGAATCGCATCCAATGGATCCAAGCCCAACTCTCTCTTCCGAAACCGATTGATTAAATCCCCTAACCCTTCCCACATCATCACCTCGACGATGGCATACGACGCGAAATTCGCCGCCGAGGGCTTCGTCGACTGACTGCGCACGTTCGCCAGCGGATGCGGAAACGCCTGCGTCGCACTCCACGGCATCGTGAACATCAAGTTGACCGGCACCCCCAATTTCTCCGCGCAGCTGAGATGCACAAAACTCGGCGGATTCGCAATGATCGCATCCGCGACGAACGGACGATTCTCGGCATCCACGGTCCCACTCCATGGATCGTCGGGAACATGATGCAGCCCCGTTCCATCCCCCGTCTCGAAGCACGAGCGCCAGCATCCCGAGAAGATAGCTTTCATCTCGCGACGGCGCTTCCGGATAGCTCCGCTCCGAATGGTGCTCATGTCAGGCATCAGGCCCGGATTCTTGACCATGAAAGCCATCAACTCGGCCGGGTCGCCGCCAATATTAAAGAATTCGAGACCCTGCGCGAGGACGTCATCGCGGAAGGCGAGATGCGTGGCGAGTCGGACGCGGTGGCCGTGCGACCGGAGCCGTTTGCCCAGGGCCAGGAAGGGTTGGACATCTCCGCGCGATCCGACGACCTGGATGACGATGTTCAGGCGTAGAGGGAAGGGCGCGTCGGTGGTGGAGAGCACGGAGGCCTTGCGCGACGGTTCTTGCGGTCGGCGGCGGTCGATCAGATGGACGAGTTTGGTCAGCCAGGGTTTATGCGATCGGAATTTGATGTCGAGGCGACCGTCATCTTGCGAGTCGATAATTAGCAATCATTGTCTATCGTTAACATCTTCAACAAGAGAGACAATGTACGTACCCATGACTCGGACGCCCGTGTTCAACCCCCGTTCGCGCACGGTGTGTCCGTGTCGGTGTGGATTGCCATGATCGACGCTGGGATGTTCGTGGGCGACATTCTCAGGCCAGTCGCCCGACTGGATCGGTATCCCCTGCTCGGACATTCTGGGGATAGATAGAGAGAAAGAAGAAGATCAACGGGCACGGGTGATCACCAACGAAGTGGAGAGAGAAGCTGTTCCTCCCACCGGGTTTTCGCGCGGTGATCGGAGTCCAAGGGTCTGCGATGATGTCACCGCGCCCAACCGGGCAGACCTGTTTGGACTCGGATCCACGGTTCCATTACTCCGTATTCTAATCAGAGATCACTAATCAGAGACTCGGGTTCTTGTTAGGGTCTAGAATTGGCCGAAGAGGAAGATTCGCGAGGTTTGGGTTGACAGGCTGCATCTCGGATTTTCACTATATATAAGTAACTATGTATCTTCACCTACAGCAGTTCACCAACCACTTGCTCTCTGGAGTCACATAACACAATATACACTAATCATTTTAATTTAGTCGCTGGGGTAAATGATAAAGAACACACCTTCGTCTTCCTCAACCTCTCCCTCAACCTAGAGGACTCTCAATGGGGAGTTTGTACATCGGTGGTGAGATGCCTAAGGCAGCATGCCAAGCATTCTGTCACCTCTAGGCACAGGTCTCACTACAATTATGTTCATGATGTTGTTAAGTTGGTAAAATTGACCGATTCCGTCGAAGAATCTTAAAGGATTGCAATGTATACACCTCAGGACTACACCGTGTTGAGGAAAATGCAGCTTCATTTTTTAGAGGTTGAACACTAGATAGGTAGTTAGAGATTTACTACGGCAAAAGGGGCAAACCAAAACCAAGATGAAAGATTACTCAATAAAATTAATCAAATACATGTATAGAGAAGGATATATATATGGACAGCAAAAAAGTTTGAATATAGAGGCATTCCCAGCTAGTGAGAAACACTCCCCGATCGAAATCTAAACTACAAGTCTATCTTTCGCTTCATTCTCCCAAACCAAGCCAGCAACTCATACCAACTAGGTCAGACTCATTTAAGCCTGAATGCACTGGTGGTAGTAGGGGTTCCACTTCTTGCAGATCAGGCCGCTGTCGCAGCCGGTGGAGCCGGTGAAGTTAAGACCACCGCACTGCTGGTAGATCTTGCCGGAGCCGGCGCCGGGGGCACCGGAGCTGGAGGGAGCAGCGGAGGAGGTGGTGGCGCGGACGGACGTGGTGAAGCTGCTGGGGGCAGGGGCAGGGACCTCAGGGGCGGACGAGGACTCAACGGGGGCAGGGGCGGCGGTCACGACGGCCTCCTGGGTGGTGGGGGCAGCGGTGATAGCGGCCTCCTGGGTGGTGGCAGCGGCAGCGGTGGTCGAGACGGCGGCGGGGGCGGTGGTGGAGGCGGCAGCAGCGGACGAAGAGCCCGAGCCGGAGGAGCCGGAGGAGGCACCGTCCCAGACGGCGGGGCCGGGGATGGGGTACGAGTCGAAGTCGCTGTACATGTCGAAGAGGATACCCTTGTCGTCGGCCTTGTAGGCACCGGGGATAGAGACACCGGCGGGGAGGGTCTTGGAGCCGTCGGAGGTGATCTTGACCTGGACACACTCCATGTAGAACTGAGCACCGCCCTCGCGGTTACCCTCGTGGAGGGCAATGATCTCGGGACGGAGCAGGTACTCGCCGGCCTCGAGGTCGGGGATGGTGACGGAGTGCTTGCCCTTGTTGGCAATCAGGTTGTCGACGGCCCACTTGTCGGAGGACTTGTCGTAGCCCTCCTCGGCGAGCTTAACCCAGCCGGAGCCGGCGGCGCCCTTCTTGGTGGGGGCGATGTAGGTCATGACTGGACCCTCGTGGGACGAGGCGATGATGTCGTCGCTGGCATCACGGCTGCTGTGGTGCCACTCGAAGGTGACCTTGTCGCCCGACTTGACGGAGATGGTCTTCGCGGCGGCCTTGTCACCGTTGACGTTGCAGGTCATGTCGGTGGAGGTGACATCGGTGACGGGGGAGTTGCTGGGGGGAGAACGGATGTAGCCAGAATCGGTGTTACCCAGGCCCTGGTCCTCGCCGTTAATCCAGACGGCGAAGACGGTGGCGTGGGCGTTGGCCATCTTAGCAGCCGCTGCCAGAGCGAGCAATCCAGCGGTGGTCTTCATTTTGAAGGTAAAAAAGAATGTAATGTCCGTAGGACGGTGGGTAAAAAAAGAGAGGAAGGGGTGAAAAAGAGAACGTAAAAAGAGAGAATGAATGCAGCTGTCCAGGCTTGAGAAACGAAAGAGAAGAACTGGTCAGAGGAGGCATCGAGCAGAGCCGTCTTTATACAAGTTCAGCTGGTGGACTCTCGTAAGATAGGGAAGCCCTGCCAAGCATCGGAGCAAGAAACAACGTTTCATCTAGAGCAATTGGCTTCATTTCGACGTCTTGGCATCTCCTCTGGCGGCGGAGACAGTCGAAGGCCAGACCTGCCCGAGCGAACGAGTGTAAGCGCCGTTATTAGACATTGGCTCCTGCCCTGGAGCCATTTCAACGGCTATATCCACCTGAGGGAGAGTGAACTCCGGTGGTTCCTGCGATGGTGTTGCGCCGGCGGGCTTGGCAGAGGGCCGTGTTTCAGCTTCATTTCACCTCGCCCGTCATGGCGAGGGAAACCCGCCGATCAGATCGACCCACGCGATCTGCCGTCACAGATTGTCTCTGCCGGCCGTCTCTTTGGTGGGAAAACTCCGATTTCCGAACGGTTCCTCTTTTCATTTCTTGCTTCCCCCTGCCGTCTCACGGAGTCAGGGTTCTGTTTTCAGGGTTTGAGGGTTTCGCATGGAGGCCCGAACTGGAGATGGATTGCGAATGCTTGTCCTGGACTGGGTAAATTAATTCGGCCCCAGTCCGAGTAAGACATTCAACAGGGAGTGGCCTCAGTCCAGTATTATCCGGATATTAGCAATTTAGCATAATCCACCCACTTTGCCTCCGCCAACTTTTGCCCGGCTGGTCGGCGGCAAACAAAGTACGGAGGAATACTGCGCCGTAGTCAGTTAGTCGGCCCGATGGCGGTTCGTAGATTAATTCAGATGAAGGGATTCATATAATCCATCACACCGCAAAGTGTTCGATCAATGAGGTGGCCTGACGCGCCCTGGTGCCTGTTGATCGTTGGCCAGAAATTAATCCCAGGGTCGCTCGCTCGGACGATCATGGCTGACCTGTCCATTTCTCCCATCAGCGGCGTTTACCCGTATATTGCACTGGTCGACGGCTTATGCCAAGGCAATCTACTACTGAGAGAAAGCAATATCGAGCATCGAATGGTCGCATGGGCTGACCGTTGACGGTGTCCTCCGTAGTGGTTAGCGAAATGATGGCGGCGTCCACAAGCGCCCACAAAGTCCTCTATCATCCCCTGCGAACCCCCTTTTTCTGGTGGAATCCTCCGGGTGGAATCCCCAGATGGAAGACGATGGAAGGCCAGGCAGGGACTTTCTTCCGCTCGGTCGGTCCTCGGTCCCCCGTATCCGTATGGACTATGGAGATGGAAGGCAGCAAAGATGAATGGCTCCTTCTATTCCCGTTCGCCTCGAGGACTCGGTTTCCCTAGTTTCCTGACTATTGCCTATGGCTTGACTGACCGCTGCTTTTTCTTAAAATAGGTTGCCTGATTCTAGACCTCGGACGTGGTGTGGTGCCAGATCTAATCGACTCGACCGACTGCTTTCAGGACCGACCGATGGCCGAACTTCTGCGTTGATGCTGGACTTTCGCGGTCGCTGCACAGCGTTGCGGTGATCGTCAATATATTGAAGTCACGAACCGAAAAAGAATTCACGAGCGGATCCAAGCCACGCGGTCGGTCGGTCTGGCATGACATGCATGGCCGGCTGCAGTCGAGTCAATAGCGGATAACAGCACACGTCGTTCTGATATTCCCTCCCCGACCGACCGACAAACAGACCGACCATAAAGGTAGGTTACACTGATGGTCTGAAAGAGAATTGAGATCCATGTGTGACGCGGCGAAAATAGAAGCATGGGAAATCACAATGATCTGTCCGATCGCATATCGGCGGCAATCACCGCCGCCGCAGCTCAACCCAACGCGATCGGCGAGAGTTCCTCGTGAAGCGTGTGACCTGACGAGCTAGTCAGGTCTGCGAGGCTGAAAGTCGAGTTTGCGTGCAAGACGATCCTGGTCAACCCGGCCATGGAGTGCCGGTCAGGACGAGGGCCTTTGGGTGGAATGCTGGCACCGACCGCCAGTGAACTGAACCTTGACGTGGACCAGCGTGCGAGGCCATGTGAGCGGAATTTCATCCCTTGAGTTTGATACATTCCTGGCGTGTCCGTGCCTGTCTTTGCGTCCACTTGCACTCCACGGTCTGCCAGGGCCTGGGGGGGCTACACCGCATCAGCGACCGGCTTGAGCCGGGACGTTGACCTCCTGGCAGTAAGGGATCAGATACGTCCACTGAGTACACAGTAATGCACCAAGCAGCGAGAAGACTCGAATGCGACCGGAGCCAAGTTCTGCAGGGCGCAAGGACAACGGCGGCCCCTTGCCATGTGCGTCAGCCGTGGATACGACGGCAGCCAGTCACGTTGCAGCCAAGATGCCCTAATGCGAGCTGCGACCACTTGGTGACTTTGTGTGCCCTGCGATTTCTGGCGGTCAACCCACGCATTGGACGAGCTTTCACCCGGAATGTTCGACGACTCGACCTTGCAGCGAGGTCTGTCCTGGGATTATTGTGTGGCATTGGGGTTTGAATGGTTGGTGATGGCCGGCTCTTCGTTGTATGGGCGGGCCATCCGCCGGTCGGTATGTAGGAGAGATCAAGATGCGATGTGTCGATCGTGGATGTGAATTGGGACCCTGAATTGACCAAACTAACCTGTTCCTTTTCGCTAGCGAGGCCAGTCACTTAGGTTTTTAGTCTTTAGTTAATGCATCTGGAATTCACTTCCTTACTCATCGCTCGACCGGCTCATTCTGCCTGCGTAACCTTATAAGTCGCTCTGTCCGTTTCCGTTTTTACGTTGATTTTCTCCTGTCGTGTTATCTGTATACCCCACTCCCTTTGTCCCTCATTCCCTCTTTCTTTGTCTTGTACATTGATCCTCCTAATTCACCATGGGTGAACCTACCGCCATCTCTGTGTGCCGCGATCCGGGCTGCTCCCCCGTGGAGTCCGGTTACACGGCGTCCGTGCTGGCCTCGTGTCAACGACTCGGCGCCCTCAAGGCCACCGAGGGTTTCATGCTGGACGGCAGCTCGCTGGACCTCAGCTCGGTCTACGCCGTCGCTCGGTACGTGTGGCTTTCCTGCTGGCGTCATGAAAATCTAGACCAGTGATCGTCTAGACCCGCTGCCTGAACTCCCCCAGACTCAGAGAATGAAACCGAGTGACTGACCAGACTAAAACCCACCCAGCCACGACGTGCCTGCCACCATCACCGGAAACCAACGTGTGCTGGACCAGATGACCCGCAGTGTGGATCTGTTGGGCCAGAAACTGTCCGCCGGTGAGACTATCTACGGCGTCAACACCGGCTTCGGCGGCAGCGCGGATACTCGCACCAACGACTATCCCGCCCTGCAGAAGGCCCTCATCCAGCACCACAATGCTGCCGTCGTGCTGCCCAGCGACCGCGGGGGTGCGGCTATCCCGGGCCTCAAGAGCCACAGCATGCCCGTGCCCGTCGTCAAGGCCGCCATGCTGACCCGCTGCAACTCGCTGCTGCGCGGCCACTCCGCCGTGCGTCCCGAGGTCGTGCAGCACATCCTGGCCCTGCTGGCCAACGGCATGACCCCCGTTGTGCCTCTGCGTGGTAGCATCTCCGCCTCGGGTGACCTGACGCCGCTGGCCTACATCGCCGGCGCCCTGGAGGGCAACCCGGACATCGGCATCTACAAGGACGCCACGGGCGAGGTGGTCCCCTCGAACCAGGCGCTGCACGAGCTGGGCCTGTTGCCGCTGGAGTTCGGTCCCAAGGAGGGTCTGGGCCTGTTGAACGGCACCGCGTTCAGCGCCGGCGCCGCCAGTCTCGTCCTGTTCGAGGCCAACCAGCTCGTCCTACTCTCGCAGGTCCTTACGGCCATGGGCACCGAGGCCCTCCTGGGTACTCGCTTCAACTACCACCCGTTCATCGCCGAGGCCCGTCCCCACGAAGGCCAGCGCGAAGCCGCCGCCAACATCTTCGGCTTCCTGACCGACTCCAAGCTTGCCACCACCGCCCACCCCGGCGACGACGACGGGAACGAAGGGCTCGCCCAGGACCGCTACGCCCTCCGCACCTCCAGCCAATGGATCGGCCCTCAGATCGAGAACATGGCACTCTCCCTCCGCCAGATCGAAGTCGAGCTGAACTCTACGACCGATAACCCCCTCCTGGACCCCGTGGAGCAGCTCATCCACCACGGCGGCAACTTCCAAGCCGCGGCCGTCACCTCCGCCATGGAGAAGACCTCCTCCGCCATGCAAATGCTCGGCAAGATGTTCTTCGCCCAATGCTCCGAGATCATCAACCCGATGCTCTCGAACGGCCTCCCCCCCAACCTCGCCCTCGACGACCCCAGCCTCTCCTTCGCCTTCAAGGGCGTCGACATCAACATGGCCTCCTACATCTCCGAACTCGGCTACCTGAACCACCCGGTCAGCAACCACGTCCAGTCCGCCGAGATGCACAACCAAGCCCTCAACTCCCTCGCCTTCATCGCCGCCCGCTACGCCTCCGACTCCGTCGACATCCTCTCCCTCATGGCAGCCACCTACCTCTACGTGCTCTGCCAAGCGCTGGACCTGCGCGCCCTGCACGTCGAATTCGTCAAGGCCGCCCGCCCGCAGATCGACGCCGTCAGCGCCGCCGTCGGCGCCACCGACCCATCCACCCAGACCAAAGTCTGGGACCAGCTCATGCACCACTGGGCGCGCAACAGCACGCACGATCTCTCCGACCGCGCCCGCGTCGCGGCCACATACACCCTCGGCAGCCTGGTGTCCCTCATCACGGCGAACGGGGGCGCCCTGCAACCCAACGCCGTCCCCGACTGGCAATCTCAAGTGACAGAGATCTTGACGACCAGCTACGCGACAGCCCGGGAACAGTTCCTGGCCACCCCGACGACGAAGGGATATCTATGCAAGGCGTCGCTGAAGTTCTATTCGTTTGTGCGGGAGACGCTGAACGTGCCCCTTCATCGGGGGATTGTCGATCATCCGACCGTTGAGACTGGGGAGACGGATAAGAAGACGATTGGGTCGCGAATTGGGGAGGTTTATGCGGCGTTGAGGAAGGGAGATGTGAGGGATGTGTTGGTGGATTGTTTTTAGGGGATTGGTTTTGGTTTAGAGGAGACATGCATGGCATGGATGATGGGGGTGTGAGGTGAGGTGGGGTGAGATAATGGTAATAATCTGGTTACGAATGGAGACGATGAGAGGGAAGAAGATGAGAGATGGATAGAACGATGGTCTGCGGAATATTTCTAATTTTCTTTTTTCTCTTATTACTACTGGCAATAGAAACTGCAAAACCGAGGTCGAGGACTCTGACCTGAGTGTTGATATAGTCGGTTAGGTTCATTACGAGGATGAGAACGACAAGCTCATTGGCGTGACATGGGGCGCAGCGTTTGCCCGGGGTCTGCGCGAGGGTTGGCTCACAGGCCATCCTTACACTGTAGGCAAAAACGGTCTTGAGGGATTGTCTGAAGGCCTAATGGGCCTTGAAGACGGAAAGAAGCAGAAGTTCTTGACATGTTTTAGCAAGGAGAAACCAGAATCATAGACCTTCTTACTATGGTGGAAGGTTCAATAGACACATCTTAAGTGCGTTGGGATGCATATTCTAGGGGTAAGACATTGTGGTCAATATTAACTTCTTTGCTGATTGATTACTGGGTCTTTCAAATTGCGGTCTCCGCCCCCCCCCAACAACCTCTTCTTGTATTCATTGTCTCAGTATCACATGTAGGTTGGCTAAATACAGGATTGTCGCTGATTTCAATCAAAATTGGATATGTGGGAGTTTTGAACAAGATTGCCCGATGGTGTTAGTTCGTTGCAAACATTCTGTTGACACGTCATGAGATCCAGAACCTCGGAAGAGGTGTAGATTATTCATCTTTAAATATTTGCTAACTATGTACTAGGAAGAGAGTACTGTAACTTAATTACGGGGATGTTCAGTAATCAAGGCCGATCGATCGATAGTTACGTTAGCGGCAAATTGATTAACGTAATCGGACACCGAACCGCCGGTGGTCCGCCGCCTCCCTCACCGCTTCAAATCGCTAGAATTCAACCTTTTATAATTCATTCAAAATTGAAGCTATTCAATCATATGGAAGGCCTATCTCGAGATAGGAGACTGGTCCTCGCTTGTGAGGCCTTTTATAAGGGCCAATTTGATTCTAAGCAGGCGTGTGCGACTGCTTTTGACGTCAAGATAAGCACCTTGAAAGGACGGCTGAAAGGAGTCAAATCTCGCACTGAGATAGATGCCAATTGCAGAAAGCTATCTAAAAATGAAGAATTGGTATTGAAGCGAACGATCCTAGATATGGATTCACGCGGCTATCCTCTTACTATCGCGAAGGTCCGCTATCTCGCTGAGCTTCTCCTATCTTCAAAATTGAAGCCGAAGCGACAAAATGAGGCCTTTATTAGCGAGCGCTGGGTTCACCGATTTACTCTTCGACATGAAGCCGAATTAAAGTCAAGATATACACAGCGTTTTGATTATCAACGTGCAAAGTGCGAGGATCCCAAGATTATAAAGCGGTGGTTCGAATTAGTGCAGAACACTATACAAAAATATGGGATTCTTGAACAGGATACTTATAATATGGATGAGACAGGGTTCCAAATGGGAGTTGTTTTAACTGCGAAGGTTATATGCGGCACTGAATCCCGTCAGACGAATGCAAGATCAATCCAACCTGGAAATCGCGAATGGGTCATTTCTATTGTTACAATTAACGCTACGGGTAGCGTACTACCTCCGCAGATTATCTTCGCTGGTAAAATGCAACAGGAGAAGTGGTTTGAAGCCCTGCCTGATGACTGGCGGATTAGCCTAAGCGAGAATGGGTGGACAAATGATAAACTCGGTTTTGAATGGCTTCAATTCTTCGACCAATATAGTTAGTTACTATCGCATCCGACGTACATAACCCGAGTACCAATAACTTAGCTATGAACTAAGATGAAAGGATTTCCAACATGGTGTGCGCGAAAGTCAGTGAGTGCCGGTAATCTATTTATAAAATGGATGATCTTCGGAGCACATTACTTTATTGTAATTTCTACACTCCAGCCTCACTTGTCTCACTTCAAAATTATCTAGCATCTTTGCTGTGCCACTCAAGGCTCACACAGTATTCTGATCACTGGGTTCGTTGCAAAAAGCGGTTCTCCCCTACCTTTCCCTCCCCACAGCAATATGGGCTGACAAGTGCTGCACTGTGTAGCTGCTCACCAGGTGGGGTTGGTCATGCTCTCGCCCTTGATTTGCCTCTCATGGCATGCGTGTTTTCGCGACTGCTCGTTCCACCAATTCTCTCTCCACATTAGCAGAGAAAGGTATTGAGACACATATGAACTAGACGTGATGAATGCGGATAGCATCACAGCGTTGAGGGATGAGATTTCTAAGCGGACTGGCGGAAAAGTAGATATGCTGTTTGACAATGCTGGGTCAAGTATATGTCACGTTCCATTTACCCTCATATATTCCTTCGACACTCTGTCAATTGATTCATTGTTTCACCTACGTTGACCACATTTTTCTGTCGCATTGTATGAAGCTCCAGCAATCGAAGCCGATCCTGCCCGTATACGTGAAATGCTCGATACCAACGTATTTGACCTGTTCAATATGGTCTCAGCATTTACTCCTCTTCTCCTAGCCTCCACTACAAAGCCAGCCATGCTGCAAGTCATCATTAATACCTCATCAGTCCTGGTACGACTGCAATTTGCCTTTTCGGCCGCATATAACGCCTCGAAAGCAGCCGTGACTTCTTACAGCGATACTCTCTGGATCGAACTTGGCCCACTCGGTATCAAAATTGTTACGCTCTTTATGGGTGAAGTCTCAACAAATCTCATGTCTCCTGAAAATATCTCCTTTGATCCCGTGAGTATCTACACCGTTGCTTTAGAGGGAGCCAAGGAGCGAAGTCGAAATCATGCCAAAAACAGTATGAAGCCAGAAGTGTTTGCCAAAAAAGTTGTTCAAGCTATCTTGGACAAACATTATAGGTATGGAAAGGGACCAATGCTTGGGTGATTTGGTTTTTGAATATCATGAGGCGGAGATACATGCTAGACAACGTCGTCAAAAAGAAGACTGGCTTTGAAAAAAAAAAAAAAAAGAAGTCCGAAAGTCTATTCTTGACAAAGCGAGAAATCTTTAGACGAAGGAGAATGTGTAGGTAACCCAATAATATGTTAATGTATCATCATCTGTGACATTTAGTCTAATCCTCTTAGGTTGCTTGTTTGGTATATGGGTAATTAGTCGGAGCGGGAAACAATAGATATCAAGGATAGTTTTTTGTTTTGGATCTCAACCCATTTGATTACAATGATATATGATTATTGCTTGTTTCTCTAGTCTACTGTTGAGAAAAACTACCCTCATCATAGCGTAATCGCCGGTCGTGGTGGTGGCCGTTGTGGCTTTCCCGCAGGATGGCTGGCCTTTTGCCCAGTATGAACGCAAAAAAAAAAAAAAAAAAAAAAAAAAAAAAGAAAAGAAATAGAAATCCTTCGGAGATCCAAAAGTGTCTGCAGCAGCAAAAATGGTAATCATGAGTTACTCAGTGATGAGGGATGCTGCATACGATGAAGCACTCTCACGCGCCATGATAGGAAAGCAATTTCAATGTGTGAAATCTTCAAGTCATTTAAACAAAATACAATACTCCCACCTAACTATAAAAAGCGTTTACCAATGCAATCGACCTACCCTTTTTTGACGTTTGATAGACTTGAACGGTACTCTCGAATTTGATCAGCCAAATGCTAGTCCCACGATGGATTTCATTATCAATAATATAAACAGGGTTAACAGCCTGCCGGCTTAAGAACAAACCATTCCTGAAATTATGCAGATGGGTACAAGAAGCTTCATAGTTTTTCTGCGAGGCACAATGCAGCCTCAACAGTTTGGCGTCGAAACACCGGACCATGTCCGAAGCAAATGCACTCAGTCGCGAGGTCTATATTCATTAGTTTTCTTTTTGAAGCCAATGTATCCCTCGCCAGATACTCACACTGAACAATGGCCGCAAGGTGAAGCGACGAAATAAGGCCTGAGTTATATAATGGGCGGCGATTCTCCTGGGTGTAAAATTCCCTCTCGCTGAGATATTTCTGTACATCACTGGCATCCAGCCACTCGCCGGCCTCGGGTGTGACAGTCGATTTCATCCCCTCAATCTGGGTCGCAAGCTCTTTTGGGGCATAGTAATCTCCCTTGGAACCCAACGGGGCAAGTACAGTGGCCATGAGATCAATAAGGCCTCCAGTTTTGTCATGCATTCCAGCGTTGAAACAGGAAATGAGATAATTACGCTCGGTTGGAGGCATGAACGGCCCGAAAACTTCTTGAATCTTCACGAAGTCGGTCGGAGTGTTGACAAGGAGTTGGTACCCATTGTGACAGCACGCTTTTACTAGATACTGTGCGAAATTCCACTTCTCTTCCTGGATCGAGCTAGCAAGAACAATGGCTGGGGAGTGACCAGGTAATGATAGTTTCGGAGTAAGTGACTTATTAGCGAGCGGAGCTATGGCAGCACTGATTGGGGGCATTGGTTGGCCTTGATTAAAGGATGACTGTGTGTATAAGGGCGGCGGCTCAGCCCATTCCATCGGGGTTGGTGAGTTTCCGGCAAGAGCCCTTTCATTTGACACCACTCTTGCGCGACTATCGCCGCATCTTTCGTCCTTATCAAAAGCAGTGGATGAAGTGGCACTAAGAGCCTTGACGAGAGCCCCTTCATGAGGACTTGCACATCCAGTCTCCGCAAGCGAAAGGTGTTGCTGGGTTATATTACGGAGGGCTGACATGGCGTGCGAATGCTTTCCAAGCAGACCAGTTTCCAAAAGGAGGTTACTGAAGGTGAGAAAGGACTGGCTGAGCTGCTCAATGCCACCCTCAAGCTCGTGGACACGATCCTGCAGGTTGCCAATGGTGTTCTCCTTTCGCCTGCGATACGCTTGCTGTGCGATGCGTAGCTGTTCGCGACGCCTCTAAACGGGAATCAGTCATCAAATATCTTTTTTTTTTAAAAAAAAAAAGAATTTCACCCACCTCTTGTGCTTGTTGGCGGTTAGGTTTCCGATGACACCCTTCCTTCCGCACCCCGTCTGCTTTGTGTTGTTCTTCCATGATTTGGTGGATTGTGCTGGCCTGGCTGATAAGGTCAAGTGGATCTAGTGTTCGTTAATAAAAGTAGTTAAAAGGCCATAAGGGGCTCATTAGACCTACTAATTTTGATTATTCATTATCCCGAGCCGCCTCAGATCCTCGGGCCCTGATAAGTTAACATTTGGTGGCAATGCGATAATGTTGAGTAATCAGAAATACCTCCCTCGCACGTCAACCCCGAGACTCCTAATGCGCTTCAGCATACACACGGAAGAGATAATCTCTTTTCGACATTGACCGTCGGCGAGACCAGTATATTGAAGTGTAAACAGGTCTTGTCAATAAGACTTGGTATAGATTCTAGATAAGTGTGTAGTTCTAAGACCGGAGTTAGCTAAACAGCCGGGCGGTTGAGTAATCGTCAGCCCTTGAAAGGGGTCCACATGGATCCTCATTCCTATGGTTTGCTCATAATTCTGCGGAATTCAAAGGCTAAGTAACTAACCCATATCATTCTGTGAGGTTGAGTAATAGTGACCCATTTTCTAGACGGAATGATTACAGTGGATCAACTTAAGCTAAAATTCATGCAGAACTGGCTGGACGTGTCCGAACGAAGTTATTTGAACAGCTTTAGCCCTTAGCCTCATGTATCCTACTTCCTTTTCTGATCGTGTCGCAATTTGCTTGTAGGTTTCTTGCTTCGTACAGCTGCGGACCTAGTGGCTCAGTTCGTACAGATCTCCTTGGGCCCCTCCCCCTATTCTTGCGTTGACAAGAACTGCAAGGTCTCCAAATGGCTCTCTCCACGTCAAGCACCGACAGCAATTTGGAAAAATCCTCCAACCCGGACAAAACGACAGATCAAACAAAAAACATGGATGTCGCGCACATGTCGACAGAAGAGGTGTCGCCCAGAACCCAAACAACATGGCACATGACCGACGAACTTCAGGGCTTGAAAGAGCGAGATGCGCAAAATGGCGAGAAAGCCCGGAAACTTGGGGTCACCTGGCAGAACCTCACTGCCAAAGGTCTCAGCAGCGACGCCACATTCAACGAGAATGTCCTCTCACAATTCAACCTCATCGGAAATCGCGGTAGAAAAGCTCCCATGAAAACAATCATCGACAACTCCTATGGCTGTGTTAAGCCCGGAGAGATGCTGCTCGTCCTCGGCCGCCCCGGATCAGGGTGCACAACTTTGCTCAACATGCTCTCGAACAACCGTCGTGGCTATGCAGAGGTGAGCGGCGACGTTGTCTTTGGAAACATGTCTGCCGAGGAAGCCAAGAATTATCGTGGCCAGATTATCATGAACACGGAAGAGGAAATATTCTTTCCGACATTGACCGTCGGCGAGACCATCGACTTCGCCGCCCGTATGAAGGTTCCATATCACCTACCACCAGGAATGAAGTCGGCGGAGGAGTACGCTCAACTCAATAAGGATTTTCTTCTACGGTCGGTGGGCATCTCGCACACTGAATCCACCAAAGTGGGCGACGCGTTCACTCGAGGAGTCTCCGGAGGAGAGAGAAAACGTGTTTCCATCCTCGAGTGCCTGACAACCCGAGCAAGCGTCTTCTGTTGGGACAATTCCACGCGTGGTCTCGACGCCAGCACAGCTCTAGAGTGGACTAAGGCAATTAGGACGATGACCGACGTCCTTGGACTGACCACTATCGTTACCCTCTATCAGGCTGGCAACGGCATCTACGAGCATTTTGACAAGGTGCTCGTCCTTGATGAGGGCAAGCAGATCTTCTATGGTCCACAAAGGGATGCAGTACCTTTCATGGAAAATCTTGGGTTTAGGCGCGACTCTGGTTCTAACCGAGCAGATTTCCTGACAGGCGTGACCGTTCCAACAGAGCGCATGATTGCGCCAGGCTATGAAAACAAATTTCCTCGGACTTCTGACGCAATCCGTGCCGCCTACGAATCGTCCGTTTTGAAATCCAAAATGCTAGCCGAATGCTCCTATTCAGAAAGCAAAGAGGCGGCGGAGAACACAACCATTTTTAAGGAGATGGTGGCTCGGGAAAAGCATCGCGGAGTGCCCGAAAAGTCACCTGTCACCACAGACTTCGTTTCTCAGATCAAAGCCTCCGTCACTCGGCAATACCAAATCATGTGGGGCGATAAGGCAACGCTGATCATGAAGCAAGGCGCCACAGTCATTCAGGCTCTGCTAGGCGGATCGCTTTTCTATAATGCCCCAGATGACTCCGTTGGTCTGTTCCTCAAGGGTGGTGCTCTATTCTTCTCTATCCTATACAACGCCCTTATCGCTCTCTCGGAAGTCACCGACTCGTTTACTGGTAGACCTATTCTAGCCAAGCATCGTTCATTCGCTCTTTATCATCCCGCGGCCATCTGCATTTCCCAGATCGTCGCAGATATTCCCGTTCTTTTGTTCCAAGTGTCGCACTTCGGCCTCGTTCTCTATTTCATGGTCGGCTTGAACCGCACTGCCGAAGCCTTCTTCACCTACTGGATCACCAATTTCATGACCGCCATGTCCATGACGGCCTTCTTTCGACTAATTGGTGCCGCTTTCCCGACCTTTGACGCCGCAACCAAGGTCTCTGGTCTTATGATTGTCGCTTGTTTTGTCTACATGGGGTACATGATCATAAAACCCGAGATGCATCCTTGGTTTGTGTGGCTCTTTTGGATCAACCCTATGGCATATGCATTTGAAGCTCTTCTTGGTAACGAGTTCCATACGTCAACTATCCCCTGCGTTGGACCAAATCTCATACCCAACGGCCCTGGTTATACCAATGGGGAAGGTGGCCAATCATGTGCTGGTGTTGGCGGCGCTTTGCCTGGCGCAACTAGTGTCACCGGTCCTGAATACCTCGCATCCATGTCATTCAGCCATAGCCATGTCTGGCGCAATTTCGGCATCATCTGCGCGTGGTGGGTGCTATTTGTTGCGCTTACCATCTTCTTCACCTCCCGGTGGAAGTTACCCGGGGAGGGTGCTCGGAGCCTACTCATTCCCCGAGAGCAGCAGTATAAGTCGCAGGGTGTGATTCTCGGTGATGAGGAATCGCAAATTTCCCTGAAGAGTCTGCCAGACTCTGGAGTAAACACCTCCCAAGAGACTCTCGGAAAGGAACTCAACGAGAACCGAAGCATCTTCACCTGGAAGAATCTTACCTATACTGTCAAGACACCTTCGGGGGATCGAGTTCTCCTTGATAACGTGCAAGGATATGTGAAGCCAGGCATGCTCGGTGCGCTTATGGGGTCTTCTGGTGCTGGCAAGACCACTCTGCTCGACGTCCTTGCCCAACGCAAGACTGACGGAACCATCCACGGATCGGTGTTGGTTGATGGCCGACCTATCCCAATCTCTTTTCAACGTTCCGCTGGGTATGTCGAACAGTTGGACGTGCACGAGCCTTTGGCAACCGTCCGTGAGGCCCTCGAGTTCTCTGCCCTTCTACGTCAGCCCCGCGACACACCTACTAATGAGAAATTACGCTACGTGGACACTATTATTGACCTCCTAGAGCTACGGGACCTCGAGTTCACGCTCGTTGGTCGTCCGGGTGCTGGTTTGTCCGTTGAACAGCGCAAACGTCTTACTATTGCGGTCGAGCTCGTCGCAAAACCTAGCATTCTTATTTTCCTAGATGAACCTACGTCCGGCCTTGACGGCCAGGCCGCATTCAATATCGTCCGATTCTTACGCAAACTTGCCGGGGCCGGACAAGCCATTTTGGTTACCATTCATCAACCATCGGCCCAGCTCTTCGCGCAATTCAATACACTCCTCTTGCTCGCCAAGGGTGGGAAAACGGTTTACTTCGGCGATATTGGAGATAACGCAAGCACTATCAAGACCTATTTTGCCCGGCATGGAGCACCCTGTCCGCCCGAAGCTAACCCTGCCGAGCATATGATTGACGTGGTATCAGGTGCTGCCTCTGAAAATACTGATTGGAACAAGATTTGGCTAGAGTCGCCGGAGCATGACCGGCTCTCAACCGAGCTAGATGCTATGACTACGCAAGCGGCTGCTAGAGCGTCAGGAACCGTTGACGATGGGCACGAGTTTGCAGCTTCGATGTGGACTCAGGTCAAACTCGTAACCCACCGTATGAACATTTCACTGTTCCGAAACACCGAATATATCGACAACAAGTTCGCCATGCATATAAGTCTAGCGCTACTCAACGGCTTCTCATTCTGGATGATTGGGGATCGCCTCACAGATCTACAGAAAAACCTCTTCACCGTCTTTAATTTCATTTTTGTGGCGCCCGGAGTGATCTCCCAACTGCAGCCTCTTTTCATCGACCGCCGCGATATTTATGAGACGCGTGAGAAGAAAAGCAAGATGTACCACTGGGCTCCCTTCGTTGCAGGTCTTATCATCTCGGAGATCCCATACCTGATTGCTTGCGCCTTACTCTATTATGTTTGTTGGTATTTTACCTGTGGACTGCCTACTGCACCCGGAAATGCCGGTAGTGTCTTTTTCGTGGTGGTAAGTCTTTCTCCGTGTTGCTGACCGCGGTGTTTGAGCTAGACAACTGATATGGAAAACTTATAGATAATGTACGAGTGCCTTTACACTGGTATAGGTCAGATGATTGCCGCCTACGCTCCTAATGCGGTCTTCGCATCGCTTGTCAACCCGCTCGTCATCACGACCCTTGTCTCGTTTTGTGGTGTCATGGTGCCATATAGCCAGATTGAACCGTTTTGGAAATATTGGTACGCATTACTTGCCTTCGTTAGCACCCGAAATTATCATTCCTAGTTTAGTTTCTAACCGCAGTCGCTACAGGATGTACTATATCGACCCTTTCAATTATCTCATGAGCTCGCTGCTTATTTTTACCACGTGGTCCAAAACCGTCACATGCACTCCTGATGAGATCGCCTTGTTCGACCCACCAGTCAATCAAACCTGTGCTGAATACCTTGCCACCTACCAGCAAGGCATGGGGGTAGGAACGAACCTCCTCAATCCCAGCGCGAATTCCGATTGCCGCGTTTGCCAGTACACCACCGGTGGAGACTACCTCAAGACTCTGAACCTCGCAGATGAGTACTTTGGCTGGAGGAATGCCGGCCTTGTTGTCGTTTTCGTACTTGGTATCTACGGATTAGTGTTCTTCATGATGAAGCTGAGGACGAAGGCTACCAAGAAGGCCGAGAACTAGGTTGCCAGGATGCTAGGGCGACAAAAACGTGACTGCATAGTCCGGCGGGTCGCCTACCCATGCCACTCTCGCCTAGCTTGCTTATTCTTTTTTCTTTCTGACTGGGGGCCTTTGAATTGCCTTTTTGAGTGAGCTTCACCCTTTTTTAGGTTCAGGGCCCCAATACGTCGTCAGTTGTGGAGTGCTGGCTTAGCATGAGAATGACGACGGATGCGTTAGTATTTCGGCCCACGTTTATTATTAATATTATGAGAGTAATTTAGCTACCAACAGCGCAAATAATATACTCATGAGAATTTCAACGGTAGTCAGGTTCTGAGATAAAAGTAGACCGGTAGATGGACACCTGAATTAGTGTAGTCGACTAGTGATGTCAAGCTCCTTGGAGTACATCTCTGACGGCGCTCTCAATATTTTCTTTGGGTAGTCCCATCCGGTCATTCCAAAGCTGACCATGCTGTCTTGAATCGCCCAGACCTGGTTTACCGAAAGCCCCACCCCTGGTCAAATCCATGATCCCTGCGAAATCCCCGGATGCGAGCCTCTTTCTACCATTCGCAATAACCTCCTCGGATGTCGTGTGCGTTAGAGTCCATTTCTGACCGTCGACCTTTTCAACTACCTCAAGGATATCTTGCTGAGAGACGTTGAAGGACGAAACGAAGACATGCTTGTTCTCTGTCTCATCTGGGTTTTCAAGCATTGAAGCCAGCGCCTTGCCGACTGTGGACAACGTGGTGGCAGTGAACACCGAAGTGCCATCATCGATGAGAGTGACAGACTTAGAAGCGAGCTCAAAACCGAAAAACCCGACTTTCATAGACCAGTCAAACCATGCGCCAGTCACAAGGCTCGACCAGGACATTTTAGACTCTTTTGACCGGAGATAGTCGACTGTACCTGCTTTAGCCGGTAAAACAACTGGGTTTAGCTCCGCAAATTTGGGGTCCCGCGAAAATGGCCCGAACTCGCTGGGGACAAATCTCTTCACTCCGGCAGCGAGGGCGGCATCAATAAACTTGTTTTGGTCCCCGGCTACGTGACCACCAACCATACTAATCACGACATCGTGGCCTTGCATGGCAGATATGAGCGAGTCTGGGTCGTTGTAATCGGCCCTGACGACAGGCACGCCTTCGAGAACTTTGGGTGTAGATTCCTGGCGGGAGAGAACGGTGACTTCAAATGAAGACTTGAGGAGTGCATGGATGGCCGGAGGCCCAAGATTTCCGCCTGACTGTAATGTGTTGTGAGCAAGATGTCCATCGGCCGAGTTTCTTGATGGACCGAGCGAGTAGCAGAAATGAAACTTACTCCAATAAGCAAAACAGTCTCGAATCGGACCATGATGGATAGAGCTGGCGTTGTAATGGTGATGAACCGAATGTAAGATATACCAGTATAAGATAAAACTATTCCACTGAGCAGGAAAATAAATGGTATTTTGTGCACGGCGTCCGTGCTATCTATGCCATTGAACCTCCATTAGCTCGGACAACGCCCCATCGTGCTGGTATTGCTGTGTCTTTATTCTGAGATGAGAAATCATTGTCATGGAATTAGCCTTGAGGTTAAATGGCTGCAATCAAGCTCCAATGGCAGTTAATCAATCGGCACTTGTTGAATAATCACACTATCTTGATTTCTAACCACAGGTCCAATGACCATTGGCTTGTCCTTATAAGATAGTGAGTCGATGATGTCACGTCCTTCCACTTCGACTGTTTCGGGCTGATGTTACTTCCTCCGTAAGGTCTTTCCGCGACAGTCGATTTCATGTCATACTCCACTTCTTAATATTTATCCCAACTTCACTGACGTATTTCACCACCGAGTCGGCCACACTACCGGTCCTCGCCCATTCAAAAATTATCAATTAGCATATATCAGCAAAAAAGAACTCAATTCAACCTAAGCAGCGATTCTTCCACCGATTGATTTTATAGCCAGACTTCTAACACCCACTGCACCTTAGCGGGTCCCCCTTTACCAATCATGAATTTTAATAGGGCCTGGAGGCGATTCAACGGTTACTATAGTAGATAATCGCTTGTAAAGCTAAATGACGATCTTAGGAAAAAGTGAAGTTACCACTTCACTAGTCAGTGCTCTCGCGCCAAGACAAGTTTGTATGGAAAGGAGCATTGCGAATGTCGGAGTACGTTGTGCTCTGATTCGAGCGTACTTTTCGGCCCACAGCTAGCATTATTGATTTTTCATCACTCCGCTAGCCGCGATAAGGGAAAATTGCAAAGTTGGTCCTTTAAATTTGGCGCCCGTATTGATTGTTTCAACTCAAGAACAATGAACATGTCGCCTCTTGCCTACTAGCTCTTTCATTGAAGTTTACTAGGTTAAATCTACGTGTAGCCTGGCTACTGTAGCATTAGGGGCCATCTAGCAACTTGTGGGAGGAGGCATGTCCGTTACATCATCTTCATTAGGGCTCCGAAAGGAATACAGTTCACGCGAGTTTATCGATAAGCTCGCGTGAACCGTTCTGGGTGTGGTAGTGTCCATCAAGACTGATTAATAAGCCGAATTATTCGCATGACCCACTTCCAAGAGGTCAGGTCACCTGTATTCACGCTACTTCGCCAAGCCATACACCGCTTCATGAGCACTCATTATGTTAAATATCGCAGCATCAGCAAGTTCTAGGAATTACACTCATTCTATGATCTCAGGCCGACCATTGACCTATTGTAGAACTAGCGCATACCGTATCTCTTGGAATCGACATTATTCGCCAACACCTGCCCCAACGCGTATTGAACAAACTTATATATACACAACGTGTAAAACAGGCCAGGTAGCAATATCGTGGCCGAATTCATGGTCAAGTCTGGTCTTCTAGGCCAGTTTCAGGGAGCCGATCCAACGGCATTAGACGCGGAGGAAGGGGGTGACGAAGAGGCGGAGATATTGATCTCCGAGGACAGTGTGACGGAAGAGGAAGAATGGCGCCCAGTAGGAGTGCCGTGCCAGGTCTAGTGTTACCCCTTGATCCAAGCGTGCGCGTGAGCGGCAGCCGACGGATTGGACGTTGGAGAGAAGAGGGTGTGAAAATGGGGTGTACCTTGTGAAGCGGGACCCGTGTCCTACCTGCGACAAGGGGTAAGTGACGTTCATTTTGGCTTTCCTTTGTTTTTTCATTCTGTTTGCATCTGTGCATTCTCTTTGTTCCTCTACAGCGAACGATTCTGAAATCACTTTGCGGATTTCGAATCAATCGTCCAGTGGGGCTGGGGGCCACTTCGCAGCTGTCGGCAGGCCTGACAGCACTCCCGCATAGCAGCATATATATAGAGCAAGATACATCGGGCAAATGAATACGTCATCATCATAGAAATGTGTTGTGACGGTAAATGCGCACCACTTGTAATTTTATGGTCAATATATGTTGGGATATCAGCATGAATGTACGGCTTATAGAAGCTGAACATTTCAAGGCATGAATCGGTCAGCGTAGATCCTTCCATCTAGAGCGTAGTACAGGCAATATTTTCAGCTATATAGGGGATTTCTCAGTGTAGTGAGGAAGACCACACTTAAACAATCTCAGCGGTCTATGGCGTATTTGCACCAGCATCATCGTACCCTTGATATTCAACAACATATATTTCTACTACTAGATAATATGTTATCGAGGACTCCTGCCACCACCGCCCACCTCGACATTTGGATAGTTTAAAGAATGATAAGATGCAATCTCAAACTCACGTTCTACTCGATACAACCAAGTTTCCTAAAAATTTCTTGCGATGATACATGAATATCACCGGGAATATTGTGTTGACCCTTGGAACCCAAAACAGTTGTAAATAATAGTAATTTATTAGTATGAAACAGCAAGTTTATGCAGCTTGGCATGGCCTAATTAGGTCAGTTATGCAGAACGGTTTTTCTGCGGTTGACCGCGATCTAACCATGCGGGTTTGCGGTGCGGTGCGGTTGGGCTTTGCCTACCCATGAACCGGTTGTGGCGAGGTCTAATCTTCGTCTACTTCCTCTTCATCACCTTCCGTATCGTTCGTTCGGTAGTGCAATGACGGCCAGCCTGTCTCTGCTGTCTCCGCTAGCATACCTTGTGATTGGTATATGGTCTCAGATACAATAATACCTTCGACATCTTCACCCTCTTCCACCTTTTCATCATCGCTGATTGGTGAGGCTTACTCTTCATTTACTTTCAGCGCTTCACCCTCTTCAAGTGCCTCTTGACTCGCTCTTCGTCGTCTTTTCCAGGCGACACCACTGCTGTCCCTCTAAATTGACTTCTCTGAGCACATATACATCATCAATTCTTGAATAGTCGCTTCATGAAGAGACCCTCGACGAGAATGACAGAGATCTCGAGCACTATTGGAAAGCCTTTCTACACCCGCGCCGGTGGCCGGAACCGAAAGGAAGTCGCGTGCAAGCCGAGACACAAGGAGGAATTCACGCTCGTATTCTCTCCAATATAGTCGAGATGGAAAGGGAATATTCGCTATCAGAAGTCAGTTGGTCGCCTGATTGTAGCAAGCCAGTTACCCTTACCTTCTCTGAGGTACTGATTCATCTCGTCATGCTCTGCACCTTTGTGAGGCATAGATTCATCGACTGCTTCAAGGAGCCGAACAAGTTCCGAACCTTGCAGCGCCGAAGAGCGATGGACCATCCGAAACAAAGTCTCGGGATTTTGCTGTTGATACTGCATAAAACATGTTCTTCGGTATTCACAGTACCTCTGTGAATTACTCTAGGGGCAAGTAGAATACTCCCTGTCACCAAAGGCGGCGACTTTTTTTGGGGAGCAAGTAGAGTTCTTGTACCGTAAAGAAAGCCATCGTCACGATACGTCTTCTCGTAGTATTCTTCCAAAGATTATCATTCGGCTGTCGAAACTGTGGCAGTCATACCCTTGCCGGTTCTTTGATAAGGGTGGCCATTACTCAGCACCAAATACTAAGCAGACCCTGAGGCATGAGCTCAATATTCCAAATAAAAGATAAATCTGCTGTTACCTATCTCGTCGAGTCACCACTCCACTCTCCCACTTATGCAATTTGTTTAAAGGCCTTCAGTACAGTACCGGTACCCGAAATTTCACATCGCAGATCTTGCCCTTTTGTTGTCCAGTCACTGTATGGTGGCGACTTCAAACAGAGGCAGAAATGACTGTTATACATATGGATGTTGTCTAATTAAACATAGGAGTCAACTTCAATAATCAATATATTGCTGATACATTGTCCAATAAACAGAGCTGCTGAGTTGAACCTCCAATCAGGTTACTTCAGAACAATCATGTTACTTAAAGTTCTGAAGACTCAGTAGCCTTTGGAATATACTTCGATCCCTCCACCTGCTCAACGCCGTTCGCACCACAGAGCCATCCCACCCGATCCTTCGTATACACCTCAAACCTAGGCTTCAATTTTGTTTCATGCAGATTGAAATCATCCACTGTGCCGGTACGCAAGATACTGTGTCCCGGGAAAGCATTACTGACACGGTACATGAGCGTACCGCACGTGGAACAGAAACAGTTTGTCATAGGCTTGCCAGAAGCAATAGTTTTCGACTGTTTAAACTTCTTGAGTGTTTCTTCACCTCGTATATGTTTGAGGTACGTGTCTGCGACGATGAAATTGGTTGCGAACATAGACGCGGTGATTTTGCGGCAGTCTGTGCAGTGGCAGGTGAACGTGTCGATTAGGCCTGGGCCTTGCGTTGGCTGAAATTTGTTCGTGACATGAGTGGGATATAGGTGATTGTATTTGTAAATTTGGAGACACTTACAAATGCCAACTGCACTCCACCACAGTAACATGTGGCTGTCGCCTGATCTTCTTTTGTCCAGCCATCGTCGGCGCACCCGGCAAGAGGTATGTAAGGTTCGGCTCCCCCAGCTGCAGCTGCCATGACCGTATCTCGCTAATAAATGTCAAACAGAGTATTATATGATATAGTCAAGACCGAGGAAGGGAACAACAGGGAAAATATGGGCTAATATACGTGTACATTACGTTCCCGTTCCGTTCCGCTCGGTCTGCATCGGCCGAATTAATTATTAATCCGGCATCCCACCGGGGTGCTAAGTAACATCCAAATCAGTTTTCATCGACAATCTCTCATAGTTGGATTCCGAACATGACTCCGGCAGGCGCCCATCAGTTCAACGTCCCCAAGTGGTAATGTAGAATTTGTAATTCATCCTCCACCAATCTGAGGGAGACATCGCAGTTCTATGCGTCTGCGGCGAAATTCCAAGCGGAGATGATGAAGATTAGGGCTCCGAAAGGAATAAATGAATGCGAATATAGGGTGAATACAGGTGACCTGACCTCTTGGAAGTGGGTCATGCGAATCATTCGGCTTATTAATCAGCCTTGACGGACTCTAGTTATACCCAGAACGGTTCACGCGAGCTTATCGATGAACTCGCGTGAACTGTATCCACTATGACCTATTCATATTCATATTCGCATTCATATTATTCATATTACCCATTTTGCACGCACTAATGGTTCATGTTCGACTTGAATTTTGCACGGGATATCATCACAGTCTCAGTTACGCAGGAAAATATAAGAACCCATCACCGCCACATGCTGATATGCTATACCTGAGGCTAATAATAACAATAGAATGCATACCGCCCCGTACCACTGAGTCGCGGGTAACCGGAAGCTTCCAAGCGAGCTTGGCCAATTGATCATCTTTATATTCGGGAGGATATCAGGAAACGTAATTATCTTGATATAGTTACCTGTCATGAGAAACTTCGTGGTTTATTCTAGCTATGCAAGCTAAAGGGCAAACGGGTGAGTTATAAAGGTGCAACCTTTCATTTGCGATTTTCGGTTGCATTCTAGAATCAATCCCTTGATTCATGGAAATGGAGTGCTGGTGGGAGACTCCGGTGGGAGCTCCGTAGGTGTCTGGCTACAACTATAATAATTAATATTTCATCATATTTGTCATCACATTGATGTTATAAAATGATGACGTTCGTCCAGTAGAGCAGAACACAACTCATCTTCAGAGCAAAACCTATCTTTAAAACAAACCACCACTACCACCCCCATGTCTATTCCTCAATCATACAAAGCATTTCGGCGGACTGCCGATGGCTCGACTGTTGAGATGACAGAGGAGAAGCTGCCATCATCTCTTGGGCCCACTCAAGTTTTGCTTCGCATCTATGCTGTCTCCCTCAATTACAGGGATGTTGCAATGATGAACGGAAAGTATCCAGTCCAGGTAATTGACCGAGGTATTCCAGCCTCCGACTGTGCTGCAGAAGTTACAGCGGTTGGGTCTGGAGTGAAGGATTTTAGTCCTGGAGATCATGTTGCGCCTATTTTTGATTTAAATTGCATCAACGGAACCGAGGACGCAACAAAGGTTTTAGGTGGGGATGTTGATGGTGTCCTACGACAGTACGCTATTTTCGACCAAAATGTGTTGGTTCAGTTGCCCAAGCATCTTGCTTGGGAGGAGGTAGGTTTCTCTCCTTTTCTTTCTTTCTTTTTTCTTTCTTCCTCAAATAGCCTTAGTCCAAGATGAATGTATACTGAACTTTTGATGCTTCCTCATAGGCGGCCTGCATTGTTTGCGCAGGAACAACTGCATGGCTAGCACTTGATATGCCGCGATCTAGTGGCACTGCGCTGCTTCAAGGTAAACCTTCTTGTTATGCCTTTGGATGAAGCAAAGAAAGCTAATTTGGAGAAGGGACGGGGGGAGTCAGCATGTTTGCGCTACTTATCTGCCTGGCAGCTGGCATCCAACCGATTCTAACATCTTCGTCTGACAGAAAGTTAGAAAAGGCACAGGCTCTAGGGGACGCAGGGGTAGTGCAAGGCATCAATTATAAAACCCACCCTAACTGGGACGAGCAAGCACGAGAACTTACTGGCGGACGAGGTGTTGATATTGTGGTTGACAATATAGGCCCTACCGCTATGAAACGGAATCTCTCTTGCCTCGCTCGAAGAGGTTTTGTTTCTCTTGTCGGGTTTCTAGGAGGGTTCAAGACGGACGAGCGTCCTGATGTACTTGGGCCTGTGCTACTAAAGAGCGCGACAGTAAAGTTTGTTTCTGCCCACCCCTACCTGACTCCTGATCATGGCTGCTTGTAATGATACTAATCTATTTCTTTAGGGGGATGAACCCGGGCTCAAAGTCTGACCTACAGGACCTTTGCAAGTTTCTGGAAGAAAAGGCAGTTCGACTAGGGCCTTTACTGGATGATACTATCTTTTCTTTTGATTGTTCGAAGGCTGCATTCGACCACCTCTATGGTGGAAAACATATCGGCAAGGTTGTTATCCGAATTTGAAATCGGGCGATTACCACATATGCCATTTATACAAAAGCGTTGGATAAAGAAATTCCTGTTTGAACGATGTTCCGTCTTTGTGTTGTACAAATCACTTCTCGTGCTGTCAGTGACTATGTCAATATATTCATCCATGCGGCATCCTCCCTTACTCTCAGGTCTCACTTGAGTAATACCTTCGATTCGATATTGGAAGCAAGCAAGGAAATTGCAGAGTGCACAGTACAATGTCCAAAGCTTAATTCGATTTGTGTATATCTCAACAGCCTATGCAAACGCTTTCTTATATAAGGAGAGAGACCAGGTCGATGTACATATCGATGAAACGGTCTACGGGCTAGGACAGGGGTGGAAGACTACGATGAGCGGAAGCAAGTTCAGCACCCTGGCACTACGATGGAGTTCCAAGCGCAAGACTTTCCGTGGCCATGTGCCTATGCTAAACGTTTAACAGAGCGAGTACTCCTGCGAGTTTTCGCTGAAGATGGTAAATTTGAAGGGCTTCTGATTCTGAGGCCATCAATCATTGCTCCCACGCAAACGTTTCCGTATCCCGGGTTCAACATCTTCAAATCCACTTCGTCCACCATGCTAGCAGCTTCATTGATACTGGCTCGTCTAGAGCAACGCTTTTCTACCGTTCATTTCTCCGACTAATGAGCGTCACTGAGCATTGCCCGTTTCTTACGCGCTGGGTTGTCCTGAATGGTAGAGATCTGCCTTTCCTTGCACAAGTCATCTAGGCGAGCTTTCATACTGTATTTTTATGAGCGTGGCTCTGATATGGCTAGAAAATCGGATGTAAACGCTTGATTATCTCTCATACTGCAACTACAGGGGTTCTAGAAATGCAGCGGCCCAGTGTGGGTCAGCTGACTGACTGACTACGTGCAGGCTAGCGCCGCAAGCCATACCAGCAGGCTCCAACAATGTCTCTTCCAGATCGTGTAAACCGAGCTGTTCTGTGGTTGTAATCAACCACTGATCAATGTTGGTATCACCAGCTAGGCACTGTGTACACAGTTAAGTGAACAGGTTGTTTCTGAAACAAAAGTATAGATTGTAAATAGATAGATAGATGTATGTTCCCAGGTCAGGTTCCAAGATACCCCTTTTATCCTGTACGCGGATACTCGACGGTCACAATACCGGAGCCGTAGCCTCACGCAAGAATGCATACGTACACCGAGCAAGGGATATAATGTGTCAGTCGCTAGCGGTGAGTTACCGCTAATCTGTTACGACCGGAGGATATATCCCGACAATAAGCGGACTTGTCAGACACATTTTCATCTCCGAAGGTTGGATATACTTCCATATGCACAAAATGGTGTACCTTCAGTACCGTCTCTACACCACTATTATCGTAATCAGCTTTTATAGATATCTTACAGATTGTTAATTTCTATTGAACAAGTTATGCTCCTGAGAGTCAATGGAATGGAATTCACAGACAAGAATGCCGACAACTCATACTAAATGTCTCTAAGATTCCTTCAGCGGGAATTAGGGCGCTTGGTATGTCAACGATGGCTGGTGAATTGACCGTTCTCAAAATCGAGTGCCTGATCCCGCAGACCCAATATATCAGCTAAGAATCTTTTCTATTACGACAATTATGCCTCAACTAATTGTCACTCTGCAACGGAATATGTCTAAAGCTAGAAAATCACTCAAAGCTTTAGACATTGTTGATGTTAGCTAGGGGGTTAGTGGATAGTTTATTCTTCCACATGAACCAAAAAGTCCAACATCGAATCCTGCAGGGATTCCACTATCCAGCCTGCCATATGTAGTACTATACGAACTTAGGCCGAGCCCGCCCACTGCTCAACCTCCTTGGTCGCAGTATGGGACGCCTCTGCGTCCGGTGGCAGTTGATGAGAAATTTGTCAAGCCACCACATCGCTGAGTCTTTCACAAACATCTCTTCGAAATCTCTTGTGCGAGGGTCAGAATGGTTCATCGCCATCATAAGTGGAAGCCCTTGATCGTCTTGACGCTTGAGACAGCCTACCAAAGCTTTGATGACACTTAGGGCTCAACTTCAGCTCTTTCACGATAATAGATGGATGAGATATGAATGCATTTAGATATTTGGTTCTTTTAATTAAAGATATTAGGTGTTTAGAAGTAAGTCTAGTTTAACTCACATAAAAAACATGCCAAAGTATGCCAGAATCCGTTTGGCATTACTACGTAGAGAAGGGGTGGTGCATATCACACTATTCCTATTCAGGCAAAGTACACGCGCGCTGACTCATCCCACCATCCACAAGTCACCGCCGACCACATGTGGCTGGGCGCCCCACCACTGCCCCACCAGACCTAGACCCATGACGAAACACCGCCACAGCCCCTCCTTCACACCTGAGGCACCGAGCTGAGCTACGAAGCTCTCCTGGTTAAATACCTCTCTCTTTCTCTCTTCATCTTCCTCCTACTAATCCTCTCCCTCATCAACCCTTCCCATACCTATCCATATTCATCTTCCATATACCCACACACCCAAAATCTCTACCAAAATGGGCTTCTCCAACCTCATCCAAGACACCCTCAAGCACGCAGCCGGCGGCGGCGACAACAACAACAACAGCAGCAACCAGAACTCCTCCTACGGCGGTGGTGCTCCCCCCAGCTACGGTAACGAAGGCGGCTACAGCGCCGGCGGCAGCAGCCAGTTCAACACCCCTCACGGCGGAAACCCTTCCTACGGCGGCGGTCCCCCCAGCTACGGTAACGACGGTGGCTACGGCGGCGGTGCCCCTCCCAGCTACGGCAACGACGGCGGCTACAGCGCCGGCGGCAGCAGCCACTACAACACCCCCCACGGCGGTAACCCCTCCTACGGCGGCGGCGGCGGCTACGGCTCGGACGACGACTTCAGCCCCGCGGTCTCGCACGCCCAGGCGGAGCACAGCAGCGAAGATAAATCCCTGTTCAGCACGGCGCTGAACTTCATCAAGGATCGGAAGTCGCAGTCCTCGCAGAACGATATCGATGAGTCGCAGATGGTGCAGTCGCATCAGGCGCTGTACGGTGGCGGCGGAGATGACAGCCGGGCTCATGATTCGAACTCCCTCGGTGCCGGGGCTGCCATGCAGGCGTTAAAGATGTTTACGTCGGGTGGTGGGTCCTCGTCTAGTGAGAGCAGTGGTGGCATGGATAAGAACAAGTTTATTGGAATTGCCATGGCTCAGGCGAGTAAGTTGTGGGAGGAGAAGAATTCGAGCGGGGGTGGTGTGGTAAGTTTGAGCTCTCTTTTCCTCTTTTTTTTGACATCAATGAGGCTAATATTTTTTGTTTCTTCCTCTATATAGTCCGAAGATAAGCAGTCTGCTGTGAACAAGGCTGCCGAGATGGCGCTGAAGATGTACATGAAGAACGGGGGCAGTGGATCGTCCGGCACTGGAGGACCCGGTGGTCTGATGAGCTTGGCCAGCAAGTTCTTGCACTAAGCTGGGGTAAACATCGGGTGGATTGAATTGGATTGAAGCATAGTTTATTTCAGGGAAATTCATTTATGTATGTTCGTGCAACCTTGTATGTAGCATGCGGGCCATGTTTTTACACACCATAGCCGACAGCTCAAGCATATATAGTATAGCAAACTCTATTTATACCAAACATTTCTACCTACAAATTCAACAATGTCAACATCCACCGAGGGTATGCCAGCGCCAAGCAATGTAGGTCCACTTTTTGGGGTTGGTATCAGGTAGACCGGAAACACTCAATAAACGGAATGACACTCTAAGGCTGAGCAAAAATAAAAGGGAAAAGAATAAAGGAAAAGGAAAAAGACCAATGGGTGTGTGCTAAATCAGAGAAAGAAAAGAAAAAAAAAAAAAGGAAGGGAAACGAGGCAATCACCAGTCATCGTCGTCGTCTTGCTGATGCTTCCCTTGCATAGCGCTTTGTCTTGCCCTCAATGCCTCGGCAAGGCCACCAGCCAAACTTGCGTTCGAGGCGCTGTTAGGGGTGGCACGTCCACTGCCGCCGGACGAGTCTTGCGACTGCATGCTCACAGCACTGTCACGAGGGGCCGGTGGAGGGGCCGGTGCTGTCCTCTTACCCGCCATGTTAGGCCGCTTGGCGGGTGGTGCAGGGGGCGCTGGCTTGGCCTTGGCGGCGGCAGCCGTGGCAGCTCCGTTGGTCGCGGGGCCTGGGCTAGCTCGAGGTGCCGCTGGGGGCGGAGGCGGGGGGGTAGGTCTCGGTGCCGGTGCAGGGGCAGCTTGCTCTTCCAGATATGCTTCGGGAGTCCAGCCCTGCACGGATGTTGCAGTATTCATACACAACCACCAACCTACCCAGATCAATTAGCAAGGTCTAAGATACGGGATCATGACAGAAAAGACTTACCATTTCCTTCCTTGGAAACAATCTGCACAATCTCACCCGCTCGGATAGAAAGCTCGTTAGACTGGGCGCTGCTAAAATCGTACAGCACCTTGGCGGTCGGTTTCCTTTGTGCCGGAGGACTCGAAGGTGGAGGAGGTGGGGGAGCTCTCATTGATCCAGACGACGCAGTCCGTGTATGAGAAGCGGCGACAGCTGCAACGGGTTGCGGGACCGGCCTGGGTGCCGGCGGTGGTGCAGGTTGAGCGGCAGCTGGTTGGGGAGCCGGTGGTGGAGGTTGCACAGCGGCCGGCTGTGGGGTGGCCTGGGGCATGGGCTGACGTGGAGGCACAGGTCGAGAAGCCAATTTCGAAGGACCACCGCCGGGGCCTCCAGGACGAAGCAGTTTGCCTGTGGTGACGGGTCGCGCGGCTACCTGCTTAGGTCGAGGGGTTGGTTTGGAAACAGAACTGGCAGGTTCTCCGGCACTGGTATGGATAGTGCTACTCTTGTAACTGTCCACATTGGAAGCAGCGGGATCCTTGACGACCTTCACGGTGGCCAGCTTTCCTGGTTTCTTGTTATACTCGATACTATTCCTTTATTAGTCATCAGGTCGCCAAACTATTTCAGCCAAACTTACTGGTCGCCGATCTTCAAGTTCAACTGTCCGCGCAAGGCAGTGGAAAGATGAGTAAAGAACTCCGTCTTGAAAACACAGTTCACGAGAGGATCGGGCTCCTGTGCGCCAATGACAAGGGAGAACCAGTCGTCTTTCAGGTTCGATGTGCTAACGGCTTTGATAGCTCCAATCGGGATCGTTCGCTCGGACGAGATAGTCAACTGATTGTTAACGATAGTTTGCGCTACAATATATACATGGCGGCTCGTCTATAGACGTTAGTTAGACCAAAATTCTCTTCGGGCGCCAAGTTTAACTCACCAAAATCAAGATTCGAGCAGAGGGCTTGCTGGAGCGACCGAATTTAGATACTAGCACCTCACCACGGCAAGAGAAAAGCACATTTTCCGATCCTATAAGTAATCCAAGTCAGTGGAAGAAGCATTGTAAATTTTGAGTAGAAACGTACCGCTAATGCCTGCACCGTCACGGATCATTTCACCAGGACCGCCCTTGTTGCCCACGCCAATGTAATCACCGAGGAATCGTCGGGAACCGAGCAAACTCATACGTCGACGTTCCTTCTGGCCCTGGAGTAGCTGGTGACCCTTATCGCGCACCTTAATGAGCTCAAGGCCGCCAGTGCAGCGACGCCAGAATCGTTGGATACGGATCGCACATTCAATGCGGTAGCGCAGGTAGTTACGCCAAGCGCGCTGGATTCGGATAGCCATGTTATGCCAGTACCGATCACGCATGGCCTCCAGCGCGAACAGCGTCTCTGGAGTCTTGACGAAAACCTTTGTGATACCCATCTGGAACTCCTCTGCCGGAATGCTGGTATCCTTCAAGATCTGGCGGGCACCAGATTCGACGTCACCCGTCCAGGTGTATTCACCAGCATAGGACGTCTTGGGCGAAAGCAGGTAAAAACGTTCCACGAATTTGTCGAAAGTTTGACGGTAGGCGAAACCAGCACGTCGAATACGCACGTTCTCCTGAAGACCAAGGTATTTGATTTGGTGCAGCACGTTGCCGACGTTGTATTCCCTGGGGGCCTTGTTGTCATTGGGTTTGATGGTTCGAATGTAAGAGGGCTGAGCCTTCATCAACGTCGCCACCAAGTCGTTGGCGGAAGCTTTGATCTTGTCGCTTGCCGTGGGGGGTCGTCTCTTGTCGTCCTGGTTGACCTGGTTGGGGAAGAGCGTGTGAACAAAGTTGTTGCTCGAGTGGCCGACGAGGTTCAGCAGATCCTTGAGCAGCTGGTCCTTGTTCTTGTCCGTCATGCCCTCGATCGCATAGCTGACATCACCAGCGTAATGCTTCACGATGAATTGACCCTGTCGGCTTTCGAAATTGGGGTTCTGGCCGAGGAAGTTCAGTCTGCCGACGAAGGTGTTGTCCGCAGCACCAGAGTCAGCATGGGCCGTTGCGCACGCATCGTTCAGTGCGGCAAAGACACCTGGCGGGCGCTTGTCCTCGATCAGCGAGCACACAACCTTGTTGTCAAAGTATTTAATCGGAGTCCACTGGATTTGCTCGCGGGCATATTCATCCTGCTCCGCCTTCAACGTCAACTGAATGAAGATCTGCTGAAGCTTCTCGTTGACATAGTTGATACACAGCTGCTCGAAGGAATTCTTATCGAAAATCTCGAATCCGTAAATATCCAGGATACCGATGGAGTTGGTGATAGACTCCCGAGCAGTCAAAGAAGCGTTGACGCGCTCCACAATCCAGTCGAAAAGGTTGAAATAGATCGCCTTCGAAAGCGCATCGCGCACAGCCAAGGCCTGGGTCGTGTTCAAGGGCACCTCGTAAACAGATCCCCTACGACCTCCCCGAGACGTCTCCATGATACGGATGGTCATCGCCTTGTTCACCTCGGCCGGATCGACCTCTAAAAGGTAGGCGACGAAGTTCACGACCGATTGGTCCGCGATGGCGGCGTTGCCGGAGTCGTCCTCCGTGAACTGGATATTTCCGATCCACAGAATCGTCGCCAACATGCGGAAAACATCGTCCTGCTCGGCCTCGGTCATACCAATAACCCCCATTGCGTTGATCGTATCCTGGAACTCGGCAGCGTCGTCGACACCGGGCACATCGAAGCATTTAGATCGGCTAGTGTAGACGTAGGACTGGGGTTGTTGCAAACCGAACATGTCTAGTTTGTTGAGTTAGTGTAAGACATTACGACACAAGACCAGCCCATTCATACCTCGATACTTCTGCGGCGCAGCTTTCGTAAACTGGTAGAAGATGTGGAAGTTACGCTCGTTCGTAATCTGCCCCACAACTCGCGACTTCTCCAGCAGATAATTGGTGATGTTGGCACCGACCGGCTCTCCATTGGCGTTGAACTCCAATTCCAAGTATTTTCCGAAACGGGACGAGTTGTTGTTACGCAGCGTCTTCGCGTTACCGAACGATTCCAGGAGCGGGTTTGTTGCGAGGACCATGTCCTTCGTTTGTTGGATGGACGAGTCCGTGCCCCCCGATACACTCGCGATATACTGCATGATCCGCTTCGCAGCCTCGGTCTTTCCAGCACCGGACTCTCCGGAGATGATCACACACTGGTTGTCTTTATAGGATTTCATGTTATAGTAGGAGGATTCGGCGACCGCGAAGACATGGGGCGGGGTTTCCAGTCGATTCTTCCCCCGGTAGGATTCGAGAACGCTATCGGTATAGATGCCCACTAATCAAAAACAAAACGTAGTCAGTCACAAGTCCCGATACCCCTTATACCAGAACAAGCGCACTTACAGTCTCGGAAAGGGTTAACAGACACCAGCACGTGTCCAATATAAGTCTAGAAACACACCAGTTAGCCGTCATCTGTCAGCCTTGACCGCGCGATCCGAAGCTTACGTAGATTTCGTCATGTTCAAAGCGCAGCTTCAAGTTATCGTTGATGGCTTCGTTCGAGATCTTGCTCAGCAATGTCAAATCGGAAACACCAATCTCCTTCTTTTTCGTGCTTTCGAATGCGGCCTTGCGAACTTGGGGCTTGCCGCCCGCTTGCCGCCCATCGCCGACATCAGCGACCTTGGAGCGACCAAAACCTCGACTCTTCTTCTCCCCGCCGACCGGACGTCGTGAGTGTCCCTGGAATTGGAATATAGGTTAATGGATTTTCTTGCCAGTAATATTACCCATTGCTCGTCTCCCGGTCCAGAATATCAACCAAACAAGTCAACTCACCATGGTTGTTGCTACCGATCGCCCCCGGATCTGGCGCAGGCGTCAAGATATCCGACGTATCAGTTGCGGAATACCGGTCGATCACCGATTACAGAGGAAGAAAGGGAATGAGCGTAAAAGACAGGATGCTCATTCCAGGGATTGGGTAGTGAATGGTCAAGAATAACTCCGATAGAGGAGTATGCGGAACGAATGGAGGTGGAAGTGGAGGAGTTAGAGGGAAGAGGGAGGGAGAGAGGGAGAGGGAGAGAGGGAGGGACCAGAATGACGACGGTTGCTTGTGGAGGACAGATGGGATTTCTGCCTAAGGCCGCTGATCCCCCCTTCTGCGCCACACCGCCGCACGTGTGGCACGCCCGCCGGCAAAGCACAACGCGCAATCTTTCGCCTCCACGGTTGGGTCGGCCACTCGTTCCTTCCTTCCCGTCCTCAAGTCTGGCCCAATTTCCTGGTGCCTGACGCGCCGCTCGTAGGTGTGCACGTGCCATGGTCTTGGTTCTCACAATCCCATTTGCTTATGGCATCGCTACGGTGTAGTTACAAAAATTCTTTTTTTGAAACATTTTTATAAATATCAAGTCCCTGAAGATAGTAAATGTGGTTCGTTTAAGGAATCCCGCTAATTCCTGACTCGTTCTCTGGCAATTCATGGAATACATATGCTCCAAAAGGAGCCCTAGGCATCAGTTTCTCGTGGTCTGCGCCTGTTCCATGTATGAAAGTCGTAGGCAGTCCTTTTCCCATTAATTAGCTAAATCGAGGGGGATTCTTTCTGCCTTATTTAACTCGCCAGAGCGTTGATGTGTCAGGTCGATAAATGCCCGATAATGGCACACATGGTTTCTATTATTACAGAGTAAGCTCTGGCGTGTCTTGCATTCTCCTCTCCAGATTGGCCTAGTTTCGACTTTCGAAGAGATCTTGCTCCACAGTCCACCTCGGTGTCGGTTCCCATTCGTATCCCTATTCGTATGGCTCTGACCCCTTGAATGGCCTGGGGCAGCCAAGTCCCTAATGACGTCATATCCTCTGGCCCACCGTGAACACGCGGCAATGGCAATACAATTCACCTGGACTTCAGGTACAGTGTAGATCAATTACAGCGTAGAAGTAGCTTGATTGGTATCTTTCATAGGATTCTGGGCTGTTAGTGTTGGTTCAATTGCTCTGGTCTTGGGTTCCATTGTTGGATTCATCGTATGGAGTCTTGGATATATATCCCGCAAGGTGGGACCAGAAACGCTCAACCACAACGGCAAGAGTAGAATGAAAATCAATGATCCATCACCCCGAACTACGCAATCTGCTCACTCATACACCATGTCATCTTTCCAGAAGTTTATTATGCCTCTTGCCTTTCTTTCACCCAGATAATCATACAGAATCTCCTGCCCCTCATGTGTGCGCACAGCCTGACCCATGGTCTTCAGGGATGGGAACAAATCGCTTAGGATGTTAATGTCGTTCTCTGACAAATTTTCAGCGTTGTCGGAGTGGGCATGGGCCAAGAGGTTGATAGAATCTGCCACAGAAGGGTCCTGCGCCGGGATGTCCACGAGGTTACCCATGTATTCTTTTATACTCGCAAGGAAGCTAGATGAGTCGGGAATAGGAAGTATGGAGACGGATATGGATAGAGTTTCCATCGTTCTAGGAGTGTTAATTATGAGCGATATTGGAATGGCTGTGGATGGCGTACAGGATTTGGAGGGACAATAGTGCGTCTAGATTACAATTCCCCGTTGCGCTGTTGAATGGTTGTTCGGAAAGAAGGAGAGCGATGATGCATCTTCCAGGCGACGACAGCATGGATGTAGAGAGATCCTTTAATTGAGAAATTGTTTGTTCCTTGCCGTCGGAGTCGAGAGAAGAGGGTATTAGGAGAAGGACGCGTAAAGGTTGCGGATTAGTCCCCAGGTAGAAATTGAAGTCGTGTCCTGGTAAGTGGGATTCTATGAAGACATTGGTGAGGTTTTGGATGAGAATTTGGATGGTCAATTGATGCAGAAAGAGTACCGTGAAGAACAGCTGCTTGAGTCGTCAGCACTGGCCCTATGACTTTCCATACGGAACGCGTTCGAAGAGATGAGGAGAATTGTCCACGAATGGAATCCATATCAAATGGATGGTTCATAGTAGATTATAATTTCTTGGTGCTCTATAATGTGCAGGCGAAGAGAGGAGCAAGAGAAGAGAAGGATAAGTATGTACAGTGGGAGAGAGGAGATTGTTCACCCCGCTCAACGTCATTCGGTAACAGAGAAGGGTATCCCAAACAGAAAAACAGGTATAACATCACCTGTGTACAAAACAACCTCTATGACCAAACAAGACTTTACACGAAGCCAAACGTCTATTAGCAGTAAAACTCAATTCGATTTCGATGGCGGACCCTGGTTAGTTGGATTCGTGGGAACCGCGGTCTTGTCTTCGGTCTTCTTGGCCTGCTCTTCGCCGACAACAGCTTCAGCCGTCTGTTCTGGACTTTGACCAAATGTGAAATAAGACGTGACGCGCGACCACCAACTGGGCTCTTCAGCCTCCACTTCCTCCTGCTTTTCCACCTCCCAAACTTCGCGGGGGAGAATCCTGGGTGAGGACTTTGACAGCACCCCTTGCTTGGCCTTTTGTTGCAAAACCTCCTTCTCCAAGGCCACCAAGGCCTGCCGAGCGGCCTTCTCTGATTGTTCCAGCTCAGCTAACCGAGACTCAACGTCCTCTCTGCGCGTAGTTTCCTTCCTCCGTGACCTCCACGACTCGAAGACGATCAAACCACCCGCCACCAGAAACAGGAACGATTCGCTGATGAAGGTCGCACCCGACTCGATGGCTTTCGATTCCGACAGGGGTCGTATGTGAGGTTTTCGAGGGTTTGCTGCGTCTTGGGCGGCGGCTTTAGCCTTCGCGGCGGCTTCTTCTTCAGCTCTGGCCTCGGCGTGCGTTTTCGCCGTCGGGGAGGTCGGTTTGTGTTTTCGCAGTTCGGCTTCGGCGACCGCTTGTCTTTGTGAGGCGGCGTTATCGCGGAGGGTCCCTAGACGGAGACGCATGTCGAGCCGGTGAAGAGATTGCGCCATGCCGATGCAGATTCGTCGGAACCGTTCATGTTCGCGGGCTTGTGCTTTAATTTGGTTCTTGGAGTAGTCAGCATTGATTGTTTGGTCGGGGTTGCTAACAGAATCGACTGGGTTGAGCATACGGCGATCGGCTTCGAAAGGGTGCGGATAGCCAGGGAGGAGAGCTTGAGTGTGAGGGACATGGTGAATTAGTGGCAGCTCAATCGTAGATGATGACCTTCGCTTCCTTTCCTTGCATTGAGTCCGTTGTCGCAACTGTAGGGGGTAAGAAGAATTTGGAATTACGGAGTAGGCACCACTCTGCGTCATCCATGCAGATGCACAAGTGGGATTTATCCAGGCTGAGTCATCAATGCATGGTTGTTACGGCATTCGGATCAATGTTTATCGATTGCCGGATTAGGCAGACCGTTTGGGGTCGCCCGTGATCAGATCCGTTGCCGTGTCATCCCTTTTACTTTGGCCCTACTGGACTTTGATTCCTCTTCCCTTGCTCCCCACCTGCTGGTGATTTCCGGGACCGAAGACTGTTTGACAGTCGTGTTGGGCGTTGGATGCATGTCATTGTTTTTGAGCGTCATTGTTATATCTTTTTTTGATTTATTCTGGTGAGTCCGCCCTTTTGTCCGAATTTTTCGCCCTTACGTGTTCCTCGGTGTTGATGCCCGCCTTCGATATGGGACGGTTTTATGCTTCACTTTGCCACGCCACTATACTCCCTGTCAACCATCGCTGGTTATAGGCCAGTAGATGGTCATCGCTGATTGCCATCTCGCCCCCCTCAATTGACTGACCGACCATTATCCAGGATAGCACCGGCTCGTCCATTATACCCCGTCCGCACCGTCTAGTATTTTCATATTGTATATTGCAATAACTCATGATTGTTACGACCGACTTAATCGATTCAAAGACCGTCAGCTTGCGCATCCGGCCCGCCAGCGACAATAATATTATAGCGAAAGCAACCCAGGAGACTCCAACGCGGAAGGAAAAACAAAGATGGAGGCTTTGTCACCCCGGTCAACAAATCAAATGATCAAACCGAAAGTCCCCATGGAACGGAAGGTACTCGATCGCAACGCCGCTGCAGCTGCGAATGCTGCACAAAAAGCTGCATCCTCGAAGAACCATGCGCCGCCGCCGCCCGCCCTCGTCACGGAGCCCACCGAGTATGGAGAGCGATACTCGACCGGCGCATTTCTGGGGAAAGGAGGGTTTGCTGTTTGTTACGAGGGCACATTGCTACGCAATAACCGAGTCTTCGCGATGAAGGTGGTAAAGTCGGAAATGACCCAGAAGAAGATGCAGGAGAAGGTACTTTGCGCTCCGGATCCTGGATGATTGAGCTGGACGAGGGGATTTTATTGTTTGCTAACCTGGGCTGTTGTGTAGTTTCGGACCGAACTTCAGATCCACTCGAAGATGCGACACCCTCATATCGTCGGCTTTCATCGCGCGTTCGCTTTCGATCAGAGCACCTACGTGATTCTCGAGCTTTGTCCCAATGGGTCGGTTATGGACATGGTCAGGAAAAGGAAGTGTTTGAGTTTGCCGGAAGTCCGACGATTGATGATCCAGCTTTGCGGTGCAGTGAAATATCTGCATAAGCGAAATGTTGCGCATCGTGATTTGAAGATGGGTAACTTGTTCCTGGATCAGAACATGGATATCAAAGTGGGAGATTTCGGGTTGGCGGCCATGATAATTTCAGAGCGGGACGAAAAACGGAGAAGGACGCTATGCGGAACGCCGAATTATATCGCACCGGAAGTTTTGGATAAGACTAAAGGGGGCCATACGCAAAAAGTCGACATCTGGTCCCTAGGTGTTATATGGTGAGAACGACATGGCCCACATTGACTGCCCTGGTGTGACTAACAATTTTTCATAGCTTTGCGATGCTCACAGGCTACCCTCCGTTTCAATCGAAAACCCAGGAAGAAATATACAAGAAAGTCAGAAACCTCACATACGTGTGGCCCAAAGGCCCAGACTGCGCCAACGACATTCCAGAAGAAGCGAAGTCGCTAGTCAGTTCTTGTTTGAATTTGGCAGAAGAGGAACGACCCGACCCCGACGATATTGTTGAGCACCCCTTCTTCAGCATGTACGACGGATGCATCCCGCGGAGATTGGAGCCTGAGTGCTGCCTTGCTAAGCCGTTCTGGCTTACAACGGATCAGCCTCGCGGCGACAACATTATGATTGGCCACAGCTTGGAGTATGACGAGAAACTTTCCGGCTATATAGATAACGTCGACGACCCGAGCCAGCGATACCACATTTGCAAAGCCGCCTTTTACACTTTCTGCGGCGTTGGGAGGAAGCCAGATGGGTCTGCGCGTAAGGCTGCTGGCAAGCACGGCTCCAAGTCTGCGTTCGCTGAATGCTTCGCGGAAGAGGAGAAGGGACTTCAACCCGTTATTCCTTTGCCGGAAGATATCGTCTACAGCTACCCCTACAATCCAGAGGGAGATTGGAGTGTTCCGGAGCTGTTGCTAACTAAGCGCAGAGACTGTTCGTCGCTAGAAAGCTCCGTTCTGTCTTCGAAGAGTACTGCACCAGCTCGCAGCAATGTTGTGTCACAATCGCGAACGCAGGCCGCATTAGCTGCAGCCCAGCAGCGCCGACAGGAATCTCAGAGCCATGCAGCCACTCTTCGACAGCAAGCGACCGGCCGAGGCTCGGTCAGAAAGGTTCCAACCCTTTGCGATCCCCCAGGCCCCGGACCACGACCGTTGGAAAACGTGCGCGTGGATGATGATGCGTTGTCAGTGCCGGGTGGACCAACAGGTGGTCTCGCGGATCGTCCCATTCGCGCGCGCCGTGGGGTGGCCGCTTCGTACTCAGGCTCAACGCGTGGCTCGGATAGAAACCTGGTACCACAGGTCTCCCGAATTACCAGTGATGCAGCGATGCTGACAGTTGGGAAGACTCGCTCGCAGTCTCGACGGCTAGAAGCCGCGAACAAGGGCGGACCAGGGCTTCCACTACCTAGAGAGCGAATCACCACAACAACAATTGACAGCGCTCCAATCCGGCCGCGACCCGCATCAATTCCGGTTGCCCCTAAGTTGGAGAAACCCGAGGCGCTGAAACCGGTCGAGCCATTGAAGCCAGAGCCTCGACCCACCCCAGCTGAAGAAGTTCACCGTCTACGACCGGAACCTCAATCTCAGCCTCAAGCGATACTTCGAACTGGCAGTAAGACGTCATTATCTTCCGCCAATAAGCCTCGCTCGTCTCTCGGAACGCACCCGCTTTTTCATCGCGATGACTCGTGCGAATCTCTCCCGGGGACTTCTATTGCCGATACCAATGCGGACCTACGACACATGCTTTCAAACCTGGTGCCAAACTCATCTGTTCGACGGCGTGCAGTCGCGAGGAGGGAACCGCATACGTACGTTATCAAATGGGTTGATTACACCAATCGATACGGTATCGGTTACGTCCTGGACGATGGGAGCGTCGGATGCGTCTTTAGAGCGGGAAATGGCAATCCGGCTACTGGTGTCGTCGTGCGTGAAGGGGAGAAGCACATCCGTCGCAAGGCGCGCAGCCATGAGAAACGGGAGGGAGACGTATTTACCTACTCGGAAGCCGACCAACTTGTGCCTCGCCAAGGGAAGCCGGTTGAATTCTACGAGAACTGTGACAACGACGCATCCGGATTCCACGGAGGTGTGCGGCGCGCAGCAGTCTCACCTTCGCTATTTGAAGTCAAACCATCATCGAATGGCTCATCTAGCTCGGGCGTCAAGGTTCGCACAAATTCTGGTATTGATTGCGCGCGAGCCGACGCTGAGAAGATTAAACGCGTCAAATTGGTGGATCAGTTTGGCAAGTACATGATCGGATCTCTGGGCCGACATGGCGACGAGGCATTCCTCGAGGACCAAGCCTCAACCGGGCCCCAAGGACAGTTCATCAAGTACTACCAGCGCCTAGGTAACGTCGGTGTGTGGGGCTTTGGGGATGGTGCTCTTCAGGTTTGTTTTCATCCCCCCTGTGGCTTTTTCACCACCATACTGACCGGTTTCTGAAAGTTCAACTTCCCCGACCACACCAAACTCGTTATCTCGCCAGGTCGCACCAGAAGTTCATCGCCCTGGATCGATTTCTACCACCTGTCGCCCTCGGCCGCTCGTTACTTGAGCGCCAAAGGAAAGATGCACCCCGCTGGATTCGACACGCGGGCGCTGGCATCGGACGAGGTCGGAACGTTCCTCAGCATTGCGTACGGAGCGACAGCTAGTCCGATGGATGAACGTATTCGCGACATCCTCGACGCCAACTCCTTCCTTCAAAAGATCGGATTCCTGAAAGACGTCTTGAAAGGATGGCTTAAACACGGCCGAGTCGGAGGCCGCCCATTCGACAAATCCCTGGGAGTAGAAGGGGGCCTACGATCGCTCGACATGTTCTGGGAGGGAGCCCAGGAGAGGGCACATGGGTCAAAGTTTGTTTGGGTTACAGTGGGGGCGCCTGGAGGGGACGGCGAGTACCGATCCATCACTCTTAGGGAAAAGGACAAAAAGGTGGAAGCAACCCATGAACAGGAGATGGGGATGCTGAGGGAGCGGTTGCGAATGCTGGGGGTACCGTCATAATCGACGGTCCCCGGAGGGATTTTACGATGTTATGATTTTGACTGTTTTGATTCATTGCAATGGTCGTTTTGGTGTGATTCTCGTGCTCATTCCCTTGCATTTGCTGCGTGTTGATTTATTGCATGACCATGCGTCTATTCCAGAGTTGCATATTTAGTATCCAATGTTCAGACCTACTCAGATAATGAATTGACTTTCTGCCAATCCAACCTGCCCCTTGTCCTCTCTAGTCGACGAGTCATCCACTTCATTTACAGGGTTCATGGCATGGCCCTGAGCGCATACCTCGTCCCTTCGATCGTCTCCCCCTCTCGTATTCCCCGCCCAACCAGCCGCTTTGGTGGTTGGGCAAGCGGCTTGCAAGTCTATATTCAGTTCCAAGACGCGAGCTAAGCCGCATCCTACGCTATCGCTACGGTGTGGGTGGTCCACATTACAACTTGGCCTGCAGGATATGGGTGCGAGGACTTCGTATTCCGGAAATTAGCCCCAATCGAGTCCAGGCACGGCACCCTCAATATGCGGAGACCAATCAGCTTAATGCTTGGGTATCTTGGCGGTAGAGGGGGCGACTTGGGGTATAAATATCTGGGTGTAGGTGAGCTCAGATGGTTTAGGTCCTCTCTCGAGATAAACTTCGTACCCAGGGCAAGAAGAAAAGCAGACAGATATACAGTCATTCGTTTTACTGTTCCCTGTGCCCATCCACTCACTTATTATACTCGCTTGTTATCGTGATTGACTGATCGAACTCGCCACGATGCTTTCCTCTCTTGTCCTCCTCACCCCCCTTCTCGCCGGCCAGGGCCTCGCCGCCCATTTCGGCTCTCATCTCGCCGAGATGGAAATCTTTAAGCGCCAGAGCGACAGCGAGGCTTTTGTGCCCGGCACTACCCCTGGCTGTCCTTCTAACTGGCCTATGTGCGGAACGAGCGGCATCTGCTACAACCCCAAACAAGGACAGACCTGCTGCCCGGGTGGAAAGTGTATGTTAGCATCCGCTGCTTTGTCTACGAGACCCCATTTATATCTCACTGTAGAGGGGCCTGAATGCTAACGCTTCATGTGTGATTGTGTTAGATGCCTGCCCGGCGAACTCGTTCTGTCTGCAGGCGCCGTACTGCTGTCCTGATGTATGTCTCATTCCCCCTTTGATGTGTTACACCTTAATTAGCGAATACATGTACATGAACGCTAACATAAGAAAAGGGTCTCGATCCCGAGACCTGCGCCCAACGATACGGCATCACCTTATCTCCAAGCTCAACTGAAGAGCCTGTCCCGGAACCCACCGACACCAGCGTGCCCACGGAGCCCACTCCAGAGCCAACCGACACCGTCGAGCCCACTGTTTCCCAGCCGACTGGCCCTGAACCCACCGATACCGTGACTGAGCCCACCGCGACTGAGCCAGAGCCTACCGAGACCGCTCCGGAGCCGACGACCTCGAACCCGGTGATTCCTAAGCCCCCGACTTCGACTGAACCGTCTGTGCCATCGAGTACAGCGAACCCTACCCAGTCGACTGCGACTCCTTCTACGCCGCTGTTCACTGGTGGCGCGAATGCCAAGGAGGTTGCTGGTGGCGTGGCGATTGCTCTCGGGGGCTTGGGACTATTGGGTAATTTGATTTAGGGAATGGATGAGGGAAGGTCAACGGGAATTTGATGATTTGTGGGATGGGATTGGAATTAATTTAATGGGGGTTCATGTTGATGGATATGAGTTCAAATTTATATGGGTTTTTGGTAGGATGTAATAATTATGAGATTGATTCACATTCAGGAAGCTTCTGCTAGGAATGGCCAATTGATGACTCAATATCCAAATAACACGTCAAACGATAGAGAGGATCGAATCCACCGCGGAGAATCTCTCGGAAAATCTCCAGGCTGCGCGGGGTAGAAAGACCCCATTAGCGTTCCTGCAGATCATCGATCCTATTCTCATTTCCTTCAATTGATTCAACTTCACCGGATATCATTCTACACCCTCATCGCTCTCTCACAGCGAACAACCAACTCCTCTACCCTCATTCTACCCACAAACCTACGCTAAAACAACCATCATGTCCACCTCGATATCCTCCATGCAAAACCCCTCCTGTCTTCTCTATGGCGCCGGCGACTGCCGCTACGAAGACCGACCCATTCCCACCATCGAAGACCCCAACGACGTGATAATCCGCATTGCGTACACCGGTGTCTGCGGAAGCGATGTACGTAACACACCTATTCCCAAGCTCCCCTCAACCACTGACACAGTATCAACAGGTGAGTTTCTGGGTCCATGGCGGCATCAAACGCCGCATCACGCCCGAAAACCCAGTCGTGATGGGCCACGAAGCATCCGGCACAGTGCATGCCATCGGATCTGGCACACACCATCTCAAACCGGGCGATCCGGTGGCCATCGAGCCCGGATATCCGTGTCGACGCTGCGAGCTGTGCAAAGCGGGTCGATACAATCTCTGTCCCAGGATGAAATTCGCCGCAGTCCCTAGTAGCTGTCATGGGACGTTGACGAGGTTTTTCAAGATCCCCGGGGATTATTGTCATTCGTTAGTACCAGCATCGGGATCGGGATCGGGATCGGGAACCGTAGACTCAGATCCTAAGTTGGGTCTAGGTCTCGACGAAGCCGTGCTGATGGAGCCATTAGCCGTGGCGATCCACTCCGTTCGCTCGGTAGGCGTCACGCCGGGGAGTCGGGTGGTAGTGTTCGGTGCCGGCACGGTGGGGTTGTTATGCGCGAGCGTGGCACGAGAGTTCGGCACGAAACAAATCATCATTGTGGATGTGAACGCGCAAAAGCTGGAGTTTGCGGAGAGTGTGGTTCCGAACCCGCATGTCTCTTTCGGCACATATATTCCCTCGTCGACGCTCTCGACAGAGGAAAATGCTAGTAAACTCCTGGAACAATTCGATTCTACGTCTCATAACATCGGGGAAACAGGAATTCCGGGCTTTGATGTCGTGATCGAAGCTACTGGCGCTGAACCCTGCGTGCAGATGGGCATTAATGTTCTCCGGGCTGGGGGTGCTTATATCCAGACGGGCAACGGGAAGAGGAAGGTGGAGTTTCCGATTTCCACGGTGGCAGAGAAGGAGATCACGGTGCGAGGGTGCTTTCGGTATGGACCAGGAGATTTTCAGCTGGGGGTGAAGATGGCGAGTGAGGGTAGGATTCAGGTGAAGAGGTTCATTACGAAGGTGGTGCCGTTTGAGAGCGCCGTGGAGGCGTGGGAGACGACGAGGAGGGGAGAAGGGATCAAGACTTTGATTAAGGGGGTTGAGGAGTAGGGTTGTTCAAGTAGATAGATGACTGCCGAGAATGCTAAAGGAAAAGACAATTTTTGCTATGAGGTAGTTGTATGCGGGTGAGCGTTAAGTCTTACTGCAAGGGAGGGTTTTGGCGAACTCGTTATTAATAGAATTAAATGGGCCATGATGGATAGCCCAGGTGCGAATGATGATAGGTGCAGCGATTAGATTGGTAAGAGATTCTTTTATGAAAGAGGAATGTGCAATGATGTATCAAGCTGGCCAAATTAAACAATATCTCATGTGAAAGGAACGCGTAACACAAATGGTATCGAATAAGACAGAGATCATAAGCAACACCCCCATGCAAGACTAATAGTAGTCAATTAAACATACCAATATGTGCAATTTGAATCCAAATCAGCGTAAATTAACCCATTAAATCCATCAGTGTTTCTCCATCGAGAAAGTCGGCTCCGGCATGGTCACCGAGCTCGCCCCCGACGGTTCCCGCATCGGTGGCATCGACATCGGCGGCCTAGTCTGCTCATGCCCTTGCATCTGCGTATGCATCTGCATCTGCATCGGCATTTGCGGTTGTGATTGCGGATGCGGATGCATAGGATAAGGTGACATTGGTGGCCGTGTCTGTCCATGTCCCTGCCCTTCTGTCTGCATCATCGGCGGTTGCATCGGCGGTTGCATTTGCAGCTGTGAATGCGACTGCATAGGATACAGCGACGAAGACGACTGCGGCGGTGGGAACGGACGACCAGGCAGGAACGATCTCCGATGACCCGGCTGCTGTGCTGCACGATTTTCACCGCCACTTTTCGTAGCCTCCAGCTCCCGCTTCACGCCTTCATACATATGCTCGATGATCTGGATCTCCTCCTGGATATCGAGCATGCAACCATCCAGACATAGCTCGCGCTCGCGCTGCTCAATATATTCGCGGATATTGCGCCACTCGTTCTGGTAGTGTTTTAGACGGTCCGGGAGGCCGGAGCCCTTGAGGTAGGTGAGAACGCCGGCCATGATGGTGTTGATTGCGCCGAAGGCCGTGACAGCGGAGTGGGGGCCCGAGGCGGCGCCGATGGCGGTCAATGCAGCAGCGACGACGATTTGGATGCCCAGGCAGGTGTTGATGAGAATGCTGAAGAAGCGGTAGCGTTGCGCGGAGGCTTGTTCGGCTTGGACGACTCGCGTGTAGATGCCGACGTTGGGGGCGGAGCGGGCGAATTGGTTCAGCGCTTCGAGGGCGGGGACGCTGTCGATGCCGGTGAGGGCGCGGAAGATGAGGAGTTTGTCATGGGAAGGGATGAGAGAGCCGGCTTCGGTGGTTGAGAGCGTGAGGCGTTTCGGTGGGAAGTCGCCCTGTCCTGGACCGCCAGGGCCCATGGGACCTGGGTGTTGTTGCTGACCGTCTGCCATCATGGGGTGGGGTGGAATAGCCTGCCCGCTCATCGGAGGAAAGCCTTGCTCCTCTCGATCAAAGGCAGAGAAAAGGAGACGGCGAGCGAAGGCGCCCAGCCTGCTGGGTTGATGGCCGGCCATGTCGTGTAGTGCTTGCAAGGTAGGGCAACGCACGTTATGGACAGACTTGGATGCGCAGGAGGTGGACCAACAGAAAAGAGAATGAGAAGGGCGATGGCTCTGCTTTAGTATTGAAGTGGCGTCGACTGACGGCAGCGACTATTCCCGTTTGATTGAATTTGTGTTTATTTATTTGCATGATGTTATCTTGTTTTATCCGGATAACTCTGCGCTAAATTCTCTCTGAAAGGCACGGACACCGGCACGTCAGTCCAAGATGCGCATGGATGATTGGATCATAGAGTGAACCTTCACGATACACCGATTGTCGATCCTCATCTTCAAAGAAGACCGTCCCAGGCGAGCGGAAACTAGGGAGAGGAAATCCAACCCTCGAGGGAGGGAAAGTCTGATTTGATGTCTAGAGTGTGATGGCTCATAGCGCAGGCTCCACTCTATTTTACTGACTCCTTGCAGAACCAATCACCAAAACAAACAGCCAGTCTGGACGCAGACACAGCCTCCTTGAACGGTGCCAGGTGATTTAAAATCCTCGGGTGCAAACCCCCAAGTCTAAGCTAAATTCAGAGCTGATAGGAGTACAGATCGTAGCGTCGCATTGGGTCGGGCCAGCTTACCGGGCTGCATGTGCCGGGGAGGACAGACTTGGGCATCGTGCAGAGAAGTGGCCCGGGGCTTGAGTCATGATTAGTCCGGTGGGGAACTGGTAGCTCCAAAAGTTGGGAGTTTTAAGCGACGCTTCCTTGGCTTGTCGTCTTCCTGATCAGATTCTCATCTCGACCCCCAGAACAATAACGATTGTGGTGAGAAAACATACATCACTGCCGCCTGACACGAAATAAACTCGCACGTCCACGAGTTCTCAGCTGGCACAGCATGAACTGCGACGTAGGGGACCAAACTCTGCTTCACTCATCGGACCCCAACCCGATCTCGTGTCAAGGGATCAGCGCCCCTAGACTCGCGAGGGCGGGCTGAACCCGACGCCAAAGAACGCTAATTAATGTCCGAGGTTCATCCTCTCGTTCTCGATCCACGGTTCGCCAGTCCGTCAGTGCGGGAATCCCGCAGTATTTAGTGCGTTATGTTGGGACCCTGATTGGCGTGTGTGGAAAACAGCCTAATGCACGCTGCTGTATGAAGATGGAGCTCAGCTCGACTTTTTGCGTTTGTTGTCCGGATTGTTGGACTGGAGACTTGAAGAAACCAAGAAGTGTCTCCTTAATTCGCCGAGTGTGGATCCTCTGCAGCCGACTCGGTGCTTGAGAGCTTGAATTCTCACAGATAGACTATATTAATTGTGATTGTTGCCCGATGAAAGGGAAGGTGCACCGAAGTTCATATCCTTGAGGTGGCAGGGACACTAAGGCGTACGATGACCCGAACGCTATTTGTCATGTTCGAGCACGGATGCCAATAATATCGAGCATTATAATAAGCGGCCTGGACCGAAGTCTATCCCTGCAGGAAATATCTGGCCAAACTGTCTATCAGCCAGGTGTTCGCTATATGTTTGCGTACTGGAAGAACTGATTATCACTAATAGACGTTTTTTCCAATCATTATTTCTCCGACTCGTGCCGTCCGCGACATCATACTAGTAGCTGCACCACAATTCTTCTAGGGAAGAGATAACACAGCTGCCCTATGGAATTCCACACTTAACAGGGTAGAAATATAGTTGAGTGAAATGTCTTTGAAAGAGTTTTGGTGTCTTATCGGTATCACTTTCGCTGTGCACTGTTTACTCAATGTTTAATAGCAACCCCTTGCGGCTAGATAAGCAAGGGAATCCAGGCCGCCAGTTACCTTGTCTAGGATTTGAGTTGACCAAGGGGAAGAACATATGCAGGTGACTGAAGCAAGGTCCCTCGGGTGTGACGTGCTTCTTAACTGATGCTTTTGTTCCACAATGAGATCGCAATGCAGCGTACCGCAACCGTCTAGGACCAAAAATGCCGTTAATTCTTTAAGCGTGCTAACATTCTGCTTGACCAATGTTGCTTTTTCGTTGACCGAATATTTATAGGTGAGACTTTGAGATGACTCAGTGACACAGTACCACCGGTCGGTGTACCTCTACTTGTTCATTCGATCATCGAACTGGGAGCATTTTGTACAGGATATCTCGAAGACGCAGGGAATCCGAAGAGGAAGTTCCAATCTCTTGAGAACGAAGACTAGGAGATGACTTAAGGCATTAGGATAGGGTTTGTGCTGCCCGTGACCTGCCCGCCGCGAGAACGTCCATGGTTCATGCTGAAATATCCAACCGATTAAAACCTTAAAGATGCTTATAAGAAACTGTTGGAACCATTATTCAGCTGACATGCCTAAGTCATATGACTCCTTGGCATGGGCAGCTATTATATCTTCAACGAAGCTAGTAGTTTAGAATGGCACTTCACTTTTACCCACCGAGCATATACCTACATTCCGTTGAATCGATAGGATATCTGCTTAGGGCAATGACCAAGTCAACCGACAGAAACTTTCTGATCTTATTGAGCGTTAAGAATATTCTATGGGCGAAATGAGTGAAAAATTTCCTGGTGGGGCAAGATGGTATACCGCAGGGCGCACTCGCATCGATCCTCTCCGTTATACCAGCTTAAATGAGTCACATTTCGACATTCATTTTATAAACCAGCAACCAGCAAGGTGATACAGGTTAATTACCACTTGACCAAGCATAACATCTCTTTTTGCCTCATTCCACCCATCAATCCATCAACTCCCACAATGCCGTCGGACTTTCTCGCGCAGTGCCCGGGCCTAGAAGGCCTAAACGCCTTCACTCGCCCTCTTACCCCAAACGATGTCAAATCGTGCGTAACGGTAGAGAGCGCATTTGTCGAGTACGAGAGATGCTCTGAAGAAAAGGTTCGTCAATCGCTGTTCCACCGAAATTCCCTGACTAATTATATAATGCGCAGTTCGCGTATCGTCTCAACCAAACCCCTGAACTCTGTCTCGGCCTCTTCATCAAACCTTCCAATAGCACCACGGATCAATTAATCGGACATGTCATCGCCAATAGAACCCAATCTTCAGTCGTAACAGACGGGTCAGTGGAGATGCCTACTTCCTGGGAGACTTTGGCCCCGAACGAGCGAGTCATCGTCAACGGGGAAGTCATCGGAAATGATCCGCAGGGTAAAAATATAGCGATTCACTCGGTCGCTATTATCCCGAAGTACCAAAGAGGCGGAGTTGGGCAGGCCTTAGTAAAGACGTATGTCGAATATATCCGAAGTAATAGGGATATTGTGCAGTCCGAGCGGATCGTTCTGCTCGCCCATGACTATTTGGTTCGGTTCTATGAGGGCGCTGGGTTTGAGAATCACGGGCAGAGTGAGTGTTTTTTTGCGGGCGGGGGATGGTTTAATATTGTCATTGAGATCTAGTGGTTTTTGGGTATATAACTAGATTTGCTGGAGGTGAATGAGGGTTTTTATAGTTCCGGATGTGCAAGGATAGACAGTTGACTCAGTCGGGGACTCAAATAACCAAAAAAATATATATATATATTGATCACGCCATTCATAAACCAATTCGATCAGCAATAGATTGGCAATCCAAAGTTACTAGTAGCGAAAGCATGACAAGGAATACTTTGGGAAAGGGCAACTAGTAGCTAAGTACAAGTGGAGCGTGCTGTTACCTCGTCTAGTTATGCCCAGACTCGATATGCTCTAACTATATTTTATAATTTTCCAGAAACAAAGAGTTATTGCAGGATTTGGACTAAAATGCAAGAATAGCCGGTTTTAGGCTGGGAGATCAACAGTGGAGAGAGCTGTCCCAATGCGGCAATCGACGTCACCCAGCGTTACATAACTCTGACATCAACGCCGACCCTAAACATCTATAAAACAACCTACCACCTCTTCCAAGAGCCACAATGCCGGACTTTTATCCAATTTACGACCATGGCTACATTTAACCCTCCTCCACTGGTCGACATAGACCGATACGTCAACCATAAACAAAGTCGCGCGCTCAACGCCGGCGACATCGGCATCTTCAAATCCACCCTCCTCCCTTCCTTCACCATCCACTCCGGTTTATCCATCGCATCCTTCATCGCCGCCAAAACGACAGACCGCGGCGAGATCAAAGACTGGTGCTGGCCCTCCAGTCAAGTCCTGAACGCCTGGTGGAGCGCCATCGGCCGGCCCATGGCTCTCGACGATATCTCCTTTTCCTCCGCCTGGCGCATGCTCCCTTGGACCGAGAAAGTGCTTCTCAGCTCCGCGACGATCTGGGGAACGCGATTATTCTACCGGGTCGCAACTCGGACAATCTCTCGTGGAAAAGATGACCCGCGATACAACGAGCTGAAAGCGAAGGATCCCGAATTCTGGAAGTCTGCGTTCCTAAAGCTGTTCTTGCCCGAGGCCGCGTTCTTGACCTTTATCACCTTGCCGTTTACGCTACCGTTCCGATTGAGCGAAACTTCGCTGGATATTACCCCTCAGACGGCAAACACGTTACGGACCGTCGGTGTGGCGCTGTTCTCGGCGGGTTTTACCCTCGAGGCTTTGGCTGATAAGCAGTTGGAATCGCATCGCCAGGAGAGAACGGACTTGTGTCGCCATGGAGTGTGGAGTATCGTGAGACATCCGAAGTGAGTTTTCCATATCCCGATTCAGTATTCTGTACAATATGCCCCTATTTGACAGATGTTGACTAATTTTCCTTTTCTTTCAGCTACCTCGGCGATGCTCTTGTTCACTTCTCTTTCGTCGTCCTGAACGCTGCCAGCTCATTCAACCCTCTTGTACTACTCGGCCCCGTGGCAAACTACATCTTTCTTCGATTCGTGGGCGGCGACAAACAGAACGAAGAGAGTCAGGAGGCGCGATACAAGGCACAGGATCCGCACAAATACGTGCAGTTGCAGGCTTGGAAGCAGGAGAAGAACAGCTTCTGGCCGAGTTTAGGTGAAGTGCTGAACCCGTGGACCTGGGCTGTGCTGGGAAGTGGATTGATAGGGGTTGCCTTAGAAGAAGGTATCAGGGGGTGGGTGATGCAGTAAGAAATCAGGATGGACAGTTGTGTTTGTTGTTGGATATGATCTAAAACGAAGTATCGTTAGTTCCAAAGTTTTTCGAAGATATGTCTCATTCCATATAGCGTTAAATTACTCAAGCTACTAAATATTAATATTCCGTTTGGTTTTGACAGACTATAAGACGAAAGGATGAGAGGAAGAGTGCGAGGAAAGGACCATGTTGAGGATGGTACCTTCATCAGCTGCCACCGATCATCCCAGGCCACGGCCACGGAGTCAAGGACGTTCGGGTTGTTTCACGCCGGGCTGGGCAATGGCCGCTTCGTAGCCACGAACAAGCCTTTTACACGTTACGAGAGGTGTCCTCCCATAGAAATCAGCTCTAGTAATTACTCGAGCAGTAGATACTAGGCCCATAGCAAAGCCAGTCTCATCAAAGTTGTAGATATCCTCAGGTACAATCCCATACTGCATTATAATGATTTGTACGCGGTTAAACCACTCCCTTATAACCTTAGGATCCTCACATTCAGCACGTTGATAGTTGTATCGTCGAGAGAAGCATGTCTTTAGTTCATCATGCCGTTGAACAAAGTTGTAGACCCATTTCTGTCTAACTGATTGAATAGGTGTGGTATCACGCGCAGCAAGAAGAATATTGGCCATTTCTCGTACATGGGACGGTCAGGGAGGTGATCCACGTTGAATAAGCGATAGGATCCATTATACAAGCGATTGCTCTTCATTTTGGCTTATTTTATGGAGTTGGCGCGTGTTTCTGAGCGTGAAGTGGTTCCATGAAGCCGTCTGCGGAGAGTGTTCTCAGGAATATTAAATGTACGTGCTGCTTGTCGAACAGAGGATATTTCATCTTTCTGAATAGCAGATACTGCTAGTAGGATCCTACCCTCCTGCTCTGCTGAATCTTCTAGCATTTTGACGCGCTTTTGGAGGCATGGTTGATGGTTAAATTGATTGAGGTTTTCGACCGCGGCCAAAATTCATGAGGTGCGCCGCTCGCTTACCGAATACGTTAGTTACGTTAACTAGTTAATGTATGCCGAAGCTTAGATAATAGCCAATGGAAGACAAGTGAGCTCTATAAGCGGAGTGATTACCACCTGTCGCAAGGCTACTAGGGCACGGACGACTCTTGGTATTGAGGCCAATCTAAGTGACATGCTTATGACAGTGTATAAAAATTCAGTAAAAGGTTGGTTGTCCATATCCTGGAATACTGAAGAAGAGTCTAAGCGGGCGTGTCTGCTGGACATAGTATTAGAACGATCATTCTCTCTCGGCATTTATTATACATTGTCTGCCTCTAAGGATGACCCGACTTTACTGCAAAAACCCTGGCGCTTACGTGTCCCTGGACGATCCCGATCAGACCCTAGTCGCTTCGAAGATGGCCATAGCCAATTTCTGGTACTGCATCGAGCTCATTGTCCGATGGCCATACTGTCTTTTTGCCCTACTGCCTTTTGGCAGTGTCCGCCTTTTCTCCCGCATGAGTTGCTCGTACGAATCCAAGGTTGTCCTTCCCCGAACAATCGACTAAACCGTGGTGCTTCCTCAACGAGGCCGAAGCAGCCTATATCATCGACACGATCGAGCGCGACCGCTCCGACGTGCACGCTAAAGCCTTCTCGGTGAAGGAATACCTCCGCAATTGCGCTGACAGTAAGGTCTGGGCGTACTGTCTGCTGTACCTGCTCACCGCGGCTAACTCCTACTCGATTGCGTACTTCCTGCCTATTATTTTGTAAGTGAGCATGGGCTTTAATGTGGCTAAGGCGCAGTGTCTCGTTGCGCCGCGGTATGTGGCCGCTGCGATTGTGATGTTCGTGTAGGCGATCTATGCCGATAAGTAGCGGCTGCGGGGCCCGATTGTGGCGTTTAATGCCGTGTTGGGTTAGTTAGGTTAGTGTTGCTTGGATTTTTGGAGAGTCCGGGGCCGAGATATTTTGGGGCTTTCTTGGCTACTATTGCTGGTATGTCACCCTTCTCCCATTTATGATAAATAATATGCAGGTTGTGAAGGATGGGGCTAATATGGGGGGGGGGTGATGGTATAGGAATTGTCCTGCTCTGGTTTCTTGGCAGAGGTAAGTCTATTCCATTCGCAGAGAGTCTTATTTGCAAGAGGGTGAGACTAATGAACGAACTATAGCAACAACATCCGCGGCCAGTAGAAGCATGCACTTACTTCTGCAACCCTCGTTAGTGGAGGCAGCATCGGTGGTATCTTCGGAACGACAGTGTTCCGTGCGCAGGATGCACCTGGATACCGTCCCGGTTTGATGGCCACCATGCTAGCCAACGCAGTGTGCGTGTTGGTTGTCGCAGCGCTGATGTTCAAGTTCCACCGGCCGAATAAGCGTGTCGACGCGGGTGGGAAGCCCATCGAGGGACTGGTTGGGTTCAAGTATACTCTTTAGACCTAGTAGACATGACGGAAATTCCCTAGGTAGACGGAATGCGATAGATGGTTTTATGCGTGGTAGATAGATCGTTGGTTTGTCTAGTGTCTATGTTTACCTGAAGATAGGTAGGCTGTCGAACTTAAGTCTTACAAAGGACCTCTTCAGTATATTTCTCAACCACGAAGGTGGTGGCATCCAATTAAAAACGATCTTGTCTCATGTAAGCTTTAAGGATTCGAACATTACTTCGCCCATGGACGGTAGCATGTAATTTGTCTCAATGAGGTATTGGTCTGTGCTCGTTCTCCCCTAGATTACCCTACAGCCAATCAGAATGCCTAAGGTTCGTGTACAGCAAGACCTCCCAGAGAGACAAATATAGCTGCCATGTCAGGCTCTATATCATAACCCGAGGGACAGGAGTAAATAGTAATTCCATATAAAAGCGGTATTCTGTTCAATTCCATGCCATGAGTCCAGATTACCACCCTTAAAAACTGAACAGCCACGTGTGAGTAACATCCAAAAGCCAGTTGAAGCAGCGATTACTATCTTATGGAATAGTACTGGTTGACATAGACTACCTTTATTCCTTGGTAAACGACCAACAGATGCACGTATGAATAGATCAATTAATCACGCATGAAAGCTTGGACTCAAGTCTATCTAGATAGTTATCTGACAACTTCACCCGGCGAACTAGCGAGCTCAACTCAGATCTTGACCTTTAGTCAAATCCGAGACTAGAAGACTCAGCTGCGATGTTAAAGGATGACCGGCAGTCAACACGCCCGTACAACTATCTAACGCTTCATTAAAGAGCGGGATGGCTTTGTCGAAGTGACCGACATCTCGATATTGCGTTGCCAAGACGATCAAACATTGAACTGTGGCCAAATGATTGACACCGAAGGCGTTGCGGTAAAGTTTGGTCATGGTTTCCCGATAGCACAGTGACTCGGGGGCCGGTAACCTGGCCCAGATGGCGTCCTGGAGTTTTATGGAAGTTGTAGAGATCGGCAGTACATCGACGATGTCTTTCAAGACACCGGTGATGTCATTTCCCTGGTAGGAAGACATGTTCCTGAGATGGAACGGCCAATATCGGAGCGCGTAATCAAGGACCGGCGATTTCTGAACCCACAATGCCGTATCGCGCTTGAGTGGTTCAAGGTCTGGCTCGCCCGGTTCCCCGATAAAAGCTTTGAGATATACCAAGAGCCTAGCCACCAAGTCTCCATGTGGATCTTTGGTTGGGACTAAGTGGCCTTGAGAGAATAGGTGCATGACTGCATCTCGGATCATTGAATGACGAAGAATAACCAAGTCATCCTTCAGGTAGACCAAGCTGTTAACAGTCGTTAGGGTATTCGAGACGTCCACTTTTTCATCACGGATTGTTTGCTTTTCAAGATCCACAGAGACCAGGGAAATCAACTCTTTCATGTGCAAGGGGCGCTGGGAGATAGCTATCCATAGAAGGATCCACTTAGCGTCGATTGTGACAAAGGGCATTTGCACAGCAAAAAAAACCAGGTCGATAATGCTTGGCTTATCACTTATAAGCGCATCAATAGCCTGACGGAGTTGGTCGGGATTTCCCTGGACACGAGTGTGCTCAGAGGCCATAATGGCCCAGAGAAAAGAGCCATTTGAAGCTTCGGCAATCCTTGTGGCGATAGAGTCCTGTTCTGTTTCAGAAAGCTGATGGAACGGCTTTGCAATCTGCAGTCTGCTCCGAACAACCCTTTCGATATCATCAAAGGTCTCATCTATTGACATTTCTATAATTTCCTGGTCATCTGCTACCGGTGGCTTCTGTATGCTGGTGGTAACCAGTTTCACATTCGACGGCGATGATGGGATTATGGAAACAAGCCTCCCCAGCAAGGTTGCCTCGTCACATGAAGCCTCTTCAGTACCATCCACAACGATAACTAGTGGGTTGGAATTCGACTCAATAGATGCGATTGCCTTTGTCACTGTATCCCACAAAAGATCGTCATATTCAGTCCCGTCTATGACGCGCCTACTGCGATCGAGGGACTCGATGAGCGTTCGCAAGATCTGGATATTGCCAGGATACTTGGTGTACAATTGAGACAGTATACTTCGGGCAATGGAACTAATCGTGGTCTGTGCAGAGATTTTGGTGCCTATCAAAGTCTGGGTTAGATACGGGTAGACCGGCAAGTACCGTGGATCGTATATCCTTACTGATCGGAACAAAGAGGGTGGTGAAAGTGACACGACGAGCATCTTTGAATTTATCGAGCACGGCCGAGCTTAAGACACTCTTTCCCGAGCCACTGCGGCCAGTGATATGTAATAATCTTCCCTCGCCTTTCCGCCATCTGGTCAAGGGGCTGTATATCCAGCGGCAGGTCCATTCCCCCCGTTCGCCAGGGATACAGGATCCCGACTCGTTTAGAGTAGCAACAACCTCATCATCGGGTGCCAGCCAGTATGGAATCTCAACAATGCTCTCAACTGTTGAACGGTCAGATTAATTCAATCGAAACACCCGACATCTCCATTAGACGATCCATCCATGAACGTACCTCCTTTGATGCCCCCATTGGCTTCCAATAACTGGTGCTTCGACATGGCCATTTTGACTCCCTCGCAGCGATTTCGAAAACTACGTATTTGACCCGAGAATGTATCTTGAATATTGAGCGAGATACGTTCAGAGGACATGCCCAAGATGGCCTGATAGAAGTGGGTCGAAACAGCGGCGACAAGGGTCACCAGATCTGCCATCACGAGTACGAGGCCCTCGTTGATCTCAGCGTTACCATACAAATTCGCTGCACGTCCAAGGGTCTCCAGCTGCGTTGACTGGGAATAAAAGAAGTTTAATGCGATACTTTGGGCGCTTTCGCTCTCCCTTCCGAGCTGTTGGGATGTGTTAGTACCGATGCAAGTTGATGAGAGACAGAGAAGGTTGACTGACCTCCAGAATCAGTCCACAATAGCCATAAGCAAGGTCAGCAGCTAAGTAGCTGTCTCTTGAAATGTGCTCGATGGTCTCGTTGTAAGCGTGCAGCCTTTCGACAAAGACATACGCCCATTTCAGTATGTTATCCTGCGTACTGGCTTGGCCAGGGAGAAAGGCCATGCGTTCAGAGCGGAACCATTCTAAGAGTTCGGTGTATGAGACTTCAGAAAGCTGTAACGCAGTGCTCGGTGGAAGCTCCTCCCGACTGCGACGATATAGGCCGAAGACAACACTGGAGATGATCGTGGGGTGAGGACCGCGGTCCTTTTCGGGCCGAGAGCTGGCCACGTTTGATACGGTAGAAGCCATGCTGCTGCATTCACAAAGCTGAAGAGATTGCGTGGGTGATTTTTGTGGCCCCGATGTCATTTCAACAATACGTCCTCGGAGCAGTGCGGGCTCAGCTGAAGTCCCCACCGTGCCAATGTGCGCTAGTCATGCATCGGATTGCCGATCGCTTGCCGTCGATGAACACGTATGACGATCGGCAGAAGACATCCCTCCCGCCATCTTCGTCCTAGAGTTTTTTTAGGCATTTTGGTAGATTGGTTGGGGAGGAAGGGGGGGGATTGTTGCCATTGTGAGGCCCCATCTGTACCACCAGTGCCAACAAAGTTTCCAACCAAGGGAACCAACCGAAACGCACTAGGCCGGGGAGAATGAGACACAACAGAAGGTGCAGATTCAGAGGAGATCAGACAAAATACGGCTAGCGGCATGATAAGGATGCCGATCGTCGCGAGACCCGCATCCACTGTATTTTCGATGGTTCAGCTCAGCTCTCCGTCATCCCTCGCTTCTCGTGTCTATCCACCACGCCCAAGATGGCGAGACAGACGTGTGTCAGTGGCCTCAGAAAAAAGATTCGGGCAGCGTTTGGACGCCCGAAACCGGCAACAACCGCTCCTGCCCCCGACAGTGTCACTGTCGAAACGAAGCCGACCGTCTCGACCGCCCCTGCAGAGAACCACGATGACCTGCCCAAAGGTCGGCCGCAGAAATTGATTGAAATTCCTGACGGCAAACCGTCGAATCTCTGGCAAAGAGCAGAGCAGCAATTGTGGGACAATCCGGACAAGCAGCGACTTCTACAAGCTACTTACGAAGCACTGAGCTCGGAGTTGGGAGGAGAGCTACAACCGATCGGATCTTCGAGCCGTCAGGCCCAGCTGAATGAGCTGTTCCAGCGCCGGGCGGATGCACTCGAGAAGGAAAAATGGCGGATTCAATTCGGCGACCACGAGGTCCTGGTCCAGGACCTGGTGACCAGTACTTTTGACAAGATGCTGATGGTAAAGGATCTGGTGAGCACAGCTGCCAGTGCCAGTCCCCCGGCCGCATTGGCCTGTGCCGGACTATCGGTCGTCTTCACCCTCGCCCTTCAATCCACCCAGCAACAGGCGATTCTGCTTCGTACCCTCGATTACACCTCGGACCTGATGTGTCGCTTCCAAGTCATGGAAGATGTCTATCGATCCGGTGGGGAGGCTGTGGCTGCGTCGGAGAATCATCAAGATTTGATCGCCAGATTCGAAGACCATCTGACAGATTTGTACGCGGCAATCCTTGGCTTCCAAGCCCAGGCACTGCACTATCTCGAAAAACGCAGTCTCACTCGCTTCGTGGGGGATGCTTTCGACCACGAGGGATGGAGTGGGATCTTACAGGACATCAAAGATCTCGAGTCGCGTGCGGAGAAGGATTCTAAGATGATCGGCGCCACCAACGTCAACCAAAGGCTCTGGCATATCCAAAACAATCAGGAGCACGAAAAGGCGCGAACGATCATTGAGCAGCGGGATAAAATGGCTCGCAAGGTACTGCGAACCCTCTACACGTGCCCGTATAGAGACCGGAAAGATCGAAATGGTACTCGAGTGCCTGGGACTTGCGAGTGGTTTACGCATCATCGATTATTCGAGAGTTGGCATCAGACTGCCGGGTCCAGTCTCCTGTGGGTGTCGGCCGATCCCGGCTGCGGCAAATCCGTGTTGGCCAAATATCTCATCGATGAAATGCTGCCCAGCATGAAAGAGTGCACGATCTGTTACTTTTTCTTCAAAGACGATTTCTCGGACCAGAGGACCGCAGTCAATGCACTCTGTGCGATCTTGCGGCAGATCTTCCTCTCCCAGCCACATCTCCTGCGAGAATCTATTCTGGACAAGTTCGATACGGATGGTGAGAGGCTGACCAAGTCATTCCAAGACCTCTGGTCGATTTTTACCAGTGTGATAGGGGATCCAAATGCGGCAGAGATTATCTGTATTTTGGATGCTCTCGACGAATGTCAGGATGATGGGCGCGGCCAGCTCATCCAGGCTGTCACTCGCTTCAGTCAGCAAAACGTACGAGACAGCAACATCAAGTTCCTGGTCACGAGCCGGCCGTATTACCATATTTACCGCGATTTCCAGGGCATTCAAAAGGACCTGTCGACCGTTCATCTGAGTGGTGAAGGGGAGAAAGAAATTGGGCAAATTAGCAAGGAGATCAATCTCGTCATTCAGAAACTGGTGGACGATATTGGCGAGGAGCGCGACTTGGGCGCCGAGCAACGCCAGCTTTTACTTGACAAACTGATGCCGGTCTCCAACCGTACCTACCTCTGGGTGACTTTGACTATCGATGTGATTCGAAATATCCCGGGCCTCAGCAAGGGGAACATTCTCGATGCTATCAACCAGATTCCATCCACCGTCAATGATGCCTATGAAAAGATTCTCGGTAGAACCCGCGCGTCTGACCGAGCACGAATCATCTTACACGCCATCCTCGCCGCAACGAGACCATTATCGGTCAACGAGATGTCGATGATAATGGCCATCTACCAATCCCGTCGCACATCCGCTGACGCCCAGGATTACCTCGAGTCAGGGGAGGATTTCCAACAAACGCTGCGAGCGACCTGTGGTCTCTTCGTGGTTGTTATTAATTCGCGTGTATACTTGCTCCATCAGACTGCTAGGGCGTTCTTGCTCCGATCCGATTCTCTATCGCAATTGAATAGTGTGCCCCGGGCTCAGTCCTGGGAGGGCTCCATGGATCTAGAGGACTCCAACCGACTGCTCGCTGAAACCTGTACATTTAACCTGGCGTCAGGTCAGACACAGACAGTCGACGCACTCGATGCATATTCCATGGATAATTGGGTGGAACACTGCAAAGGATGTCATTTCACTGTTGACGACCCAATAACCCCCCTTGCTGCCAAGCTCTGCTCATCAAGGAGACAAGCCCAGTATGAATCTTCACTCATGTTCGCCTATCGTTCCGGCCTCGCCCCTGTGGTTGAATATTTGATCAAGACCTACGGGATGGGAGTTGGAAAGGACGGCCCGACTGCTCCCACGGTTTTAGCGAACGCCGCCCAGGACGGGAACATAGAAGTGGTTCGTATGATCCTGGAGCATTCAGTCGATGCCTCTTCACGGACTAGTGCCTGTGTTGTTCCACTGTGGGTGGCAGTAATGCGAGGGAACGTGGATATTATCAACCTCTTTCTCGACAATGGTGCAGATCCGAACGTAATTAACAGACTGGGCGAGTCCTGTCTATTTTTCGCTGTAGCCAGTGGGAATGACAAGGTGGTGGACCTTCTGATCAAACGAGGAGCTGAGGTTAATGCCCACAACTTGATGGGTCAGACTCTTCTCTCTCTGGCGGAGGGAAAGGAAGCAATCTGCAAATTGCTTGTGGACAACGGAGCGAAAGTCGATAAACACTCGGAATAATCAAATAGCGCGTGTTAACCCAAAAGAACTTGCTGAGAAAATTAAGTCATATATTATCGACCTGTGCAGGAGCTAGTGGATGATACCCAGCGGGGTGAAGCGCTAAGCCTAAAACGGAGGGCTCTATAAAGACACAACATCTACAGCTTATACTCCTCCCTCCTCCTCTGACTCTGCCCTTTTCTCTTCCCCCCCCATATCCTGCGATACCCCCCGATTATCCGACTTTAACCCCGCAAATACCTCATTAAAATTCTGCTGATCCAACCCATCCCTCTCCGGTCGTCGAGCCAGCTCCTTCACAACCAACATCCCAGTCCGCTGCGGATCAAACCCCCAAACTGCGCCTCCGTCTTCTCCATCACCTTGTCTATAAACCCATCCGAGTCATTCTCCCGCCCCGACGGTGCGGAAATAACCCCGTTCATGAAACGTGTGCGGACGAGTTGCTCACAAGGGATCCGCCGTCCAATGGGTAGGGCTTCATTTGCGAGCGTGATGCCCAGTTATTTTATGAGTGAACGCGAGATGGCGCCTTCTAGTGCTGTGCGGGAAGTGGGGGTAACATCTTTCCTTCTGTAACAGAGAAAAAATTCTTATCAATATAGGCTTTTCCGAGTCCTTCCGTGTGACCCGGTTCGACATGATGTTCGAGGTAGAGATGGGACCGATGGGCAAGCGACTCATTGGAGCTAGTTGAGACGAATCCACCGCAGCCATGATAGAGGCATATTTGTCCGGGTTGGAATGAGTAACCTTCCACGTGAATGCGCCAATCGTCGATAGAAGTGAACTCTTTCGCACACTCCTTAGCAGTACACATGTATGTCTGCTCAAGGGGATGTCTCATATCGGTCATAATGGAAACGAAGGCTGGTATTGTCCAGGAATCTCGAGGCCTGTGGGTATTGGTGGTGAAAGTCCCTTGAAACATATGTCTAGCTTTATAGTAAAAGTAAAATTTTATCTTTATATATCTACTAAATCGATTATGCAACTATCAGATATCTGGACAACTCCATCGCCCGATCGAGAGAAATGGGTCGATTAGATCGCCCATCATATACACCTCCGGCCTCGGATTTTATTGGCCTATACGTGCTAGGACATCCAACCATCCATGCAACAACTCGCTCCCTGAGTTCAGCTTCAGCAGTTCTGTTTCAGAGATTTTGTAGATCTCGAACCATGTCTCGCTCCCGATATCTGCCTCCACCATAGGGCACCAAAGCTGACGTTGGATGGAATAAAGCAGTCTAGAACGACCACCAGACTGTTCAATAACCCTAAAAGGACGAGCAGTAGGGATAGGCGAGGGAGGAGGAGTTAAAGCATTTTGGGGCCCTCTGGGTGCATATTTCGTGAACGGAATCGATAGAACAAAGGGAGGGGTGAGGCAAGGTGAATCCTGTCTTGAATAAGCCCATTGCTATCTGAAAACTAGGTCCCGTGTTTACATGGATGTTTTGAAGTTCATTCGCGGCAATGCCGTCGGAATTTGGGGTCGATGCGGATGATACAGCATGCCAGATTGAATGGAGTTTTTGTAGAAGAGTCATGATTTTGTTCAAGGAGATGGGATGCATAAGCAGGCCGAGTAGGACTCCGTGCCTTACAAATTGTAGTTCTTAAAAGTAGGGCAATGAAGGTTCACCCGAAAAGACCAAGAAGTCGTCCATCGTGTTACAAAGGGAACAATAACGAGTGTGATGCTAGATTAATGCGACATAAAATGCAACATGCCTGTAGAAATACCAGCAGCGGATAATGCCCAAGTCCAGTCAAGTCCAACCAGAATTTTTCAAGTTATTTAGGTTGCCAATAGTTCTATCAATGGGTTTCTGGTGCTAGTTTGCAGATGTACTGTGCACAATTCAGGCTTGTGTCGGTGACATAGATACCTTCACTCCCTACAGTGATCTTATGATTAGAGCCACACATTCTCATAATTTTAAAAAGCTGCTGCCGCTCTTAGATACGGGCGATATCATGCGGTCTACTGCTCGTGTACAAGGGTTCCTAGTCAGATCCTTACGGGGAAATCGGGATACAGAAAGCGATAAAATTAGTCTTGTTCTTCAAGCCTGCGTACAGTCAAAAATGAGTTTAATGCCTTCCAGCTGCATCAGCCTAATGTTTCTCGCGAAATCTCTTGTTGATCATCAGTCTAGGGCAAAAAAGATCGTGACCGTGCGTTTCGCCGTACCCGAAACGAGGCTAGAAGTCGATTCAACCAAGCGTGGGGTTTGCGGCAGTATCTGCTTGTTGACAATATTGGCTTGCTTGATTTTATGGACGAAGTGGGTGTATCCTTGGCAGTACTTGTACACGGCGAGTGCTCGTAATGGGATCTCTTATTTTGCTTGTCCTTTCCATAATCCGGTGCAACGGGGCCACTTCAAGTCTCTAGTCCACTATGGCATAAATTATTCTGCATGGACTCGTCGACCACGTCTTCGTAGAACTTATCATCGTTTAGTTCTGCGTCGGGAGTTGTAGACTCAGGTTCCGTAGAAACCCCAAATACATGAAATGATTTTCCCAGCACCCTGATTCCCTGACAGATGGGCCGTGAATAGAACTCCTGGTGACATGCTGTTAGCCATATCTTTCAACCCCGCACAGTCTAGACTCACGTAAGGTCAATCCTTGGCGATGTCGATTCGTTCCTGTCGATTGGATCCGTTTGGCTATTTCCACCAGGCAAATACATGTTGGCTGTTGCTTTCAATGGAGCTCGTTTCCGCCAAAATGCCGGTCAGAGGCCAGCAGAGGAGGAGCCGTGCGTCAAGATTCGCTTTGATCGAGGGTACTTCTGCTCACTGAAGTAATGTTATTGAAGTTAGAAGCCCTGAATATGCATACCAGGTCATCATTATATATGCAAAGTCTATAGCTTTTCTTACCTCACATCAAGACGGTGCAGCATATCGGGAGATTTCACGCATCGGTTCCATTACGATCGTAGTGAGAGGCCGCTAGGAACTGCGAAACGCTCACCAACCTCGAAATGATCCGTTCGCCAGATCCCGGTTTACTTTAGAGATATCAAGAGCCAAAGTACGTCACTGCTACTACTAACAATCAGGATGGAGGGCCAAGAGGTGCTTACATAAAGCTATCGTGATTTGAGTACAGTATTTCTACAAGCATGACTTGGAGTCATTCCCCCCGTATAGGTGAATCTGCTGCCGAGCCTCCATAACTATACGTACTTTGGGTTAATATGCTATATCCCCGCGTGCCAAGGGATCTACTATCATGCGGGGATGCGGCGTCAATCAACTCGTCCTCCACGGCGCAACATTCTCGCACAACTTCACTGAAACCACCTGGCCCGGTTACATTACGCACAACTACGATTATCTCGAGTACAACTGACATCAATCAGGCTGGGAAGTGGGACTCCGGGAGGCCATGGACTACATTGGACGGAACTCCTGGGCTTTACAAAGCGGCGTCCCAAAAACAGATCTCGTATTCTGGAGTAAGCAAATGCCACAGAGCCCATACCCGACTGCAATCTATCTCCCGCGGGACCTTATCGAAGCTGGCTTCACCTACGGGTATCTCTCTCCCGAGAACTTCGCCCGAGCAGATGCGTATGTCAAAGGAGGCACCATGGCTCCGAGCAGACAGGCCTCCAGACTCCTGATTCTTCGTGGAAATGACACATTGGCTCCGCAGGGGGTATGTTATCTCGCAAAATATGCCAGGGCGGGCCTTCCTGTTGCCATATCCGGGGGGGGTCCCGTCACGATACGACTCCTCCGATCTGACTGCAATCGAAAAGGCCAATAGAACTCTGAAAGGTTTATTGAGTTTGAAGAATGTCCATCAAATCCCTTACGAGAACCTGGCAGCTTCGATCGCTTCAATCCATATCGAGCCTCGGTCGCAGATTCGTTCCAATGCGACTTGGCATACTCGAAGACGAGATCTTCATAGCAAAGGCTCCTATGTTTTTGTCTACAACACCGGGGACTACAGCACAGGGAGTATCATATTCGAGTACTCTGGCGCAGACTACTTCTTGAACGCGTGGACGGGCGAGGAGGCACAAATCGTCCACTACACGAATAAGAATGGCTACATGACTATTCCTATCGCACTGCAGCCAGAGGAAACGAGGCTTCTCCGGCTGAGCACATAAAAACCACTGCAAATCCATATTAATACCGCATCAGACGCCATTTTGGATTCTCGCATCACGCAGAAGTCAGAAATCAAAGTGAAAGTTTCAGGTTCCAAGGGTACACCCAAATGTGGTGCTATCCTCAGGCCAAGCCATATGCAAATGGGCCTCCACCCCTCTTCTGCATATAGCATCGACGGGTGGAAAGTCAAGATAGAGCAATGGCTTCCTCCAGATGACTTTCACAATCTGGACCCTGTGGCGAAGAAGGTCAACGTTACTGTCGATAATCCTGGTCCACACCTCAAATCATGGCTGGACCTGGGCTTGCAAAATGTATCCGGCATTGGATACTACAGTGCGACGTTCCAATGGGCATCGAACTCCACGCATCCCCTGCACAAATCTGGTGCATATCTGATTCTTCCTACAATTTCGCATGGTATTGTTGGGTTCATCAATGGAAAGAAGCTCCCGCCATTTGACATCACCAACCCTCGACTTCATATTACTTCCTATCTCAAGACTAGAAGCTACACGGTTGATTTGCGAGTGTCGTCAACTCTTTGGAATGGTATCATGCCATACTGGAATGACGTTCGAAACTGCGGGAAAGGGCGTTGCAAAGCCCTTGAAAGACTTACCGCCACGTCAGCATTATGGAATCATTGGGGATGTTGTCATCGAGCCATATGCACGATATACGATTATCTAGAGCTGTATTGTACCGAGTTTAGGATATAATATGTTCATAATCGTCATTGTTGTGTACTATTGAGTTCAATTCAGCATACAATCACACCAATCACGTCTGTCTATGTTCAAGTTCCCAAAGAAATATCCACAGCTCAATACCCCTTCCCCCTCTTATACTCATTCACCAACCCCTCCCCCCTCTCCGACCTCGCCAAATTCTCCCTCAACACATCAAACGACCTCGGAAAATACTCCACCCCAAGGGAGCTCACATGCGGACTGATCTGCACATTCGGCGTGTCCCACAACGGATGATCTTCCGGCAATGGCTCCGGATCCGTCACGTCCAGCGCGGCACCACCCAAATCGCCCGCCTCCAGCGCCTGGATCAAAGCCTCCTGATCGACCACCTTGCCGCGCGAGATGTTCGTCAGGTATGGTTTCGGATGACCCGGCGTTGCGCGCGCACTCAGCAGCGCAAATTCCTCGGCGCCGAGGAAGTTCGTTGTCTCGGCGGTAAGGGGGAGCGAGATGACGAGGTGGTCGAGGCCGAGGGAGAGAAATTCGTGCAGAGAGGCCTTGTCGGTTCCGTGGTGCCAGGTGACCGGGATCGAGCCGTCCTTGTCGCCGGTGCCGGGGACGATGAAGCCGTTGTCAGCCCGGGAGGAGGGCGTAGGGCGGGGAGAGGCTGTGTAGGCGTAAACCTTAGCGCCGAGGGCGGAGGCGACTCGTCCGACTGTTGAGCAATCATTGGGTTAGCGTGTCGACCGGAAGGATCGGAAGGGGGGGAAGCTCAAATAGGTAAAGAAGAGGCTTATACGTACTCTGTCGCCCAATGCTCCCGTATCCTAGAATTCCGACCTTCTTGCCGACGTTATCATGGATATCTTGCACGTACTCGTTGACGCCGGTCCATTTATGCTTTTTCTGGTTCTCGTAGGTAAAACTGTATTTGCGCGAAGCGACCAGCCAATTCATGACAGTCCATTCAGCGATGGGGGGACCGTGGACGCCAGAGCTGGTGGTGACCGGAATAGAGGTTTCTCGGATGATTGGATGATGCAGGGAGTGGTCTAGGCCGGCAGAGAGGAAGTGAATGATTTTAATGCTGTGTTGATTTGTATGTTAGCCCAATTCTTGCGGTAAAGGAAGAGAGAGAGCCAATTACTTTTGCGCATCCTCTGGGTTCGGGAGATTCGTGAATGTCACTATCAATGTAGCTTTACGGGCATGTTCTAGGCATTGAGGTCAGAATCAACGCTGATGAGTTTGTCCAGCAAAAAGGTGAAGATATACCACTAGGAATCGTGTCTCCCCTCGGCAACGACAACGTTGAGACCTCAGCTTGCGGAAACTTGGACTGGATGATGCCGAGCAATTGCGGCGAGATGGGTTGGAAAAAGACCACGAGCAGATGCTCTTTGTGCACGAGTGTGTCGCCCATGGTGTATCTTCTCAGTAGGAAATTGAGAAGGGGATTAATTGGAAGCAATGTGGATTATCAATCCATATATGACCGGCAAATGTCGCAATAAAGAGCGAGTCTGGCGCAGAGCGCGAGAAGCGGGGTCTGCTCTTATCGTTATCTCCGTCTGAGTAATCGGAATCCACTGTGGCCGAGGTTCATTGGTGATCCTATAAGGGGCTGTGGCAGAAATATGTTGGTCTACCGAGAAGCGATTATTCAACCGATTTTATATGATCATATTCAAATGAATGAAGGCCTTAATTCAACTAACTGCACGATAAAGAAACCGGTATTTATGCAATTTGAGAGGCTTCCTGATCGCCACAACAAGCGACATATCACGATAATACTGTCCCGAAAAATGCCGTATAAATGCAATAAAACTGCAATGAATCAATCGGCCAAGAAAGGCGATGATATAAGCGGTTTAGTTATCTTCCGCGGCCACAGGGGCAAAGGAAGGAGGACCCGTAATTGTGTCGTGAGGAATGTTGGTGCGTCCATGGTTCGGGCCGTAGAGAATGTGGGAACCGGAAACAAACAAGTCGAGCGCGCGTTTCTTGACTTTCGGCATCTGATCAATGAACCGGGAAAAAGGTTGAGTAGGAGTTGCATATAAAAGTGGAGTTTTTCTGCAAGAAACACTAAAACCGAGGACAAATGGGGAGCACCGACAAAGGGGGAGGGAAGGAGATACCTGCCCCAAAATAAATCGAAGGAGAGAAAATACGGAGAAATAATATAAATAAGCCTCAGACATGGAAGAGCAGAGACATATGTAAGATTATTGGGGGACAGCAAAAAAGCAGTTTAATTTTCCGCTTACTTGTGCTACCCTGATTTACAACAAGCTTCAGCCATCTAACTTTGTACAAAAAAGCATGAGCCTCAGACTATATGATATTTCTAAGACCATGGTTAAAACCAGACGTATTTGAGTAAACTCGGATAAGAGCTTCCACGCACGCAAACTAAATGCCGATTGCAACTTGTCATTTTACAGCAAAACATGGTTTTCCAGGTTAGCATATTCTTATTCAAGATTTAACACTTGCACTTTTACTTCTAGTCCCTATGGTCCTAACCGTCATACTCCTACCCAACCCCGGAGCCCCAAGATGGTCATCCACCGACATCTCCAACTTCAATAGAACCTCAACAGCCTTCTGGTCCTCCACAATCTTGGGATGGCGGCGAGCAAAATACCTTGCGTATTTGTAAAGAGACCAGTAGCAACTTGCAGCATTGATTAGGGTTATTATGAGTTTGTAGGGCATCTGTATAGTATTTGTCAGTATTGAAAGTGGTAATAAGGAAGTATGAACATACATAATACCATAATAAAACTCTCCACTTGATCCGCTCCTTTTTCAATCGCAGATGGATCTCATTGAAGATGAGGACATGAAGAAAGTATAGCCCTAAAGTGCCTCCAAGTAGGGTTGCGCTGAAAGCTGGGCGGACCAGAAAGGACACGGGGAGGACGAAAGGTGCGAGAACGTATATGATTGTCTCGTAGACCTATCATTGCGGCAATCAGAACAACAGAAGCGAAAACAGATACAAATGGGTGTGTTACGTACCTCTTGGAAGACGAACACCTTGGCGCCGATTTCCCACCAGCCCAATTTCCAACATCCAAAGATGTATGCGAGATTATAGTATAGGCTATTCGCGAAAAAGAAGTTCCAGCGTAGAAACCGCTGTTTGAAAACCGTCATCTCACCGAATCCACTACGCCCGTCTTTTCTGCTAACATAGAAGACAGCCGGTGGTGTCGTAGTCTCCACGAACACGGAGCTGCACATCTGGATGCGGCCGCCCATGCGCCGACAACTATTTCCGAGGAACCAGTCCTCGCTGATCGAGAAACCCGGATGGTCTCGTAAGCACTCTTTCAGGAACTCTCGGTCCCATAACGATATCGCGCCGTGAGGAAATGTGGAGCTACCAATTCTCCCGGCAAAACAACGCTGTAGTCCGGATATCTTGTACTCTAAATCTTGAGCTTGTTGGCAATAAGTGCTTTCTGAAGAGTTGGAGCCGGTTGACTTGATCGTGTACCCGATACACCGGACTTCCTTCGTGATTCGAGACACTACGACGGGAAAGTTATGAGGGAGTGTGCAATCGTCGTCTATGCACAGAACGTGCCGGAATTTCTTGGCAGCGTAGCATCCGATGAACAGGGCGATGGCTTTTGAGCTGATTGGAGACCAGACATGGTTGACACCGTATGTACGACAGACTTCCTCCGTGTTGTCGATGGGGATCGGCGAATCCCCGTTCGCGATAACGAAGATATGGCCCGCTGGAAAGAGTGTGAGTGCGGCTTCGAGTGTCTTCCCGATGATTGCGGCGGATTTGAAGCAGGGAATCAAAAGAGCAGTATTCGAAGAATTGCGTTCAATGCATCGCTGTTGGTAGTATTCGGGTCCTGGGGCATTTTTCTCAAAGAGGAACAATAGCGGGACAAAGGAATACCTAGAGTATGATCAACATTAGCAGGAGCTCAACAGAGATAGTGTCTCTCCGATTAGGGTGCAAATGCAGGTGAGGAGGAAAGCTTACATGGTCATAAATCCAATGGCAATTGACCATCCTCCCTTGAATACGAATTTGTTCTTCATCACCCAGTACAGCCAATATACCGAGCCTTTCCAGAGTGGTACCCCAACCAGGACAAAATAAACAACGGAGACGAATAATAAGTATACGCCATATTCAAAAAGAAATTGGGTCCAAGTTGTCCGCTGAAGCTTGACACTGACAAGTTTTGCCTGGTCGTAAAGCTCCCACAGGCTGCTGACTCGAGGTCTATCGGAGACACCAAAACCAGGCTGGCGGTACGAGAAATTCGGAGCGCGAGTTTTTGGAGTTTTTCTTCCAAGTTCTGGACCGCTGGGGGAGACGGGATGAAAGGAGAAGAAACCTGGTTGCCTTTCTGGGGCTTCGCTGATCACGGCATCCTCGATGACTGTCGACAAAGGCTGGCTGGTCCCAGGCTCGAACGCCGATGTGTGACTCCAGTTCCTCCTTTCGACGAATGACGGTTGTTCATGTATTTGTCTATTGGAGGTTGGTTGTCGCTTCTTCTGGACACGAATCTCCCTGGCCGGTTCCTCAGAGTAGTAAACAGGGTAGTTTGAACCCCGTTGAGTTCTTGCTGCTGCGGCTGCGGCTGCTGATATGAGAGACTCTGGAATTACTATGTCCTCAAGGACAGGGCTTGTATGCATTTGCCGTAGGCTAGGAACTCCTGGCACTCACGATTGCGAAGGGCCGGGTGAATTAGAAATTCCGCGTCTTGCAAGTAAGTTGGACTGGGGTATAGAATAGCGCGTCAAATAACGGATGTAGAGTCTCACGAATATCATCCTCACTGAACTTGAACGAGATCAATGGTGTTTTTTCTCGATATGGGAGTCAGGAGTACTTAACCGGAGGAGTGGCAACTAGGTAGTTGATCGCGCGGGCCGTCCCATACCTCCAGAAGCAGGAATCCAGCTTCAGATCGGAAAAGGACCCCGGTTACATTCCAGCGAGTAAAAAGCCCCTTGCTCGCTGTGCCCTCCTCTCTGAGCGATATTAGTCCGCACTTCTCCTTTATTTTAAAATGTCCTTTAGTGCCCGTTATCATTTTCGAAAATTTGATGAGACCAATTGAAGAAATCGAGAATTCAGAACACGACTAATATTCCATTATCTAGGAGCAAACCAAATATTTTGCATTTAAGCATTAGAGTGGGCCTTTTTTTGAGCATGATACTCGACCTGAAAGACAATAAAGGAATCATGTCTTGTGCAGCAAATTCATCGATTAATTGAGTTATCATCGAGCTTCACAAAGCTTCTTAAGGAAAGTAAATCCCGAGAACTGGGGTACATGTACTAGGCAGTCATTATAATGGCGTTTCATTGTTGAGAGGCGCATTGCATAGAGCGTGGTATGACCAATCGGTCGAGACGATTCCATGGAATGTCGCACAGGCCGCTTGCAAGGGGCGACCTGAATCAGAAACATTAATCAAAAGTAACACCACATTTTCAATGATCGAGTGGAGAGCATTTTGATTAAGCGTAATTTCAAGCTGCACATACGTGGCACCAAAACGAAAAAAGGGCGGTAAAATCCGCAGCATACCAATTGGCTAAGATCGCCCATTATGTCCATTTTCAGTAGAAGGCAATAGACAGCCATCACAACATCAATATGGATATAATATATGTCCACAAAATCATTATCTCTTTGCTCACATATTTTGTGTCGATAACATTAATGCTTTTTTTTATTTGACTGCCATTGATTGTGTGATCCCACTTCGCAACCGTAGTGTTTGGAAATTCCTAAACCCCTCTAGGTATCGTTCATCACCGCAGAGCGGAGCTCTATGTGAGTGGATCAATCGATCAGAAATTAACTGCATGAGGTATTTGGACTTTTTAATGTGTGTTGTGAATGTTAAAATGCCCAGTGGCTCAGTTTGGTCCGGGGACCTAAAGCATGGCTCGGCCCTCAGCCACACGCAGCCCACATACCAGTCCACATTTTCAGAAAAACATTAGCTAAAAGATCTCTCATTCAAACGAAGTTCTGCAATTTGGTGAGCGGGTCTTTCCCGAGCTTCATTTTCGTGCTGATGTACCACTGACGACGCGATCCAGCGAAGCCTCCTGCTCTGTCAATATCCGACTTTATGAGTTTTCAAAGCAGAGAGGGTTCGCAAAACGTGTGACGAGAGCCATTGTTGGGCTCAATATTTTGGATGTCATTGAGTTACTCTGTATAATAACTACTGAATTCCCTTCATATCCCAACTTATGGAAAGATTTTCAACTTTCGCTAGATATTACAGGACGGTTCACCAGCGCCCCAGGCAGAGGCGGTTTATAATCCGTCGCATTGACTACCTCAATTAGCATACCAATCCAAACATTTGACGCAAACGACTTAAGGATCGAAATCATAATAAAACCAAACTCGTCCGTCTCTTCCAGCCACTTCTCCGCCCTCGCGTCCATCACAATCCCTAGCTTGATCTTATGAAACTCTCCTTGCAGATATTCCTGGCCATCCCACCTGGCCAGCCATCAAATGTATCGCGTGTTCCACACGTGCTCGTCCTGCGCTTCCCATAGCATCTTTGCTGCAGGTGCCGGCATGAATCCGAGCTCTTTGCAGTCGAGCGACGTGGTGCCGTAGAAAACTGAACATGCCCATTGGAGTAGATAGAGGAAAGATATAGCCCGGTCCTTAGACGTTACATGTAGCCAGGCATAGAATGAAGGCCGAATTTGCTCTCTTTCCTCCTGGAGAAATAGCCCTGTAGTGACGGCATGATACAAAAGTCACTGCGTTTTGTAGAAGATGGTGCTGCCTTCAGGGAGTTTACAGAGTGTGCCTTTTGATGGGAAGAGTAGAATTATAGTGTAAATGACAAATGCTTGAAGGGCTGTGAGGAGGGTTTCCTAGTCATAGTCGCGGGACTAGATGTAGATTAGACGTACGGTATATCCCAAAAGGGAATCAAACTTACTTTATTTAGCAGGTTATCTAGTTCCCGCAGAATGGTTCTGTAAACCATATTCTCTGCTCCTTCGCATTGCCCGTGCCACATCTTTGATATTGTGGTGCAATCTGCCGAGGGTTGCGCTGTCTTATTAGGCGACGCTTGAGTGGGATGCACTAGTAGGGGAAGCTGCAATCCCTCGGCCAGCATCTTCGGCCACGTCTTGACGACACGAAAAATGAATACCATACTGTGGTTTACAAGTGCGGTGAAGGCACTTTGCAGGCTCTGAGCTGGCTGTAGCACCGGAGTCGGCGATATGTTCTCGGGTGTCCTCGGGTTCTGATTCGATTGACCGTGGTTAGTCACCAAACTAGTTTCTACATCATCAACTCGACGCAGAAGCCAAGGGATCTCCTGAACTGTTAGATTCAATATCTTCCAAACTGGAGAATACACTGCCCGACAAAGGCTTCACCCCAGGTACTTGCACCAATGGAATCTGCGAGGGTATATGCAAGCCATCTGGCTCAGCATTCAGTAATGGACCCTGCGGAACGCCGTTGCTAGCCAACGTGGCGCCGGAACTCGGGGTAGGATATTGGCAAGTCATCCCGCGCGTTGTGCATCAAGAGCAACCGGGCCGTTGCAAATTATATCGTGCCTTGTTCGACACGAACTGGCTAATTGACCTGCCCCGAACCTCGCTTGCTTGTGGCTCGTTACAGTTGTTTCTCAAATGGCGAAGGAGGGACGGCTCTGTTTTGTCAATTGATCATGTTCTCTTGGACTTGGCTAGGGCTTGCAAAGCATACCGTGTCCAAGGTTTGTGCCACAATGCGGATACTCATGCTTTCGTGCATTCATTGGGCTTCACTAAATCATTCGGTCGTACAACAATGGAATTTAAAGAACTAGTCACACCGTAAGAGCAACTGAATGGAGCGGAATGAGTAGGTGGATGTTGAAACTATCACATTTTAAATCGCCACCCGGAACTCCGGGTTGATCCCAAAACTTGCTTTAGCTAATCAGGGTGCATAGAATTATCTTGCGCATGGGTATAAATATACGAAGCAGGAACAGAGACGTGACTGGCCACTGATATCAGAGTTCATGATAGACGTAGAGTAGTGCAGTACATCGTCCCTTCGAATGCGAGTTCACCAGTGGTTGTCTACGTTCTTCAGGTTCTTTTTAGCTCCTCACTATCTCCAGGCGAGTGCCCAATTCATTTGCCAACGAGACACATTTTGAAGCTCGATAGAAAATGATTTGCTATGAATGCGGCGTAGAGAGACCCGGTAGGGCCCGTGGGTATGAGGAAGACGATATTATATATAGAAATTACTCAAGAAGGTGAATGAATTTATAATTGTCGGGACGACAGGTTGGTACCTGAGTAAAACCCCAGGCTATATAACTAACACATAGAAAAGGTCATATCGTTATAATGTGTTTAAAACAAATGCTTGGGGGGTATTGCTGCAATCGGAGTTCCGAGTTTGAGAAAGTGTGTTGTTTCTATACTAAACCTCAGCTGGGATTGTGATTACTCTATAAAGCTAGTCTGTAAAACAGCATTTAACAATCGGGCAATTTGGCCGAGTGGTTAAGGCGTAAGACTCGAATTGAGTGGTGTTCGCACTTCCTCAAATATTGATATCTTATCCCTTCGGGGTCGCAGGTTCGAATCCTGCAGTTGTCGATTCTTTTTTGTGTTTTTGTTTGTCTGTTCGGGTATATTTGTGAGTAAGCAAATAGATATCGGGATGGGGCTAGAGATCTTTCCTTTCCCCCTTTTTATTGGTAGCCAGCCATTGGCGTCCGAAACCCTCGGGGTTATTTATTTCTGCCAGGGCAAGCAAGCCATCTTCTTCCTGAACATTTGATTCAATATCATCCATCCAATCTATGTAACCCTCTGCTACAGTAATGCACTTAGGTAAATACATTATTTGGTGAGCAGGTCTAATCAAAAATTATCATCACTATTAGGTCCCACCCTGATGGATAGGCGCCTCTTTTATTAGTCATTCTATCTCCAAAGATACGTATAGTTGCGAAAGCGCTATGCCATTTACTCAATATGGATGACTCCATCCTCAATGTTGATGTTCGCAGCCCAAACACCTCGCCCCTCATCGAGATTCTCGCCATTGTTAAAGGCATGGAACAAAATCGCCTTTCCATCTTCCCGGAAATCAGCACCGCCGGGACCTCCCAAATCTCCAACATTGCTGGGATCTCCAGACACCAGCAAGGGGGCATCCGGAGCGTTCACCTTGGTATACGGTCCGCCAACCGAATCAGCAGTCGCATAACTAACATCGTAATCCTTCGTGTTGTACATGTTTGACGAGAAAGACAAAAAGTACGTGTCGCCAGATTTGACGAGGGAAGGCGCCTCGACAAGGGGTCCGTCGTTGTCATCGCGGTCGAGAAGCTGCACGGCGTCACCGTCAGGAGTCACGGCGTCTGATTGAAGCTTCTGCAGCATGATGGGTGTGGGATGGGTCGTTCCGTCCCCGTTCAAACTATTTCCGTCGATCTTGTACACGACGTAGAATGTCCCATCGGAGTCCTTGAATCCGGCTGCGTCGATGGCGCCGCCTTGATCAAGAGGGCAGGCGAGGGAGTCGGATGAGGGCTCGTAGGGTCCCGTGATCGTGTCCGACGTCGCGGCTCCGAGGCAGTGCTTGCTGTCGTCTTCGCGAGCTGCCGCGGAGAAGTACATGACGAATGATCCATCATTCTATAGACTAATTAGTCCGCGTGCTATAAACGAGAGAAGAGAGGAGCTTGTACTCGTTGAATAACATCCGGCGCCCAAATGCCCGGATGGGCATCGTCCTTCACCCAGTCGGGGAACGGGCCGGGGAGAGCATCGGTATCCAACTTATCCCAAGTGTTGAAATCAGACGAGTGTGCGACTTGTGCGTTTTTGCCGCCGCTCGTCGTTCCGAACGCGTAGTATCCATCATCGGTCTGAATCACGTTCGGGTCAGGGAAGTCGCTGTCAATGACTTGCCAAGAGTCGGCCCAGGCGTAGCTGGATAGAAGGGAGAGAGCAAGAGCAGTTCGGATAGGCATTTTGTTGTCTATGTTGCATGAGCGCTACAAGAAACTGCAGAGGATGGTGAGAGGGCCAGTCGCATTTATACACAAGTAGATCTGTAACGTTCTTTCCTAATCGGGCTTCGCAGTGGTTTACTCAAACTAGACAATCGTCAGAATTACTTGCAAGGGGGATCGGTATGCTGGATGCTCCACCGGGCGGTGATGGGGCCATTTCTTATTCGCTACCTAGAGTCTTGGGGTCGGTTCGGCTTTGGGGTTTCAAGGGAAAGGATCTTGAGAGATACCCGATGTTGTGGCACATCTGGATTGGAGTCCATACAGCCAATCTTTTGCATACGTCATGGTCGAACTTCCGATGTTGTATCTTGATCGAGTCAAGCGCTCATTTTCCGACAATAATATCTGAAAGAACTGTCGATGAGAAAACATTATGATATCCACTTGAGCTCCGTGATTGGATACGTCCTCGTATTCTGCAGCAAGTAGCTAAACATTCCGCCCCCGGCACCACAGCCTCGTGCTACTTACTAGGGCAGTGCATCCCTTAATAGTCAATACCAGGCATTGTGAATTGTCAGACTCACGCCACAGAAGAATAAGCCTTGACCTCTTGGAGCACCAGTGACTTGGCTAAATTTTGATTGGGTGGTGTAATAACGACTGAATCTAGCTGGCCGAAGGGGATGAGTGGAATAAAGAAGCGCTCGCTAAGATGCCGACTGATACTTCGCTAATGATTAGCCAGCTGACATCCAGAATCAAGTGTATTTGGGGGAGCGTTTTGAAAATTGACTGGCAGACGGAAGAAAACCTGCTTTAATTATTTTCGGTTAAAAACGAGTTTTTATTGCTCCTAGAGCGTAAGATAAAGGGTACTAAAGACTTTTGCTATCTATCTCCATGGTGTTGAAATACATTATTTTAGAGATCCTCTCTATCATTAGCGCCTGGGACAAAGGAATGGCCATGGACGAAGGTTTGATCCTTCAGACCAGGTTCATTGTCAAGAACTCTGCTCTCTTCCATCTCCTCCATGTCCAGGTCATCGTCATCCATATCGTACATTGCACTATTCTTCAGTTCGATATCTTCAACGGAACATTATTTAACTCTGTGCTGGTTGAATATCGCCGTGATCCAAGACCAAACTCGAGGCATCCCCTCGATCAGGGTACCACCATGATCGCGCTCCAAGTACCGAAGATATCTCACCTTCGTGCCCTTGCCGCAGTATTTCTCGTACAGCTTATCGGTGTCTTCGATGGGACCCGTGATATTATCCTTAGTTCCTTGGTAGATATAAAGTGGGAAATTCGGACTCTTGCCGTGCTGGATGTGTTGTCCCATCACACCATAAGTTTCAAGGATATCCTTGAACTTGTACAGAAACTCGTCCCCGCTCTTAAACCAGGAAGAAATGTTGGCGGTTGGCTCGATTTTAGGCGCATTGAGCTGGCACTTGGTGCAGCGTCTCTGAGGGCCCAAGAAAAGACTCTGGTATTTGGGTAAGAGATCATCGCGCATATGCTGGTCGACTTCGGGGAATGCCCTCATCACACCCAGGATGGCCCAAACATTAAGTGGAGACTGGGTGCCGTTGACGTTGATATATGTGTTCGTAATGTTCGGAGGAGGGCCGCCCATTGCGGCGCCGGCAATCTTGAGGTTGGACGCATGGTGAGCGTGCAGCTCTGAGGCCCATTCTGTAGCCAACGCGCCACCGGAGTACCCAAACATGACTGTTCTGGCCTTGGGCAAGATACCGGTGATGTGCTTGGAGTTCAGCGCCGCCTGGATGGAGTCCAAAGTGTGAAGGCCGCTCTGCGGACCGACAGTGAAGGCAGCATTGGAGCCCTCGTAATCGGGGATGTTCAGAATGGGTCTCTTCCCAAATGGTCCTTCGTAGCTTTGGAGATAGGGAAAGACGAAGGTCATTTGCACCTGGTTCCACATGGCTGCGGAAAACCCAGCGCCTGCCTGAAGTCCGTAGGAAGGAGAGCAGTTGATATCGGGCGCATCGTAGGCGATCTGGTACGAAAGAACTCGGTTTGGACTCGGATTCGCCGGAATGACAATCGTAGTCACGGAGGTTGTCTTGTGTAAAGTTGCATTTCGAGTCACGTACAATAATTGATGTGCAGTGAGTGGACTCTCGGCACCAGGAACAACTGATGGCAGCTTGACTGGGCGATGGTCTATGATATAACCAGGATCTTCGCTTTTCCAAGAGTCATTCTTGGGTGTATAAAAGGGATCTACATCTGGCAAATCCGGAACGGCCGCTGCAGTTAAGACATGGAGCAGCCCTAGTACAAGGCCTAGAATGCGCTGCATCGGGCCCGTCATAGTGCACAAAGAATGAAAACACAATTTATAGGTACTCAACAGTAGTTCAAACTACTTAGTCATTGAAGGAATGAGAGTGCTGATAATATCATATCAATTAGCAATGGTGCGATCGTGGAGTTGGGGACACTTATAGCTTGTCTTTAAGATTTAATCGAGAACAAAGAGCAATCGAATTTTGTACGAAAATGATATATACTGACAAATTTTAGGTTATACTCTAACTAAAGACGGAAGCAGCCTTGTCGAAGCTGTCATTGACGCGGCCATTTATAAACTCAACCACATACTATATGCACTGAGGTATGTGGCAATGTGTCAAGAACCTTACATCCCTTGCCCACACACGTCATAGATCAAACTTCATCCCTTCCGGTTATGGCTTCTATGATGGGCGAACAGACTTTTCATCTTTCCGCTGCTTCAGCCAGCCCTCGAACTTGATCCAATGAAGGGATAATCAGACAGCCTAAATCCAAATAAAATGTAAATCATATAAAGTAATCTGGACCAGGTTACGACCGTCACGCCGGAACCAATGTTTGCAATACATTGCGTGGCTGGCTGAGAAATTGAAAAAATCTTGAGGATACGCGTTACCACTTTTTGATTGATTTTGGGATGGAATGAAAGTGTACCAGCTTTTACTGCAGATCCAGAAAATGGGGTCTCGTACGACTATTACGATGAGGAGATTATGCGATAAAATAAGAGATCTACAGAGGAAATGTTGACGACTACTTCTTACAAAATGACATAGCCCATCTAGTCTGGAATGCAAGGCAGTCATATACGACGTGGGACAAGTCTGCATTGATGTGTTGACTCAATTCTCGTTAGCATTCAAATAGACACTAAGGTTCAGCAAGACGGCTTTTTGTCATTGTTAAAGATGATGCTCGCGAAACAAGGCTCGGCACACGAAATTCTTCAATTCTTTTTCGTCCAGTCGATTCAAGAAGTTAACATCACTAAATGAGGAGATAACTTGGACATGGGTAATACAATGCATTCTTTGCATCCTATCCTGGGATTACCGCCAACCAGTCGAAATCTCTACCGAGACTAAAAGGAGTCAAGTCAAATTGTCGAAATGGCCCAAGTATCCACCTTCGTTTGATAGTTCGCACACTGACTCCTTCCGTGTAAAAACTTACCCGTTAATAAATCCTCCCACTGACAAGAGCGCAATATCGTAGAGACTCTAATTGTGTGTTCGAGAGCCCAATGTAGATTGTACTCCCCACCATGCCTCGACAAGTCCGATAATGAAAGCAATGAAGCAATGCAGTGAGCTATTACCCAGCCACTTAGCACGCAGGAGTATGTTGTTACGTCAAAAGAGCTCGGCGACCAGACCAACATGCCAAGATGAGTGGTTTCTATTAGTTGAGATCCTAGAGAAGTGGGAAGCACACTAACTGAAGGGTTCCATAGGATGGGTTGATGGTGTGTAGAAACTGTTATTAATACGAAAGAACGAACCGGCCGGTCGGAAAACCCGGGGTATCTCCCCCCGCGCCCTGCTTCGGCATAATGCACCCGAATAACTTCCCCGCGGGTCAATAAATACACCCACCATTATCCGGCGCGTTCGCACGCACGCAACCCAAACAAAAGAAACAGAAAAAAGGGACTCAAAATGAAAATCACACGTTGTGGTATTCACGGTTTCCATGAAACGCTCGGCATCGATGCCGAGGAGCTGCGCTTCTACTGGACCATCACCAGCGACGTGCCCAACACTCAATCCGCATACCAAATCACCCTCTCGAAAGATGCTTCAGCTTTCAATCAAGACACTCCCTCCGAGACGAGCGTTTTCTGGACCACCGGGAAAGTCGCCAGCGCTGAGCAACGCAATATCCTCTGCAAACCCTCCGACGGATTCGAGTCCATAACGAGCTACTTCTGGCGTGTCACGGTCTGGGACGAATCCGAACATGTCTACCATAGTGCTATCAACCATTTCTTTACCTCCTACCCTCGCTCGCGCCTCCTCCCTCCCTACAGCATGAACCAGACATACATGCCACACAGCAGCCTTATCTTTCGCACATGGTTCGAAAACGAGCACGACAGATGGAAGGCCGTCTGGATCGGCGACGGCGGCGACAAGCCCATTTACCTGCGCAAATCGTTCAAACTGTCCGCCCGCCCGGTGCGCGCGGTCCTTTTCGCCTCGGGTCTCGGTCACTTTAATATGTCTGTCAACGGATCCGCGGCTTCCGCTCATGTCTTGGATCCGGGCTGGACGAACTACCATCGCCGGGTCCAGTTCACGGCATACGATGTCACGAAACACTTGTCGGCGGGGGAAAACGTGCTGGGCGCACATGTCGGGAACGGATTCTACGCGGGAGATCAGGGCGATCGGTTCTTCTGGCCCATGTATGAGGATAATACGTACGTGCGGTATGGGAACGAGCTGTGCTTTTTCGGGGAGTTACATACCTTCTATGAGGATGGGTCGCATGCAGTTATGATTTCCGATCCCTCGTGGAAAGTGCGGAAGAGCGCGACCTCGTTGGCGAATATCTATGCCTCCGAGACGCATGACAGACGGGCTTATCCTGATGGCTGGGATAATGTGGACTTTGATGAACAGGAATGGGCCCCTGCTAAGCCGCTGACTGGCCCGCGGGGGTTCCTGTACTATCAGTCTCAGCCACCGGTTGTGTTGCATGATACGTTCCAGCCTGTGAAGGTCTATTCGCCGACGAAGGGCACAGTCTGTTATGATCTAGGCCAGAACGCGTCGACAATGGTCAAAATCGAAGTCAGCGGGCCTGTAGGAGCGGAGGTGATCATCCGGTATGCGGAGACGGTGAAAGAGGACGGAACGGTCCTGATGCCTGACCCACTGTTCAAACAATTTGAGACAGGCGTTTACTCGAAATTCTACCTCTCGGGCTTAGGTGTTGAGACCTGGGAGCCCGACTTCAGTTTTACCAGTGCGCGGTATATCCAGGTGGAAGGCGTGTCGCTTTCCGCTGATGACGGACTCCCTGTGATACACTCTGCTGTGGGCCGCCATGTTTCCTCCGGAGCACGAAACCTAGGCACAATGACGACCGATAAAGTGGACACTAACGCGTTGCTGAACGCTCTCTATTGGACCTTTAGCAGCAACCTCTTCAGCTACCACACCGATTGTCCACAGATCGAGAAATTCGGTTGGCTGGAAGTCACGCACCTGCTCGCCCCTGCGACACAGTATGTTCGTGATATGGAATCCCTGTATACGAAGATCCTGGACGATATTCTGGACGCCCAAGAACCAAGTGGTCTGGTTCCCACAATGGCCCCGGAAATTCGCTACATGTGTGGCCCCCTCCACGATACAATTACTTGGGGCTGTGCGGTCTGTTTGTTGCCCGATATCCTGCGAAAATACTACGGCTCTACCCATGTCATCCCGAGAGTATATCCGGCAGCCGTGCGCTACATGGAATACATGCAGAAGAAAGAACGAAAGGGCGGATTGATCGAACATGGTCTCGGAGATTGGGGCCGAGACATTGCGTTCGGAAACCATCAAGCAAACATTGAAACAGCCGTTTATTACCGCTGTCTGCGCTGCGTGGAGGGCATGGCTAGGGAACTAGGCTTGAGCGATGACGCAGAGAAGTACTCGCGCTGGGCCGAAAGAATTCGCACCGTGTACAACCAGCATCTTTTGGTGACCGATACTTCGGAATATGGATACGCATACTACACCTCGCTCGACGACTACCCTGCGCGCGATCGCACAGCAGTCAACCAAGGCGTGGCCCTACAATTTAGCCTTGTTGCCGACGCGCACCGCGAAGATGTCATGAAGGCGTTCCTCGCCGACACAAGCGACGGGCGCATGCGAGCCGGCGAGATCGGGCTCCCGTTCCTCTTCAGCACGCTTGCGGACGCCAAACGACCGGATTTGGTCCTGCAAATGGCGCGACAAGAAGAGCACCCATCGTACATGCGCTTCCTACGCCGCAGAGAAACAACGCTGCTCGAATTCTGGCAGGACGAGTGCCGCAGCAAGTGTCATGACATGCTGGGCACAATTTATGAGTGGTTCTACCGTGCCGTGCTGGGATTGAGGAGCCTCGAGGACGCGTACCGGCGGTTCGAGGTTGACCCGCCTTATACGGCGGAGTTTGGACACGTCAAGGGTAGCGTGGAGTGTCCGTATGGAGTGATTTCGGTGGAGTTTACAAGAGGAGACGGTGAGGTGAAGTTGAATGTGGAAGTTCCTTTCGGGACGGTGGCTGTGGTCAGGGTTCCCGAGGGCAGAAAGGCGGAGGTTGTCAAGAAGGGAGATAGCGAGGGAAAACTGTATGACGAAGATGCTGACCTGTCGCATGGGGTTTATTCGATCACTGTGCGGGAGTAGTGGGTTAGTTAGACTGAGAATGATAGAGATTTACTCATGCCAGAACACGATTGATAGAAAAGGCATAACTAGTGCACGATAATTAATGACAGTCTCCAACAGAACCATTCCTTAAGCAGGCAAGTGCTGTCTCACCTACCAACATTCAGCCAATAATCGAAAGAGTTCGCCGCCTGGTAGTCGGAACGTGGCCCACGATGTTGTCGGGATATCCGATGTGGGGGAATGCCCGGGGTATTCGAACTGAATTAGACCGAGATGACTCCCCAGAATATCATCTGATGCCCGGACGAGGGCTCGGGCCATGGAAATATCTCTCTATCCCGCAATAACTGGCTACGGAGGCTGGTCCTTAGACTCGGAATATCCACCTCTCTCGGTTGCCTTCGGGACAGACTTGTTAGTGTATATTAGTGAACCACACAATGAACATGACTCTACTTTTCTCACAGCAACGATATTTGGTCTATGCAGAAAGTACAAAATGCGAGAGATCTATGATTCTCGCAAGCAAACCGAAAAACAAAAGAATCGGCTTCAGTGAAAGCCTCGGATCCCGAAACAATACAGACCAACAAATAAGCTACGCCGTAGAAAACCAAGTTAAGCCCAAGACTGCTAAGCGAAGGACCCGTCTCAAACTAGCCCGACGCCACAATAACAAAGTCCAGGTGCCGTGGCGATTACCGATTTTATGGCTCTTCTCTGGCCTCTCGGTTTTCGGGGTATCTTGTCCCTTTAGCGGACATGGAGGTGCGTTGCGGTCCGACCAGCCCAAATGGGTTAAATCTGGGGTAGAACGGGATTCCGGGGTCGGGCATGCCATCCGTATATATCCTCCTTCGGTTCGTTTGAGCGGCTGGAGCACGAAAAGTCACATCGAGTTTGGGTTTCTTGAATTGACATTCCTTAGTCCATCTTCAAGTCACTGCAGGACGGGGCACGACAACGCCAAAATGGCCAAGATCAAGACGTTTCTTTCGGCCATCTTCCTGGCCACAGGAGGTAAGTCTCCCATATGTCTCCTTTTACTCCTCTTCTGACAAAATAGGTTTCCTCTTCGGTTACGATAGTGGTATTATCACCTCGACTATCTCCCAAGAGCATTTCATCGACTACTTTAACAACCCCAGTAATACCGTAACTGGCGGTGTGGTTTCCTCCTTCCAAGGAGGAGCCATTCTCGGTACAATAATCAACATGATGCTTGGAGACTGGCTGGGTCGGAAACGCTCGATCTTCCTAGGATCGGTGGTGTCTGTCTTTGGGTGTGCCTTGCAAGCAGGTGCCATATCGATGACTATGCTTATCATCGGGCGGTTTATTGCCGGAGCCGCTGTGGGTATTATGACCTCCATTATCCCCATGTACGCGAGTGAATTGGCAGAGACGAAATACCGTGGTGCCATGTCCGGCCTGCTGCAGTGGATGTTGAGTTGGGGATTTCTCGTGGCACAGTGGTTGGGATACGGGACCTCGTTCGTGGATGGCGCGTTCCAATGTATGGACTACCCTATATCCCCGGGTTCCCATCGCATCATACTAACTAGAATACAGGGCGCTTTCCTCTTGCCTTCCAATGCGTACCCGGTATTGTCCTCATGATCGGCATCTGGATGCTTAACGAATCGCCACGATGGCTCATGGAGAAGGACCGCCACGACGAAGCGCTCGAAATACTCCGCAAACTCCGCAAAGGCACCCCGAACAGCGAAGATCTCGTGGCCGTCGAGTTCCAAGAGATCAAAGACGCCATTGACGCCGAGCGCGCCGCCCACAAAGTGACCTGGTCATCTATTCTCACCACACCCTCCTGGCGGCGTCGTCTGGCTCTAGGCTGCGGCATACAAGCCTTCGGTGTTCTCTCCGGTATCAACGTGATCAACTACTACGGCCCCAAGATCTACAAGTCGCTCGGGATCGAAAACCAGACCTCGCTCATGATCATCGGCATCTCCGGCGCCTTGTCTATCGTCTACGCCACGATCTGTCTCTGGGCCCTCGATAAAGTCGGTCGGATAAAGCCACTCATCTTGTCGGCCGCCGGCTGCGGTCTTGCCCTCGTCGTCAACGCCGCCCTCTCGCAGCACTGGGACGCCACGAACGAGAACCTCCTCCGTGCCATGGTCGCTATGAACTTCGTCTTCAGTCTCTTCTACACACCCCTCGGTTGCATTTCGTGGGTGTACCCGGCTGAGATCTTCCCCGTGGATATCCGTAACCAGGGTAACTCCATCACGACATTCACCAACTGGACGTTTAATTTGGTGTTTGCGCAGTTCTCGCCGCAGGCGCTGGATGACATTGGATTCAAGTACTTCTATGTCTTCTTCGTGTTCAACTTCATTGCGCTCCTGTGTTATGTCTTTTTCTTCCCCGAGACGAAGGGTAAGACGCTTGAGGAGATGGACTTGGTGTTCATGGATGCGAGTGTTGCTGTGGCGGCCAAGACGGCCGATATGGATGAAAGCAAGAGGGAGGATGTCCAGATCGAGCAGGTTAGGTAAATATTCTTGGGCGTGTTATTCCTGGTGGCATGTACGGTTAATGATAGTAAATCAACGTTCAGAATTCAATTACAGATTGGGTATCTTCCTATGTTCCATTTCCGGCGGTGGTCACTAGCTTGGGATACATGTACCAAAAATTTGGCCTCAGTGGCTGAACTTTTATCTGCACGTAGTATAATGAAATTAACAAGACCGGCGTGCATCATAAAAACGGTTCAAATGTATCAATGAATGGACAAATTTCGAGTCGTTGATTTCGGGGGTCGATGCAACTAGACTGGCCGGATATTGTTTCTGGATATATAACAAAGATAGCTGGGGCTTGAAGAAAACCTGGTCGTGTGAGAAATAAATGTGCAAGGACGGATCGGGATTCACCTGAATCCTGTAGAATACCCCTCAACTAACTTAGAATTCTTTTTTTTTTTATTTTTAAAAAAAAAGGGAAAACGGGGAACGCCCAAAAAGACATGAGTCAAGTTTGAACTCAAGCCTTTTAATGTTCAGTGTTTTGTTAAGTACTGTTAAGTGTTATTCCAAATGAATGGAGTTTCAGTGGTGTTAAGTGTTAGGGCGTGTCCAATACCTACGCTACCTATTGGAGCAACGCCGCCGGGTAGGACGATAGAAAGACTAGAAAGATTGGAAAGACCAAAAACTTGTAATTTGGCCTCAGACAGTCGCGGATCAACTAGGGTTGATTCCTACCCGCTTGCGTGCTCAAGGAATTCAAGCAGGCCGTGGCGTCGAAATTTGTGCGTCGATTGGGGCTCAAAAAACACCATGCTTCTCTGAAGTAGAAGTTCGATTTTGTCCGGGATGAAATGTTCGAACTTACACGCAGATGTCTATACCTTCGCATTTATCTACGGAATCAGACGATGCAAACCTGGAACTCAAGCTGTATTAGCGATTTTCCAGGCAGTGGACGAGCCGAGTTGTTAAATGCAGTCTTCTTCCAAGGACCGCAGCCAGGGCAATTAATCTTCATTCCATTGGGGATATCCCATCCACGAATGCGTCTTCTGTAACCAAAGAGATATTTTTGCAGACAGGTTAGGCAGTATACTCAATTTCTAGACTATTTCTTAGCCTTTGAGATGTTGAAGCTTTTGCGTTGATCTAAAGCGTCCTCTCATCATGCACTGTCCATGCCCTTGGAAGGTTTGATCTGCACCAAAATCCTCACCAGGTCTACGGCAGTACAAAGAGAAGGACCAGACTACAATAGTAAGTTTAGCAATGATTACAGCATACAACTCCTTCCCTTTGAGTTTCCCTTCCAAAGCATCGACCTACAACATGTTCGGCTGAATCAGGCCAGACATACATGCTTCTCCCTGGAATGACAGACCACGGAGCCACTAGGGCTAAGAGACCTCCCCTTGAGAATGCGCCATAGTTCCGAAAGAGGCCCATTGGAATCTACGTTACATCCAATCATATTCGCCCACCGACAGGGGATAATGCAATCGGCCAGCTCCAGACCTATCCCTGTCCCTCTTGCCATTTATGGGTCCCCAGGTGCGCGGGCTCGATAGGCTTCGGGCCGTTAGCGGCAAGGGATGGGTGGGTAGGTCCTATCGATCAGTGGCAGTCAGCATCAGTTTCCAGATTAAGTCTCTCAGACCAAGACGACCATAACCGCCCTTTTTCTCTAGATGTTGTGATAGAAGATATGTGTTGCAATTTGTGGCGTGTTGCATCGGTTATCACGTCTGCGTTCAGCACATCAGCCATGGAGAGGAAGGACTACATATATTCAATCTCCTGGTCATGCGTCTGAGAGTTTCTAGCACAGTAGCTAGCCGACCAATCTCACCTGTCTTTGGATCCTGACCTTGATCTTGAACTTCATCTTCATCTGTCTTGCGATCGTGATCGTGATCTTCATCGTCACCTTCATCTGCATTCTTCCCTGGATTCCACCCTATCTCCTCATGGCTCCCTTTCCTCGCCCCTTGCTAGGTTTTATCCCCCTAGCCAATCCCCTCCTCTTCCTCCTACTTGGCTCCGTGCAAGGGGCACCTCTCGAGGCGCATATCTCCCCGCAAACCTGGAATGCAACAGGACCCAGTAACTCGGTGAGGACGGTCCAGTCAAGACATCTGTTACAACATGGACAGAGAATCATTGCTAACGTCACGCACAGAGCCATCTCGTGTCCCCACCGCCCAGACCCTGGGGACCCGCGCCGTTCTTCTGGAACGCTGCTCCTCCGCGCCCGTATCATGCCTATGGATACGGTGGGTTTTACTATCCCGACAAGCATGAAGACGATGGGAGAGGTTTGGTGAACGCCAACGTCGTCGATCAGGGCCCTGAGGCTGAGCCCGAGGCCGAGGTTCAGGATGTCGACGACGTAGAGATCTTGGATGAGGATGACGGGGAGGACGAAGTGGATATGAACTCAGGTGCAGAAGAGTCTGATGAGAGAGATGAAGACTCGACTCCGGGCCTGGATGCGTCTTCTTTCTGGAACCCGTTTGCTGGTCCTCGGCGCGGTGATGACCGGAAGCAGGGAGACTGGGACTGGAAGCACCAGGCTCATGGACACGGGAGGTCATGGGGAGAGGCAGAGAGATGATTTCATCGGCGTGTCGCTGGGGAGGATGATGGCGTGGATGGATAGATAGATATGGGGCTCTAGACCCTGTGTTTGTCCTAGCTCCTCATTCTCATTTGTGTTTGGAATAGATCGATGTATGGGGAATCAGCTGCTAGTAATTGAATGTTGAGGGAATGATAAGAATCGATATTTGCAGTGTGTACGGAGTACCAACCCTATTGTTCCAACAGTGAGGGAATACCCCGAGTACCCTATTTCCAGGGTGGCCAACGCAAGCCATCCCACAAGCATGATAATCCCCTGTGGGAAAACACATCGAACGAACCATTTAGGTATTTAGTTAGTTGGATTTGGAGCTATCTCGAATAACGGCAATCGAAGTTTTTCATTTAGGCTTAGCCACCCTCCCGTGTCTCACTATCATTCGGATCGCGCCGAAGAAAAACCAACCAGAGGCAAATTGTGCCGAGGCCGTGTTACGGCTCCGATCGGCGCGGAAAAAACAGAACAAAAGAAAGCTCATGTTATAATTAGGTCCCTACTCAGTAGTTAATACCAAAAGAAAATATCTAACCTGGCTAAAATTGCCACTCTCAGGTCACCGCAGAGGGCGTGACTAATGAATAAGGCAAATTAGCATTCATGTCTCACCTCCAGCGAAAGGAAACGATCTTTTGCCTCTAGCTGCGAAGAAAGAAAAAAAGAGACTTGTCAATTGGACTGCCGTCGCCGATGCAAGTTGGTCTTTGTACGACCTCACGCTGCACACGTCCATACCAATGCAGTATAAGCACTAACGCTAAGACACGAGCGGGAGATTGCGGGTTACACGGAGCAAAGGGGACTGACAGATCTCGCTGGTAGGGGGCAAGAGGGAATGTGCGATTTTGGTCGATTAACGATTGGGATTTGGACGACCAGGGAAATGTTGAGCAAATGGGAGGTATTCAAAATATGCGCTGTTGGTGGTACGTAGAATTGATTGCAACAGAGTCTCTGCCAAAAATCCGATGTGGCAGACATGTGTTGGCCATGTTCTTTCTTTGTCTGTTTGATCACGACCAACAGTTAGTTAGTATCTGCATACCAAGACTATCTTCCGTCGCGAACAACAAAGAACAGAAAAATTTCCGCAAAATTTGACAAATCTTTCTCTCCCCGGAAAGTCGAAATCCCACCGCGATCGAATCGAGGCTGTGTGCGATCCCTCGTCGTGTTAGTGAGTCCCTGGACAGCGGCAGCAATCAACCACCGCAGCCAAGCGTCTGGATGTAAATCCTTTTAGCCGGAAATGGGCTAGCGGACAGGAGGACACCCTACAGCGCAAGTCTAGACCCAAAATGAGCCGGGTTGACCCAAGTTGAAACCGACGCTAAGGCGATTGCGCATAAGCTCGCGCGGAAACACCCTGAAAATGTCAGGGCAGCGACTCGCTCTGCTTGACACAGCCACGCTACGGGCAGCTGCCAGGTAGCTTGCACCCGGATCTTTTTGCCTCTAGTCCTGCGTCTTTCGGTCCGGCTTGCTTCCCTTGGGGTGGATCGTTTCCTTCTATGGACACTCTTTGCTGGGGGATGCAGGGCCAAGAAGGTCGACTGGCACGTGCAGAGTTGATGTTTTCCATTGGACATGTTTCTGGGGATAGGGTCTTGGAACTGGCGGGGATTGGGATGATCGGGAATTTCTTTGACTAAGCGGATCGTCCGGTGCGGAGGTGAACATTGCCGATGGCTCTGAACCTGATGACTAGGCTCTGTCTTTGGGCAAGAGAGGCGTTCAACTCGGCCGATGTGTGATGCTATAGGCGATGTCCGTGTGTCTACAGTACAAGCAACGAGAGGGTACGGTGCAATTGTGCTGAGCGGGTTGGTTCCGTCAGCCAATTATCCCTGATTGTTTCCTGTTTCCCTCTCGACTTTGCTTCTGTTTACGGTGCAGGCAGAATAGGATGTTTTAGACATTGTAGTCTCGATCCCGTGTGCTGCAAATCGTGTCATGTTGTAGACATGCCGTGGACAAGAAAGGCAGATCTCCCCGAGCGGCTGTGCCCTCCACGATCCGGTGACATACCTGTCCAGAGTCCATCTTCCTTCCCGTCGACTCAGATCATATATGCCTCATTGGCTGCTGGGATCAAAATACCTCACCGGCAATTGTGACCGCGACTTGTTATTCCGGGTCGATTTGGGAACAGAAAGGGAAGCCGGTAAGACGACATCATGATGCAAAAGGTGACTGCCGATACGAGACTGCATGGCTCAATTAGCCGGTCTTAGGGTCGATTGTGTTCGAATGAGGGGGTTCTAATTTGGCAGGTGGTCGAACGGCGATCAAGTGTTATCAGTAAAGAGGCTATACCCCAGATGACGGGAGTATGATGCAATATTTGACTGGACTGTCGGGATGAGCCGTTGTTCAACCTGATGCTCGTGGAAAGTGCAGATCGGGCTGTTAGTATCTTGATTAAGGCAACTGAATTAGCACCCCAGGATGCTCGAGATGCCCATGACCAGGTAGCAGGCGATGCCATATGATTCCTTTCACTTCACTGGTGGAAGACAAAGGCATTTTCGCTCGTCGGGGTGACCAGAATAGAAACTCATGCTGGCCATGTAATGATGAACCGTGGTTTGAACAATATACGGAGTACTGGAGAACCGGGCTCCCTCGTGGGTTATAGGAGCAGGCAGCAAAATAATACCCAGTCGCTTAAGCCTTTACCCATTTATCAATCGCTCCACCCTCCACAGGGCAATGCAGGGCACGGGGCAGACTACCCGATAGATCATGGAACAGAGTACTGGGTACTGGGTAGATTAAACGAGACGACGATCATCTCCGCCCCGTCGAATGAGGAGTTCTGACGACAGCGGACAGAAGTATTCCGTTATGCCAGTCGGCCCCAGGAAGTATCTACGGTGTACGTACGTCCCATTAATTTACCGATGGTTCGTCGCATGGTTGGCAGCAGCGATCCGCTTATTCGGACCCCGCGGGCCTGACAGATAAGCAAACGAAGAGTCTTGGTGGCACCTGGAAGTATCTTTGGTGTTTGACAGTCAGTCAGTCCGTCAGTAAATGGCCACATCTAGAAGGCCTGCGCTGGACTGCGGGCAACCCGATCCATACAGTAGGAACCGATGCAGGGAGCATGTGGCTGCGCGCGAGTGGTCCTTTGTTGCAGAACAGGCGACCCCGGAGCCTTTTTCGCTTGAAAAGTCTTAAATCGCACCCATGAAGCAATACGAAGTAGCATCTGGATTTCGACCACTGGCGATACTCTTACGTTGCGGGAATTAGGGCTCACCCGTGCACGACGGGGCAATGGAATTCTTCTGCCTGTCTCTGTCTTGAAGTTCGTTCGGCACTAACGGCGTTCGCGAGTTAGTCCAGTGCCGCAGCATGGGACCATTATTGCTCTGCCCCTTCCCCCTAGACCCTCTCTAGGCGTAGGCCGTAGGGCAAGGGCAAGTAAAGTCGCTGCCTGTGCCGGTGACAAGTTCTCCTCATTCTGAGACAAGCTCCGGTCCCCTAGTGGCGTCCGTCGGTTCTCGTTATTGGCGTGCAGACCCGATCGCAATGAGTCCGACTCGACGAACAAAGCTTGGTCTCAGTTTATTTTCATCAAGCTCAATCAGGTGTAGGCAACAGGGTTCTCTCCACTGGCTCTTGGATTATTATTACTATTATTATTTTCTTCTGACTTTTTATTTTAACTTTTTTGGCCTTTCTCTTCCTTAGCGCTTCCCTAGCTGCCTAGCTGGATTAGTATCCCTAAATTATTGTCATTTATCATTCTATCTTAATTTTCTTTTTTTTCTGGGCCTTTTCGAGGGGTTTTCCGGTTAGACTGTCATGCAGTTTGCTTATTTATACCGACGTGACTGGCCTGCTTTGGTCCCTTCAATCACCTCACTTTCGTTCTTCCATCAGCCAACACCTTAAGAGACCTTCAAGACCTCGCAAATATCCTCTCTCTTCTCAACCAACCTGTCTGGTCAACCTCACACAAAATGCCTTCCCTTCCTCGCCCTAACACCGACTACGAGCGCTGGATGCGAGACTCGAATCCTGCCCACACTCTTGCCGCTGAGCCAGAATACGGCGGTCAAGTCCAAAAGGCCGCAGAGATGGATTCAGCACTGGAATATCAGTATGTTATCATCCCTATACCTCCCACCTTCCATCTGCCAACATGACTAACGATTCAAAAACAGACCACCCCTCTCAAACCCTCAGATCTACATCTCGCGAGATGACCGATCATTCCAACTCTGGGAAAACAGACCCCCCTTCTCGACCGCCTGCATCATCCCCATCTTCGTCGTAATAGTCGCCATCATCTTCGTCAAGTCGCGACATTCGCGAGAGAAGGAAGGTGCCGTCAGCCTGAAGGGATAGACGACCAAGCCTCCATGTGACTTTTCTTTTGTTTTCGGAATAGATGACTGGTGTGGTTCAATTCAGGGACCTCGTGCCGGTCGGGTCTCTGGTGTTGATTTTCATGTTCATGTCGATGTTAATAGTTTTTTCATACCCCGTTCTATACCTATGCTACCTATGCAATAAGCGATGATTTTTATTCAAATTCTCTTGTTTTTCCCGCTAGTTCTCGTTGTCTACTTGGAGTTGGCTGGCTGTACATACTGCATTGATGAGCGCAAAAGATAACACTCAACCAGCTTACAATATTCAAACTCCATACTTTTCTTCACATTCCTCAGACCATCGCATCCTCAGCTTCTAAATCGGAATTCTCCGACCGGCCCATCATCATCGCTGGCACCCTCCATCCCATCCTTTCCTGCCGCTCAACAGCCGACTTCCATCGCCCAATAGGTAACCCGCCGTCTGAACAGTCGGTCGCCACCGCTTCACCAACAGCTTCAACCCGTCTCTACACCAGATTGAACTGGTTAAGCGCCGAGTAAATTTAGCCATTCAATTTCGATTTCCTCCTCAGAGCCTCAGCCCCAAAGGCAAAGCCATCAACATCCATCGAAAATGATCGCCGAGATTTCCCCGCCAAGCTTTTCTCTACCCCGTCGGTCTTTCCAGCGTCTACGCATCATCCAATAATAGGACTCGAAGCGAAGAATTAGTGCGATTGGATGTTGGAAGGCAAGGCAAAAGTGGGCTGGAGATTCTCCCTGGGTGGATCCACGGAGGAAAGGGTGAGAAAATGGCAGTCCCTTCCCCTACGGAGCTTTCTTTCTCCGTTTTTTCCAACAATCAACTCTGCCTCGCACGGATACCACGGGCTCTAGGACGATTCTGGAGGATGGGCGACCGGTGAGAAGGATTTGCTTTTGCTTGTACTGTACGTAGTTCCTTTGCAGTCTTACGGCCTTTGACAAGGGTTGGGTCCACAGATGGTCCCGGGACTCCTTTTGTTAACTACTGTAACTGAGACTTACGACTGATGGGTTGTTAGTTATCTGTGCTACGAATCGGACGATAGTCATGAGGCTGAGACTCGATGGATGATAAATAGGTAGGAGTTGTTCTGCGTTTCAATTCTCCAGTCAGCCCTGGCGGAACCCCTGTGTGATGTATCAGTATCAGTGCTCCGTCTTGAATTTGGTGTTGATTGTTGACCCTTTTGCGGAGGTGCCGACCGGTGAGTAACTACTCTGCATGGAGAACACCGTTACAATATACTGTTCTGAAACTAGCAAGTGGCTAATTGATAAGGCAGGCCCAAGGGATCATTATCGAATCCCATTAGTTAAAAATAAACCCTAAGTAGTAGAAAGCTAACAGAACACCGCGGGCGGCAAATTTTTTTTTTTTTTTTTTCAATCAAAATAGATCTAAAAACAGGCCCAAAAAAACTAGTCGTGCCTTGTGAGGAAAAGAAGAAAAAAATACTAGACCCTAAAAGATAGTTGCGACCGGACCAAGTCCTAAACTAGAGAAGTGAGACATTTCTGAACGGCTTAAGTCGCGGTATGGATAGACCCTTTTTCGCCGCAGTAGCGCAGATGGCACCATGTCGGGCTCGGTTTGTGGATCCCGCAACTACGGCTGGTCAGTCAGAATGGGTCGCGGTGAGGAGGCCGGTCATTGTTGTTGCTCCTATTCTTCGAGAAAGAATGGAAATCACGAAAATGGATAACTAGCCCGGGAAGGTTCTGCAGGGTTTTAAGGGTCGTTGTCTTAGATGCTCTTTGCGATCGAGGGAAACTCCAGCAATTCCCCAATACCTATTAATTGGGATACTCTGTTTTCTTGGGTCATGGCGTGATGGTCCACGTTACCTACCCTCCTAATCCCCGCTTGTCGAAGACCACAGGCAAATTCAACCTCCCCTGCCTCGTCTGGAAATGACGTATGGATACCTAACACCATTTAATCACCGCAACTATCTCTTGCCCCAAATAGGCCCTTCATCGAATTCTTCTTGTTGATTGAAGATGTCTTAATGCTCGGCTTGGCAGAATTTGCAACACGAGATCACAGATACGGAAGAGAATTTTGCAGACGCAAAATCATCACTGGCGAAACTTTTCTCTTCACGGTATGTCAAGAAAAATTGGGTGCTTTGATGACTATTAATTCCATAATACAGGAACTCAATTTTTGAAACGGACCGCAATTCTATCCTTCAATAACACTGTACCGGAAAAAAACAAAAAACAAACAAACAATGAGATACGGAAAAAGCGCACAAGGAACTGCATATTTAACGGGAGCATATCACCATCTCGCCATCTACACTCTGAATCCTATCCACAAAGCCCATTTGTTGCGGCCATGGCCGGGGGATTGGACGGAACGAGCGAAACAAAAAACAAACAGAAAGTTCGAGTGCACGATATCGCGCGCAATGATGGGCTTCTTGAGGCCAAAGTAAAAGAGTTGACGGGTGTAGACGCGACACTGTCTGCAACAAATGCTGAGTTACGTGATTTGGATGCTGTTGATTGGAACATGGCTTGTGCTCTTCTTGTTGAGATACACGGAGGAGAGGGTGCTGTGTACCTTCACGGAGATGTGTTGGACATCGTGATGACAGGTCCAGGTCACGGCACTGGATGGTGGCTCATTACTCTGAAGCACGGCCAGAGTTGTCGTTTTTATGGGCAGCCTTCTGTTCGATATTTCCAACGTCAAGCCTAGATTGCCGGAATTTCCACCGTCATGAGACAAATCTTTATCACCTATAATGACCAAGCCCACTCTATCACTGGCCGAGGCTCCGGGAATTCTGGCATCCTGGAGAGTCGTTTTTGAGGTATTGGCGTCGTTTCGATATTGAAAGCCGAAGTCTTCGCAGATTTCCCGTGATATATTGCTAAGGTTCTGCAGATGTTGCACGTCATCCCACCATTGGTTTAGTAGTGGGACGAGCCCATACTGACGCTTAAAGCCTAGCTGGGTCATTGTTGAAATAAAGCAGCGGAGAACGAAAAGATCTGCGCTTTTCTCGAGGATTGCACTCAAGTTAAGTTGTGCGTTAGCATTATAGAATTACCAGAGCCAATTGATCCAACTTCTGACGCACAACCCCTTCAGTAGCTGAACATTCTTCCACTTCTCGACACACATTGTTCCATCTCATATTTCAAGCAGTCAGCACAACGCCGCTGTCCTTCCCGATTCTAGATACATCTTCTTCCAGATTACTTCCAGGAAAAGTCCTTACTGAAACCGACGTAAATCGGAATTTTCTTCCTCTTCGGCTTCCCGATAGTCAAGAAGCACGACCTCGACTCTCGGGGAGATAATCAGGCATCACCAAAGAATAAGAAAAAGCTTGATGAATTGTAATATACTGTGGGCTGACAGAGGGTTTCTCCTGGAGAGAAGTGGTATTTCATGGGATTAGAGAGTTCCTGAGGCGAAGGACTCCCCGATCCAGAATGACTCTTAGAGTACGGCAAGGGCATTTCGACGGAAGGTTCTAAACCGATTATCCCAGCCATAGTCGATGTTTTGGTTGGTGCCGGAGTGCAGAAGGTCCCAGTTTGAATATCTGGGTAGGGTGTAGAGCAGCTCAAATGCTCAGACGTAGTTGAATAGTACATGGCCTCATGCATGGACTGGTCGTTAGAGTTAAGCGACTTGGACTGACAACTGTTGTGGAATGAAGGTTCTTGTACTGTCAGAGCAACTGGCATGTTTGGGGTCTGGGTCTGCTGAGAAGGTGGTAAACAGGTCGGGCCAGACCACTCGCGTTCTTTCATTCTTTAGTTCCACTAGGTTGCTTGGGCGCAGTGACCCTCGTGTTCCCCTTCTCGAGAGATGTGTTCTTCGACTCCATGTTCCGCTTCTCTTTCCCGAGAGATGCGTTCTTGGACTCTAGTTAGCGATTCTCCTTTTCTAGCTATTGACTGTCGGCGTGCTTTGTGACGTGGGCGTCCCACATGCGCCGTTAGACGGCCACAAGGCGCACTACCTGTGCAGCCAGAACGGGGTCCTTCTCATCCAGCCGCTCCAGCTCTTGAGTCAAAGGCTTGAACAGCTCAAAAGTCGATGCTGCTTTCACGTCTTGAGCAGGAGGATTGGTGGGCTGAGAGACATGTGGTTAGCGGATGGCCTGCATGGCTGGTGTCGGGCAACTCACCTTGAGTGATGGCTGAACTCGTGGCTCTGGGGCTCGGAAATCCTTGTCTTTTCCTCGTTGAGATGACTCGGATCTACGCTTGCGCTTGGGCAGTAATCCTTCATCGAAATCACGAGTAGTTGCCAAGAAGATGATGGAGATATTTCCTGCCTAGAAGAAGTAAATTTCTGCATTGGAACGAGAGGAGTTCTTCTTGGGGCTACATGCAGGCTATGGCCGCGAAAAGCCCGAGGAATGAGATAAACAAATAAGATCCCGGTAATTTCCTACTACCCAAGTATTCCCATCTAAATCCTTCTAGATATGATCGTTAGCACCTCAAGTGCGATACCAATAGCTTTCGGCATTCTGAAATTATGATGCTATCTACCTAGACACTAATTAGTGACAAATTTGTACTTGCCTGACATCAGCTCAGGCCCTCGAATCAGCAACCGCCAAAGTACAAACTTGGTCCATACATGCCCTAACCGCACAGAAGACTATCAAATAATTTTTGACGATATCACTCGCTAGAGCAGACACTCCCCATCAGCACTATCGACGCGGGATTGCACCTTACAAAATGCCTTCTGACCGGTGCCTCCAGCTACCGGCGAAGCACAAGGGATCTTCGTCTTAAGCGAAACCGAGCTCCACTTACATGGGACGCTGATGAGTGCGACTCTCCATTACATAATGTGTTGCATGAGAGATTTCTCGTGCGCTGAAGTACAGGGCAATTCTCTACGTGTTGTGTGGGCGGTTTGAGTTAGTTGAGATCGAGCAGATTAGGTGTTCACTGTCCTCAGTTCACTGCACATACACCAGCTCTAAATAGATAGAGGTCAGTCATCCGAAAGTAAAACCCAGTTTCTGGCAACAGCCTAGTTAAAATCAACCGGGTACTCCGTAACTCGGCAAGCTCAACGTTGGTTGGCATCCCGAACCCCTCCGTCGTCCACCATTTGATCGTGGCGGTGGCTACTAGGGCACCGTCATGGGTAACCGTGGCATCAAGCCAGGTAAGTCGATCCCGGATAACCTTCCCGCCTACTCAGATCCGTCGATGCGAGGACAAGATCAATGGTCGACTGGTATGGGCCTTCTTCCCGGGTAAATGTCCCTCGGGGCAGTAAACTTGTTAAGCCCCAGTCTGCCATGAGGAGCACAATTGGTTCTTGTAAGCTTCTCTGATGAACCTTTCGAGGATGCTGTCTTCTACCTAGGTTCGTCTATGTGTATCGCCATAATGAACATAGACTCACCTTACCGATTCAATCTCGACCTGTTCATCACGCACTGCAATGGTAAACTAAGTGTTGCGCATAGTACTACACCACCAATCCGAAGAACGTCGCCCTCATTTTCCTTCGGGCGATCAACTCTGCGCTGCTCAACCTGCTCAACATGTTCTTTAAAACATTCCATCTTTGTCGTCACAGCTGTCCAAAGGGATTCAAGTCCAGCAAGGTACTCCCTTTCGTTCATGAGTTGTTGCACATTTTAACAGGGGCCATAAACAAAAGGACTGGTAAGTAAATTGGACGGCACAGCTTCGATCTCGAGGCTGTTTCAACGGTACCGTATATTACAGAGGGTTTTTGAATACTATGGTTATCACGTTGTATGTGGCGGTGCGTATATTACGATGATAATATACGAGCGGTATGAGTGTCATCAAGGATTTGAATATAAGCTTCTGCCTCATACATACATCCTTAAAATGCTTTTCGCTCGACAAAAAGTGCGAGCTGGGAGTACTGGGTATTCGTGCTAACAATCAGGTCATAAATTTACACTAACACAGGGCTCTTTCCAGACAAAACAAAGTAATCTCAGCTTGATCAGAGGCAAACAATGTCTTAAGAATCTGGCAATTATGTTGAAAAAAGGGTCCGATCCATTTTCAGGTGAAGACGGCGCAAAACAAGATTGAGATTATTAAAAAGTCTTACTTGTGAGTGCATTTGCCTCTAGCGTAGGCTGGAGTGGTCCTGGAGAGGCATCTTGGCCTTACATTGGAAGGGCCTGGGGGCAACTCCGCTCGGCAGGACCACAGCGATCTCTATCTGGCATGTATACCAGCCATCCTTCGTCGACCAAGATGTACTTAATAAACTGCGAGTAAGGTCAGAACGTAGTAAAGTACCATTGTGGAACAATTTTTAACAAACCCAATCTAGTTCTTTAGTAGTAGCCGCGGGAATCTGAACCTGGTCTAGGGCTCGGCACGAATAACGAATATATTCGTATTCGTTACGTATATTCGCAATTCGCATTCGCAGCCATTTTGCTCTACGAATGCGAATGCGAATGATTCTTATATTCGCCGCAAATATTCGTAATTTTGGTCACGTAGTAAGGACGAGATTTCACTCTATATTTTGTGCATCGCGAAAAATAATCCGTAGAGGCATATATTATTAGACCCCGTTAGGTCAGAGCTGCAGCTTGTTGGGAAATACAAGCAAGACGCTCTACAAATTTTCAATTAGTATTCTCTAAACTATATACATCCCTCAACAGTATCACCTTCCGCATTGTCTCACCTTTTATAGAATGCTAACGTACCCCTAACAGATCCCTACCACAGCTAAACAATCGTTCTACTACGACTTCAGCTGCCGGGATAGCAAGATAATTCCTGGCTGCAGCTGCTATCCGCGGATATTCATCATTGTGCGTCCTCCACTAGGCAAATAACCAATTTTCATTTTTTGTTATAGATTTATCAACCGTTACCACAACTTCCTCGAAGTAGCGGTCAATATCTGAACGTTAAATCACTTTTAGTTGCAGTTTTTGCAGGACACGAGCCTCTAGGCTTTGCCGCTTGTTATCCTGATTAAGTTTAGATATTGATTGCTCCAGTGACAGTTTTGATAGAAATTGCTTATGCAAAGTATCCTTAATAGATTAAATCACTTTTGGTGCTGTCACTGGCCCAAGCTCCTTATCCAAAAAGAGGGGTTTAAAAACGTGGATCAAGGACAAAAGCTATATAATAAACATCTTGGGCGTCCATCAGTTCACAATATTTCTTGTATTTCTTTATTCCCGCGGAGATAGCAGACATAATTTCAGAGTTAAGCCCGAAAAAGTTACCTTGTGCAGAAGCAGTATCTTCGAGCATATCGTTCAATTCGTAATAGATAGAAATAGCTAGACTGATCTGAGATTATCGCCGGGAAACCAGTTGAGTGAACTCATCGAACTTAGAGAGGATCATTTTGAGCTGTTATAACTGCAACCAATTATCAGCTGAAAAGGGCAGAAACTGGTTCTGATACTCTATCCATTTCCGGATCTGTATTTTGGCTTGCAAGGCTCCCTGAACCATACGGTATGTAGAGTTCTAGCGAGTTTTCACATCGTATTAGATAAACTTATTATTCAAGCTATTTGCTTGGCAAGTCACTTTCCATTGCCGTCGTCGTTAAGGTATTCTTAAGATCCAGAGAACTGTAATTCGAATCTGGGCTAAAACGGACTGTCGTTCGATTTTCTTATTTCCCTGCAAGAGATCACAAGCTTCAATAGCAGATTTGTGATCTCCACATTTTATCCCTGAGAGGATGTCGCGGACAATACCTTAGATTCGGAGATATCCTTTACCAGGCACCTTAGAATCCTCCGAATTGTGCTCTCCCAAGAGGTTAAAATTAGGGCTGCACACGAATAATGACTTTACGAATACGAATAAACCAGTCCTCGCTCCTTAGGTAATATTCGTACGAATAAAATGTGCCTTATTCGTAAATTATTCGTAAAAATCACGTATTACTAGTTCTCGGCAATATATATATCTCGCAACAATATTAACCGCCGCATGATCTCCCCGTTCAGACTGTTTCTCCTGATACCCAGTAAATCTCGCCCCTTGTTGAAAAGTCTCTCCACTGACACTGCAGATACAGGAATAGCTAGGAAATCTCGCGCAGCAGCAGCGAGCCGGGGATATTCGTTAGAGTGAGCGTTCCATTACGATAAAAGCCAATTCCTGCTCTGTAAGACTGTTGTATCTATCGCCACAATATCATCCTCAAAGTATCGGTTAATGTCAGATAAATATCTCTTTTTAGGTTATAATCTTTGGAGTACACGAGCCTCTATACTCCTTTTCACTGTCGGTTGTTCCACAGAGAGCATTATCGACGAGTCTGTCAGTAAGGGATATTACTCATGCAAGAGTTCTTTAATATACGCGATAACATTAGGAGTTCTAACTTTCCCTAGGTCTGTATCCAGCAAGAGCGTTTTAAATCGCAGATCAAGTACTAGTGCAACGTAATAGGTATCTTGTCCATCCATAAGGTCGTAGTATTTCTGGAACTTTTTTAGTCCTGCAGCCGCAGCTACAGATATCTCTAGATAAAGATCCGAAAATTCTCTTTCCCTAGATGCAGTATCATATAATAGATCGTATAACTTATAGTAGATAGGAATTGCTAAGGTAATCTATAGTTCACGTTTAGAAACTGTAAGGGTAAATTCCTCGAATCTCGCTAGAAAACTTTCGATCTGTTGAAGACGAGCCCAATCCTCAGTAGTGAAAGGCGGAAAATATGGCTGATATTCAGTCCATTTTTTGATCTGTTGTTTGGCGTTAATTGTATCTCGAAACATTCGATATATTGAATTCTAACGTGTTTCCACGTTATATTCAATAAATTTATCTTTCAGTCTATTGTTTCAGTAGATAATCTTTCACTGCTGCTTCCGCTGTAGAGTCTGTGCGACCTAAAGTGCTATAATTCGAAGTCGAGCTAACGCGGACTAGACTCCAATATCTTTGTTTTCTTGTATAAGATTGCAAGTTTTAGTCGCTGATATATGATCCCCTGTTTTTAATGTAGAAAGTATATCACTAACAATCAGATTGAGTATATGAGCTGTACAGCGGATATATCTATCTGTTCCGCGGAAACGTAAGAGATTTTTATTACGCTCGTTAAGATTGAGATACAATTCCGACAGTAAACGTTTATTGTTCGTAACATTGTCTGCAGTAATAGCAAAAATCTTATTTTCAAGTTAAAGTTCTATCAGAAAGGCCAAGATAATTTCTGCTATATTCTTTCCGCTGTAAACGCTATAGATTTCAGTAAATTCAAGAACCCGTTCTTGATATTGGAAATCTGCCGTTAACCAATGGCCGATGACTCTTAGCATAGCCTTTAAATTCTTGCTAGTCCAGGCATCTAATGAGAGAGAGATCGTTTGATACATTTATTTTAATTCTTCGATCAACCGCTCACGCCAAATATCAAATTCAGAATCGATTCGACGAGCCATTGTAATACGAGACGTGAAAGGGAGCGAAATATTCAAGTCTTAAAAAATTTGTTAAAATAAAGGCAATTCTATAGCGCTAAATGCTATATCATCTGTAACTATTCACTGGACTAGATTTTGCTCTAGCGTTTTTGCTCTCTTTTCTTCCGCGCGTTTCTGAAAGAAGCTAATAATATATAGCTGTTGAATACTGCTTCGGCCTTCATCTAAACTGCTATCTGAGCCAGCTAAAATGTTGCCATGTTTCGAGAGATAAAACATTATGTTCGAGGTTAATATCGCTCGTACAGAATCAGTCATTTTTTAATTGTATCGTTTGCAGCGTATTTCCCGATCTTTAATTGACTCTTTGCCCCTTTTTGGATGCCATATCTTTCCTGGGAGCGGAAAGGAATCGAATTGCGCCTAGAGAGACTGATTCTGCGGCCTTCTTCGAGCAGAAAGGCCCGGTTCAAAAAAGATACTAACTGTATCAGGTAAACAATTATCAGTTTGTTCGTTTTGTTGGTAGGTAACTGAAAGCGGACTTCGAGCCGGGATTAATTGGCTTGCAGAGTTATCTGGGGCAATAGGTTCAACGCTACTGCGGATTTTCTTCGAAGGTATTTCGATGATGCGGTCTTCTAGAGGAACCTCTTCATCGATACCATCATTAAGAGCAAGGTAATTGACTCTTTGAGCTCGATGCGGCCGTTTGAGTTGAGACCCTATGGAATTATCCATATCGTACGGCTCAAGGTTTGCTCTTTTGAGAAAACGCGCCTGAATTGAATCACATTTTCTGTGGGAAACGATAGATAGGGACGGTCAAGTAGTTTAGACTAGTTTAAAATGCGTTTGGAAGTAGCAGGTCGTCGTCAAGATGGCTAGATTGGGTCATAGCACCTGCAGAGTGCTTATGAAATAGAAGCCCCTCTCATAAAACCTCAAAAAACAAGACAGTCACATAGGTGCGATATAGACGCTATTCGGGGTAGACGCAATATCAGGCGGTATTTGTAAATAGATGTCCTGCTTCCATTGAAGTGCTGTCTTTATGTTAGTCTGTTGGGGCAGTGGAGAGACTCGAGATCTCTAGGCCCAAATGGCATTAAGTGGAGAGATCCTACAATAGTGGAACATAGGCTCACAACTCCTTATGGAGACTTCAACTTCTGATTCTTACCTGCCCTTAAAATGGCCATGGAATCCGTTCTGAGTCCAAGAGCTTGTTCCGTCATTTAGTTCTATGGTCGGATCCATCGACAGAGTCGGACTCACGGCCTGCAGGGGCAACCATAGGACAACAAGGCTCACTATCGTCACGTATATCCACAGTGAGACCGGCACTTCTTAGGTGTTCGAGCCCAGCTTCAAGCTGCCGGGTATACGAAGGGCTATCGTATGTTCTCTCTGGAGCACCTGGAAATCATATGGACCAACAATCCTAAAGCGTGACATCACATCAACTATTTCAACCAAGCATCTACCGGGATTGCATTGACAGCTGGTATAATTGACATCAAATCTTATATATTGACGTAATCAATACAATGAAACATGCATTAGAGGTCATTGAGCTTGCTTTCATAGCTAAGGGGCTCCGCGAGTTGCAGATTCCTACCGAAGAGTCCACCCTCAGACTCCATCCTCATGAAGCTCAGGTTCGACTCCTTGATCGCTGTTGATCTCTGCACATGGGCTTGGTTTCGATATGCCCTACTTCAGCCTCCCCATTGTTCTTCAATTGCCCAGCTAATCGAGAAGGCTAGTGAGTGACTGCTGAAGAAGCTCGATCTCAACTAAAACCTGCCACTCTCGGAATCTGATACAAGTCCTATCAATCCTGAAACCATACCACCAAGAAGATCTCAAATTTTAAGCAACTGTTTATTGAATGATCCCTCTGGCTTTGCAGAATCCACTGACCCTGGGTGTCTTGGATCGGACACCCCACCACCATCCACTAAAGACCATCTCGAATCTATTCCAGTCAGTATTTTTGAGGGCTATCTTCGGCGAGCTTCCAGTACCGACTTCGAGAAGTCTGGGGGACGTCCATTTGTCCAGGGGCGCTACTTGTTTTTTAAAGATTTCACGGAAGACAAGATAACGCATAAATTTACTATGCTGTTCAACCTTGTTCAAGCACCTCGACTAGAAGACTGTCCAACATCGATTAGCCAACTAGCGATGAGACACAAGGCATTGCAAACATGCTTCATACCGGGAAATAACAGGTCCAGCGATCCATGCCAGGCCATTGAGTCAATTCAACGATTCCAGCTAGAAGTCGTGCACATTGATGATGCCATGTCGGTGAGACACGGCTAGTTATGTGCATGTTCGTCATGTTAACGATCTTGCTCATGAGGGCGTCGCTCATGCCCACCTTTTTCTGGCCCTAATAATCCCCAAAACCTCGTTATCAGATATCATCACATCTATCTGGATGTCGATAGCTTCCTTATTGTTCCGAAGCAACTTGAGATGGCACACCAGCCCCGACAAAAACCCGCCAATCCGTGCAGCGCTGGCTGTCTCCCTCACTGACTGTCCAGGTCAGGCCCATCTGTCAGAGGAACCGAACGAGGCCGTTTAGCTTTTGCATGGCCGTGTTGTGGGTATGTTTTGCTCACGGTACGGACACGGGTGGCCTGAGCACGGTGTGCTTCATAATGAGTTCTTTACCCATCCGGCTCAGTATTTACCATTTTTTCGCAGTCCTTCCCGCGCGTTCTGGACCTCGTAGATAGAAAGACTCGGATAGCAAATGCCTATTCACAAGTTCATGTGACGTGATGCTCATTGAATTGAGCATGCCTCGATCAACAGCCCATACACAGCCTGATATTCCATGTCCTAATGGATTGACAAGCATAAACAACCTATAGATATATGTTTGATGGCATCAAGGCAACGCGACAGGATTGGGTACTCGGCAAATCTCCCTTTGACCGCGCATTGCTGATTGAGGGCTGTGAAGATAAATCCATTGCATTTGAGTCCCGTTCCCAGAAAGCGTTATTCTCCCATCGGGGAGCGAAACCACTGATAAAAAATTTTTTGGAGCTGGCTCATGCGTTTGTCTCTGAGGATGAAATCACTGTCATTAGTCCCTTTGTATTTCATACTGGAGGTTCACTCATGGAATGATCTTGGACGAGCATTGCGGAGCTAAATGGTCGTTCGGGGACAGATACGCAGCACCATGACGCTGGTTCGTCTCGCACAGCACCGTCGCGTCTCAATCTATTTGCTCTTCAACGACGAACTGACAACAAGCTCTAGAGGTGGAACGCGCACATCCGATGAAAATGGATGCCGGACTTTCCAAATGGGCCACTGAGTGCCTTCTGACCAATGCTACGGATCAGCTTGGGGTGTTGCATCAATCGCCCTGTCGAGGCCGGGCGCATCAGGCCCCCAACCCTAGAGCTCATGAAAGAGTTCTAGGACCTCATCTTGGAGTTTCAAAGCGTCCTTACAAACGGATATGTGAGGGAGAGCCTTGCCCTGATGTCGGTGGATGGTATTTGAAATGCAATAGTGGCAGCAAGGACTTCGCTTTAATTCAGTAACTGTCGCAATAACTACGGGCGGAGGTTGATAATAAATTCAATACGAACAGCCGGGATCAAGTTCGACGATCCAGGAACAAGTTACTGAAGTGGGTGTAGGCATTGAAGATGTGGCAAGCCTGCCTGCGGCCTTATATCAGGGTTCACGCGCATTCCCGCGACGCAGTGGATCGCTCGAGCCTAGAAGAAAGGGGAATTGACATGATATGATGGATTGCTCGACAAGACGCTGAATCGCATGATGAAGGAATAGGCGTGCTTCGCTCCTCGACTCGACGATGAGAACGCACTACTCGCAGAGGCAAAAAAAAAAAAAAAAACAAAAAAAGATATTGCGTTTTTGGTCTGTTGGATTGTAAATGATATTATGTAAATCACGTCATTTCTTTAGTCAAGACATTGATTAGCTAGTCCAAACTCAACATCAAGAACCGGTTTATCAACATCGCTAAGCAACTAGGACGAACTACTCCCAAGGTGCTAGTTTGATCATGAGGCTGGAGATCAGGGCAGCGATGCGAAATCCAGGATTTCAGGCTTTTAGCTCAGAGACAACGCACAAACGTGCCCACTTAGTTACTCAATCTGTTTCCGATAGTTTTGCGGGGCCTAAAAATAGAGCGATTTAGAGTCAAGGGAGATAGGAAAAACCAAACAGCCGAAGGATCTACTATCTGTTCGAGAAATTTCTAGCCTAGGCTGGATGAAAAATGTAATGCTAAAATTAATTGAATTGATGAGATGGTCGGCCCGAGAAGTACGGATACCAAAACTATGGGCATTCTCGCCTGTATCGCTACTATAGTTTGCTTCTAGGACCAAGAGGTACCAAGTATATGGGATGTGAAAAATGTGTAAATATTCTGAAACGCTTGAGTATGAGCAAAAAATAAGAGAGTCCGCTAAATCGCACAAAAGTTATATACAAGTTCGTTGTAACGTCCTATCATAATCCGTAAGTCCAAACACCAATTCCACCCAATTCCCGTTCTGTTCACCAATATATCTGTCTATAAATCTAGCCACAGATTCTATCCCAACGTATAAAACAAGAAGTATAAAATGTAGAAGAGCGAGGCCGACCGAATCAAACTAGTCAGCCTACCATTGGCTGTATCGCAGGCGAAGGCGAACACAATCGACGACCGAGTCCCAGCCGCACAGCATACCTGCGCGATACGGAAGAGAACGAAGGGACTTTGCTGAGTGTGGTAGTCGAGCTGGACGATTTGCTGCTGCTGTTGGACGATACACGAGCCAGCTCGGGTTTCGAGCGACTTTTCTCAGAGGCACGCTCGGGCGATCGTCGTCGAACCATCGACTTCACGGCATTGGCAATCTGGTCGCGGATGATCGTCACAGGGGCAGTTTCGGCGCCAGGATCGAACTCCTCCTCACTGTCACTATCGTCGATGTGCAGCGCCGCAATCGCCTTCTTCATGTCTTTTTGGGCGATCTCGACGGATCGACGGAGCACTCGATCGTGGGCCAAGCAGCGTCGGAGATCGGGGCTGCGGGCGGAGGTTTCATGTTGGAGTTTATCACGGGATAGAATGACCATGCGGCATGATAGAGGCGAAGAGGAGCGATGCGCGAGAGGAGGAAGGCGAGAGTTGGGGCGAGAGGATTGACGCATCATCTTGGCGGCAGGGCCGGAGAAGGAGGTCTCAGAAGACCTGGACATGGTGGTAGGGTCGAGTGTGTAGAGGGAACGTTTATTTTTGCTTTGAGGATGGGACAATGGAATGCAATGCAAGAAAGACTTTGTAGTTTGAGTTGATCCAGGTAGTAATTGGAATTCTATTGCCCTGAAGAACAGGGGTAGAAAGCATGCGCTTTTAAAAGATCCTGACATGGACAAAGCTTCCTGCGATGACTCCCACCTGCGCCGGTCTAGATCCCAAGTTTTCCTTGCTAACGATTCCTGAGACCCACTCGGACCGAAACCAAAGAAGAGTCCAGACTTTTCGCCACGAACGGCTGCTCGGCCCCGATAAAGAAACGTGGAAGAGCTTCTCCTCTGGCTGGCCGTGGCGTCGGTCTAGACACAACGGAGGGAAATCCCCCGGACTCACCGTCAGTGGCAAGGAGATAACTGCAGAAAAAGTTAGAGTTGTGGTGTCATCGACTGCGAACCGTTCACGCGGGTGGTTCGTGCATGCTCCGACCCGATATTTTCATTGGATGATAGCTGAATCATGATTGCAATCTGACGGAATGACCGTTCATATCGTGTTATCATCTCTTTGTTGTTGTTTTTGTTCCTATCTTCCCTGGCTGATTCTCGGCACCGAAAATCGAATCGAGTCCTATCACGCCTTGATCTCACTCTGATCTCACAGGAGTCTTCAGGACAAGTTCACTCCTCCCCATTAATCGCCTTGGCTGCCTGATGGTTAGTGGCTTGTCCCAGAACCGTGGGCCCGGTAACTCTCGGCGAGGCTCTACAGCGTAAGCCGTATACCCTCAATCGCGGCACGTGTTGGGGGAAGCCCTACTCGAAGGCCGACGACTGGATCTAACTAACCTCTTGGCCAATGTTTATATATTTATTTATTTATTATTATCACACTGGTAGACTCTTTGTGTCGAGCTCGAACCACCGCACAAACCTTGATTATTCTACCCACCAATTATCATGATCGAGTAACCAGTGGTTCTGTAGGCAACTCCGAGAAGTCTACTGTGAAGACCGTCGAGTGGACGTGCACAAGCACAACCGCGTCTTCCGAGTGGAATTGGCACGGAGGACCCACCACTTGCGAATCGACTCCTCCCGAGCGGTTCCTACGACACTGCCGTGTGGAACGACGTGTGTCGTCGCTTTTCCGGCGCTCGTTATTGGCAGTTGGATGGGATCTTCGGATCGTTCCCACAGCCCTACATGGACAGAGTCTAGATCGTCAACCTTTGCTATCACACAATACTAGCGGAGGATACTGATGGGAATCTAAATTGGCTCTAGTATTAGATATTATGATGTGATCTATAGAAAATACGCTTGAAGTCTTATCCCTGTATTCTTTTTGACACCTAAATTTCGCCCGATAGATCCCTTCGCTCATCATCTCGTCATGAATTATGCCAGATTGAAGAACGCCATCCCAAGCACCGCCGCCTGGAGCAGTCCCCCCACAGCTACCCGCGTCGACGACGAATCCTTATCGTCACCGGAGGACGATGAGTGTTTCGCGGCCAGTTCTCCAGTTGAGGTAGCGTTGCCAACCCACGCGTTCCAGTTCGTCATGTTGTTCTCGCACTTGTCTGTAATGCTTTTTCCCTTCATCTGCGCCAGAAACTGTTTGTCCCTTGACAGCGTCACCACAACGTCACCCAATTCTTTATCAGTGTCGATACTTCCGTGATAGATCCCCTTGTTCCCATCTGGCTTATCAGCCCACGTCGCCGTCTTGTTTTTGCCACCAATGCTGACCGTAATATCGGCCGGCGACTCCAACAGCGCCGAGTAAAAGATCTTATCCTGTAGGACCTCCCCAGGCTTGTATATCTTCTGCGCCTGGGTTTCCGTGTTCCCCGTCGTCTTGCCATCAGAGCACGCCCCCGACGGATTCAGGCGATACCACGAAACGATGCCCTCGTCCTGGATCTTGGCGTCTCGCCCGGGATTCTTATATTGTTCGATCACGTACGGCAGGAAGGCCCGCCACCCGTCATGCGGCATGCCCTTGGCATAGTCGAACGGCGCCTCGGCATCATCGAAGACATTCAGACTTCGCTCATGGATCGGCCCGATGTAATGAGACTCGCCGTAGTCATTCCACGAGATGATCTCCACGTACTCCGGGTCAACCTCCAGCACGTCTTGCCACCGTTTATACCAGACGTCATCGCCCCGCCACACCCAGTTCTTATCGTAGCGTTTCATATTGGTGTAGAACCACGGCGACACAGGCATGATGTACGGCTTGCCATTCAACGCGTCCATATATTTCTTATCCTGCGTAGTGTTGCTATTGTGTGTGCCCTCGGGCCAGGCGCTCCAGCTCATCAGGCCGTCGACTGCAGCCCGCCCCATTGCGACACCAGGTTGGAGGGACGACCAGTCCGGGATAAAGACGCAGTCGACCTTGCGTTTGATGCCCTGCCAGTCGTTGGCGGCTTGGGCGCCTTCGAACGTCGTGACGAGCGGCTTATCATCGCGGTGTAGGTAGTAGGCGGTCTTGTTGGTGTAGGTCTTCAAGACGTTGACGACTTGGTCTGACGGCCAGTGGCCGGCGCCGGAGTAGTCAAGGGAGAGAAACAGTTTGAAGTCGACCTCGTCGGCAATTGAGAATGCGTCGTCGAGGAGCTGTTTGGTGTTGGCAAGCCAGCCCGTGTTCAGAGCGAAGGCGTCTAGGTGGGCTGCTTTGGCGGCGGTGATGTCTTGTCGCCAGTCATCTTTTGTGTAGTTGTCGCTGTTTCCTAGCTAGTGGTCTATGAGCCTTGTGCCATAAATGAGGGAAGTCAGATCAAAGATTGGACTTACCATGAAATGGGCAAAGACACCCTTGGCCTGCGCGTGGCAGACACATGCCAATAAGGCCAGCAAGGAGAACAATAGCATCCTGTTACGTCCGGCTGGGAGGATTGGGAACAAGCAAGTTTCACAATAATCCTCAAAACAGGGAACCGAACCAGCGGGCTGCCAAAATAATATACGATTCCGTTCTCAGAAAGGAACATGCCATTCATTTTCCGAATCCATAAAGATAACACTGAATCATCCCTCGGGAATATGATCTGTTCTCGACTCCATACGGAACACGCCATAACCGAACGATATACAAAAGAGGGCAGTAGATTTGAATTTAAATTTGCGTTTATTTCCCCTCCGGGACATTTAAATGCCCGGCGTTCAATATTCTGCGAGGATGCTCGTAGCGGTCAACCGCCGAGCCCACAAACTCCTATAGTTCACTCTAGGCATCAATAGAATCCTATTGTGTCATTCTTGTTGGCACGACGTGTTGCACAAGTCAGTCCCTCCTCACATTTCAGGCATATTTGCCCAGTAACGCCGTTTTCTAGGCGCATCCGCCTCGACAAGGAGTTCGTTGGTCACAGAACTTATGTACCGCATTGACCAGCCAATTCAGGCTCAATGCGGAGCGCACAGCACTGACAGTTCTCTGCGTGGCGTGCATTATTGAAAGCTCAGAGTTGCAGCTACTGCATCGCGAAGAGAAATTATTGTTGTTGATCCTGCTGTCACACGGGAGGATTGGATAGATCAGATGCGAACGGGTCTTCGACGCATGCGCAGCTTTCGGGATCCAGTCATGGGATTGCCTATTTCTCGCGGACCTCGCATGAACCAGGCAATAGCGTTTATCTCATAATCATACAGTGTGGGCTCTTTTTGCGAGAACGTATATATGCATGCATCATTAACGTATAACCGTGCGTGCGGTCATTGGTAAAGTTCCCGTTGGGGGGTGGTCGGCTCTGGCTTCCGTGAATATGAACCCATGGAGTCTGAAGGCGCTGGACTATTTTGGGAATGAATAGAAATAACAATAATGGCCCAGCATCCCGGCGGATGCTTTACATTTGTCTACTGACGAACTTCTTGGAAGTTTCTCGGCGAGCGCTACGCCCACGACTACATCCCGACAGGGATCAACAAAGCGCTTTGACATGAACACCCCGAAAAAGTGCATCCAGGCAGTGGAGAAAAATGCTTCCCACCTAGCATGAGTACTACGCACGGAGGAAACTAGACATACGCGACTTACCGACATTTGCCGAGATGATCGTCTAGGTTCGCACTATGACCAATGGACGCGGGAAAATAGAGTGCGTAAGGGAGGAGCAGTGGAGACGGGTATACATCGACTGTGCATACGACACCTGCGTCAGGCTAGTTCAACAAAGGCTCACACGAGATAATTGTCATTCATTCTTCGTACATGCCTGACTACAGGCCTGCTAAACCTAGACAGCGCAATCAATGCATTTACAGAGAAATCACTAACTTTCTGACTAACAGACGGGATGAGATTTTCCGGTCTTCCCTTGCAGCGAATGTTGCTCGTTTGCATAGACCTTGCTATGTGGCATCTTGGCTCCGTGCATCTGGATGTATCTGCGTTTTTTAGTTTCCACTGATACACGAATTAGAAGGCAACAACTTACTTGCTAATCCGATCGATCATTGACTCATCCATCTCGTCCAATCCCTTGATGGCCATTTTGAAATCCTTAATCAACAGGTTACATCGGTGGAGGCTGAAATCCTCGCGCAGGACGATCCGCATCATCTTGAGCTGGTTGCTGTGTGGTGCCATAGTATATGCTGGGATGACCCATCCTCTCCGACGAAGCGAATGAGCTAGGGCAAACTCGTCGTACAGTCGGTTCTCATCTTCGGGAAATCGGAATGCAACAAGTGGAAGCCCTCGGCCCCCTTTTTCGCTCATGATGACGAAGCCGAGTTTCTCGAGTTCGTCAGCTAGATAGTCGGCTGTCCGCGTCAGATTCGACATGATGGATTTATATCCGTGCCGGCCCAGCCGCAGCAGCTGATAGTATTGTCCGATGATGTGCGAGGCTCCCTTGGAGAAGTTCAAGGTGAAGCTGGCTTGGTCAGATCCGAGGTAGTTGATGTTGAAAATCAACTCTTTGGGAAGATATTCAGGCCCTCGCCAGAATACCCAGCCCACGCCGGGATACACCTGTTGAGTCCGTCAGACAAAGCAAAGGCAGGGCGTCAGACGTCATACCAGCCCATATTTATGCCCGGACACATTGATCGAAACCACCTTTTCCAACTGAAAATCCCAAATCATGGATGGATTGATGAACGGCGCCACAAATCCACCACTCGCCGCATCCACGTGGATTGGACAGTCGATGTTTCGCTCCGTTAATAGATCATTAATGGCCTTGACATCCTCATACTGGCCCGTATACGTCGTGCCGACGATTGCACAAATTCCGACGGTATTCTCATCGACCAAATCCACCGCTGTCTGCGGATCAATTACGTATCTAGTATCCGTACAGTAGACATATTTTTCCTCGACGTCGAAATATCTTGCTGCCTTCTCCCAACAAACCTGGACTGCGCTATTCATAACAATATTCGGCCTTGTCCAATCTTTTCCCTCTGCTTTGCGTCGGTTCTGCCATCGTTTCTTCATAGCCAACATTCCCAGCATGATGGCCTCGGATGATCCGACCGTTGATGTACCGAGCGAGTCCAGATCACTTTCTTCGTCATTATTAGTGGGTGCATGTAGCAGTCCAGCGATCATGTTCACGCAGCGGTTCTGGATATGCGCAGTCTGGGGATATTGTTCATAATCAATGAAGTTTTTACTCATGGCGTCGGTCATCAGGTCTTCGACTTCGTCTTCCTATTCGATGTCTTCGGATTAGCATGCTTCGATCTCGGATCTTCAAGGTAAGCGCAGTATACCATATAGGTAGTGACAAAACTAGCTAGACTGCTACAGTCAATATCCTAGCTTTTTCCGAAATGAGGACAAAATGAATGCCTACTTGAGCAGTGGGTTCCCATCCAGACTCAACTCATCCTGAATCATGCGTTTCACCACAGCAGCTGGCATCTCTTGCTCTGCAAGCTCATGCTCAGGCAGCTCCTCTGCGGCATAATGCGTCGCGTAGACGTACGGAGCGGCCGAGCTGTCACCGGACTCCTGGGCATCCTGACGTCGGACTTGTTTGCCTTTTCTGACTCTTGATAGATGGACCATTTTGGTTTACAGTGAATGGTTTGCTTGAAGTACTAGATGATTTGGTTCATGAAGGGGAATCAGGACATCTAGCGACTGTTTCGCAGGTAGGTGGGACAATGACGTGCGCCATTGACCTGTGCTACCGGTGACGTTGACGGGATGACTTCATCACTCTCGTATTCGACCAACGGATCTGGACTCGTCACAATTAGAAAGGACGGCCAGAATCGCTGTTCCCAATAATAAGCCAAGGAATCTAGAGTGCCCAGAAGATATTATTGTCCGCCACATTTGAGTCTTGGAGTGCTTGCTTGGCCTGAGCTCGGATAGAACATAGAGGCTATCGCCATTTTTCGTCTCAACGCTCTATTTTTATTTCTTGAGATTTATGTGCATACTGCCATTACCAAGAATATGTTCGCTTCATATTTAGTTCTAGCCTTTATTCGCCTATTTATATGACTCCCCATTTAATTAGTTCTGATGAGATGAGCTCTCTTGCCCTAAAACCACTTACCCCCATGCCCCCATGACGGCACACAATATACATTAGCAAATGCGGGTACCCTAAAAGACGGTGTGATCGCCAGTTTGGGGTCGTGTCCACAGGTGTTCGACACCTGAGACATCTTCCTGCATGACTGCTGCATCCTGCACGCGGTGCACGAGCTTATAGGAAGTATTGGAGGGGACCGAGTTGGCGGTGACGGTTTTCTGCTGACAGTTCCCTTCCATTTTCTTCTACGTTTTGTGCAAGATTTTTTCCGGTCAAATTGATTCTATGCCAATATTCCCTGCGCGATGTGAAGACCTGTCGCATGCAATAGGAGTGGATGGGGTTGTTCCACTTCAGTTGGCTATACTGATGGGATTGTGTTTTTATGCTTGGCTAGACATCGCTGGATTTAGATTTGGGTCAATATACATAGGTCATCAGTCGCTGAATCATGTTCTCGCAACATGTGTAAACAAGAAACATATTAACGTATTTCACGGGTGATCCGGCCACCCCACTGAATTCCGATACGCTCGATTAAATTGAATCTATTCCCAACAACCCAATTCAACGAATTAGAAAATAATTCAATTATCTCTAGATACAGGACATCTAGTTCTAGTATGATCTGGAGTATTGCAATTAGAACACGTCAGTGGACGCCTTCTTGGCGTGGAGGAAGCTTCCGGAGCAGTATTGCTGAGAGAGGGGTCTCTATTATTCAACTGCTCATTTCTCAATGTAATTGAACCATTTGCTTCCTGCATTGTAGCACCTTCATTAGGTAACATTTGACGTCTAGATCGCTTCTTTTTAAGCTGCTGACGAGCAACTTCCTGGCGTAGAAGGCGGTTTTCTTGAGCCGTAAAATGCATGTTGTACAGGGACACCTCAAAGCCCTTTTCTAACTGCTCTAGACGTGCGATTGATACCTCAAGCACACTAATATCTAGATTTCGCATGTTACTGCGAAGCGTAGAGGTCTTCCGACGCAGCTGACGAATCGTGCGAAGTGTAGTAAACGAGGAAGCAGTAGAAGATCGAGTCCCCGTAGGGGGGGGGGGTCCGGGGTCAAAACTCTCGTATTAAGCTTGTCAAGCACGCGCTGAGGATCAAAAGAGACTATTCCTGTTGCTATAAAGCCATTCTGAATATTCTGAGGAGATAGACCGGCTCACTGGGCCGCAGGAAAAGCCTCTAAGAAGTCGAATTTGTCGATATAGTATTTGCCGAGGCGAGATCTATCTTTAACAGATTTCCCGTATTCCTTTTTTAAAGGTCCAAAGCAGCCAACATCCAGGGGTTGCAAGAGATGAGATGAATGAGGAGGCATACATATAGGAATAATATTATTCTCCTTGCAGATTGCATCAAATTCAGGTGTCAAATGACTTCCGTGGCCGTCTAGAACCAGCAATCGATATCGGCCAACTGTACGCCCAGTTGTAGCAGGAATAAAGGTCTTTTGAAGCTATCTCAAGCCTATTTCATCGGTTGTCCATCCGTTTGATAATAATTTAATACGCCAATCCTTTGGAAGGCTAGCGCTATACCATCCTTCGATTGGTACCTTGCCTTTAAAGATAATAGTAGTCGGTAATGCGAATCCCCTAGCGTTGACACATTCAATCGTTATTACCCATTCTCGATTTCCTGGCTGAATAAGCCATGGCTTTCCAGGCATTTCGTACCTAGTAACAACTTTAGCAGTTGCTACTAATCCTATAGCAAATCCCGTTTCATTAAAGTTGTAGATATCTTCAGTCAGGATCCCGTTGTCCGTACAGATCTTCTGCAGTTGGCTAAAGAACTCCCCAATAATCTTAGGATCTTCACATAAAGCGCGGGAATAATTATAGCTTCTGAAAAACCTAGACTTGAGCTCTGGGCGCCTCTTGATAAAGTTGGTTACCCAGTTTGACCCGATGGGTTTGGGGGGGGTATTGGACGCAGTTTGGAGGATCAAATTCGCCATTTCTCGTACGTGATTATGCCTAGGGGGGCAGCCACGCGTATCCCTAGATACTATCCATTCCACTAAATGATCCTCCTGAGTTTGAGATAGCCGGAGGTTGTAGTTGCGTTGTTCTTGTTGAAATTCGCTACCCTTTAATCTGTCTTGCAATGTACCACCCGGTATATCGAAAGCTTTCGCCACTGCACGTATAGAAGGAATTTCGCAATTTTTAAAAGCTTGAATTGCAAGTTGGATCCTACCTTCTTGTTCCATTCTTTTAGAACGTAACCCGCTTTTTTTTCGTGGCATGGTGGTTGAGCAAAATAGACGCGTTGGTTGAAGTGGAGAGATTTAGGGGGGGTGGCCGGATCACGCGTGGTGGCCGGATCACCCGTGAAATACGTTAATAGTATGCTCTACGAGTCCAATGAATGCACTATTATACATTCACGAATGAGTCCCCTGATCCACTGTGAGTCACCATATCTTGTACTCTGTGGTAGCGCTTATGCTTTTCATCTAAGCCATTTGACTCTTCACTTTTCTAGGCATTTTTACTCACCAGTCAATTAGTTAATTGCCAACCTTCGCCTTTATTGGGAATCACTGAATACACAGGAAGTCTTGGCATGACATCATGAGACCCTTGGCGGTCAGCTTGGCGGAAAACTCTTTCTGCCGTCGCAAAATCCGACAGATCGCGTCTTGACATTCACGTTCTCTCCTTTTCAACAATCCACATCTATTGCCTCATCTTTGCGTACTCGTTCTACTCACGCAATCGGTCGGCGCGTCACTCGTCCTGAGGTTTCACTCGGAAAATCCCCTGATGAAGTCTGTTTCTGTTGAAGTTCTACAGAATTCTCGCAACTTATTCCCTCCTATATAGCAACGTATCAGGAACCACCATCGTAACTTATTGGCATGGCCAGCGATCAACCCGAAGCGGCCTTTGCGTATCATGAGCCTGCCATTGCGATAGTACTCAACTTGGCCGGTTTTCTGCTGGTCTTGAACATCGTCAATGTCTGTCTGGATAAACTTCTGTACTGCGGCCTCATCGGTCAGCTGTTTATCGGCATTCTCTGGGGCACCCCCGGCGCGAAATGGCTCGATCGGGGGATGGAAACAGCTGTTCAGCAGCTCGGATACCTGGGTCTGATCATGCTAGTATATGAAGGTATGTGGTTTGCGTATGCGACCGTGGAGGACTTCACTCACGCGTATCTCCTTCTAGGCGGTCTCTCGACCTCAATCAAATCTCTGAAAGCCAATCTCCTTCTGTCGCTTTCTGTAGCGCTCACGGGGATTGCGGTTCCGATGGGCTTGTCCTTCATTCTCATGGAACTCGTCTCCGCGACCCCTTTGCAGGCCTTTGCGGCTGGTGCGGCCCTCAGCGCGACGAGTCTCGGAACCACGTTCACCATTTTGTCCACCACCAACTTGATCACGACCCGTTTAGGCGTGGTGACCACCAGCGCGGCGATGATTGACGACGTGGTCGGTCTAATTATGGTTCAGATTATCAGTAACCTGGGTGGATCGGAGGCCTCTTTCAGCGCGGTCACGGTCATCCGGCCGATCTTTGTGTCTATCGGGTTCGCGGTTGGGCTTTTCCTGGCGTGTAGACTCTGTCTTCAGCCTGTGTTGAGGAAATTGGTGGGCTTGAAAGATAGAATGCCAGAGGTAATGAGTACCGCGCAGTTTGCCTTCGTCACTCATACCTGTGTGCTTGTCGGTTTGGTTGCTGGCGCGACGTATGCGGGTACTTCGAGTCTGTTTGCTGCGTATATTGCCGGGGTGATTGTGTCGTGGTTTGACGGTATTGTGGCCGACTCGAAGGAGCAAGCAGAACCACCTCAACAAAGTGTCGTGAACAAGTCTTCAAACACTCAGGATACCTCTGATAATGGTAGACAACCGAATCGAGAGCGAACCTCATCCAGTTCTCCTGCCGAACACCCGCCGACAGCAGGGCGCGATGAAATTCCCACGGGTGTGGTAGTCTATGAACGATACTACAAGGAACCCGTGAACCGAGTATTCATTCCTCTTTTCTTCGTAAGTGTCCTCACATCCCTGGCAGAGTCGACTACACCCGCTGACAAAACCAGGCATCCATCGGATTCGCCATCCCGATCACTGAAATGTTCCAAGGAAGCGTCATATGGCGAGGCATTGTCTATGCCCTTCTCATGGCCATCGGCAAGCTCGTCACCGGATTGTGGCTCGTTCGGGTCTCCCTAAGCCCGGTATCCAGTCTGATGCGCACTGCCACGAAACCCTTTTCGTATGCGCGTCTCGTCTGCTTCAATGCACAGAAAAAGTCCGCACCTAGGCAGAAACAACCCCCGGGGTCCGAAATCCCGATGAAAACCAGGACATCCCAGCCCGAAGTGTCGGAAGAAACCAGCGACAGTGCATTCCCGAGCACAAATCCAACGTCACGGGCTGATCGATCTCCGCAACCCGAGCCATCAGCGTCAGATCATCCGGCTCCTTCCGCCACCAACCGCATCTCTTTGCCGCCTAAGCCCAAGTCCCTGTACCCGCCATCGATCCTTGGCCTTGCTATGGTTGCTCGCGGAGAGATCGGATACCTGATTGCCTCGTTGGCGGAAGCGCAGGGAATATTCTCCGATGGAACATCGACCGGAACGACGGAGAGTTACCTGGTCATTGTCTGGGCTATCACGTTGTGCACGCTTATTGGACCGATCTGCGTGGGGACTCTAGTGCGACGGGTGAAGACGCTGCAGCAGAACAGGGTCAACGCTGGGGGTATGGATCCTTTGGGTGTTTGGGGTATCTAGGTGCTCGCTAGGTAGGCTAGGCTAGTATGGGTTGGATTGGCTAGATCGGGAAGGGGGCTGAGATTTTGGTCTGGACTGTGTGACGCTGTAGTTCTGGTCAGCCAGGTGGTGAATTGATTGGATTAGTGCTGGGAACCGGGGGAGGTATCTTGTGTTATTGGTCGTTGATGGCTCGTATATGTACTTCATGTTCAACTCGGAATATGCTCATGTCCGGTAGCCGGCACAGGAATATTGATGTCTTTGATATGTGGAATCGTTCTGCCTAAATGAATTGGCCGAGATCCTAAGATGAGCTGATACTGGGATTGTAGGTATGGGCTCATCAACGACATCTGTAAATTGCCTATTAGGGCGAACTGCAAGCCAATTCAGGCATCCCAGTCCCAATGTCAATGTCGTCGACTTCATGACATCAGCCAACTGCTCAATTAAGGCGGCAAAATTATTCTGTCCGTTCTATGCAGCGAAAACCACTCCCCGGAGGCTGGCTATATTCCTTTCCAGATCCTAAATTAGAAACACGAGCAGTCTTCCTGCACGAACCGTTGCCTGAATGCTACGGAATGAACCCTGCTCCATGTTCGTCTCAAGATTCTGTCCCATAGAAAACATGCTAGGACAAGTATAAAGGAGCTCGTGTCCGATCTATCTCAATTATTGATCCATAAAGGCATAAAGGCAATCACCAACGAAAAGCAAACAAGACCATAATCCTAAACCGTTGCATTCTAATAAGTGCCGCAAACACCCAGCAAAATGCAAATCATCAAGCTCGTCTCCGCTGCCATCGCACTGCTAGCTCTCGGCGCTGCCGCAGACGACAAGGTACATCCACCTTTCCACATAGCATATTACAGTATCCCTGGCTAACCCAGACAAACCAACAGTCAACCCTCTACAACGACGCCGATTACAAGGGCAACTCCAAGAAAATATCGCCCGACAAGTGTACTGAGATCAAGGGTGATCTGTAAGTCTTTATTTCTGCGTGCACTCCACCCCGTCCGCCTTTACCCGTTTGCCAGTGTATAACGAACAGAACAAAACTGACCGCACCCAGCAAACAACTCGGCTCGATCAAAGTCCCCCGCGGAGACGTGATATGTATTCTATATAAGTGAGTCAAGGGTAACCTGTCTTTAAGAAAGCATCTGGATCTATATACTGAACAAGGGCATCTAATCTAGATCAACCGATTGCAAGAGACGACCTCTCTGCACATTGTTCGGCAATGTGGATGACCTGACCGACGATAATAATCCCTGTTTACGACAGGTGGCGAATCGTGTGAAATCCGTGGAATGTTACGACTAGGTTGGTGCAGTTGGGATACCCGGATAATCTTGTGTTAAGAGAGTTGACGGGAACACTTCATCTTGCAGTTATAGTTCTGTATAGGCCGGGTCAGTCGGAGTTGAAGGAAGTATTTAACCGGTGGTATTTGCGGCTGATTTTGTGCAAGTATAGCACATAAATGATACGAGTCTACTCCATATGAGGAAGATCTTCCAGCCACGCTTGTAATTCATTGTTAATATTGACTCTTTCCGAGTCCCAGTTACAACCGTCCTCCAATATGTCTGACCGATTTGTTCACTTAACCGAATTCCAATATACATAGCAATGCATCCAAAGTAGAAGTAAAGGCTCTCTCACATGCTGAAATCCAAAATCTCCACGTTCAAACCAGGAGGCACATGGATATTCCTCAATCCGTCAACATCGACGTCATCCTGTGCCGTGACCCTGCGCCCTTTTGTCAGATCTACATGCTTGTTGAACGCAACCATACTATAAGTATAACGTACTGTATGAAATGGACCGGCGGCACAGTCATGGTTGAGTCGAAAGCGTCGGGAAATTCTAGATTCTGGTCGTGGTAGATCTCCCGCATCCTATAAACAGAGAAGTGGTTCGTATATGTTGAAGACAGAAAATGGTATGAAGAGCTATGCGAGGTAGGCTATGCATACTGCTGGGCAAGCTTGGCTCCATCGCCGTAATACTCGTGGACGTATTCGTCGTCGTAGCGGACGTCAAAGGTCTAATAATAGAGGAAATGTTAGTGGAGGATTGCACAAGGCCGATTGAACATACCAGATCTCTCGTCATGGTGGACCGTAGTTGAACTTATAGAGAGGAAGTAGTTAAGAGGATTTTGGGCTACCGATGCGAACGAAAAGAGACAATGGGGATATTTAAGCATGAAGGGCTCTTTGTTAAATTACCATGACCCCATGACCCTGGCCGAATCGATCTGCCGCTATGAGATCATACATTCTTGACGGTTGGTAGGTGGCAAGTTAGACGTTTTTGAGCCGTGGTTCTCTGGAAGACTTGCCGAACTCTGTAGATGTATCAACAGTAGGAAGTCCGGATGCGTTTCCCAGTTAAGTTTTCTATGCTTTAAGAACATCTCAACCCTGTCAATCAGCTGCCTGAGTTCCGAATAGAAATTATGGTTCGCTGGGGTTATCGGGTTTCAGAGCGGACGATTTGGTGTAGGTGTAAATATAGGCTTCACCAGGATAATAGAATTCGAATTGATGAGTTGATGAAGACATGCGAGAATCTGCTATCGAGTGGAAGAATGTTGTAAATGCTTGAAACAATGAATTTCTTGCCTTAGGTATTCGATGAGTAGTATGACAGATCTACAGATTAAATGTGATCTTTTGCATTCTGTACTATGTTAATTTTTGTAGAGACGCTGAGTAGAAGTAACCAGGCAACAAACGAGTGAACCAGCTAACTAACCAGATCAACTCGCCCAGTATGAACAGGTACGGACAGGGATATTAATTGGAAGATCACCGCCCACATGGTGTAGATTCTTCAATCCGTAGCGCCTCAATAGCCCGACGCCTGTTTCCACCGACTGCCAATCACCGCCTTCGACGCGCACCCCAACAACACACCGACTCCGGCGATGTCGAGAGTGTTGACAACTATTTAATATTTATACGATCCGGACTGCCGGACAGGTTATCCATTAAGTAGGTTATTCTTATCAATGTTGTATTGAACTCCTATTTATATATATATTAGTTTTTGTCGACTCTCGCCCGCGATGACCTCCGCGTTCGACGTTTGGCGCGTCCCCGTCGCGCAATGGGCCTGCATGCAGCTCATCACTGCCATGGCCGTGGGATTGACTCCGTCTCGGTCGCCATTAAGGTCCGTGGCTGCAGTCATGATCATCGCTCTGGCGTGTGCGTTTCAACACCAGATCAGTCGCGGCGTCGGAGACATGAGAATCGGGGGCCCGATGACAGCGAACTGCTGGGTGAACGTGATGAACGCGATGGACTTGCTAGTGCTCAGTCGAATCTCCTACGAAGGCCAAGTGACATGGGAGAAAAAGACAGGCGCGAAGATCAACCGCTCTGGAAGTATTTTGGAACGCGTTCTCTGTTCCGTCAGCGCCGCGTTCAATTATCGTCGCATCAACACCCCCTGGCAGATCAACAAGCTGCCTCGGTTCGACGAGACGGATCCCTCGTACGTTCCGTCCCGTGGGAGATTTTTCCTCGTCGGCACCGCGAAGGCCGTTTGGGGAGTTGTTCTTCTGGCGCTGTTTACGGTCGAGACGAGCGATCCGCATCTACCGGCTGCGATTGACGCCTTGCCGCGCGATGAGTTGGTCTTGTTGCCTTGGGTGTATGCTGCGTCGGCGAGGAGACTGCTTCTGCTGATTGCTTTTACCACCTCATTCGCCATCTGTTGCAGGGCGTTCACGCTGGCGGTTTATAACTCCGGCGCCGTAATCGCAGTTGGCTTGGGGATCCATGATCCCAGCGCGTGGCCTCCTTTTTCCGGCTCGTTGCTGCACGGCTGGTCATTGCGCCGATTATGGGGGTATGTTGCACCGTTTTATTTTTCAGAGTAGAGACTTTCCGGCTAACCTGTAGCCAGAATCTCGTGGCATCAATCACTGCGCGCTCTTCTTTCCTCAAACGCCGACATGATCGCGTCAAGCGTCCTGTGTATCCCGCGCAGCTCTAAATGGGTCGTGTACCCGCGTCTCGTCATTGCCTTTACGCTGTCCGGTCTGTTTCACTCAGGCATGGACGTTGCGTTCGGCATCAATTGGGAAGAGAGCGGCGCTATTTGGTTCTTCATGATGCAGGCAGTGGGGATCCTTGTCGAGAGCGCCTTTCAGCATGTCTGCAGGGGATGGATCGGCCGTTTGAGTCCAGTCGTTCGTCGTGGACTAGGCTATGTCTGGGTCTGTATCTTTCTGTTGTGGACCACGCCTGTGTGGATGATCCCGATGGTGAGGTCTGTTTTTGCGGACGGGACGCCTGTTTTCTCGCCGTTTTTGATGTTTAAGAGTTGGGCTGTTTAGAGTTTGTATCCATAGACGGTTTCTAGACCTTGTTCGGTGGCTTTGTTTGGGAGTACAGATAGATGCTACTTTCAGATCATTCTTAGATTGCATGGATGGGCAATAGACCTGCCATCCAAAATAATTGATAAATCTGTTCAATTTCCAGCAAAAGCAGCATCCGCCGCCAAACTACCTGACAATCCCTAAGCACCCCCGGCAGCCTCAGCCAGCGCCAGCAGTATCTGCAGCACCGTGTTCCGTTTCTGTTCTTCCCCAAGGATCATACACATCGCTGTTGCCACAATCACATCATACTCATCCACCACACCGATCCCCTTCTCCCGGTTGCAGGCAAAATCCTTCCTCGAACGGACCAGATCCTGACACCCAAGCACCCTCCTCACCTCCTCGTCGAAGATGACCAAGGTACCGTGTTTTCCACACGATAAACTACTCGAATACCGAGCCAGGACAACTTCTTCTCCTTCCTCATCCCCTTCACTCTCCATCTTCTTCTCAAATCCATAGTCTCTGTCCTGGTCCTGGTCCTGGTGCGTGTACTCCCCCCCTCCCTTCTTTCCCAACGAACCACTACCAATACCATAACCCTTAACCACCAACTTCAAATGATGCACCGGCATCACACGTCTCGCCCACTTCTTCCTCACCGGGATCTCACGACTCCCTTTCCACGCCCCCTGCACCCCCTCATACATAAAACTATACCATCGCACGCGAGTCGAGAACGGCGTCGCATGCACCCACGTCACGGGAAGCACCTCATCCGCGCAAACAGGATCCCACATCCCCTCCCTATCCCTATCCCCATCATAATCACCACCACCACATTTCATCTTCCTCTTCTTCCTCTCATCATTGACCTTCCTAAAATACCCCTTCCTACTCTCCCCGTACGCCCGCCACTTTCGCACGCGATACCCCTTCACCTCACCGTCCCGTCGCGGTTTATTTCCGGCACAGCTTCTCCGTTCATAAGGTAGTAGGCCTCGCGGGTCGATAGCCGCTAGGAGTTCTGGGCCCGTGAGAATACGCCATCGTTTCCAGAAAGGAGAGTTGTGGATGATGCAGACGGGAGGGTCCGTTTTGTTGGCGCCGCGGCGGAGCGTCCGGGGTGGGGAGTGGAAGGTTAGGGTTGGGAGGTGGAGGTAGTAGGATTTCGGTGGTGGTGACTGAGACTCAAAGATAGGATCGGAGGTGGTTGAGGTTGAGGTGTTGGTGCTGGTGCTGGAGAGAAAGGATGGGTTTTGTTTGAGGAGTTTGCGACGCGCGGAGGTGGACTTGGGGAGATCGTGTTGGGTGATGAGCGCGTGGGAGGGGTTTTGGGGCGTTGGGTAGATGTGGTATGTTGTTGTTTTTGGTGCTGTTGTTTCTGTTGTTGTTGGTAGGGGGGTTGGTTTGGGAGACGGAACGAGGGTATTTTGGAAGGAAAGGTTGATGTTGAAGGTTGGTTTTGAGTCTGTTTTTGGGTATGAGGATGGAGTTGTGAGTGTTGTTGTTTCTGCTGATGTCACGGGGGTTGCTTTAGGAGGGGATGGAATGAGGGTGTTTTGGAAGGAAAGATTGGTGTTGAAGGTTGGATTTGGATCTGGATTTGGAGCTGAGGAAATGGTTGTAGTGGTGGCTATCGTGGGGTCTCCAAAGGCTGGGTTCGGGTTCGGATTGAGGTTCATAGTTGTTAGTTTTCTCTAATTCTTCTTTAATCACAGAAGATATCATTTATTCCCCAAGCACAAACCCCTCTTATATACCATGTAAAAGAGGCGGCGGGGTCAAGCCACGAGATCGTTTACCTCCAGGAATACGAGGCGGAGGCTCGCCGTCTGCACTCTATTCCATATCACTACCTCTGAGTGACAACTCTATTTTTCTTGGATGTTTAGTGATCGGTGGCAGAGGGGCATGTGATTCAAGTTCATATTCATGGCAACTTAAACATGTACAGGTACAGGGTTACATGCGTCATGTGGCTCGCCAGCATGTATTATAGCGTAGCCGTAGTTGAATACATTATCATTATGTACATGAGAACTTTTCAAAAACATTGATTAGATAGCAGTAGATAGCAGTAGATCAAGGTATTATTCTCCGTGGGTCTCAATCTCCACGGTTATGATGACGGAGAGAATGAACGTCACCAGGTTTATCTAGAAATAGTCAGTTCCATGGCATCCCGTTTCCTGAGAGTAGATATGCAATGGACAGAACTTACCAATCCAATCAACACCCCGATACAATGCAACTCCCACCCCCCCGCATACACAATCCCCAGCGCGACGGCGTTCTGCTGCTTGAAAAAGCGATGTGCCCCCATCAAGGCCACCAGGATTGCGACCGAATGACACGTGAGTGACAGGGGAATGCCTACTTCATAATATCCGAGGCGCGAATGGGAATTGGTTGAATGCTGCAGACGGAAGAGCTGTGCAACCAGAACGCCCTGCATGGCTATCACGACGGACGTACGAATGTATGCCAGGAATGTCCGTTCGAGGGCTATGAAACTTAGCTTGTGGCTCGGGTTGGGTGGGGTGGAAGACAAATGGGGGAGACGAAAACATGATGCCGACAATTATCGAACATCGCTCGAACAACCAGATCAATTCCATGCGATCGATCCAATTAAGCTCAACATACCGAAATGATCCCGATTGCTCTTCTGCGGCACCGTCAGCACGACGTTGCGCGTCCAGAAACGCTGCACATAGCCCGCGAACCCCTTGCGTGGCGCCCGACTCTGCACCGTCCGCTGACTAGTCCGCGATGCGGTGCGGTGCGTCGTGATGCGATACTCGCCCGACGAGATGGACGCCGTCGAGGTGGCGGCGTCGTCTTGGGTTTCGATCTCGTGAAGCTCCAGAGCATCTCGGTCTCGCTCGTCGGAGTCCCGCCGATCGGAGTCTGGGGAAGGTCGGCGATTGGGTTCAGAGGGCCGATTGTGGTCGGCGACGGTGGCCGAGCCATTGGCGGGGTGATCAGAGTCAGACCGGTCGGTCATTGTCTCGAGAGAAAGGCATCGAGGTGTCGCGTGCCACTTTGTTGCGATAGAGAGGGAGGAGGAGAGTGACACGAGTGAGGGGGGAGAGAGGGAGAGAAAGGAAAACAGGATGCGGTGACTGGTCGGCGAATCCCGCCAGCGATGGATGTGTCATGCTGCCTTGGCTCCGTCGATCGCCGACTCGCTTTGGGGCTCCCGCTAGTGTACTATGTACAAGATAGAATGATTCGAGTATGTAGATACACTGTATGAACAGTATACATATCAACCGATCATATAGATCACCCTTCCACACCGTTAGGGCTGCCAATCCCTTGCTTAAACGCCCCCACGCCCAATCACGGACCCGCTGCGGCGCCAACCCGATGGCGCAATCGCTGCCGGTGCCACTTTTCTCTCGCTCTCGCTCTTCTTCTTCTTCTTCTTCTTCTGCCTCGTTTCCTCATCGAATCCCCAGGGAAAGATTAAATCTCCCCCTCCGCACCCGTCAACGTCGCCCACTGCGGCTGTCGCTCCTTGAACACAGCCAGCTTCGGTGAGGAGATCGTGTCGAACAAGGCCGCCTTCAGATACAGTTTCCCCGGAGCACTCGGAGTGGTGGTGTAGATCGGACTACACACATCAGCCTGATCCTCTGTCGAAACATCAATCATCAAACATCTTACCTTCCACAGTTCGAGCAAAAGTGACGCTATCAATATCCAATTCTCGTCAGCTTCTTCCGCCAAGACCAAAGATCTCAAATGAGTCTCGAGGGCATTCTAATCTCTACCTTGGCAACATTCCCCGACGCCGTCTTGGTGTCATCGTAGATCTTCAGCGTTCCCTGCGCATCTTCCAGGGAAATTTCATCCTGGCCGACAAAATAATTCGTCGAGAAGACTAGTTATTTTTTCGTTAGCATTTGCAATTGAGATCCTAGAGGAACTGACCTACCGCTCCCTCCGGCTCTCTTGCAACTGGCACTAGTCACATCACACCGTTAGCATTGACTTCGCAGGAATCAGCATTCTATTCCGGAGTAATACCAATGACAAATGACCGAATTCTCAGGCCGACTGGGCAGAGTGATGCGGATGCTTTCGCAATTACAATGTCCGATGTAGGTCATGCTGTCGTTTCTCAGGTGTCTCGAAATCGTCAAAATAGTAACTAGGTGTAACAACCGTGTCTTGAGATAACCCTCCCCTTTTATAGTGACCCAAATCACCCCATGCGCCCGAGCCAGTGGAGTCCTAGATTAATAATGCCACCGTGCCGTCGTTTCCACGGTTTCCCGATGTCCATTCCGCTTGGGGAGGGTGGAGTTTTGCCTGTGGATAGGGATAGTGGATATGCGATGGAGTTTTAACGGTGAAGGGACTGGCAGAAGGGCGAAAGATCGACTGAGACTGGACGAGCGCCGAGTGACGTTGATGGCCAAGAAGAAGCGGGTCTCCACTTCGCGGGCCAGTTGCTGCGGTATCGCGGTTCTGTTTCCGTGATCTGAGTATGGGTTTGGGATCTGTTGATTCTGCGGGTTGGAATTTGGGGATATTTTGAGTTTCGGATTTTTGTTTGGTGATCCGGTGCCGAGGTTAGCCATGAAGCTAGGTTTTGATTGAATCTATACTTTAAAGGTGGAGAGTAGGAAACGGTTTTGGACTGTTGTCCCGAGAACATATTAGGAATTTGTTATAGAGTGGAATTAATGGGATCCAAGGGTTCAATCTTGAAGCGGACCAATTTCTGAATTGATAAACGAAATACAAGAGGGTATGGAGGATAAATCACACTTCTTCTACAACGTAAACATCAAAATCATGACAGACCTCCAAAGGAGACAAAGAAAAAGAAAAGAAAGTACATCGTCAGCTTAACCTCAATATCAACAACAAACCCCTTCCATATGCAGCTCCTCGATACTCTCCAGAGTGAGCAAGGGCCACACCTTTGGTCCAAAGAGCTCTTTCACCTCGATCAGCTGCTCTGCTGTCAGTTCCTCCTCGTGAGCAAGATGCCAATCGATCATCTCCTGAAGAACAGTCGCGAACTTAGGAGGGACTAACACCCCTAAGAGCTGGTGCAACGAGATCCGGTTCCCATCCTGCCGTGAAGATCGCTTCACCCACGAAGGCAAGTTAGAGGTTTAATCGACAAACTGCGATTCAAAAGTCTTTGTCCTGTCCTGGGAATCGCTAATCAAGATGTGACAGTCGAATGACTTGGAATTCAGGTGAGTGGAAGGTTCTATCTTATAATAGATCCGTGGGTTACCACCGTAGAGCAAGAATAAAGTGACAAGGGAAAGAGGGAACGGTATTGGCCAGCCGGGACACCACGACATGAGAACATGCTTTTGAAAATACTCCCAGTACGACAGTTCTGTGTCGTACTGGGACAAATGTCGGGCTGAGATACCCTGCTCCAAATACCCCGCAACCACATCAAGGAACCCATGCACTTTTAGTGGATACCAGACAAGTGTCGTTGCGAGTAGGACAAACTCAAGAGGCAGATGCTTCGTAAGGTCGATCATGGCACCTTTGAAATTAAAATACCAGAACATACCACTTAACGCTGCCAGGATATGGACTATGACCGGCGTGCCGTCACAAATAACCACATTTATTTGTTTATTCACTGTCATCAAAATTCAGATTAATACTCAAGGATCTTGGTAGATTTATCTGACGATATAAATCCCAGAATGTTTCCAAGAATGTGCAAAATGTGGCTTGAGCGGACTTGGTATACTGAACAAGGGAGAGATTCACCATGTTCCACCAAAGACAATGCAAAATGCCTTTATTCTTAGCGCTGTAATCCGATAAATCGATCCGAATGGGCGACGAGAGATAAAGTGTTGGCATAGTACCGCTTTTGATGTGAGCTAAAAGTGTCTGGCACAATGCATCGACAATATCAAGGTTTCTGGTGTGGCGCTCGAATTTCGTCCTGACATCTTCACGAGACAGGAATTCATCAATCGATCGATGCGTCAGAGCGACAGTGGTATTGAAATTGAAGCTTGGATCTTTTACCATACAATCCGGGAAATAATCCTTGGAAATCGGGCAAATGTCAAGTAAGACATTTCAGGACCATCATGATCATGCATATGCTGAACACGGATCGTCCTGGTCAATAGTGGCGAGAAGAGCTACAAAAGGATCCTCGGACCACTTTTGAAGGCCTCCTGCAATTCAATCTCTTCTCGACTAGACACACAGATCTTGACATCGGGTAGCCTAGCAGATACCCAAGCTTTTAAAATCTTGATCATTTGGGGAAGATCTCCCTCGAATTCGTCCAAGCCGTCAATGAAAACGGCTATCTTGCTAGTAGCGTAGATGCTGTCCAAGTCAGATAGCTTACGAAATGCAGCGAGAACTTCATCGTCTTCATCAATAACTGGTCGTACTCCGCTGAAAGCAGTATTCCAATGCTTCGGAAACAGCAGTGGTATGAGCTCTGCCGACTGTGACAGAATAGAATGAATAATCCCTCGCACCAACCCCCGGAGGCTCTTTTGAAGAGTGCGTCCCGGCTTCCAAAAGAAAAACGTGGCGATAAGAAGAGTCTTCGTCCCTGGCCACTTTTTGAGATACTTTTCCGTTTCCTCATGTTGGCAAATATATTTCATTAAAGTTGATTTGCCCGATCCTGGTTTTCCAGAAATGTGAAACGTGCCCCTGCCAAAGGTTGTAATTGGATGAGTGGAAAGAAAATCAAGCTCCTCTGTCTCAAGAGAAGAAAATGCGTTTGCTGCACTATCATAGTTATGTTTTTGGATGGAAGTGCAGAGGTGTACCTTTCTAGAACGCTTGAACTATTGAAAGGTCTCATCGAACGCTGACTGGCTAAAGTCCACTATGGGTCACACGCTGAGCCATTATCAGGCAAGCGTAGCCATACCTACCAATTGAAAATTATCGATCTATAACATCTCCAATGCTAGGATTTCAAACGGCTACTCTAAGAGACGAATCTTATCATCTGACTAGGTCATATAGGCAGGTAGTTTAATATACGGTAAGAGGACTGATTTCAATTTAGTGGGTGGTGTCTGTGTGTGTGTGCGTGTGAGACAGTGAGAGAGACAGAAAATATCATTATTCTCCATTTCGGCACCCAACGAGCCGCCCATGCTATAGTTGTGATAATAGTTCGCTCTCACTTACAGATGCCCAGAGGCAGTAAGTCTTTATGCCTTGTCTTTATTGTAGAGTCGCTCCGATGGTTTGCTATTCTATCCCAGGATTGAGGGCCATAATGTAAGCGCTCTAGGGTGCCTGAGGCATCCACAAGGCAGCCAGGCATCCGAAACAGTGCAACAAAACGTACGCCTCGTTGAGCTATCAAAAGGCCCACACCTTGTCCAATAGTAATCTCCATATACTAGGCACCCTCCAACGCATCCCTTGTCCTCTCATTGGCGCCCCGACACGCTTTGATACTGAGGTGCATTCCGGCCAGCCTCCGACATCGGACCGGACTAGAAATTCTACCTGGCCTTGACTTAGGATATATAAACCCCTGTGTAGACAGCCTCAATGTATCTTCCTCATTCTATAAAGCTGCACAGCAGTTCGAATTATAAAAATCAAAAGAAATAAATCAGATTTCCACCCACAAACTGTCACGATCACTTCGCGGCAGTATAACACCCCATCTTCCCCGCGCCAAGACCCTCAACCCAAGATGGCCCAAGCAAAGGACCACTGGTCTACCGAGGTATGTACCTGTTCTTTCCAATCCATCGATTCAACCCCATCGAGCATAGAGAGTAATATAAACTGACTCTACTAACAGGCATATTCGACCTCCGCCTCATTTGTCCCCAAACTAGCCCAGACTTTACTACAGTACCTAGATCCCCAACCCACAGATAAAGTACTGGACATAGGCTGTGGCGACGGGAAGTACACCGAGGCCTTCCTGCCCGCCGTGCAGTCCGTGCTGGGTGTGGATGCATCCCCAGCGATGATTGAAGCGGCGAGTAAGGAATACGGAAATGCGAAGGCGGAGTTCCGCGTCGTGGATTGCTGTTATTTGGAAAAAGAAAAAGAGATTGTTAATGGGAGCTGGGATAAAGTGTAAGATTTTCTATACTGGAGGGTTAACTGATGAAGTGCTAATAAGACATGTGTGTATCCAGGATCTCGAACGCGGCATTGCATTGGATCCTGCGCAATGAATCCACCCGCCTGAACACTCTCAAAGCCATATACGATAGTCTGAAACCCGGCGGAAGGTACGTGTTTGAGATGGGCGGGCACGGCAATATTGCCGAGGTGCAGACGGCGATGATCTTTGCCCTCGTCCAGCAGGGTTTCTCGATTGAGAAGGCCAGAGAGACCAGTCCGTGGTTTTTCCCGTCGGTGACCTGGATGACCAAGGCGTTGGAAGAGATCGGGTTCAAGGTTGAGAAGATGGAGTTGGAGTATCGGCCGACGAAGCTGACTGATGCGGTAAATGGTGGATTGGCGGGATGGGTAAGACTGATGGGTGCGCCGTTCTTGGATGCTCTTCCCGAGGAAAAGCGCGAGGGCGTTGCGCAGCAAGTATGTGAGGTTCTTCAGACGGCGGTGACGTACCATGAGGATGGTAGTCAGTGGCTGGGATATGTGCGGTTGAGGGGTATCGCTACGAGGGTATAAGGTGGAATGAAACATGGCCGTTCAATAGAGAGACCACTTAGATAGAGACAATTGATGGCGTCTATTGGCTCTTCTGAGCTCGTTGCCGCATTAAGACGCCCAGAGGGATGTCTTCCTCGTCGTAAAATTCGGCATCTTCGTCCACGCCAAAATCCCCCAACCGCTCTCCTTCTGCATTCCTCCAGCCCTCCTCACCGTCTTCGGAACGATCGATGTCGTCGCTAGACTCATTCTCTTGCTTCTTATTATCGTTCGATTTTTCAAACCGATTGTGAAAACGTCGACGACGCTGAATTCCCAACTCCTCCCTTGAGCGGTTCAAGTCTTCTTCTTTGCGCCGGTTGAAGGCTTCAATCTCATCGCGCCCATAATTCCCGGCCCCCGTAGCAATGCCACTAGACAGGTGTTGTTTAGACGGCATAGGGATTCGATCCGGATCTGGCGGTGGCCATGAAACATCTGGTTCTATTTCGGGTTAAGTCTCGCACTGTAAGACGGACAGAATACGACCAACCTTCAAAACCGTTGACATCATATTCCAGTCCTGTCGTGCGAGTAGGCGTCCTTGCAAGTGGCCAAAACCAGCTGATGACCTATCCCCTTGAATTAGCCACATAGCGGTCTTTAGCGGGCGATACATACATTTCCACTGCCACCCATGCCCGCTTTGATATTCGACCAGATGCCGATATCGTAGGGAAATTCTTGCTTTTTGATCCTGATACTCGTTCCGCCTGGTCCGCTCAGATAACCCCGGAAGTGACGGGCCCTCCGCACCAAGGTCTCGTGTCTTTCAATCTCCCATGATTCGATGGTCGTCGTGTTGAACGCCAAAGTCCACAGGGTCCGAAGCAAAAGTACGAACAACATGAATACAGTCAAGCTGTTTAAGACGAGCAGGATAAAGAGATGCGCTATCTGCGATGCGCTGGGTCCGAGGTACTGTACGTCGTCAGTACATCAAAAAATCGTACACATGACCTATTCTTACACTTGGAAGGTTCCTGGAGGCCCAGACAACCGAAGCCCTTTCAAATAGCAACGACTCGAGATAGCTCATGCCCACAACCGCATAGAACAAGAACCGCACAAAATGCGGGAAAGTGAAATGCGAGACGCAATTCGATGTCCACGGACAGTGATGATCCATCTTGGGAATGCACCTGAAAATTATCAGCAAATAGCCGCTTGCAAGTCGTATTTGTTAGAGCTACCTGCGACACGTTTTGCAGTGATGCGCCCGTGGTGGCTTCAGAGCTTCGCATCTTCGGCACCACCGCTGGCGGCCACTGTCATGGTCCGCTTCCAACTGCTTATTGTCTACCGGCTTCCAGTCCTTAGGGATGTGCCCGGGGTCTACAGTGCAGGAGCGATAATAACAGATCCAGATGCACAACGCGAAGATGTTGATGCGCCATAGTTCGCTTTCCCGTAGGGGCGACGGCTCGAAATAGGCGAAGAAATACTGAGAGGTGTAGGCGAGGAATGCGATGAGCACAGAGACTGATGGTATCGCCAACTGCGATATCGAGAAGGAGGAACAGAGCATCGTGGCTCAACTCATGCTGATACGTATTCGGAATAGCGAAGAGATGCATCGTCATCCATGTTTTTCCGTTGTTGGGAGGACACGTCGGGGCGCTGACTCAGCTCACGTGGCATCCCGTGCGTGGAACTATTCCCGCCGTCGCAATCCCTCTTTCAACAACTTCCTGGATTTCATCACCAAATCGAATTATCATCAATCTCAATTATATATCGCTTCTTTTAGTTCCATCTGTCATATATCATCTTACCTCAATAACTTCATCTATGACCGTCATCTGTTTGAGAACCATGTTTGAAGATGCCGATCACGGCTCTTCCTAGTTCCACCGTTCATGCCATCGGCTCAACGTCAGTCATCTCGGATCCTTGCTCAATTGTCAAGGAGTTATTAGACAACGCCATCGATGCTTCAGCCGCATCAATTGGTGTCGAAATATCCCAAAATACGCTCGATCTCATCCAAGTAAAGGACAACGGACACGGCATCCCCTCCGCCGACCATGCTTTCGTATGCAGACGCACCTTCACTAGCAAGATCCAGACCCTCGAAGATCTGAGGAAGGTTGGCGCAAAGAGTCTGGGCTTCAGAGGCCAGGCGCTGGCCAGCGCGGCTGAGATATCCGGTGGCGTGAATATTCTTACTAGGGTTGAATCGGAACTGGTCGGCAGTTCTATGAAATATGGGCGGAATGGAGAGCTGTCTAGGTGTGTCCTGTCGTACTTTTCCCTGCGACTGAACAATTCGACTGAATGTTCGAAAGCACCCAACGAACATCGCATCCGGTCGGAACCACTGTTCGTATCACCGACTTGTTCAAGCCTATCCCTGTCCGGAGGCAGACCGCGTTGAAGACTTGTGCCAAGACTTTGATGAGAATTAAGAAAATGATCCAGACTTACACCATGTGTAACCCGTCGAAAAGGTTCTCGTTCAAAGTTTTGAAGGCCCGGGCGGAGAACAATAATTGGGTTTATGCGCCGCAGAATGGGACGCTGATGGATGCGGTATTGAAGATTGCCGGCTATGACGTTGCTTCTCAATGCGTTGAAAAAACATGGCCATGTCAGGAGCATGCGCAAGGGGTAGATGCAGAAGCTCATGATCTCGGCTTCTGTCTAGTTTCATTGCTGCCTGATCCCAAATGTGGTATGTCCACCCCCCACAAGGTAAGGCGAAGCTGATCAGATAGACTTGACCAAGATGAATAATCTCGGCCAATACCTTAGTATTGACGGCCGACCAATATCAGCAACTCGAGGAATCGGCCAGGATATTGCCAAACTCTACAAATCGTATATACGTGCTGCCGCCTCTCGCCAGGAAGGCTCTACGACGACGGATTCATTCCTTTGTTTGCAGATCTGGTGTCCTGAAGCGAGCTACGATGTGAACATAGAGCCAGCCAAAGACGATGTATTATTTGAAGACCCGCACGAAGTGCTTGGTCTAGTGGAGGATCTTCTCCAGTCTACATATGGAGAGAAGGAGAATACCAACGGCAAACAGAAGAAGAAAGAGAAGCAGCCAGTGCGAGATAATGGTTCATTTGACCTACTTCTCGCTCGCAGGAATGAGGAAGCTGTGTCAACGAACGGAAATAACCCTTCTAGAATGCATGCGGCCGTGCCCACGAGTCCTCGGTTTCCTGTTCAGCGTCCCGCAACTTTTGACAGCAATAGCCGCTCTCGCGAAACTTCGGACTCGGAGGCAAGTTTGACTGCCGGTAGTCAGAGCCCTGTGGCCTCCAAGGAAGGGCTCAACCCGTGGTTCTTGACCAGTTTGAATGCTCCGATACAGCGAATAAATAATGTCAATTTGGACAGCACCGGTCCGCGCATAACGAAATATGTTCCTGGCAAAGGCTTTCGCGAATGGAGCCAAAGCTCCCGAGAGAGGAATCGGAGAGGCTCTGCGGCCTCGATATTGCCCAGCCCGTCAGCATCCAGTCCCGACTCTTCCTCTCGGTCCGCAGCGGCGTCGCCGTCCAAACCAGCGAGCTTCCATGTTCCTCGTGTTTCAGCATCACGGACAGCAGACCAATCCAGATTATCAGAGCCTAATGAAGAGCGGCATAACAATGGGTTGGACAGATGGTTAGGGAGGTCCTCTGCGACAATGCCTTCCCGGGCATCTGCGGAATTGGATGAGCCCCAAGAGCCGTCTTTGACTCAGAGGCGATTCGAACAGTGCCTGAATGAGGGCGAACCTCCGAGCCAGCTTTCATCGACCGCAGACCTTTCTAGGCATACGCGAGAAAATTCGACATCATCAGCCACATCGCTAACTCGCCGGCCACTTGACCTCGAAGAGATGAACAATGTGCGAGGAGAGCAAGCTAAAGTCCCTATTCAGGAGGGATGGTCAACTGGACTTCACCAACTTTCGCAGTCTAATGTTACTGCACTAGAAGACGCTCTTGACTTTGAGAGACGCAAGAAAGAAGCAATCCAAATGCGTCGAGAGCAAATCCGGAGTCAGTCAGGTAACCGCAACACCAACTCGCCACACCTCAGCCGATATCTCGCTGCACGCGCTTCCTTGTCGCAACCTGAAGTTCCAACCTCCTCCAGGGAAGAAACTGTGGGTGATGCCCAATTAAATTCCTCGACAGAACCTCGCACATTACCTACCTCTGCGACACCGTCTGTCCTGCAACCATTTGATCCTAGATTGTATCTCATGCGTCGTCGGAACTCACATCTACAAGGAACATCTGACGGGAGTAAATTGCGCCGGATAAATCCTAATAAATTGCCATTTGAAACGATCCCGACCGGACAGGAAATACATGACATTGGTTTGACACAACCAATCGACACACCATACGTATCGGAAGAATTTGATAAATTGACAACTGCAGATCTATATACGCAGGATGGGCGAGAATATGAAGCGTTCGGACCCTCGGAATCTACTCCAGAGCTGCTCGAAGCCTGGGTGTATCGGCTGCGCTCACTGATCGCAAAGAGGTATAAGATCGAAGAGGGATCCGTCCCGAACGTGCAATTTGATTTGAGTGCCTTAACTCTACCATGAATTTGATGATATTTTGCGGGTGTCATAGCGCGTCTATATTTACGGCATGTATAACTATTGATTTTCATTTCTTTTCAAGCATTGATGGCAGTACACGATTCTGCGAGCATCTGAAACGGCATGGGTTTGCAAATTTACCCAAGTTCATGCCATAGTCATTTCCAATGATATAAATGCCGTTCATGACAGATCCCATCATTCCAACTTCCCAGCCAAAGCATCCAACCCGGTACCCTGAACAACACCCTGGTCCTAGAACAATCGACCCGTCAGCATAACTCACCATTGACCAGCCAACCAACAACCCAACAGGAAGAGAGAAAAGAAGGAGAACATACCATAACACCCTCCGGAACATTCACATTCGTAACCGCAAACCTCGTCTTCTCCGCATTCTCCCCACACCACACCTTCCCCGTCTGACCGGCCACAATCGCCGAAACGACCTCCTCCGCATAGACCATCAGATCTCCTCGTCCGCGGCCATCTTCGCCACGCGCCCTCGCGGCCACAGTCCCTTCAATGGCCTTGTACAGAGAATTCTCAGGGAGCTTGAAATCGCCGAAATAGGTCTGGCCTAGAGTCTGCACGGCGCCGGTTACGATTGATAACACGCGGATGTTGAAGGGTTGGAGTTCGAGTCGGAGGGTCTCGGCGATGAGTTCGAGGGAGCGTTTGGAGGCGGCGTAGGTTCCTAGTATGGTGGTTAGGTCACGCGCTTCTTATCCCAGGTACAACCACACCCACACCCGGAGAGAAAGAACAGAAGTATAGATAAAACCTACCCATATACGGCACATTCAAATACCCCGCGATAGAAGTCGTAAACACAACCGCCCCTGCTTCTCCTCCTCCTGGCCTCTTCGCATCAATCATCAACGGCATAAACGCCTTCGTCACAGCCACCGCACCCCAAACATTCGTTTCGAACAACTCCCTCGCCTGATCAAGATCCTCGTCCAGGATCGGCATGAAATGGTTCCGTCCCGCGTTGTTAATCAGATATGTTAGTTTTCTTGTCTCTACCCCTTCTCCGGTCCCCGGCCCCGTGTCTGTAGTGGTTGCAGGATCTGTAAGATAAGCACGCACACTCTCCACAGCCCGCTTGATCTGCGAGGTATCCCGCACGTCGAGAGTTAGGAGCGTGACGTGCTCTAGACCCCACAGGTTCGTCATCTTGGATGTGTCTCGCGCGGTGGCGAACACTTGGTAGCCCTTTGAATGGAAGGTTAGGGCGAGCGCGGAGCCGATGCCGTGGTCGCTGCAGCCGGTTATGAGGACGGTTGGTTGGGGCATTTTGGTAAGGGGTTTTGGTTGGGTGCTAGATAGGGGAGGAGAGAGAGAGATCTGCGATTCTTGTTAGAAGTCGGGAGAGTGAGTGACTTTATAGCCATCGTAGTTATATCTTATATTGATATCGGTGTGAACCGTGGACTGTGGACTATGGGCTGTGGAGTGAATTGAGGCTGAAATACTAGATCCTATAGCTAGTATTTCTTTATCTGATCTGGGGTGTGTTGGTTGGTTCATGCTTAGACTTGGATGCTTGGCTGTTGGTAAAGGAACAAATCAGGGGAGATTCACACAGGGTAAATTGTTGGATTGATCCCGCAGGAAGAACGAGAACGAGGAGTACAATGAATCCTCGGAATGAAGCTGTGAGACTGGTACGGTAGTGAAGGATTGGATGTCAAGGCATCCTTCCGGTAGTGGTGTTTTTGATAGCGCCAACGCAGGATTTAAGAGTAAGCCAGTCATCACTGTCTGACGCCTCCCGGCTGCGTCTGGTTCACTAATATAGGATCGGTGATTGGCGATCGGTACTTTCTGACATTGAGGCTGGCAACAAAGAAAATAAAAATAAATACCGTAGGGAGTCTAGGCCAGCAAAGCTCCCGTTTCTCAAGTGTGTATGTACACATGCATGCATGTAAGTATGTATGTATGTACCTACACATCAAACATAGCCAGTCCAATCCCATATCTACCCAGCCCACAATTATTTCAGTAACCATGTCCCACCCTTAGGAAGCCTTCCTCCCCACGATCGTAATCCTCGGGAAGGCAAACATAGCCCCCTTCCGACTCTCCGCCGCCGCCTTGGGCACTAACTCCATGATCTCCTTCGCGTTGGACCCGTTTGCCGCACGCTGCGCAACCATATCGTAGATCATCAGGTTGCAGTGATGCATCGCGTACTCGAGGTGCGGGACGGCGGCGACGCGATGCGCCTTGATGTCGAGGAGACCTTCCTTGGCGAACAGTTCGGGCAGCTGGTCCGGCCAGGCGGGGATGAGTCGCGGGTCCTGGGACGCGGTCATGTTGAAGAGCTGTTGCATGGAGTCGACGGAAACGGAGGGGTTGGTTTTGGTGAGTTTCATGCCGGGGACGTCGACTTCGGCCCATTGGAGGTAGCCGCCGGGTTCTATAAAGAGAAACGAAGGTGTTAGATTCGATGCGACCGTTGTGTATGTTGGATTGAATTGGATGGCGGGGTGGGGTGCCAAGGCAAGGAGAGTCAGGATAGGGTCGGCGGACTTAGTAGAGCGAGCAAGTTCCGTAGCAACACCGTCGGATCGCCTTTTACGACGAATACGAATAATTTGATGTGTACGATATCATACTGGCCAACCAGCTCGTCGGGGACCGGGGAGAAAGCGTCCCAGGTGCGCAGTCGCATGTTGGGCGGAAGCCACTCGGTCGGCGGTGCTTGCGCGATGTCCAGGTCATATCCGTCTAATTGGCAGGTCGAGGGGAGGTGTGGCGCTAGGTCAGAGAGCCATGCTCTGGAGGGAATAGTTAGACGCGAAGGAATTGCGATCGAAGCGATATGGGCTCACCCCGTTCCGGTCCCGACGTCGGCGATTTTCAGATCCTTGTTGGTCGTGTCGATGTCGGGGTGGAGGAGGTATCCGAACATCTGCGTCCACAGCGCATGCTGCAGGTTGAGTCTACCGCGATCGTTGAGTCAGTGAAGGCAGTGGATGATGACCATTATGAGTACCAACGTACCGAGAGCAATCGATGTAGTCTCTGCTCAGCAGATACTGGTCATCGGGGGCTGAGCCCATGTTTATGGCGTGGACGATGGATGATAGCGTGTTTGCCAGGGACAGGGATTTCGGTCAGATTCAGAGCAAATCGATAAATGGTACCTCCGTACTGTACCCCGCAATGCGAGACCTTCTTTTAAAACGCGAACCACCCACCGGTGCAATGGCTGCATGCAAGGATCAGCAGCAAAGACCAGTTAGACCGAGATCCACGGACCGTTAAGGCAAGACGGAGATGGGGAATGCAACGTCGATGAGGAGAAGGCCACGGAGAAGGACTGGAGGACTGGAGGAGGTGATAACGCGTCCCTCATCGTGACCGGGAAAATTCATCCATCCTGGTCAAACCGACAAACACATTAACACAACAACCCCTCCATTCTCCAAGCAGTCAGCAATTAATGCCGATCGGGCGCTCTCGGGCTGGCTGGACCCACTGCCGTCGTTGGGGGCCAATTTGATGACCATTTCCTGACCAATTTCAGTCCCATACACTTGTACACTGGTACTGTGCCTACAATGTCACTGTCCACGGTACACGGTCACGTTATGCACGGTGGGGGGCACGGAGTCCGTTTGAACACGATCGTTGATCCGACCAAAGTCTCTTCGCTCTTAGTTTTAAAACCCTTTCGTTCTCGATTCTTTCTTCGGTGGAAAGAGATCGTCCTAGTGTCGGTTGTGGCTTTGAACTGGTCCGTCTCATTGCCTGTCACAGTGTCAAATCAGTCATCTAGAAGGCGGGAATCTGGCCCCTTCGCACTAAAGTCCGACCTTTCCTTGGGGTCTGCTTTTTCTCTGGTCCAGCCTCGGGGCCGGCCACAATTGATGATTACTGATATTACAGAGGATTCCTGTCCCCTGTCCACTGTCCCCTGTCAAGTGTTCCTTCTACCTTCTAACAGGGGTTCTCACTCGCTATCAGAAGCCATCGCCCTGTCACCGTTAAGCACTTTGGCTTGGGCTTACAATTGTTAGGGACTCCGTAGGGACGTTTAGTGTTTAAACTTAAGGTAAACTCCGTACTCCGTAGTTTTTTTTACCGTTGGAAGGGTCTAAATTTGCTGACTCGTACACATAAAAAGAGGGGTGACACCACCGACGATTCCAACCACCCCCGCGCTCTAGTGAGAGTCTCCAACTCTACACGCTCTTTACAAAGCTCTACAGGCTCTCCAGGCTCTCCAAGCTCTACAACCCTACAACCCTACAACCCTACAACAACACTCCATGACTCTATGACCATGACTCTATACACACCACCCCCAAACCCTAATTTCTCCCCCGCCTCTTCTGTCATCTCCTCCCTCTCCCACCCTCCAATGACCGCCGCCAAACCCACGATCGTCCTCGTCCACGGGGCCTGGCACACGCGCCCGAGCTACCGCCGTTACATCGACGATCTAACGGCGCACGGATTCACCGTCTACTGCCCGCAGCTACCCTCCTGTAGCCTCAGCCGCCCGCCCGTGGCCGGCTACGCCGACGACGTGGCCGCCGTGCGCCGCACCGTCGAGCCCCTCGTCAACGCCGGGCAGCGCGTCCTAATACTCATGCACTCCTACGGCGGCATCGTCGGCACCGACGCCGTCGCCAACCTGACCTGGCCCGAGCGCCAGGCGCAGAACCTCCCCGGCGGCGTCGTGCACCTGGTCTACCTGTGCGCCTACATCGTGCGACCCGGTGCCTCCGTCCTCAGCGTCTGCCAGGAGGCCGGCATGATGCATCTCTGGCCGCAGTGGGTGGAGAACGCCGACGACGGGACCACCTTCCCCGTCGACCCCGTCTTGATGTTCCTCGGCGGCGTCGACCGCACCCTCATCGACGAGGCCCTGTCGCATCTGGTGCGCTCGCCGCATGACGTCTTCATGACGCCCGCCGAGGGCGACGCCTGGAAGAAAATCCCCGGGACGTATGTCCTCACGCAGAACGACTACTCCGTCCCCCGGATCTACCAGGACCTGATGCTCAAGAAGGTCCGGGAGGACGGCGTCGAGATGCGGCTGCTGGACTACAACACGGGCCACTCCATTTTCTTGACCATGCCGGACGAGATGGTCCAGTTGATCGAGGAGGCGGCGGTGGATGAGCGGAATCCGAGGTAATGTTAATGTCTAATTTCATGGGGGGTGTGTGGGAGCCGGCCGGGAAAAGGAGATTAATTGGGAATCTTGTTCATTCATGTTCATGTTTATGTATTTAGCACAGCATAGCAATCTGTCCGTTCGTCTGTAGCAGTGTTTTGCAACGTTGGTTGTTGCAAGACATACGATCGATTGTTCGTCAAGCGGTTTAGCGTATTCGAAAAGAATTCATTGCAGAGTTTTTTCTTTCCTTTTCTTTTGATTGTTCTTTGTTGTTGTTGTTATTGTTAATTTGACTTTTACATATTTGCTCTTGACCTCGCGGTCTACTACTACTATGAAAATATACCTTGATATGTGACCTATCCAAGTTTCAACTCGTCCTACAATGACTATTGAGATTGAGAATGGTATTGTACTATGTTCAACTAATTCTCTGCGCAAGAAGATCCATTCAGCCATCACTTTCGAAATAGCAATAGTACGGTCCATGGACCACCTTCCTATTGAGCATCAATCTTGTGTTGCAGCGGATGATGAGAAGCACGTCCAGTCAATCCGTGTCTGTCCAACCCGTGGGAGAGAATATTTCCATGTAGCCTATGCCATGTCGATACGGCCATTGGGTGATCAATAATACAAAAATAGTCTAGTCCAGTACTTGGATCTCGAAATAAGTATTACGGACTAAGACGTTGATGCACTTCGGAAAGAAAGATGTCATTATTGTATTGCATATATCAGGGGCCTTCGAGGACGGCGAACCGGCTATTCCTCAAGCATCTACAGCCTACAGAATAGTCTACATCTTACCTTCAAAATATAACTAGACGATGCAAACCTCCCAATGAGTCGGAACCAGTAAAAAGGGGGGTTCCGCGTATCTCAAATGGAAGAGACGTGGTCTACGGATCAGATCCAGATCCAGATTCAGATCCAATCTCTCAACGCGAAAGCCTTATCCCATGCCAATCAAAATCAACCTCATCACACAGATGCGTGGCTGGGACCATATCTGACGAAGCGGATTGTCACTCGTCTCGTTCGTTGTTTCCCTTCCGACTCGGTCGGCTCGTCGACGCCGTCGTGGGTAGGTTCCACATTTCCATGCACGAGTCTACCTCTGTCCTAGAACCATTGCTTATAGGTATTATCGTTCGTCTTTCTTCGCATACTGAACGCGTGCCAGAGGTTCGGAGATGGCGGGTTCGGCAGATAGACGCAGATCACGACCAGCGGCGTTTCGATTGACGGGAAACTTATTGCTGTCACGAGGGTATACGCGTATAAAGTCGCGTTAGCTGATCTCGATCTCTATCTCGACGCGGTAGGGGGGACGGATAATTTTGCCAATGCGGATACTATGGACAGGACGAGACGAGTTAGTTTTTCTTTCTTTTGCTTTCGGTCTTGGAGAGGGAAACATAGACATAAAATCGCAGGTGTCAAAGGAAGAACTCACGATCCACTGTCGACCCCCCCTCCTTATAACAGCGCCCTTCTTCCACTTGGTCCGATTCAATCGTCGGATGAGCTGCTTGTCTAGATAGACACAAGACAATCATGTCGGTCCGGACGCTGTTTCATCCACTCTCACTTCCAAAGGATATCGCACTCTTTTCTCGCCATATTCAATACCGCCTGGAGATGGTGTTCGCGTAGTAGGATTTGATCTGGTCGGTGCAGTGGTCGGGGCCGGCAACGGCAACGGCATTAGCGACGTTCCACGTGCGAACAGGCAGCATGTGAAAACTGTGCTCGCCGACGGAGATCATTTACGTAATGGCGTGGGGAAAGGGCTAGGGCTCCGTTTCATGGAGAATGTGGCGAGGGCGATCTGGCGGAGAAGATGTTATCGGTGTACGGTGTGCGGAGTACTCCGTAGGAATAGGAATCTGATAGCTGAGCTGTGAGGGGTTCGGTAACATCATAGCACGGTATCTAGCATGAGCGATCGTGCAAATCAATCAATGAGAGAGTGATGTGTTGGCAATGGAGAGGGCAGGCCCGCCCAAGACGATCCATTCCAACCCCGCCGATCTTCCGCGTTCTGGAAGAAAAGTTTGCCACGAAATCGTCGGAGTACTCCAATCGGGGGGAGGGCACAGGGCCAGGGTCTCCCGAATAGCAGTCGCTTTCATTCGCCGGAAGTATTGAAACCTTTTATATATCCTGAATATCTCCGGAGAGGATGAAGCCGTGGGGGCGATAACTGGTACCTCCAGCCCTGTCTCGGAATGGTTAGCACCGCGAAGGCCAAGACAGGCAGGACAGGACAAGGACAATCTCCCAATGCCGTCCGTTGCTGATCTCTGCTCCGTAGTTACTCTGAAGAATTCACTTGCAGATTCCACTCCGTGCAGAAAGTCCAGTCCAGAAGGCCAGAAGACGCGGCCGACAAGGGCTGTCAGACGGTGGCACTGGCTTATGTATTCTTAGCCAGCGCCATCGGACCAGGACTGACGGCGCCAAGCGAGCCACATCCCCACTCTGTTGCAGTTTTCTAGCGACTAGAGACGAATCGATAGATGGCGCGACACCAGGCCAGAGTATATTACTCCTGAAGGATTAGTTAGATTACTTGGGGCGGGAGAACGGAGCCCGCTGTCTCTCCTGACTGGCTGTTCGGGATATCCGTCTATTATTGCTATTATTGGGCTACAGGTTACAACCCTAACTTCCTAAGGGACGGAGTACGGAGTACGGTGGACGGTGTGCTAACTGTTCGGAGAGAAAAATCAAAACCTTGACTGCGCCCCTCTTTTTTCTTTTTCTTTTTTTCTTTTTTTTTTTTTTTTTTTTTCCCTTTTACCTGACTCGGTCCAAAGTTGCTTTCACCGCGTCCACCAATGCCATGAGATCATCCCCGTCTGCGGGCACCGCATGTCCAACCCTGTGAATCACCTGCTGGTTGACCTCCTGCGCACACAACTGCGACAGGGGCGGGCCCATGCCCGGATAATCCTCATCGTGGGTGGCCCAGCAATTCACGACGGGAATCTCGATGCGAGGAGCAGGCCGGTCGCACAAACTCGGCGTGATCAATTCGACGCGCCCCCTTTTCAGTGCCTCCCAGGCAAAGGGCAGACCGCCGCAGAGGAAAACCGCGCACCGGAAGGGCGGCAGCCGAGGCAGATGGGTCGAAGGATCCACATCGCCCATCGGACACGGACTTGGAGTGGGACGGGATCCGTGTGTCTGTTCTGTTTGTTGTGTTTCCGTCGGACGGGTGTTGAGTGTTTGTGGCACTGTCACTGTCACTACGGACTCTGACTCTGTCCGTCTCGGCATTTGGGTCTGACTCTGTGCGATGATCAGCGTGGCAGCCAATACAGCGCCTTGCGAGAAGCCGATCACCCCGTCAAACGGCCCATGGGTGTCGATGTACTGCGCCAGATCGACCACGGCCCCGAGGATGCTGGCGGCTGATTCGTCAAAGTAGGAGAAACTCTCCACCTCGTCGCCGAAGACTTCGCGAATGCCTCGTGCGGGTGGCCAGAGCACCGCGCCGTCGATGAAGTCGAACTCGTGGCTGTCCGTCGCGTCTAGGTGGTATCGTAGAGAGGCTAACGTGGTGGGGTTAGATTGATCCTAGAGTCGGGGAGGAAAAAAAAAAAAAAAAAAAGGTAATAAATCTAACCGATTTGTGTTTTGAGGACCTGTGGTTATGAATCAGGGGAATTCTGGTAGGCCATGTGGGAGAGACATCTTACATCGCTGCTCGTCCCTTGGCCATGTAAACAGAGGAAACGCATGGTTTTGAGGGGATGGAGGGGGATGTCCGAGACCGAGGAAGTACTCCGTAGTGGCAGTGGCACCCAAGATCAAAGAAATCAAGATTCCAGCAATGGATTAGGCACTGAATACGTAAAGGAAGTGAAATTAAAGTGAAAATCACCGAGCCCTGCAGGACAAACCGGCTGTGGTCTGGCAACACTCGCATATCGTCACTGGGCCATGTGGGATTGAATCATTAATAAAAAGCCGCCAGGGGGGGGGTAGTATCGCTTAAAAAGTGAAAAAACCCAGTCACTAACAGCAGTAGTTGCGAGACTAAGAGTGGGCGGTGCTTGTGTTAAACTTCCCATTTCTTCCGAACCAGGAATCTCCCCGACCCGCGACCTCCGTCCAACTCTCACAGTCACTGGTCTGTCACTTGTCAGTGCATCCGACACTTGTTGACAATCACGGTCGGACGACTTCCATTCACTCCAATGTCCCAAGGAGGTTAGAGATCCCGGCGAAGGGGCCCCTTCATCTTTTAGTTCGACCCTTTCATCTACGCGATTAACTTACTTATACTCCGTATTCCCGTTCCCAGGCCACGCGACCCCCCGGTCGGTCGCTAGTTTAGTCGCTTCTGCCAGGGTATCCTTGGGGGTTTTCCCCCCTGTCGTTTTTGACGTTCTATTTTTATTATTGACCATCCTAATTTTCGTATTACTGTTTAATTTTCCTCACGATGCAGACCGACGACGATCCGATCGCCGTGGTCGGCTTCTCGTTGAGATTCCCTCAGGATGCTGACACCACCGAGTCCTTCTGGGACATGCTCAGCCAGGGCGAAAATGCCATGACCGACTTCCCCTCCACCAAGTTCAACATCGACGCCTTCGAAGGTCGCAAGAATGCCATGAACGGCACGGTTTGTCCTTCCCCAATCCCCTCGGAAATGTTGAGACCATATCACCTGACTGATGACCCCCCGTAGATGCCGCTGCGAGGAGGCCATTTCCTCAATGGAGACCTGAGCCTCTTCGATGCCCCCTTCTTCTCTATCACCCCGGCGGAGGCTAAAGCTATGGACCCTCAGCAGCGCATCATGCTGGAAACGTCATATCGCGCGCTAGAAAATAGCGGCATTCCCATCACCAAGTGTCACGGGAGTAGGACGTCCGTGTATACCGCCACCTTCACGGATGACTACAAGAGCGTGCTCATGGATGCGCCGGATAACCTACCCAAATGCGCCGCGACGGGCCTGTCGGGTTCCATGCTCGCCAATCGCATCAGCTGGTTCTACGACTTCAAGGGTCCGAGCATGAATCTGGACTCCGCGTGTTCGAGCAGTTTGAGCGCGCTGCATATCGCGTGTGGCGATTTACATAATGGTACTTCGCAAATGGTATGAGAACATGATCCCGGGATAGTGAATGAATTAGCTAATGAATTTCACCTCATCCAGGCCCTGGTCGGTGGCTGCAACCTCGTCTTCCACCCGGACTTCATGCTCATCATGTCCAACATGGGCTTCCTATCCAGCGACAGCCGCTGTCAGAGTTTCGACCACAAAGCCAACGGCTACGCCCGCGGCGACGGGTTCGGCGTCGTGGTGCTGAAGAAGCTCTCGGCGGCGGTCAAAGATGGCGACACGATTCGTGCCGTGATCCGCGCCACGGGCCTGAACCAGGACGGCCGCACGTCTGGCGGAATCACGCAGCCGAGTGGCGCGGCGCAGCAGGCGCTGATCGAGGAGACGTTTGCGCGCGCGCAGCTGGACATGCGGTCGGTGCGGTTCTTCGAGGCGCATGGCACCGGCACGGCACTGGGAGATCCGACGGAGGCGGGGGCGATTGGGAGATCGTTCCGGGAATTCCGGTCGGAGGAGGAGCCGTTGTATGTCGGGGCTGTGAAGTCGAATATTGGGCATTTGGAAGGAGGGAGTGGAATGGCCGGGTTGTTGAAGACGATCCTTATGCTAGAGAGGGGTGTGGTTTTGCCGAATGCGGGATTAGAGAAGGTTAATCCGAGGATTGATACGAAGGATTTAAGAATTCGGGTGAGGATTTGTGGCCATTCGTGGTTCTAACTGTGGGGGATTAAAAGCTGATATATCTGTTTAGTTCCCGACGGTCTCGATGCCATGGCCGAATTCAGGCTTGAGACGTGCTTGCGTGAGTGGCGGTTTACCCCATTCGGGAGAGGACATATTGCTCACGATCAACAGGTCAACTCCTTTGGATTCGGAGGTTCCAACGCCGTGGTCGTTCTTGACGACGCGCTACATTACCTGGAGGAGCGTGGGATGGACGGGCTCCACCGCACGACAGACATCGAAGACATTGAGCAGGAACGCCCCTCTAAGAAACCGCGACTGGAAGGCCCATCACGATCAACGGACACGGACACTTCTCAACCGCCCCGGCTATTGGTGTGGTCTGCGGCCGATGAAACGACGCTCAACACGACGCTGGACTCATTCACCAATTTTGTCCGTCCCGGAAAGAGACAAGCATCTTCGACGTCGCTCATCTCCGATATGGCATATACGCTCACTGCCAAACGAACGAATCACGCCTGGCGCTCGTACGCAGTTGCAGGGAATAGTGAGGATCTCGGGTCGCTGGAGAAATGGACCGCGAAACCGACAAAAGCGACCAGCGAGCCGGGATCGCTAGCTTTTGTCTTTACGGGTCAGGGCGCACAGTATCCGACGATGGGCCATGGGCTGCTGGCATTCCCATTCTTCCAATCCCGTTTGATGGAAATCGAGAAGATCATGTGTGATCTAGGATATAGCTGCTCTTTGCGAGGTAGGCTAACATCCAATAACTGGGCAAAAACTGGAGGCCGCTGACTGATTAACGCAGAATTCCTCTCGAATCCCTCGTCGCCTGTGAATCAACCGGAACACAGTCAGACGGTGACGACTGCAATTCAGATTGCGATCGTCGACTTCCTGAAGTCTGTGGACGTTGTCCCGGCGGCGGTTGTGGGCCACTCATCTGGAGAGGTTGCGGCAGCGTATGTCTTCTTCCGTGACGATATACCACAAGCTAACTGTAGAATAGGTACTGTGCAGGTGTCATCAGCGACGTAACAGCACTAACGATTGCCTTCCACCGAGGTCGTCTCGCGCAGAAACTCCCCAAACTTCACTCCGCGTCACAGGGCATGCTTGCGGTGGCGATGAGCGAGACAGACATCAAACCCTTCATCGATAGACTGAGCGAGCATATCGAAACACCTCGAGTCCAGATCGGCTGCCACAACAGTCCCCAGAGTCTCACGCTAACCGGAGATGCCGACCAACTCTCGCTCATCAAAGGATGGCTCGAAGAGGGCAAGCATTTTTGTCGAAAGCTTCGAGTCAACGTCGCATATCATTCCGTTTTCATGGAAGCCGTCAAAGAGGAATACCGACTCGCACTGAGCCATATCGACAAGGACCCCGTGCAACGCGATCTAATCCCCATGATCTCCAGCGTGACAGGCACTATCGCCCGGCCGCGCATGCTGTGTGATCCTGACTACTGGGTGCAGAATCTCGTCTCCCAAGTCCGCTTCTCGCCCGCAGTGTCTCTTCTGGCCGTTCAATCGGGCAAACCGCCGCGAAAGCAACTCACTTCGAAGAAACCGCAGACGCTGTCGGGCATCAATATGCTCGTTGAGATCGGCCCCCACTCCACCCTGCAGGGCCCGTTGAAGGAGATTCTCACCAAGGCGCGCGCTCAGGATCGTATCAATTATACAGCGACCTTGTCCCGGCAGAAAGACGCCTCCAGGGCGATACTGGAAGCCTTAGGACGCCTCTGGGGCTTCGGACATCCGGTCAATCTACTCAAGGCCAATTGTATTGACAGCGCAGTACCGAGGCCTGTGCGGACAGATCTCCCGGAATATCCGTTCAACCACTCTAGGAGTTACTGGTTTGAAGATCGACTGAGTTCTGCGTTCCGATTCCGAAAGCATGCTCCCCACGAGCTGCTGGGTACATTGACGCTCGATTCGAATACGCAGGATGCGCGCTGGCGTAACATCATTGATCTCGAGAAACTTCCGTGGTTGGAGGATCATCAGGTAAACCTTCACTTCGAGGGCTGGTCCCCCTTTTTGTACAGGATCGAAAATTGACAATGAAACAGATCAGCGGTGACATTCTCCTCCCTGGTGCAGCGATGCTCTCCATGGCGATCGAAGCCGTCCGGCAATTTTCAAGCGGTAGCGACATCACTATCACAGGCTTCGACATCCGCGACATCCACTTCCTCAACGCCCTCCAAGTCCCACCCACTAGTCCAGGACTCGAAACCCAAGTATCCCTGACCAAGCAAGAAACCAGCAGGCCCGATGTCCAACCCTGGTACAAATTCCGCATCCTCACCTACACGTCCGAATGGCTGGAACACTGCAATGGCTCCATCCGAGCGCAAGTAGCACCACAGGAAATCAACCCAGCCCGATACAACGCCGAGCTCCTATCCATCATCAACAGCTGCACCGAAGACGCCCAGATCACCCGCGTCTACAACTCCATTCGCGACAACGGCGTCAACTACGGTCCCATCTTCCAGACCCTGAGCGACGTGCAGATCGACAAGAATGGCGCCGCCGTGGCGCACGTTCGCCCGTTCTCCAATGACGCACGGGTTATCGAGTCAGCGAACGTCGATCTCAAACCGTATGTGATGCATCCATCGGTTCTGGATGGATTATTCCAACTGGTCTTCCCGGCTCTGAATGAAGGAGGCGCGCGCGATATCCCAGCTATGGTGCCCTCGTATGTCCGGAAGCTGTTCATCTCCGCGGACGCCTCCTCGTCTGGACAAAGTGCGCCACTGCAAGCGAGTACTCGATCCGCACTTCACGGTTTCCGCGGGACCGTATCAAACGTCGTCGCGATGTCGGAAGCCGGCGATAAAGTGCTGTCGTATATGGAGGGGTATCGGACGACGTTCGTCTCGCAGACTGAGAGCCTTGAGTCGTCCGACGACAAGGACAGACATCTGCTGAGCTATTTGAAATGGCAGCCCGATGTCACGCTGATGGATAACGAGCAACTTGCGCAGTTCTGCGCACAAGCAACGCCAAAGCCGGAGACTGTTCTTTCCGGGTTTGATAGCCGTCTCGCGCTCCTCATGCGGTCTTACGTGCACGAAATTCAAGAGGCCCTTCACCCGTCCTGGCCGGATGGTATTCCCAAGCAACTTGCTGGATACATCGCAGAAGACACTAATGGGAAGGACGGCGAGAACGCAATCATGCGCCCGAAGACGAACGGCATCCACGATCCCAGCACCCGCGTAGCCCTGGAAGAGGAAATCAGAGCCGCCAACAAGACCGGAGAGTTCTACGTTTCGCGAGGACAGCAGCTTTTGACCTTCCTTCAGCAAGGCCCGACGTTCTCGCCCCCCGAGATCCAGGAGTCCCAGGATGACATCATTCAGGGGTATCTGAACGAACGACTGGCAAGCGAGCATCTCGGAAAGCCATTGGAGGCGTACTTGTCTGCTCTAGCGCACAAGAACCCGCTCATGAAGATCCTGGACATCGGCGGCGGCTGGCAGGATACTGCCCCCTGCGCAGAGATTCTCTCCAAATCTGGCCAGGCCCTGTGGGCTCAGTATGACTACACGGAACGAGGCCCAGAAGATCTGAAGAGGGCGGAGGAACGGCTCTCGAGCTTGTCTGACAGTGTCCAATTCCAGACCCTCGATATCGAGAACGATCCTGTCGATCAGGGATTTGGCGAGGGCTCTTATGATATCGTCGTTGCGACTTCAGTGAGTAGACTTTGCCTCTGTCTTGTGGCACGAAACTAACTATTCTATTCTAGGTTCTGCACTCGTCGCCCCATCTCAGTAACGCACTCAAAAATATCCGAAGACTTCTCAAACCGTAAGTCCAACCCAATGTTTCCAAGTTACCAGATTAGAGCGTGACTTATAACTGATTAAAACAGAGGCGGTCATCTCATCCTCTTCGGCGTCATCGCATCCCCTCAATTGAGAACCGTTCTCGCAACGACCCTGCTCTCAACATGGGGCCGAGCCCCTAATTCCGGTCGTCCCCGGGGCGGGTCCTACACCAAGGAGAGTCTACATCGACACTTGACAGAAAGCGCCTACAACGGTCTCGACTTCATTATCCCCGGCTCTTCTGAATACTCCGATACGAGCTTCGTCATTGCGTCGGCGAACGACCCAGCACCGCGTCCTAAAGAAGAGCTTCCTTCGCGACTAGCCATTCTCACAGACGGAACCACCTCCTCGCAACAGGCCTTCGCTGCGCAATTGAAGACTCACATTGAGACGACAGCGAAAGAAGTGCAAGTCGACGTCTATCCGTTTTCCGAGTTCGTGACCACTGCCGCCGCGCACGACCGGTTCTGCATCTCGCTTCTCGAATACGAGCAACCGTTCTTCCAGGATATTGGGTCCGAGGATTTTGATCGGTTGAAGACCGCGCTGTCAATCACGGACGCGATTCTTTGGGTGACCAGGGACGGAAAACAATCTGATAGTCCGCAGTTTCATCTCGTGGATGGGTTCTCGCGCTCGTTGCGCTCGGAGAACGGCACGCTGAAGTTCGTGCGACTAGCCCTAGACGGCGGGCTGGGCAAGAAACTCGATGATGGACTGGGGTCGGTGATGACGATTCTTCGGCAGGCGAATAGCTCGGCGCTGGATGAGATGGAGTTTGAGTATGAGGAGAGAGACGGGTTCCTGCAAATCCCTCGTGTGGTGCAGGCGCCGGACATGAATAAGATCCACGAGGCGAAGATCACGCCGTTCCAGGAACAGGAGGTCCAGGTGGGTGATATGCCTCTAACGGCGGTGATGAAGACGCCAGGGATTATCAACAGCATTGGGTATGAAGAAACTCAGGATTCCGATGCCGATGGATCTTTGGAGTGGGATGAGATTCTGATCGAGGTCCAAGCTGTTGGCGTCACCGCTGAAGACTACAATATCGCCTTGGGTCAGAATACCGAGGAGGCTATCTTCTCGGAGTGCGCTGGAATCGTCAGGCAGGTTGGGTCGGACAGCGGGTTCACCGTCGGGGACAATGTCTTTGCCAGAGTCCCCGGTGCTTGTACTACGGGGCTGAAATGCAAGGCATCCTGTGCTGCGCGTCTGCCGGCGGGATCCGTGTCGTTCCTTGAGGCTGCAGCCCTTCCCACGGCCGGTGTGACCGCATTGCATGCGTTGACCGGCGTGACTAATCTTTCCGGCGGCGAGACCGTCCTCGTGCATCACGCCGCCAGCGCTGTCGGACAAATCGCGGTGCAGATCGCCCAGCACCTCGGAGTAAGGATCATTGCCACGGTCGACACGGAGGAAGAATCCACGCTATTGCGAGAAACCTACCAGATCAACGCCGACTGTGTACTGTCTAGACATGACCCCGAGCTCCCCCAGCAGATTGCAGCTCTGACTTCGCGCGGCGTTGACGTTGCACTCAACTTCGAGCAAGGTGATGACCTCGATCACTGTATTGAGGCCCTCGCGCCTTTTGGTCGACTCGTCAATGTCGGACTGGCGCGCAATATGCCATCCGACCATTTGGTGGAAGAGATGGCCACGAAATGCATCACCAATTCAATATTCACTGTTTCGAGTTTGCAGCACCTTCGACCGTCGTTGGTCCAGAAACACCTCGAGACCCTTGCGTCATTAATCTCTAGTGGAACCATCAAAGCCGTAGCTCCCTTGTTGGCTTTCCCTGCAGCTCAGCTCGGCCAGGCCCTGCAACACTTCCAGAAGGGACATAACATGGGCAAGGTCGTCGTTGATCTGCGTCCGAAGCAGTCTGTGATTGTAAGTATCCTTCTGCTCCCACTCAACTTTCTTTCTACCTTCCGACATCTAATGCATTATCATCCAGGCTCGTGTCCGCAACCGCCCATCCTACACCTTCGACACCAACGCAACCTACGTGATCGCAGGAGGCTTCGGCGGCCTTGGCCGCAACGTCTGCCGCTGGATGGTCAGCAGAGGCGCGAGGAACCTGATGATTCTTTCGCGCTCCGGCGTTCGGACTCAGTCGTCTAAGCAACTCATTGCGGAGCTGACGGCCTCGGGCGCCTCTATCCAAGCCCCAGCCTGCGACATCACGCAAGCCGAAGATCTCCAGCGAGTTCTGGCGGAGTACGGTGCAAACATGCCGCCTATTCGGGGCTGTATTCAATGCACCATGGTGTTACGGGTATGCTCACCATCTCCTCTCCCACATTCCCTATTAGAGAAACAACGAAGCTAACAACCCCCCGTCCAGGACGCCATCTTCACCAACATGACCCACTCGGACTTCATCACCGGCACGCACCCGAAAACCCACGGCTCCTGGAACCTCCACTCCCAGCTCCCCTCAGGCATGGACTTCTTCGTTCTCTTCTCTTCCGTCGGCGGCATCCTCGGCGCCACCAGCCAAGCGAACTACTGCGCCGGCAACACGTACAAAGACGCCCTGGCGCGCTACCGCACGCGACTCGGCGAAAAGGCCATCTCCATCGACCTTGGCATGATGGTCTCCGAAGGCGTAGTCGCCGAGACAGACGGCATGCTGGACTCGCTGCGCCGACTCGGCTACTTCAAGGACGTCAACCCGACAGACCTCCTCGCTCTTCTGGATCACTACTGCGACCCGATTCGACCGGTACCATCCTCGGAGTCACATGAAGCGCAGATCGTCGTGGGTATCGAGAACCCAGCCGGCATGGCACACAAGGGCCTCGAAGTCCCACATTGGATGTCACGGCCGTTTTTCAAACACTTCCAACTCATTCAAGCCGCGGGACAGTCGTCACCAGACGGCAGCGGGAAGAACTCGCAGCAGCAACCTGATGCGCAGAGCATCTTACAACAAACTGCCTCGGTCGAGGAAGCCGGCGCACATATTGCAGAATGGCTCGTCAAGAAACTTTCGCAGATCCTAGGCATCCCTGTGGCGGAGATTAGTCTGCAGAAACCCATCCACGTGAATGGGATTAATTCGTTGGTGGCGGTGGAGTTGCGCAATTGGTTCGAGAAGCGGATGGGGGCGGATATTGCGGTGTTTGAGATCTTGGGGAGTATGGCGATTACGCAGTTGGGGTTGTATGCGGCGGAGAAGAGCAGGTTTCGACAGGGGAGTTAGGTTGGGGGCTTATGTGTGTATGATTACGTGGGAGGGTGGGGGGTCGTTTTTGCTTGATAGCGTTCTGCTGATTGTTTTGCATTTTCAATTTCATTGTATTTCGATACTTTTGAGTTAGGGCTTGACTTCATAGGAGCATGACACTGCATACATCTATCATACAAATATCCAGTCTTACATGTACATTCACTCTACGCAAGCTCCACGACAGAACACACAGAACACGGTTGATAAGTAAAAAGTGAACTCCATCATTCTATACCCATAACTCCATATATACAAACATATCCTCATAACCTCACACTCCCATCCCTCCCCAACATTATCCCCAACCCAATCACCAAGGAACATCCTCCCCCGTCGCCATCCTCATCTGACCCGGATGTTGTTGCACATAATCCTCGATATCCAAATACGCCGCCAACACACTCTCCTCATCCGCGTACTCCCCACTACTGAGTCCATAAATGATTCCATCCACACCGGCCTCGCCGAGCATCTTCTTCACCATCCAGCCCTCCCCCTCATCTGTCGTCCAGGACATCACGGACCCAATCTGTCCGCCTTCACGAGCTTGACTGCCCTGTTTCAAGACAGAGCAGACCCCCTCATCGTCATCGTCATCGTCATCACAAGACCCAAACCCCTCCTCCGTCAAATCCACAGCCCCGTAATCCATAACCCTCTGCTTCGCATCCACATTCGTATCAAGTCCCTCAAACCACCCCTTCACATCCCCAACCCTCCCACTCAACACAACCGCCTCCCTCTCTTTCAACTCCGCGCTAATAACACTGAACCCCCTGCTACTCTCCTGCGCATAAAACCCATACAGCACGGCGATGCCGTTCTCAAGTAACAACTCCCTCGCAAGGTCCCGTAACGCTTCGATGGAACAGGCCCGGGAGGGGTCACATTCGTCGGGATTCTTGATGTCCAGCCACACGAAGGAGATGTTTGAGCTGGAGCTGGCGGAGGCGATGGCGGTGAAGAGGTTTGAGGCGGTCGAGCGGGCGCTGCAGAGCGTGTTGTCGTGGTCGGCGTACCAGCCGTATTTGTGGGCTGTGAGGTCGATTTCGAGGGCGTTGGCGCCGTGCGAGAGGGCTGCGTTTAGGGAATCGGTGGTGAGGACGCGGTGCGCGATGGCGTAGATGGGGCGGGGAGAGGATGTTGGTGTTGATGTTGAGGAGGAGGTAAAGGAGGAGAATGTGGTGGTTGAGGGGGAGAGCGAGGTCATGAATGTAGATGCTGTTGTTTGAGCGGATGCCGCTGTGTTCGAGAGGGTGAGGGAGAGGAGGAGAGGGAGGAGGTTTTTGACAGTGTGGAGCTTCATATCGAATGGTAGATTCTTATAGTATATCAATATAAAAAATGATATAGTATACTATTGACAATCGAGCACGTCTTCAGCAAGATAACCTTCTCAACCATTCCACAACCCCCTTTATAGATAGTAATCATGAACACCCCAACCAGCACTACCACTAAACACAGGCACACATATTTCGCTCCTCCCTCGACCCCATTTCGCCCCATCTACCCATGCAACGCAACAGTGTGGGCTAATTCCATCGTGCACGTAGTAGCGTAGCGTACAACACCATAGACAGTATACGTCAACAACATACCCTCAGCTAAGTAAGCGGAGCAAGCCCAAAGAAAAACCAGACACTAGACACTAGACAGTACTCCGACTATGGATTGAGTCTTATGATGGGGCTACTGGGGCTAGATGTAGTTCTTTTCTGTCCACGTCAATGGAGATTGGATGACCACTACTATTCAGAATAGTCCTGGTGGTCCACAGTGTAAGGACGTCCTACTCGGCAGATATGCACGGGAGGATGTGATGGGGCTAACGTTCAAACGTATACACTATGTTTATTTATTGCGGAAGTAAATATTTCTACGAAATCGTATAAGAGGGAAAAATTCGAACCCGCAGACTGCAGAGTCTACGTACTCGGAGGTGGCTTTCCCGACTACGTACGCACGCCTCGGGAAGTGTCCGTGGGTTGATAAAATTTCAACACCCACATAAACCCAGAGGCACATCAAGTAGACAAGGTAAGGTAACCCTAGATATTGGCCTTCAAGTTTCAACATATCCAACTTGAACATAAACTAATGTAGGATTTTATCTGAAGGAATACATAACCAGGTAGATAAATAGTTGCCTTATGTCTACGGGCCAAGAAGTCGATATACAGGACGATTTAGGAAATGATCCATCCAGGTATCCTGTCCTACTAACATAAGTATAGTATAGGTTCGGGGCCAGAGAGTGAAACCAGCCTTGACTCGATCAGACCCCATCAATAAGAGTAGACTCGTGATCCCAGTGTATATACAGGGTGATAACGATAGTTACTGTTCGGTAGGTAGAGATCAAGAGATGCGGAAAAGATCGACATGAAAATAGTCCTAGTCCCCCAACCCACCATTGCGATCGACAAACCATTTACTCGATTCAGATCAGACATTATGAACCGATCAGGCATCGCAATAAATGAAACTCGACGGGCTCGTCCAAAAGAAGGCAGACATACTGTGTACGGAGTATGTACGGACGACCGGCTCAAAAGAGCAGAACTTGTCATGCGCCTCGGACTGGATTCGGACTGGATCCGGTCGGAATTACTCGATCGATCCTTTTATGCTATGATGTCTTATGCGTAGGACGTTACTCCGTACTGCGCCTCCGTAGGGCATTCGGGAAAGATCCACTCCACTTCTCTCTCTACCTCTTAAGGTGTGCGGAGTACGCTTAGTTTGACCGTTTGACCGTTTGACCGTGTCTTTTGGCTTTTGGCTTTTGGATGCTGAGCCCGGATTGAGGGAGATGGACAAGTCGATTCGTATTTATCGTGTCAAGTAGTTGGAAAGCATGAAATGGTGGCGGAACCCTTTTTATTTTCACTGACTTCTTTTCTTTTTGCCACTTTTTTCACTCTCCGGAACACAGTCCGAGTATAGACTAACTAGCGAATAGACTAGAGTGAAGAACCACAGACAAGTTCCACAGCGCAACGCAAGTTCGCAACGTAATCTATCAATATCAATCAATCTAATCTCCACGCCACTATCTATTAAATTTAGATCTGAGGTCGTTGACCGATGACAATAATCACCTTATGTCAGTTCTGAGTGGGACGAGCAATGTTGCTTTGGATGGTTGCGTGACCGGATATATATCCATGATCTTTGTTTTTCTTAGTCTCACCAAACTCTTCACACTCACAATTTCTTGACAGATAAAAGAGTACCTTAATTCCTACATTCGATATAGCAAACAGAAAAAGAACATTCAATGGTATGAGTATGTTATGGTATCACCGCTAAAATGTTAAATCAATCATCCTCCCATGAAAATGCAATGAACAGAAAGGAAAAGTGCAAGTGGCAGGACATATGCCATCAAGAACAATGCGACAAAATTAAAAATCCGATGTCACAATCCTACAATATAAAGGCTTCGTGCTCCTCGTCGCTCATGTTCCGCCAGAAGCGCATCTGTCGTTCGCGTTCGCTCAACATGCATCGCTCGTCTTCGGCCAGCTCCGACTCCCGCAGCCACTCGTTCGGTAGATCGCGCACCCCGTATCGCTGCCCCCATTGTCGTCGCTCGTACTGCATGAACCCGCCGAAATGCTCGTCCGCGTTGGCCACCCAGATCGTGCCGCCGTCCGCCGAAAAGTCCGCCCCGCCGATCTCGCCGAAGAAATCCTGCACTTGACGCGTCTGGTAGGTCTGCGCGTTGACGATGCAGATCCGGTCCGCTGGTTCGCAGAGCATCAACGTCCGCGGTCCACCGCCCACCGGTGAGAACCGCAGGGACCGGTATCCCGCCACGTCTGACTCGATCTTCTCCAGCGGTCGCCACGTGCGTGCGTCCCAGATGATGGCCGTCTTGTCCTGGTTGCTGGTGGCGATGTGTCGCATGTCCGGGGACCAGGCGCAGGCGAACCCAAAATCGCGGTGTCCCCGCAGCGGGTGCACCGGTCGCCCCGAGTCCGCCTCCACAACCCAAGCGTCCGGCGAGTCGCCAATGACCACGCGCAGTCGCCCGTCGGGAGACGTGGCCGTGCAGTTGATGGCACGCGACAACTCGTGGTCCGCAACGAAGGTGTTGGTCTCGCAGTCCAGCACCCGCAGATGCCGGTCGTTTGACGCAAAGATCCCCATCGGCGCTCGATTCGTTCGACTCGGCACAACATCGATGTGGTTGGTAATTCCGTTGGGATCTTGAGTGACAAACCCTGAAGCTCCAATGCCCTCGGCGCCCGACGAGCGCAGAGCATACTCCCCCATGAAGCCTCCCGCAATGGCCACCTCGTGCGCGGACTTCATGGAGGAAATTTTGACCGGTCCCTGGAACCCGGTCTCCACCGACGGCCGGGACAGGTCGATCAAGCACGTTAAATCGTCGTAGGCGGGAATCCACGAATACAGTTTGGATTCTTGTGCGAAATGTACCGTGTTGTAGGCAGCAACCGACATTAGATTACGCAGCTGGAAATGTTCGATGGTGGTCCTGCATCGCGTGTGCATGGATTTCTCCCGGAAGAAAAACTCCTCCTGAGGAAGTTTGATTCCGTGTCGATGGCTGGAATACTCCAAATTGTGATAGGACTTGTACCATTGGTCTCGCAGGTTTCGTGCGTCCGAACGTTTGACCCGTAATGCTTCCCACCAGGGAATCTGCTGAATGTCATAAAAGTCCCCACCATATGCAGTCGGTCGCACGATCTTTTGCGGAGGGTTCCAGCCGATGATGTTGGCGAGAGGGTTGGGCGGTAATGGTGCCGGAGCCATAGGAAGGCTGGGAATCGCCGCGATAGAAGAATGAACCCATTGGGAAATGAATTGGTCAATGTTGAAATTTCTCTCATGGACTGTTGGAAATCGTTAGCTGTAGCGCGATGATACGTAACCTAGAGGTCCATACTAGTTCCTTGCACAACGGAGGGCGCGACGTGAGGAGCCGTCGGGTCTTCTCCATCCGAAAAGTAGTTGTGATCGTCGTGGGCGGGAACGGCCGCATCTTCCGTGAACTGCGAATTGAAACCTTGATCCATGCCTCGATAGAAATCGTCGAAATCCACCTCGGATAGCGGGGTTGGTCCGAGACGAGCTGGAGAGTCGTTGATGTATTCCTCGCCGTATGTGCCACCGGCACCATCGTCCGAATCCGACTTTTGCGCATCGTCCAGATCGTTGCCTTGGAGTGATGGTCCATTTGGTATTGCCTCTTCATAAACCCCCTCGTAGTCGCCAAACAGTCCTTGGACCTCTTCGTCCTCGCTATCCTCACTATCCTCCGAGATGGTCGACATATTCTCATCCATGGCGACATTTTCGATCAGCTGATGCACTAGACCGTCAAGGCCGACATGCGCGCCATGAGGACCAAGCGGAACGCCGCCCAGGTCGGACAGAGCATCCGTCATCTCGGAATCTGACATGTACAACTCAGTTGGCGGGGACGATGAGGATATCCCTGCGGTTGGTTCGTGGTGGGCCCCTCCCGGTCGAAAGTACTCCTCGCGTTCGATAACCGCATTGACTACTTCCGATACCGAGAGAAAATTCGGTTCGTTGCTGGTGGCATTCGGATACTGCGAGACTGCCATTAGGGCGGAGATGCCCGCGTCCGTCGTGTCGAAGTTCCCGTCCAAAGTCACGCCACCACCGCCACCACCCGCTGGGCCAGGACTAGAGGGAAGGTGCGAATCATCTAAGGTCGGCGGGGTTGATACTTCGTCGTGGGCAGAAAGCGAGAAAGACCGGCGCGACTGCCTTATATCCGCCCCGTTCTGATGCGACGGGCCAGAAACCGTGGAGGGGCGATCACCAGGATGAAAAGATGGTGACCAGGGGGGATCCGATTCACTCCGATCAGGCATTCCGGTCAAGTTGTCAATCGAAGGCGAACTGGCTCGCCCGGCGGCGCAAGGGGCGGGTGCAAATACCCAGTTGAACACAAGGCCAGTCAAATGCGACCGTATGAAAAGTGATGGCGGAAGGTGATTGGCACCCTAGGGCTACACAAAGGACAAGATAGCAAGGCGTGTCCACGTTTTTTTTCCTTTCTTCTTCGAATCGGGAACAGAGATCTTGGCCCTGCACGTGGTGGTCACCCCGCAGCATTCGTCGCCCACCAACCCCCACGCGGATCGAAACAACAAGTCGACCAATTTGGGGCTAGAATGCTAGGAAGCCCAGTAGCAACCAGTCGGAACCTGAATCCTGCGGCTCTGTGTGAGTGGAAAAGACGTCGCACTATGGATGCAGTTATCCGGGGATCAGAGACACGGGAAGGAGGGGGTGGTT